GAGTCTCTTGAACTGTCACTTTCACCGTCAAAATCAAGCTCTAAAATCGACATTGTTGAACTACTGTCATTGTTAACTTGTTCAGTCTTGACAGAGAACAAAGAATCGTACTTACATATGATTTGAATTTTCGCGAAAAAGAAACTCACTCAAGCTTTTGTCGAAAAGAACTTTCTCAACTATCGACCCTCTTTGGTTCCTTTCATGAAGTTCGCAACGAGTAATTTTAAAGCGATTTAGCTTGTCGAGCATTATCAGAAAGTATAATGCGTCAAACGTGTCCCAATTTTGCGATTTGAAAGAGAAATGACCAGAAGGCTAGAAGTTTCAAATTTTTAAGTCGCCAATTTTTGAAGGACGGATTTTTAGTGGGCCTTACAACCTGTGTAGAAAACCTGAGTCAGGTTCTGGAAGAGCTTGAATGAAAAGCCTAACCCTTCAAGCTCTTTTAAAACCTGACTCAGGTTTTCCACACAGGTTGTCGAGTTTCCAAAAAGCTCATTTTAGAATTAAACATCTCCTCTTTTCATGTTGTTTTTGCTCAATTCGGAGAAGCAAGTCCAAAATTGGAGGTTCAAGTGAATCGTTTTTTGAATTGCTCGGATCGAAGATTTGATGGCTGCTTCCAAGGGCAAGCATTTTCGGATGATGTCTCGGGAAATTATTACTGCCTCTCGGAATTTTTAGGCTGATGCCTTCTTTCGATTTATTTGAAGAAAAATGATTCAGCTTTATTCGAGAAAGAAAAATAGTGGAGGCAGCAAAATCTAGGTTCCGCGATCTGTGTACAAAAACCTGAGTCAGGCTTTGTGAGAGCATAAACGGAAACGATAGTTTTTTTATTATTTTCGGAGCCTGACTCAGGTTTTTCGTTTGCCGAGTCCAGCTTAAAATAAAAGAAGAACTATCATTCTTCTTTTCAAACTTTGCGGTTAAAACTTAGTTTAAGACGTCTTTTACCTTCAAGAAAAAAGGTTAAGGCAGTAATCTTGCTCCCTAACTTGGACAACTTATCGCAGATAACACATAGTTTGCGCGCAAGATTTTGCGGATTTGGCCGGTCAAAATAATGCCAAGATCTTGCCTTTCCAGACTTTCAAATTGCAAAAACTACTCTTTTTTCTGAAATGACGGCTAGACTCGTGGGGAGATCACGATTACCAAACTTGACTACGACCCAAACGACCTTATTAATTTTTGGCTGTCATTACTGCTTGTAAAAACGTGTTGATTTTTTAAAGACTGTAATTGCTAGTGGCTACGCCCGGCAACCTGAGAAAAACCTGAGTAAGGGTCCGAAAAAGCCTTAAAAATCCGGGTGTCTTTTTCGGGCCCTGACTCAGGTTTTTTCCCAAGTTGTCGAGCTCAGGCTTGAGGATTCAAGTCTTCAAATAGCTGATTGCTCTTAATATCCGAAGAATAAAAACCATAAGATTTGCGAAAGGAATTCCTCGCCCATTCCACTGTCATCCAGACAACAGTGAATTTCAGTTAACAATATATAGAACAGTCTGCCAATTGCGGCAGAAGGATAATATTTTTGATAAAATAAAATTCAATGGCAGCGTAATTGTGTCTTAAATAGAAATAGGCCTCACCGACTCGTATTTTCATGTCATCTAATTCTTTTTCGAAATACAATAGATGCGACAAAACTCTGGGCCAATTGACAGCCTCGATTTCCAAATCATTGATAAGCTCGTTTTCAAAATGAAAGTGCCCACAACTTTTATGGAGAAAATTGATATTCGGAGTCCGAATTTTGGACCATCGAATTTTAATCTTGAAGTTAACATAGTGACACCCTTAGTTTATTTAACCTATCAATTGAAGAAACGGGACAAAGGAACCTTATTTTTTGTTGAATAAAATAAGGGCGTCATTATCTAAAGTTGAGAGAAAAATCTAGACAAATGGTGTCGACTCCCAAAATACAAGGTCTTATTAAAGTTCACCTCACGAAATCTTCTACTTATCCTTTTCAGCCGACCGAGCTCGACTGCTTCAATTCATCCCTCCAGCTATGTTTCTCATTTGCAAGTTGCTGCTGTAACTAGTCATACTTCTAAGGCAGCCGACTGACACTTTTTAATTGACATGTTTGTCCACTCATCCAATCAAACCGACAATCTTTGAGAATATTTTCAAAACCGAGTTTTTCATTATATTTTCTTGTTTTCAGGATAACTCTTGGCTCGGGAACCTGTGTAGAAAACCTGAGTCAGATTTTGAAAAAGCTTAGTCTAAAGCTGCGAATCCTGACTCAGGTTTTCTATACAGGTTCCTGAGCTTAGGAAGAACCAGAAGCCACTAGAAAACAGGAAGTTTGATGTCTTCTTGAGCATCTATTTCTGAAAGTTATTTCTGATTTACATTCTGCGGGAGTGAGTTTCGGCCCTTTATCGTTCCGGAAACATGGCGGGACTGTCAAGCTCTCAACTCACTCGGCCAGTTTTTTTCTTGAGCTTGATAAGCTTCTTATTCTAATTCGATGATACTCGGTTACTGTTGTCGTGTCATTTAGAACTGACTGTAAGACCGCCGCGTGGTCTACTCGTTTTTGGAATTTCGCGACGGATTCTTTTCTTTTTGTGAAAAATTGCTTCTCTGAGTGCTGGAATCGCGCGGCCGAGCAATTTTGTTCAACAAAATTATTCAGATTATTTAGGCCATCCTCGTCAATTTGAGCATTTCTGATTAGTTTTCAAAACTAGGCGGATCTGGGCTCGGCAAAGAAAAGTCCTTAAAAACCTGACGCAGGTTAAACCAAGTGGTAAAACCTGAAAATATTAACAAGGGCATCAATGTGGCCCTTGTTGATATTTTCAAAAATCAACGAACGAAATCCTACGAACGAAGGCGAACTTAGAGAATTCCTCGTTCGAAATCTTGTCTCGGCGTTTGATCATTGCTAGGGTAAATCACTAATAATTGAGCTTTTTTGGGCTTAGTAGGGTAGGCATATAATACAGTTTTAGAAAGCTCAGAAGCTGGGGATCATTTTGACTATTGATACTAGGGGTGATCTCGTACCCTGAGGGCATTTAGAGCCCTCCAAAGTCCCGAAATCTGGCCATCTTCGGTCACGTGAATTTTCTCCGCCCGGAACGGGTTTTCAGAACCAGAAACATAGCTAGGATTGTAGCCCAGGCTTTGACGGTCATTTTGAGGGGTCTAAAAGTACTGATTACTCCCCCTTCCTGAGGCGCTAGAGACCTCCGAAGTTGGGGAAGTCGGCCGAAAATGGGTACTTTTTGCAAAAGTACACATTTTCTTCATTGATGCTTCTGAAACACTTGTAATGAGTCATTCTTTTCATTTTTGAGGTAGCAGAAACAGTTTGGGGTCACCTGAGGTCACTTGAGGTGAATATTCTAAAAATTCTTAAAAATTGAATTCGTGACCTCAAATGACCTCAGATGACCCCAAACTGTTTCTGCTACCTTAAAATGAAAAGAATGACTCATTACAAATGTTTCAGAAGCATCAATGAAGAAAATGTGCACTTTTGCAAAAAGTACCCGTTTTCGGCCGACTTCCCCAACTTCGGAGGTCTCTAGCGCCTCAGGAAGGGGGTAATCAGTACTTTTAGACCCCTCAAAATGACCGTCAAAGCCTGGGCTACAATCCTAGCTATGTTTCTGGTTCTGAAAACCCGTTCCGGGCGGAGAAAATTCACGTGACCGAAGATGGCCAGATTTCGGGACTTTGGAGGGCTCTAAATGTCCTCAGGGTACGAGATCACCCCTAGTATTAATAGTCAAAATGATCCCCAGCTTCTGAGCTTTCTAAAACTGTATTATATGCCTACCCTAGTAAGCCCAAAAGCTCAATTATTAGTGATTTACCCTAATCATTGCCAAACTGACATTTCAAAGCTTTCTCAAGAGCAGTATCTTGACTTCCGAAACTGCTCCCAAATTCGACAGTTAAATAGTAGACTCATTTTTTACTGTCAAATGATTTCACAAAAGTCAGAAATTTCGCCTTGTTGCCCTTTGCGAACCAAATTATAATGACGCCTGCCCGAAATTTCAACCTTTTTTATTTTTTTCAATTGAAAACCGATTATTTATTTCAAGTAATTTTATAATCAGAAGAAGTCAGCTTGTGAGTGGCAAGAGAGAGAATTAAGAGAGTCATCTTCTTTTACTCCTCTGATGAAAACTGTTCCAGGCTGGAGTCGTCAAACCAGCCTTGCTCGCGCATCTCCCTCCTAGTCATTGAGGAGAATGTCTTCTCATAGACCATCTTAAAACTATTTTTTAATTCAGTTTTACCTATTTTTTACCTCTCGAGCCCTCTGGTACTCAACAACCTCAGGTTTCTCGATACAACATGAAGCAATTTGGCCCATAGTAGAAATTGTAGAAATACTCTTTTTCTGGGCGTTATACAAACTTTGGAACTTCTAAGCATGAACGGACAAAAAAGGAATTTTTAAGCATGGACGGGTAGAAAAGGGATTTTTAGGCTTGGAAACGGACAAAAGAAATTTCGATTTTTGAAATTTTTTCAAACTTAAATTTATGAGTCTTTGGGCCCCTCTTTCATTTACACGGGGTTTTATTTGGCTGACAGGCCTTAAATACTCTTAAAATTTAATTTGAAAAAATTTCCTATATCAAAATTCCTTTTCAGTCGTCCATGCTTAAAAAGTCCTTTTTTCTCGCGTAACCGCTTAAAAGTTCCTTTTTCTCTCCGTTCACGCTAAAAGTTCCAAAGTTGGTATGACGCTTTTTTGCGACTTGACAAAAATATTTTGATGCGCATTTCGTTTTTGGTTTCGGTTAAGATTTCTATCGATGCACTATCGTTAATCTTTTGCGAACCCATTTAAACTTTGAACTTTATTGTAAACAAATCACTGTAAAACGTCCAGATCGACTATAATTATATTTGAAAAAAGCTCCATTTTATAAATTCAATTCAATTTTATTATTCTGTCGCAATAAATATAAAATATTAAATCAAACACAAAAGATACAGTTTAAAAAGGTTCATTGTGTTTGAGACTTCTTCATTGGCACAGGAGTATCTTCATCATCTTCTTCAATAAATTGAATCGACTCAAGTTCGCGCGGTTCTTGAGTTTGAAAAACAGCTCTACTTCTTCCTTTCCGTTTGTTGCCGAAGCTCAGTCGTCGTCCAGATCGAACCTCACTAAGTTTAATTTGATTGAGAACTGTTAGTCTGCTAAGATATTTTTACTTTTCGCTCAAATTCATCGCCGGGCATTTCTTCTTTTTCTGCGTGCAAGTGAGATTTTTCAGCAACGAAGCCATGTAGCAGTCTCGGCTAAAAAGGCACTAACGTACTCGTAATCTGAAGGGGTCACCTTAAGTCCTCCTGAGTGAGCTCCTCGTCGTAGAACCGCTCCACTGTTCTATCAAAAGAGCTGTTTTTCGTCGGCGTCATCAGCAATCGTTTCTCTTTCTCTTTTCCTAAAAATCCGCGATCAGAATCATCAAGCCCGCTTCGGAGGAAGAAAAACGCTCTTTCGGAAACAGTACCTGTATCTTCAGTTTTAGTTGGCGTGGATTTCGTTGTCCAGAAATTTTGCGCCCGCGATGGAGAGCTCAGATTCTTCAGTGAGTCGCTTTCAAGTTCAAAAATCATTTGATCGATCGGCATTTTTCGCGATTGGAAGTGTTCTTGTTTTTTCCACGGGGCTGTTTTTGATGTTTGGCTCTAGAAAACTAGCGCGAGCCTTTTTTGGCGTGAAAACAAGTTATCGAAGTATCTTTTACAAAGTCGTTTGGAAGTAAGAAAAATTGGCATTTTTTGGCCGTGTTGTTTACTTTAAGACACTAGAAAAATATTCACAATTTTTTATTAAACAAGAAAATCTATAAAAACCTGCAACTTCTATTTATTGTTGCTAGTAGCTATCTAACAGCACTTAGACATTATCTAACAAAGAACTAGAAGTAATTAAGAGCATTAAACTCTCCAATCGAATTTCCTTGTCAGAGATCATTGATCAAGGGCCACTTAGTCACAAACATAAAGATAAGCAGTTTCATTTTTTAAAACTTGCAGCCAGGAATTAATTTTAAACATCAGTCAGCGTTACGTGTCACCGCTCTCAGCTCTGTCAGGAAAATCCGGAAGCAAAAATCGGGTGATTTGATCCTTCCGGTTCCTTGCTGTTACTAGTCAGGCTCCTTGTAGCTGTTGCTGCTTGTACTAGTTCGTCCCTTCTGTTCGCTTAGCTGGGATCGGCCAACCTGTGTAGGAAACCTGAGTCAGGTTGCCAAACTCAGGACCTGAGTCTCAGGTTCGCTTAAAATAGACGCATTCGCTACCTGGCCCTGGCGATTGGTCCATATAAGAAGGACCATTTTGTCTACTTTAAAAAAGGAAAGGGGAAGCTGAAACCTCTCCGGACGTGCCTGTGGACCGCAGTAAAACTAAAATCCTCTGTTCAATAATTTGAGAAAAAGAAAGGACCGTTGTCTCTTCCACGTTGGCCGGATGACATCCTTAATGTCGAAACTTGTTAAACAACGGAATGATACAAAGCGTGTTTCGGGTCAAAGCAAGTTTGATCAACCATCGTTTGAAAAAGTGAATGAAACGCGCATTTAGAAAACGTCAATTCTATATAAAAAAAAGTCCGGAATGCTCAAATTTAATCTCGATCTCAATTATAAATGCTAGTAAGCCAAAGATTAATAGAAAATATTTGAAATGAAAAGTGGAGATTTGTTCGAAAAGCGCTTAAAATAAAATATTTGAGTGAGTCGCGGGATGATCTCTTTGTGATCCCCGATCATGGCTAGCGTTCCAACAAGGCGAGTTGGTAACTTTCGGTAGCGTGGAGGCTGATTTTAGGTTTACCGAACGTGGCAGCAATTTGACTCGCCGCCAATCCGTAAACTACAACTTTTCTGGCCGCGTTTCATTGTTGACCGCCGATTCTAAAGAGGTAGGCTCGGCAACCTGTGTAGATTACCTGAGTTAGGGTCGACTTACAGCCATACTGTATACAGTAGGACTTATTTATGCCTGAATCTTTTAGTAACTGGGGTTATTAGGCGGGCAGTCAGTTATCCTAACCACCGACCTCATTGTACGTTTCTTCGATAAATAAAATAAAAGGGCGGAGGAAATTACGAAATTCGGCCTTGGCACGTGTTCTCAGAATACCATGGACCAATTAACACTCCTTCGCGAATAAAGCAAGAGCAGTTGCATGCATTTTCAAACGGATGATGCGGCTGTTAGAATTTTTAGCCGCCTCAGACAGTAGCTCACGCGAGCTCAGTAGCTCTTACTTTCACATCGCTCGAAATTCCGAAACCGCATTCGTTTCGCACGCCTATCTCGCAGTTTCTACAGTAGCTTTTATCCAGAAATACGAAAGTGTCCCTCAGTCACGTCCAAAATTTCGCATTCCAGCCTCTTTTGCGGTATTGCGCACATTTTTTCCAGACAATTTTTCATTCTAATTTTTGACTCTAAAATCATCACTTTTGTCAAAATAAGGAGGTAGCCCTAAAATAGGGGTCCCCTTAAGGTTTATTTTATCCGCTAAACTGAAATTAAACAAACAAGAGAAATCGTTAAAAATCGCGTTAACGACCTCCACCTCCTTATCAAAATCAATTAAATTTTCTAACTGTATCGCACAAGCTTTCGCTCAAAAACACTTTCATTAACTCGCGTGTCACCACAACTGAAAATATAATCAAAATTAAGCAGCCGCCTGTTTTTACGTATTCAACGTGTGTCGGTTGCGCAGGGCAATTACTGCGAGGAACGTAATTACTCGTGAAAACGGCGAGCTCACTTTTTTAACTTCATTCGCAGCAAAAAATCGGCATTATCCACATGAATCGTATTCGCCACAATCGGATAGCTTTTTCGGAGCCTTCGCCAAATTCGCGAAAAATCGCGTCTCTTCTTCCTCCAAGAACTGACAATTTTGAATTTTTTTCTGGAACCGCAGGGACAAGAAACGATATCCCATTATTTCTTTTATTCTGAGTAACCGCAGGATATTCAGCTGAACGAAACTTTAATTTCTGCGCTTGACAGTTATGACTTTCAACTTATCAGAATTTTGAGTCAAATAAATGAGCTTTTTAAAAGAAAAAGATCAGCTCAATTTCCGGCAATCTGAGGTCAGATTGACGATTAGGGGCTTTCGCGAGAGGGCGCTGTTTGAGCCAGCCAATCAGCGCTCGACGCGTTGCAGTGGCGCTGTTTACTTTATGGGCCATAGATTTATGGCGATCTCAATTTGGATCCTTTTCTTTCTTTCCGAGTTATGTAGAAAGGGATGGAATTAAAGCCATTCTTATTGGTCCATTTCAAATGGTCTGGAAACATGTTGCAACATGAAAGCTGCGATGCAAGATGTTAGAAAGCGTAAATTTTAAACTAGACAGTAAAACTTACCAAAGACTTATGAGAATCGAGAAGCGCGCTGATTAGATGCGAGTTCTTCCGAGGTCATGTCCAAAAATCGACGGTGACGTGCAGTAGCGGAACAAGTACGCTGGCTGAAGCAGCGTCTTTCCAGCAACGTGCACTCAGATGCGAACATGGCCTCCCACACGCAAAGTCGCGGCTTTCGCTGCCGCCAAAACGGAAGCAATTTTTGCAAAATTTGGCACCTTGACATACTCCCAACTTTGCTTTGCTTACAGACATACACAGTTCTTATAGTGCTTGTAAGCAAGTGAGGAAGAATAATGATCCTATCCTTGGATGGAAAAAGAGTTAATTTTATTTCTACTTCAACGATGTGAACCCCCTTAAAATGGTAAATCAAGAGCCAGCGCTTTAATTTTGTCCGTTCTCGGTGGTAGCCACCTTGAAGCTGTCTGCAAGTCAACTGAATAATTACCCGAGAAGGTGAACAACGTGGAGCCTCGATAGGCAAGAGAGATTGCGGCCTGCCTACAAATGCTTCAACGGCACGTTTGTTTTGTGTTTAAAAAATCTAGCAAAAACTTCGATAATTTTTCTGAAATTTTAAGTTAAAAAAGTTATTTTGGTTGTAAAATTTTCAGTTGAAAATTTATTTTTAGCTAAGTAGATCATTTTTCCTTTGCAGGTAAAATAAAGTTACGTAAACGAGGAACAAGTATCTGCAAAAAGCGATAAGACTCGGGCAGATAAGTGGCCCTCAACGCTTTACAACATCTATCGGCGTCTTAACACGTTGTTCTAGCAGTCAGCGAAGGTCGTCAAAGAAGAAGTTTTTATAAAAAACCCTATTTAAGGAACCGAAATTACAAGGCTTTTAACAGGCGTTCAAATTTGCCCTAGTGCTCTAAACTTGGCCTGTTCCAACAGCTCTTTCTCGCTGATATTTGATCACTCGATAAGACGGTCTCTCATCCTGGCTATAAACATTTTCGTGTCTGTTTTTCTTCCGGAGCAAGGAGTACTCATCACTTTACTGATCGAGGAAGAGCATAAAACTGCCATCTGAAATTGACTTATAAATTCGGAGGATTAACCCCCATCGGCCAAAATGTCCATTTTGGACATGGAGCACCTTCTGACGCCTGTAACTCCCTGCAATCATGGTCAGATCTTAACGAGACCCTGATGTTATGGGCCTCAAATTCGATGGGCTTTCTGGTGGTGACCTTTAATTGAGGTCCCTCTGTGGAATTTTTAAGAGTAACGGGCGTTTGAAAAAATGTCCAAAATGGACATGGCGATTTTGAGGCGATTTTTTCGAAGTTTTTCGATTAATAATTTTTAAATCGAGCATTGGAAATGCAAATTTACCGTTCTAGTGCATATGCGATGTATTAAACTGTATAATTCTAACGCGAAGTCACTATTTTTATTTTCTAATTTTTAGAATTGGTGCGTGCCGAGCAGCTCGGCGCCCATCTTCTCTCTCAATTTTTCAACCATCCTTTGTCAAATCGAATATTTTGACACTAGATTTATAGTAAGAAAGAGATGAGAAATTCATTCCCGCAAAAATTTTCACATAATTCTAACGTTTTCATAGAAATGTCCAAAATGGACATATTGTCCGATGGGGGTGGAATAAGGCGCTGTCCGATGGGGGTTAACAATTAAAAATCTCGCCAAATAAAGGCTTTTTAAAAAATGCAGTTATTAGTCGATTCATTAGCAGGATTCTTTAAAGCCAAAAACAGCGTTACCGGATTTCGCCTTCGGAAGTGCGCCGCTTTCTCTGTATCTTCCTAAAAACTTGTTTGACATAATTTTTATACAGTCGACCGCTACATTTGGGCCAATAAGAAAGACCAAGATATCATTCTAAACGGCAAAAATAGAAGCCTGCGTAGAACACCTAGAGTCAGGTCTTGAAACAGGTTTAATGAAAAGCCGCGGTTTTTTGAAAATAACATTTTCAGAAGATTCATAATCTTCGCGGCTTTAAATCCTTTCGAAACCCTGACTCAGGTTTCGAACACAGGTTGTCGTGCCCAGATAACAATATTATTAATTTTTCTTTTGAATCCTTATTGCCGTTCGCAAAAATGACGGATAATGACGGACTCTTCCGCCTAATATCCGATAAAGATTCAAGAGTAAAATTAATAACATGGTTATCTCTCCTCCAAATCGAAAAGTGACTGAGCATCGGATTGAAAGCGGAAGAGTCCATCATTATCCGTCAATTTCATCGTCTCTAGAAGCGGCGGACGAAGAACACAAACATTTTTAAAAACGTGCAGAGCCTCCATTTGGCAATTTGCAGCCCGCTAGCCACTTTGTCTATTGAGAGTCCACGTGAAATTGGTCACGTTCTCAGGTAATTATTCATTTTTGTCTGCGAGACAGGGACAAGGTGCCCCCATCGAAAACCGGCGAATGTAGAGCTCGGCTTCTGGACCCTCCAAATTTTCTGAAGCTCTGCTATTTTCATTATCGCCGGATTTTTTCACACGAGCACCGTGTTCAACTAAAATATGAATTTTTCGATAAGTCTAGCAGCCAGAAAATATGTGATACGGGAAATGCCGTCGAAATTCCAGCGCCCGTGCACTTGGCGCTAAATTTTCACAAGTGCAGTTTACAATTTTGAGTGGGACAGTAGAACAGTTTCGAAACTACAGACAGGATCGGGAATTTGGGATCGGGCGCTACAATCTATGTAGAAAACCTGAGTCAGGATTCTTACAAGTGCCCTTTAGAATCCTGACTCAGGTTTTATACACAGGTTGCCGGGCCTACACTCGGGAATTCGGGGTGTTTTCCAAATGGTGGCGATTCCAAATTCTAGATCGCGAGTTTTCTTTTGAGCAATTTTCAAAAAAGCCTTCAGATCGCAAAATCGAAAAAATACGAGAAAATGTCGGCAGGAGACACAGCAACTGAGTTGATAAAAGACCTGGTTCGTGCGCGAGATACTTTTCCGAACTACGACGACGTAGCTGTTCGCGAAATCGTCGACGAGTCCATCGGCCTTTTCAACAAAAACAGGGAAGATCTGAAGTCGAAGGAAATGGAGAAGATGCTCGGCAACGACGTCAAGGACGACTACTTGGAAGAAGTGACGGTGGAGGAGAGAAGCCGATATGTGAATGTTGTTCAAAGGTGAGTTTTTCTTGGTTCTTTTTCCTCAAAGTTAACATATCGACACTCTTATTAAGAGTCGCTGCAATCGAGCGAAACAAACGTTGCATGATCGCTTACCACATGCGGCGACTGGCGAAAATCCGTGATTTGCGATGGCAAGCCGGCCCCGTCATTCCAGAGCACATCCGGCCGAATCTCTCCGCTTCGGAGAAGGACTATTCCAACAAGTACAATCGCGCGCTGGCGAAACTGATGAGAGCGCAGGGCATCGATTTCACGCAGAATTCAACGCCGCCGAAGTCACTTTTTGTGGAGGTGAACGATTTTCAACGAAGATTACGAATAATAACATTCAATTTTCAGGTCAAAGGCATGGCTGACGTCGGCGAAGTCGAATTGGCCAACGGGGAGACTTTGACTGTCGACAAGTTCAGTCGATATTTTCTGGTAAGAAAGTTCTCGGGCCTAAATTGTCGACAAAACTTCAGAAAAGGGGCCCAAGATTGTCCATTTTCAATTTATTTTCCAATAAGACCGCCGCACGCGCTTTTTGAATCTGAAAATCGACAATGATGGGCTCTACGTCCCAAGTTTCGTTTTCCTTGTATTGAATAATCTGCAATTTTTCAAATTTCAGCCCCGAGCAAACGTGGAGCCCCTCATCCGACAAGGAATTTTGATGGAAATCGAGCGACAAGTCTGATGATCGAACACTTCCTTTATCGAACAGCAACGAAACTTAGGAAAAAACGAACTCACTTCCAAAATATTTACTCCCTTCTTTCTGCCTATTTATTCAAAATGCATATTTATTCGAAATAAAAGCTGAATTTGATTCGCCCGCGTTTTCGGCCGCTTCAAGTGGAAGAGCAGAAATGCATGAATAACTATCGCTCATTATCATAAGCACCCTCTTTTCGAAATTTAGGCCTTCTTTCCAAGTTTGCTTCTATTAGGTCAACCAGTTTTGAAACCCCTCGTTTTCAGAACAATCAAGGCCACCAACGCAGTTATTACTAATGTCTGGGCTACGCAACCTCTGTAGAAAGCCTGAGTCAGATATTTGACAAAGCTTCAATGAAGCCGCGCAGCGGCTTTTCTAAAAACGAAGCCGCAAAGCGGCTTCGCCAGAATTACCATCTATTTTGAAGATTTAGGTTATTCAGACGAAGTTCAGAAAATTGGAAGTGGTTTTTTGGATAACCAATAAAATTGCTGTATTTGGCCTATCGGCCAATTGAAACCCAGATCCCGAAAAATCACTTCCTTTTAAGTCTGCCCGAAAAATCAAGTTCTGTCAAGTGGGTCACGTTTTGACAGTGGGCTTTTTTTCGGCTCGAAATTTAGACTTGCCAGGCCCTTAGTTAGCGGCAGACAGAAAGAACTGTAGAAATAGCGGTTCTTCAGTAATGATGATTGAGAATTAATGCTGCAAGTGAAGCTGTCATTTTTATTTTGAATTACAATACTAATTTGGGGTCAGCGATTTCGACGGAGGCGCATTTCGCGCGAATCTGATTTCGGGGAGCTAAGAAAACCAAAACAATTTCGATGATGAGAGGAATGGCATTCTTCGTTGAGTCACTGGAACTCGCACAGAAGAAAACAATCCCTTTCAAACAGTCATCAGAAAATAACTTTCTTGAGCGTCTTTTTTTTTGACGTTCGGAATTGCGCGAAAATGCTCCATTCTAAATGCCCAGAATTCGAACTAGTCATTCGCTGCCAGCCCGCTTACGTTCTTTTTAGCGACTCTTGAATTCTTTCAATTTTTCTTTTTTTTTAGTAGAAATAAAGAACGAGAATGATTGACGCTGTGCTCGGCAAGCTCTGTTGAAAACCTGCGTCAGGGTTTGAAAGATCTCCAAGAAAAAGCCGCCTTGCTGCTTTTTTTTAATGAAGCCGCAGAGCGGCTTCGCCTGAACTTGAAAAGAAATTGAAAAGGAAATTTTGCGGCTTCGTTTTTAAATAAGCCGCTACGCTGGTTTGCCGAGCTCAGGATTGAAATCATCGACTTCAAAAGTGATGGTAGATCTTGGTGAAACGGGCAAATTTGAGTGTTGTGAAACAGCATGAAAATGGGGTCAATAAAACGACTTGACGGGCCAAACACTCAAATTATTTTATTTGAGCTGGGCAACTTTGTTGTCCTCGATTTTTGGAAATAAGATGGCATCGCACGCACCGATAATGTGCGAAAAATTATAAAATGACTTAACTGCTGATTAGTTTTGTATTGCCAACTCCAGATTTTCCGAAATAAAGAGTTAATGAATAATAAGTTATTATTAATAACATAGATAAGCAGCCAACTTGCAAGGTGAATATTTAGCTGTGCTGTTTATTTCCGTCTTCTGGTAAGAAACATTCCGGAATTTCATTTTGACGGAAACAAGGTCAAGTTTGGAATAAGTCTCCTCGATATGCAAGTTGCGTTACGCCCTGCTTTTCCATAATTTATCTTTTGAGCTCTCTGGTTTAAATTTTCGAATTAAGATTCAGCATAATTGTCAAATAGAAAGGAAAAACTGAAATCTTCAAAAAATATTTGATCGATCAAATAATCCGCCAAAGACTTTTGTTATTTTTTTATTGAGGCAGGGCAAATTAGCTGACCAAATTGGCAGCCTCGTTTTGAGCATATAAAAAGAAGTATCGCGGGGGTTCGGAGAAGAAATGAAAAATGAAATCGAAAAATTTAAGCTCAGGTGCTTCAATGTCATTATGAATTCAATGAAAATTCATATGCTAGAGAAATCAACGAAAAATATAAAATGAAAGTCAAAAATATAAGCCCAGTTTACGTATGTTCTCCACTTCAAGCAATGGTTCTCAATAAAAATGATAAAATGAAATCCACAGTCGTTGTTCTTCGCCCAGTTTACTTCATTTTCCCTGCAAAACCTTATTTTTAAAAATAAATGCTTTACCAAGGAAATAAAACTTTCAACTTTTTTTTTTCAAAAATTACGGTGTCTCTTTGTTAGCTTTTAAATTGTCAAGATTGGCAAAATCGCTTCCGCAAGTTTAGAAAATTCAGAAAATTCGAAAAAAGACGAATGGAACGGATTCCTTCTCTAATTCAGTCGGGCTGACCACATGATGCATTCGGGAAGAAGCGATTTACAAAGAGTTAACATGATCGTTATGCGTAAATGGCGGCTAAGGAGGGTTACGTGTAAAGGAGCGTCCCAGCGCTGCTCCAGCAGGGCGCCAATTTGGATCGCTGATAAAATCCGCGTATTTTATCAAGCTCCACTGTTCGACTCAACTTTCCAGAATCGCGCGCTCAGGAATCCCAAAATCGCCAAAATGACGGAATGAAGAATCATTCCCCCACATTACCGAATTCTCTCTTCAAAGTAGCAGGAGAAGTTACCTTATCGCCTTTTGCATAAGCTGCTTGAAAGAATTTTCGATTTATCAAAACCTGTTTTGTCGTTTCTCCTCCGTCTTGGCTTTGGATGTTTTTAAGGACCCCCCGTCAGCTTTTTTCAAAAATTCATATTTCGGAATTTAAAAATTTTGACCCGGGAAAAGGATTCTACGGGTAAAAAAACGATTTGGGGCTTTATTTTTGGGAGGTGCCTGTAATCGACAAAAAATTTCGACAAATTTTGCGTGGAAATTTTCAAGCAATCAGAAGCCTGGATTCGGCAAAGCGGCCAATCAGCAGCCGAGTAGCGGCTCACGCAAAATTTGTCGAAATTTTTTTGTCGGTTCCAGACACCATCCCTTATTTTTGGGGGTCTATCTCGACTCCTTCACCCCCAAAATCGCATTTGAAAATTGGACATTTTGCCGTAAATTGACAAATTTGCCCTAATTTTGCCAAAAATATTGAATTTTCTTGGTCAAAAATTCCTCTTACCAAGTTTATGAATAAAAGTAAAAATAATCTTTAAAAAAAATAAAAATACTAAATATTGCATAGTATGTTTACCTGAGTACAAAAAACACGGTCGACCCTCGAAGTCCTTTTCTAACTTTAAAATAAGTGCGAAAAATCATCTTTTCTCAGAGAAAAAAATTGTAAAAAGCAAAATAAAATCGATTCTCGTTCTTTTTCACTTTGCAGGAAAACTTTCTAGATATAATTTTTAAAGACCATAACTCGTTTTTAATATAAGCCGAATATAAATTTTCTATTTTTCACTGATGGTTGGTAATCATTAATTAAGCTTTTCATTTAGTTTAAAAATTTGTTCTCGAATAAAGTACCCATATCATCTAATACAAAAAAAACACGACAATCGCTGCTCGCCCAAGATGCAGCACTGGTCATCGCGGCTCTTCCTTGTCCGTCTTCGCAGATGAGTGGACAGCCAGAGTCACCGTTGCAAGCAGAAACTCGGCCACTGTAACCAACACAGAGGGTCAAAGAATCTACCAGAAGAGAGTATTGGCCGCACTTTTTTTGAGCTCATAGACTATTTCGAAGGCGCAAGCCTTTGCTCGGCAACTTCGAGTCGATCCTGACTCAGGTTTTCTTCACAGGTTCCCGAATAAAGAGCCGAATTGCGAGCACAGAATGAAGTTCTTCTCGTGCAAATTTTGAATAATGACTTGGTTCTTAAAAATAGGGAGAAATGTGCATTTACGGGATTTATTCGAAGCGATGAATTTTGCATGCCAAGTTTAGAATAACAGTTATTATTGTCATGTTCGAACGTCTTCCGAGCCTCATTCGACATGACCAAATGACGTTGTGGCGATTCATAATTCGCGAAATGATGGAACATATCAATACTAATAACAACTCCAAACTTGACATATTTAATTCCTCAGTTTGTTTTGAGAAACATCGAAAGGCAAAATCCAACAATGAAAATACGGGGCCCTTTTTCGGGAACGGACGGTGCCGGTACCGATCCGGTTTTTGGTACCTTCTTTAGTAAAATTTAAGGGTGTCACTTTCTTAGAACGGTGAGTGACATGTCTACCAGACAAATCAGCTTGAACCCCAACCTTAATGATTTTGTTTCCAAAGATAACAGAGTGACACCCTTATTTCCAGTCCTATCGAAGAAAATAAGAATACAGTTTAAAAACGGCTTTTGAATAAGTTCGCTAGAAAAGCTTTCCGAATTCGAAAGTTCGTAAATATTTGGCCCAGACGTGGCGATAAGTGTTTAACTCGCCGCTTTGTGATAATTATTTTCAAAGGTGTTTCAGTGGAAAAATTAAACAAACATAGCGGAAAAATTGAGTCTCCTTTTTCTCGCCGCCAGGGTCACCTGTTTCAAGTGACGATTTCGCCCCTTTTCCGACCGCGAAAATCCAACAAGCAAAACGTTCCATCCAAAACACACACTTTTCTTCGCGGATTTATCGAAATTTATAAAACTGCGACTGACGCAGCGAAATTTCCAGTTCCATCTTCGCGGCTAAGCGCGCGCGCATGTTTACGCCAACTCGTGTTTTTTCACTCGAAATTCTTAATTTTCCGATTAGACTGTATTCCAAGCACGTTTTTATTTATTAGCGGTTCACGCGAATCTTTATTTACTGTCTTTCAGCCAGTAACACATTATGTTATTAGCAAGCTGTTATTTATAATAACTTTGATATTTTTCAATTGTTGAAAGATATCATCCTAATCGAAATTGAACAATTTAAGAATTAGGGGGTTCGTTTTGGCAACAATTTAAGATATGAAAATTAAATCAACTATTATAGGTGGGCCCTATAGTAGTTTTTAAGGGGAGGGGGGTTAGGAAAGCCTGAGTCAGGTTTTGAAAAAGCTCAAATGAAAAGCCGCGCAGCGGCTTTTACAAAAAAATAGTCGCAAAGTATCTAATAGATACTATACTTATAGATACTATACTAATAGATACTATCTAAAATTACAAAATTAAAATGACTATTCTGGAGAAGCCGCTTTGCGGGTTCGTTTTTGTAAAAGCCACTCTGCGGTTTTTCATTTAAGCTTTTTTAGGACCCTGACTCAGGTTTTCCACACAGGTTGCCGAGCTCAGATTCTCGATTTAAAATTTCGAAGTCCTTCTTTTTCTTTTCTTTTTGGTTTTGGTTTTTGTTGAGTTGGAGGGGCTCTTCTTGCTGGAGTGTTTTTGTTCCTGCAAAGAAGTGAGCTGTGAGTGAATCAAAGCGGAGGAGGAACTGGCGAAGACGACCCTTGAAGAAGAGAAGAGGAGCTCGTTCCTCGAAGCAGAAGAGACGAGCGAACGTGGACGCGGTCGAACGCAATGTAAACTCGTTACTCGTTCTGAGCTGACTAATTCCGCTAATCCCAATCCCCTTTCTCGCGCCAGACCAGCCCTTGTCTATGCATAATTCTAGCACATGTTGCATTGCAAATTTGCTTTTTACGAGCAATTTGATAACCAGATTCGAGTGTTGCAGCTTCTCGCTCTAGCTACTAGATTTCACGAATAATTTATGGCAGCGATTGGGTTTTTGAAAGAAGGTTAGGAACAGGGCTCGGCAACCTGTGTTGAAAACCTGAGTCAGGTTTCGAAGTAGCGTAGCGGCTCTTTATTCAAGCTTTTCAAAGCCTGACTCAGGTTTTCTACACAGGTTGCCGAGCCCAGGTTGGGAAATCACGAATAGTGTTTTTCAAGAATTTTTGGTGGTGACACCCTTATTGCATAGTATTCTGCAATTATTGCAATTTGTCCGCTATTCTCAAATCGAAATTTCTATTATTTTACTTTGCAAATTAGATGGCTGTGAAATGTAAAAAGCATCTGATTTACAGAATGCTGCATTTTCAAAGCTGGCATTTTCGAGAAGAATCTAAAACGATAATTCCTCGCAAATTCAAGTACGACTGTTAGATATTTGAAAAATCAGCCAAAATCAGCTAGAATTTGAAGCTGAGCTCAACAACTTGCATGGTAAACCTGAGGCAGGGCTAGAAAGATCTTATGACTTGATTTTTTAGAAAGTATAGAATTTCTATTCTAGCGCTGAAAAGAGTTAAAAAAAGTCTTGATTGGAATAACAGAGTACACCCTTAAAAATAGAAGCCTTCAAAATACATATTACATTGCGTAGCATTGTCTACTAGACATTTGAATTCAAGATGTTTTGGGTCACTTGGGACTCCTTTTCTAAATCATAAATTAGCTGTTTTTACATTTCAAGAAAGTCGGCCAGACAAATCGCGAAAAAGAGTAGATTCTTGTGATTCCTCGCAAATTCAAGTCGGCGAGTTCTATTTCAGTTATGAAACTGTCAATAATGTTAGAGAGCCTTGTCTGTTCGCCACTTTTATTCAACGAATCAGATGATGAAAATGGCTCCATGGTCCTTGTATAAAATGGGTTAACTCACGTGTACGCCTGAGCTATACTCGTGCGGCAAGGAGTTAAACTTTCTAGAGATGGGAGATCAAGGCCAAGCTACCTGTGCAGAAAACCTGACTCAGGATTTGAAAGGGCCCATAGCGGCTCTTTGTGCTTTCAAGTCCTGACTCAGGTTTTCTACGCAGGTTTGCGGAACCCATTCAATGATGCGCGAAAGGAAAGAACTCTGGTAGCTTGAGTTGTACATTCTTTAGAATGTTCTAAGGCGGCGACTTCCTTAGTTGGCTGGCATTTTTGGCAGATCGCGCCAATTTCCAGAAAAGTGTCTTGGAGTGCTGAGCCATTCTTGCGGCATTGTTCGATTGGACGGGCTGATCTGGAATCGCAGAAAATACAACGGAATTGAGCCTGAGTAAGGCCGGATAACACGGCCAGCCTAACGTGGTGGCGGGCCGCCGTCTCAACCCTGTTTTTAATCTTAATTACTTTCGAATTATTCGAATTCATTTCGCAACGTAGAACTCTGTAATTGGCCCAATACATGATGTTTAAAGTGAAATTGTGGACATTACTGTAACCTCTGTTGTTGCATCAAATAAAAAAAGGCTCTTTTTTGAAAGCTCTGACTCAACCCTGAATCAGGTTTTCTATCTACGTTCTCTGGTGTTTTCAAGGTGACACCCTTAATTTTTTTGGTCAATAGGAAGCTTCATTCGTCGTTTACTTCCTTCTCGATTTGACTTCTGCTTTGACGAAAATTTCGAATCTGGGCTCGGCAACCTGTGTAGAAAACCTGAGTCAGGTTCTAAAGAGTTAAAACGAAAAACTGCGAAGCGGCTTTTTTTTAAACAAAGCCTCGAAGCGGCTTCGCAATGTAACCATCTTTATCTATTGTTAAATTCATACGGCCTGACTGAAGAACCTGACTCAGGTCTTCTACACAGGTTGTCGAGCGTAGTTTCAAATTTCTAGCATAAATCCGTGCGAAGATAGCAGATTCACGTGAACGCTGGACAAATCAATTGGCAACGTAGGACGGCAAACTTGAATGTCAAAACTGCGGCCGGATTTAGCCTAGAAATGCCACAGCGTCTATCTTCTCCTGGGTCACACCTGTCAACTTGCGATAACTTCCAAAGAAAACGCGCAGCCGATCGATCAAATTTTCAATTTGAACTTTGCGACTTTTCAGTTTTGAAAATTTCAAATTGAGGATTTGATTGGAGCAGCGTTCAACTGGCAGCGAGACGACTGTGGGTTCGGCTAATCTGCCAGTAAGAATGCCGCCGATAGAAAAGCGGAGAAACGTGATAAATACGGTTCTGTGGTTGTTGTTTGGGCGCGTAAGAGGGGTTCTCACCCACTTAATAATCACGATTTATGATCATCATGAGTCGGCGCACAGACGCTCAATTTATGAATTTATGAATGTGCCCGGTCGCAGCTGTGCTTGTTAATTTATCCAACTTAGATCGTCATAAAAAGGCGACTGTAAATAATCGATCGTCAAATTTTTTTTTCAAGCAAGAAACGAAGCAGAAATTTTACACAGGTTCCCGAGCCTAGCCATTAGCACATCCTACAAATTGCGGGCTACAATTCCTTAGCTTACTACTCATCTACATACAAGACTCAACGACCAGTACTCGGCAAAATGTGTAAGGAACCTGAGTCAGGGTCTGAGAGAGCTTCCTTGAAAATCCGCGTAGATTATCTTTTCAGACCCTGACTCAGTTTTTTTCACATATTGCCGAGCCCAGTCGGACCAAGACTACCTTACTGATCATTTCCAAATACAAACGAAATAACGACCGTGAAAAATTGATTTTATTTAGGAACAATATCAGGAGCATCCACACTGGATGGTCTAAGTCAAGACTTTCCGCCGATCTCTTGTTCAATTTCTACTATTCTTCCCTTTTTTCGGAGACGAACGAGTCACTTTAGCAGTCGAGTTTGTCGACTGCAGGTTGAATGCGACTCTGTTTCCAGATTCAAATCAGTCTGGTCAGAGCTCTGAAGAAATTTTCAACAATCGCTGGTTTCTGAAGAATCTTACCTTTTTACGGGTGGCTTCGGACTGTCGAAGTTCGACGAACTGACTTTTGAGCTTCTTTAGGCCCGAGGTCAACAGAAGTTCTAGAGATTTGCGAAAGAGGCTGGTTGCATTACCTGAGTCAGGTTTTCCACACAGCACGGCGGAACTGGCAGGAACTGGCAGTTTTAGTTAAAAACAAAGAAAGATAGTGAATCCTGAGATTTGTATTCCGCCCGTGCCGAATTTTCAAATTTAATTCTTTTCAATTCGATTAAGCTTCAGAAGCTTCGAGCGCTGCTCTCATTCAAAAGTCGACATTTTCTTAAGATAACGCGAACTTTGCTCGGCAAACTGTGTAGAAAACCTTAGTCAGGCTTAATTTGCATTTTCATTTTCAGTGAACGGAAAAAAGGAAGTTTTCTTTCGCTTATTTTCGGCTGATAAGACAATCTTGGATCAACAGCAACGGCAACTCTATATTTCAAGTGATAAAAATCGAAAAACAAGCATTTTTCTAGCGAAGCAATTTTCCAATTTTTTTGTTTAGAGGAACTGGCGCCGCTGTCTTTTGAAAGTCTCATTAATATTTTTTGATGAGAGATCGAGTCGTGTATTTTTAGAGCGAAAGAAATCTAATGAGCGCGGGCTAGCCGGCGCCTAAGCTGTTTTATGCAGGGTTCCAATTTTTCTCAAAAAATATTTGAGCGGAGCGAGCGGCTGAGCGGTCTACCAAAAAAAATTGTTGAGCTGAGCGAGCGGCTGAGCGGACGGCCGAAAAAAAAATTTGAGCGAGCGAGCGGACTTTGAGCGGAATTTTTTTAATGAAAAAAAAAATATTTTTTTGCGTTCTTTAATAATATTTCAAAAGAGTTTATTCTTCTAGTTTAATATTATTTTTCTGGCAGTACTGAAGAATGGCAGTTTTGAATATTTTTGCATCCTTGAACTGACGTAAGAGCAGAATCGTCTCGTTTTTCATTCGATTTCGACATGGATCCATCGTATCACGCGTTGTTTCAGAGAACTCTCTTTCAAGATCGCATGATGAGCCAGGTACATTTATAATCTTGAATCAAAGAAAAATTAGGGTTTGACTCAGTTTAAAACCTGGAGGGCGACTTTCGAAAGACGAGGAAATCGGATGCTCATCGATTTCCAGAACGCCGTCAATTTTTTGTGAATAAAATGTGGCGATTTTTCTTCGATACGATCGGTGATTTCTTCCCATTCTTCTACGGCGATTTGACCTTCGTATCTTGAAAATTCTGCCTCAAGAGAATCATCAACTTTTAACTTTGATGTTGAATTTGTAATGATTTTAAAATCATTATTTGGGTTCAGCTGCGGGGGTTGTTTTCGGGTTGATTCTGCCTTGTTTTTATCGGTTTGAGTATATTTTTCTAGTTCTTTGTCAATATACCAGATGAAATCTATAAGAAATGACTCAATGAATTAAGTACAAAAAAAAAACCTTTGGCTTTTTTCATAAAAGAAGATGTCTTATCTTCGATTAATTTGATATTTCTTCCGTAGACTTGTTCGTCGGCCTGAAGGAGCGCATTCTGGAGATGACGAAACGAGCATGTGTATTTGCTTGGAGTGAGGTAGAGACATGCCAAATTTAAATCTGTGGCCCTCAGCGGCTCTTTACCATCGACCAACTTGTCGATCTGCTCGTAAAATGCACCGAAAACCATCTTCATAAGCTTGATGAAGAGTCCAGAGCGTAGTTTCGAGTGAAATTGTTTTTGCCTAATCGATTTGAGCAATTGATGCTCTTCCATGGTTGAGTAGATGAGCATCTCTTCAAAAATCAATAGTTGATCGCAGACCTATAGTGAGTTAAGATTTTATACTCTTAAAGATTTACCTTCGAAGCAGGATCTTCGAGAGTTCTCACAAACTCCATAAGGTCTGTTGTTATTATCGATAAGCTGGTGACAAAGTCGAGATCTGGAAATGCAACTCGTCGTGGAATCAAGTAGGCGTGATCGTTGGTCGACGACGAAAGGTCCTGTAGTTTTGGCCCCCACGATACAAGAGTCTGCAAATTTTCTTGCTTCTTATTCCAGCGAATTCCGTTGTCGCGTCGTATTTGTGGATAGCCCTTCAGTAAAGATGACTTTTTCTTGATTTCTTCTTCTGTCATGTCCGTAGTGTTCGTTTTACGTTTGAACAACTCGATCTTCTCTTCATCTGAAAGAGACTCTTTTGCAAAATAATTGTTGATCGAGGGGCAATCCTGTGGGCCGAGCTTCAGCTTCTTCTTTTCTTGGTACGTTAGTCCGTTGCGGCAATGAGAAATAAACTTGTCCACGTTGGTGGAGAGATCAGAATCTAGCCTAGCGTACAGGACGGCATTTTGTATCATTCCATCCATAGAACGTACAGCGCTATGAGCCCCACAAATTGCTGCTTTTAGGGACACATATTCTGCCACACCTTTTTGCCCTCCATCTACAGTCACACCAATGAGTCGCTGATACGTTTTAATTCCATATTCAGCAAGAGTTTCTTCAATTTCTGCAGCGCATGCGACGTCGGTCTTATCAGTTATTGGTGTATACTGGAGAAGATACTTGAATCGCTGGTCTTTAGACGCGTCATAGAAGATGAGCAATGTACCAAAGGCAGAAGATTCTAAGTCACCAGTGGAAGTGCGGCCGGTATATTTGGTATCACATTCAAGCGTAACGCATCCCCGTTCGATCAGAATAGGGAGCACTTTGCTGAGAAAATCAAGCATTTCAACGTGGGACTTAAACAGCAGCGTTTTAACGTTATCATAGGTGAGATCGAGCTGTTTTGCATCTTCTGGATGCCCACCACCGGCTGAGAAAGCGTCTCGGACAAGATTGTGGAAAGAATCACTAAATAATTTAGTGAATAGAAATATGATTAAACTATTACCTCTCCAAAAAACGAAAGGACACGTGTTGTTCAGAGCATAGGGAAACGGCAGAATTCTTGAATTTGTCTACCGCAGGCTTCAAAACTTTTCGACGCGGTTTGAAATAAGCGGCAGCTTGGTATCGTTCATTTTCTTCCCGTTCTACTTTCTTTTTGCGCGAACCTGCATCATCAGGGAGTGGAGCATGCCATCCGTTAATGTGTCTTTTGACTTAAAACAGACTTGAGTTAAATAGTTTTTTTTTCGTACCATTCGATATTTTGATCGAGTTCTGACATCCACTCTCCTTGACACTAAAGGGATCGTTGTTATTCCGGCAAGGTCCAACGCATCTCAACCGAAATGTCCAATTGTTTTCGGAATCAAGTTCTTTTTCGAAAGAATCCGGGGCGTAGGGATGATCAACTTTGAACTCGACAAGCCAATCCGAAAATGTTTGGTTCTCGCATGGAATGAAACTTACGCCAAGCTTCCTTTTTTTAGGTCGACTCATTCTTAATTAATAAAAATCACAGACTTTAGGGCGATCTCATGGGAGCAAGGAGAAATTTTGGCAGACGATGCAGTAATACTGCTTGATTCGTGGATCGTTACTTGTCAGACTGGCTTCATGCAAAGCCCGCTTCTTCATGAGAACGGTCTGATGAAGTATTTCTCCTCGTGGGCTCAGTTCTTTCTGTTCCATTTCCCACCCTGGGTCATGCTCGATGTCCCAAACTTTCTTTGTGTAATCGAGCAGCTCATCGACAAGTCCATCGATTTCGCATATTCGTGTTTTGTCGGTTTTCCAGCGTTCCATGAGCTGAATCGACGTTTTAGCCATTTCTTGGTAAAACAGAAGAGTTTCTGTTTGTATTTCGATAGAGTCCGACATTCAACTGAAAAAATAAAATGATCAAATTTGTAATAAATGTTTTTTTAGGAGAGGCATAAAAGGCATTTTATTCCAATGAACGAGTTTCGCAGTGTTATAGTCACTTAATTTGGCAGTTACTACTCCCTCGGCAGTGTTTTCTTTTTCTTGGCTATCGGTTCTGCAGCCACTTCGAAGTCTTCTAATTCTTTCAATCGGTCATTTTGTTTCTGAATAATGGAAAGGTTAGCAGAGGTTTTTGAAATTTCTGCTCACCTCGACAGTTGTGCGTTCTGTCCCCATGGTCATGAAGCGTTTTCCTCCTAAAATGTGCTGCTGGTACCATTCGACGCTTTTTTCCATCGCGGTTTTGAATCCTTTTTGCGTCCATCGGTGGTTTTCCGGAAGGTCACCGAATTTCGTCGCGGATGATCTACGAAGCTTTTTTTAAAGAATCGTCATTTTTTATGCTTACTGAAAAACACGGTGATCTGCGGATACCATCGGTCTGTAGAGATTGCGCAGCTTTTCAAACTTTGCTGCATTTTTGGAATCTTTGAGATAGGGCGAGAATTTTCCGACTATATCATCAAATGGAAACAACTTGAATGAATCCTTCTTCTTTTTGAGTTCATCCATTTTTTTCTTCATCCCCGCTATGCCTTGGTTGTTTTCGTAAAAGTTTCTGAAACCCTCGAAAACAATGGTCACTTCATCATCTTCATCCGAAAAGCTCTCATACACGACGAAGTATCTAGGCAGAAGTTCCAAGTTTTTCTCGTCGAGTGAGTCAGCATCAAAAAACAAGGTCACTAGCAGGGCATGGCCGATGTTGATCGTAACTGTCGCCTTCGATTTTTGTCGTTCGTAAAAAGACTTCTTTTTACATTTCTTTATGATGAAGTCTAATGAACAGATTTAATCTTAGTAAGCAATAATGTTGATTTTTACCGCACGAGTACTCATCATCAGAGTCGCGACTTGATTGAGGAAGTTGTTTTGGAGGCGGCTCATTGAAGATCTCGGCGATGTCGGAAGTCGATGCCGGCAAATCCTCGGGTTTTGTGTAGAGGTCTTTATTCAATTTGAGAGCAGCAGAGAGAGCCGAGATCTGGCCGCGTGAGAAAAGATGTAGATATCGAGCAATCGCTTTCGTTTCTTCCTAAGACCTCGATCATTCAATTGCTCTTATGGTTTTTAACTACCTTTTCTAGTTTGTTTTCGGACATTGTAGCCTTGAACATGTCTATCATCTTCTTCTCGTCTTTGTAGATATGCTGCTTGAAGTGAATCGGCTGGATTCCCGACATCAAAAATAGAACCTCCCCAAATTTACTCGAGAAGGATGATCCGGGAGCGATTTGAGGAAGTGAGTTCCAGACACTTAAAAAAAATTATGCGCAAAAACTTATATAAGTACGCACAAGAGCGCTGGAAAGGGGTTGAAAATAATTTTTGAGACGCTAGGGGATTCTCGGTTGATAAAAGGATCTGGAGGTCAAGGGTAGACAGCTAACCACAAAGGGTCCACATCACACACCCTTGCATAACCATGTCCTTCAGAATAACCGCGGTGAAAAAGGGTTGAAAAAGGTTGGGGCTTTTTGGTGGTAAAAAAGGATCTGGAGGTCAAGGGTAGACTGCTAACCACAAAGGGTCCACTTCACACACCCTAGCATAACCATCTCCTTCAAAATAAGCGAGGTGAAAAAAGGGTTGAAAAAGGTTGGGGGTTTATGGTGAAAAAAGGATCTGGAGGTCAAGGGTAGACTGCTAACCACAAAGGGTCCACTTCACACACCCTAGCATAACCATCTCCTTCACAATAAGCGCGGTGAAAAAGGGTTTGTAAAAGGTTGGGGATTTATGGTGGAAAGAAAAGGATCTGGAGGTCAAGGGTAGACTGCTAACCACAAAGGGTCCACTTCACACACCCTAGCATAACCGTCTCCTTTTCTGTTTAAAAATTGGTTTTGAAAAAGGGCCGAAATTTGGGGAGAATTCTAGCATTTCATAATTACCTTCGATTGACGATCTTCAATTTCTCTCCTTTCATGCGCTCTTCGTCGACTCCTCTCTGCGTCATTCTCTAAAAATATGATTTTTTTAGTTATTGTCTTTTTTAGTAAAAAGAACTTTCAGTTATTTTCTCTAAAAAACTTTTTTTTTCTCGAAAAAAAGAAGAGGAAAAGTTGCAGACGGAGCGTGAGTTCTGATTTTTTCTCAGAAAAACTCTCGTCCAATAGAAAGAGCGCTTTAAAGTTTCCTCCAATCAGAGAACGCGCTCATGAAATGGTCTGACTAGGTCTGAGTGTTCATTTCGCTTGGCGCTCGCAGGCGGCCAATAGGAGCGCGAGAAAAATATTACTCACGCCAAGTCACCGCTCAATCCGCTCAATCGCTCTCCCTCAATTGAGCGAGCGGGTGGGCGAGCGGGAATAATCCAACTTTGTTCTGAGCGAGCGAGCGACCGCTCATCGCTCGCTCACCGCTCGCTCACGCTCAAATTCCGCTCACCGCTCAACCAAAATTGGAACCCTGGTTTTATGCACGCCAGTTTTCATAAAAATCATTTGCATAAGCTGCCAAAACGTGCACTAGCGGATTAATTGCCTTTTTATTTTCTTTTCAAAGCTAGGAATCATGCCCTAATGTGTTTTTTGGGGTGGTGGCTTGAATCAACAAAAAAGAAATTTTGTATTTGGTCAAATTTTGGACCCATCAGATGTTCGCATTTGATCGATAAGCCAATCAAACTTCAGAGAAAGTTTCATTTTTGTTGACATTGCTGACTTTATATTTGTTGAATAGACTCTAGAATCGTGCGGCGCAAAAGTATTGTCAGGAGCCGATTGGTCCATTGAGTGTTCTCTTCCTTCCCTGTTCAATTTTATTTACACGTTTGTCTGTAGTGATAGCACGTAACGTGCTCAACCGGATTACAAGCAGTCTACTGGCCATTGTTTGGTCCTGTTATACGGTATCCGCCAATTATACTTAGCCCGATAATTTTATCGGCATGAGTACGAATTGAGTAGATCCAGAGTCACAAGGCATTTTTAAAGGTCAGAAAGGGGCGACTACTTCAACTAGGCTCGGCAACCTGGAAAGAAAACCTGACTCAGGGTCGAAAATATCTTGAGTGAAAAGCCTCGAAGCAAAATTATCGTTCCAGTCTGTATATAACCTTTGCGGCTTATTTTTCTACGCGGGTTTTCATCAAAGATCTTTTAGACCAGTGTTTGAAAAAATGATGAGCGCGAGCCGCGAGCGAGCGTAAGCGAGCGAGCAAGCGCTCGCGCTCGCTCACTCACGAAAAATTTCAAGGCCACTGCTCGCGCTCACTCACTCACGAAAAATTCCTAGGCCACTGCTCGCGCTCACTCGCGCTCGCTCACGGCCTGTTTACGGAAAAAACGCCCGCGACCAAGCATTTCCAGATTTGCGAAATCTTTCTTGATTTCATCTTTTAATTACGTCAAAGCGCCCGGTATGTCCACACGATTCATCCCGCTCGCCCAAGCGACGCCTATTTCTCCTTTTTCACTGTTTTTTATAAATTTTTGATGGCAAAAAACGGAAGCTTGAAGAGAATTCTCATTATGAGTTAATCTCGCGAGGAGTTTATCCAGACCTTGATCAGCTTCTAGACGATGTAACGAAAGAGAGAAAATGGCAGCCCGAACTTGAATTCAAAAAATCATCACTGATTGAAAGTGGGACGGTCGAATAATCTGCAGTGGGCCTTGCCTTACGAATAACCCTCCTTTGAAAGCATGTTATCCAGGAACTGAAACCTTCAAATTCTTCAACGGTATGAAATTTGTTAAAAGGCCTGCATGAAGGTGCTGAAGGCAAAGAATATTGAGGACAAGGAGAAGAAACTGGACGATGCAGCGATATTACTCTGTCAAAACTGAAGTTCGGTTTTTTGTCAATAAAAATCTTCGGGGTCATGAAAATTTCAGTGCTAAATCATCACGAGCGAGCGCGAGCGAGCGAGTGAGCGCTCTTGCTCGCTCACTCATAAAAAATTTTGGAGCTTCTGCTCGCGCTCGCTCACTCACGCTAAAATCGGCGAACCTCCGCTCGCGCTCGCTCACTCATGAAAAAATTTTGGGGGCCCTGCTCGCGCTCACTCGCTCATCTTAGTTCTGACCATTTTTTCAAACACTGTTTTAGACCCTGAGTCAGGTTAGGGTCAGAAAACGCTATTTTAGAAAAACGGCGATTCAAAATTTGATATTCTTGGTTTCCTTCGAATTTAAATCAATCTGTTTGCAAATCATCGCCGCCACTACTTAAAGTTGCACAAGAATTAGTAAACACTTTTGGGGCTAATCACTAGGTAAACTTGATGAAAAATGAGCTCTTTTAGAGCTTATAAATCAGGGAATATAATACAGTTTTAGAATCCTCAGAAGCTGAGGATCATTTTGACTATTCATACTTGGGGGTTTCGCTCATGCCCTGAGGGGTTTTAGGCGTTCCAAAGTCCCGAAATTGGGCCAATCTCGGTTAGGAGCTCATAACTTTTCTTCTCCCCACTTCTGGAGAAAGCCCACTATATGAGCTTGTAGAGGAGGCTCTAACGGTTCAGAATATGTATAGAAAACCACCGGACACCCCCATTCTAGAGCCTCTAGAAGGCCCGGAAGTTGAGGAAGTGACCGGAAAATCAGTACTTTTTACGAAAATAGAGCAAAATGCAATATTTTCATCGGAAATCATTACAAAAACGTTTTTTATGAGTTTCTGACGCACAAAATTTACTCTTGGGTCATTTGAGGTCACGTGGGGTCATATTGTGAGAAAAAATGAATTTCGTAAGAACTCACCCCGGAAGGATCCCAGACTAAATTTTGTACGTCATAAAATCATTAAAAACGTTTTTCTAACGATTTCCGATGAAAATATTGCACTTTTGCTCTATTTTCGTAAAAAGTGCTGATTTTCCGGTGACTTCCTCAACGTCCGGGCCTTCTAGAGGCTCTAGAATGGGGTGTCCGGTGGTTTTCTATACATATTCTGAACCGTTAGAGCCTCCTCTACAAGCTCATATAGTGGGCTTTCTCCAGAAGTGGGGAGAAGAAAAGTTATGAGCCCCTAACCGAGATTGGCCAAATTTCGGGACTTTGAAGGCCCAAACCCTCAGGGCATGAGCAAAACACCCAAGTATCAATAGTCAAAATGATCCCCAGCTTCTGAGGATTCTATAACTGTATTATATTCCTGATTTATAAGCTCTAAAAAGAGCTCATTTTTCATCAAGTTTACCTACTAATCACGCCTCGCATTGAGTTTATCAAATAAGTTGTTGAAGAAAGAATTTCTCCAAAGTCGCATTTCCCAAAATATCTTTTCAACAGAAATTTGAAAAAACTAAGCTGTTTTTTTCTTCAATCTGGAATCTTGAGAAAGGTGTTTTAAAAGAAGCGAGGTGGAGGGGTTAACAGGCCTAACCTTTTTCACGGGTGCAGCTGAAAATACCGCTCTGAGCGAGATAAGCGTCGAATAGAAACTAGAACTTTCCATTAAAGATTTCTCAGACCTTGACTCAGGTTTTCTACACAGGTCGCCGAGCCAAGACGAAAGGGTACAATGAGCCACTGTTCTTGGGAATACTTACTGACTGTTCTGAGCAAACTAAAAGCGCTAGAAAGAGCGTTACTAATACAGTAATGAGTAGCTGCAGCTTGACGAGTTGTTTGCACGTGGTCAAGTTGAATTTCCGCAGAGATGTTTTTATCGAAGCATGTTGCTTTTAAACTTTCTAAGCCCGTTTGCTGGAGAAAATGAGAGGCTTTAAGCTTGTGATTTTCGTGTTCAAGCATTTCAGCCAGACGTAACTTGGGCGAGTCTAAACCAGCTACTGTACTCTAGCTGGCAAATTTCAAATGGCAAGGTCAATTAAAACGATACAAGATTCTAGTGAATTTAGCTATAATTTTTAAGTCGCGTCAAATTGAACTGAAATTTCGAGCCAATCAAAAGGCTGGATTTGGCCCAACAGCCAATCAGTGCTCGAATAGCAGATTTTTCAGTAAAAACTCGCAATTTCATCCTTTTCTGCAATTTTCCCAGGGTGGGAAAATAGTTTTTATTTCAATTTAGAGAAGAAAAAGCTACTGTAAAAGAAATAAAGTTTTAAAAGCCTATAATATTTTAAAAAAGAAAAGAAAGAAATTTATCAGTATTCTTTCAAAGAATGTTACGCTAAGGAAAGAGATGAGTAACTGTTCAATTTTCATTCAAGAGGAATAATATTATTCCGGCCCTGTGGTGAACGAAACACTCGAGCCCAGCTGGCGAGATAAAAAGTGACATTTTTCGGCTTTGGAAGGCGCTCGTTTCCGCCAATATCGCAGTGCAACTCTCAACTCTCTGACTCGATCACTTTTTCAAGGCACGTATTATTTCGTGTTCAGATGATGACCTCACCATAAAAAAGAAGAAGAAGAAAAACCATTCAATGCCAGCGCTATTTCTTGTTAGGCGACGGTTTCTAACCGAGGTTTACTGATGGTCTTCGACAGTACTAACAAGCCCACCAACGTTTCGAGTTGACAGTTAGGTCATCAAACTTGAGTTACTTACAATTTTTTTTTGTCTCACGGGACATTTTTGTACTTTTAGGTCTCAAAACTTTCAGTCTCGAGAAGTTCACTCTTTGACACTTTTTTGGAAAAGGGCCCGTTAGAGTCGGGCGTAAAAATTAGATAACGCGTTCTCCGCCGCCGGGGACACTCAACCTCAGATTGTGGGCCTTCCTTAGGCGGCGCCCTGGAAGCCCCCGAGCCTCCCCGAGGTCGGGAGGGTACATTGGTTATATGGGTTTGGTTTGGCAGAAAGAGGCCCTAGACGAAGTAGCAGCCCCAGAGAGCGACCCGACGGCGTTATAGCTGATTAGGTTCAGGAACGACAAAGTCGAGATTCTCAAGTTAAAATAGAAATTATGGTGTGTACTTACTCGAATCGATAGACCTGTGAAAGTAATCAATCCTTGCTATTTTTAACGGAAACAGTTTTTATTTAATAAAAAATAAAAATAAAAAATAAGAAATTATTAAATAAAATTCAAAATACATATTGTCCCAAAGTTTCAGACATTTACCTCGAGAGGTTCTAGGGGTTAATTTTTTGCTCGCCAGCCCTAGCGATTTTGATTGATTAGTATTGCTAAGGCCCTTGATTAGAAGATCGGCTGCTCTTTTCGGAAAACGTGTTCAACAAAAGTTAAGGACGCGGCCGAAGCGCTGCCTTTCCATCAAGGGTCGTATTCACGACGAGTTATGAAAAGCTCATTTTAGCCATTTTCTAGGACGCGATTATGCCAGAAAAGAAGCCAGCTCCTTTCTCACATTCTTGACAGGAATAATTGACGCAGACCGAGGCGACTGCCATCGACCATGGGATTTTCTTGCGATTGGCGAGAAAATTAACATAGTGACACCCTTACATTAGGTTTTCAAATGAATGTCAAAATCAATTTCTTCTTCTTTTGAAGGGGAAGTCGCAGAATTCGACAAAAAAAATGAGATCATTTTGGCCAAAATTTTGGGAAAAATTAGACCAATAGGATATCCGCATTCAGCCGATAAGCCAATCAGATTTCAGAAAATTAAAATTCAAGCTAACTCAAATCTTCGAAGCAATTTTTTGTCGACTCTAGAAACCAAGTCAAATAAAAGGGAATCACTAACATAACGGGGTTTTTAAGTCTGCCAATGATAGCCTATCATTGATAGGTATCCCCTTAAAAGGGGAAAAACGCGTGTTAAAATAACTTATGATGACTAAGTTTTGATCCCTTCGAAGATTCCATCCTTATTTTAAAAATACATAACTCTTGGTCTATTTTTAATTAGCGCGGAGTTCGAGATATTAAGCTTTGAAGTTTTTGGCGCGTTAGCCGTCAATTTGACCCATGAGAAGCGGTCTTTACAGTAAGCAAGGGCAGCGGGCGGAAAGCGCGCGGTACCCCCGTGCGCGTTCGATACAAGTTACAACTTACTAGCGCCGCGGAGGATTCACGATCGTCTGCATCCCGCGCGCGCCCTCCTGGAGCAGGGACCAAAGACGCCTTTTTCGTATTTTTCAGCTATTATAAAAACGACGGCGTGGATCCAGGTCAATCATCAATGGAATTGAAATAAAACATTCCGATTAATTTAATTTTTCCCTTTTTTAATTTTTAACAGAGAGACTCTCGCTTGAAATCAACGAAGAAAAGAATAAAAAAAAAACAAAGAAAGAAGGAAAAAGAAGAGTTTTCTCAAAATGACGCGCCTAAATTTAGGAAGCAATAAAGGTAATTCAAAAATACTCTATACGCAGCGTATAACCTTATGTAAAGTACCTCCAGTCCTTCTTGTTAGCGGCTTGAATAGACAGAAAATTCTATTTTTTCTAAAATCTGATTGGCCCAGCGGTCGGATGGGGCGATTTTACTGTTCTAAAATTTTGTCAAAATTTTCTGATGATTGTGGTATTTTTCTTTATTAAATCCATCCGCTTTTCTAGCTTTTTTCTATTTTTTCTATCATTTAATTAAGAGCCCTTAATTTCTGGACTTGTCTTTTTATTGATAATTTTACCCAATTACTAACAAAAAGAACTCGTGACTATAAATTAAAGCCATCAACAATAAAATAAAGTAATCGTAATTCCGTTACACGAGTACATGCTTTCACTGAATATTAGAGCGAGCGCCTTAAGTTTGCACTGTAAACTCGGCCAAGCATTTTTAAGAGTGCCCTCACTTTTTTGCTTCATCGGGTAAATCTGTTTTTGGTGCAAACTCTGTCGTGACATAACCGAGCGCACGTGGAATCAGCCTGATAAAAGACTGATAAGGGAGCCGCTTATCATTAGAAACACGGACACAGGACAATCCGGAAGGGTCAAAAGAAGGCTTTTGAATAATTAGCTGGAAAAGGGGGTGAACTCCCTTAGCCTCAAAACTCCCGCTTTGACCGTTTAAATTCTCTTGAATGCAAATTAAGGGGGTACTCTTCCATTTCTGACGGACTTAATTTCCATTCAGCTAGCTTATTTTACAATTACGCTATTTGAAAAAACTGCAATTAAAAAAATCTGAAATAAAATTACTAAACAAAAAAGCCAGATTTTTTTTGAAAAGGCGATTTTTTAAAATAATTCGGGTTCAAATAAATCTCTCGAATCTCACCTTAACGTGTTTGTAAAGAAACGTTTGGCTGGGCTTTGGTGGGAGTAAGCCCAAGAATAGCATCGTCAGTGGTAATTTCAAGATTAAGTTAAGCTACTCCGTGCTCAACCTTTTCCAGCTGAGTTACCTTCTGCATTCTTTCGTTGAACGAAATCCGGAACGAAGAGAAAATAAACTAAGTCTAGGCTAATCCGCTAACGATGAGGCGCAGATTCGAGATGTAGATAATTAAACCCTCGGCGCATGTACCTCCTTTTTGTGCAAAACAGACAATTTCGAGCCGTAAAGGCAACTTCCTTCTAAAAAATTTTTGTTCACTTTTGTTATTTTCATTATTTTCTTTATAAAAAGAGAAGTTTTTTATGATAGAAAATTTTCTATTGAAAATTATCCTATAAAAATTAATTAGAAGCAGTTTTAATAAAAAAAATTTTCTACAAATCAAATTCTCGGAAAAAGATGATTGACGAATCAGAATTCTTCTATTCAAAAAAATTTTCTTTTTGGAAAAAGAGTCATTTTTGATGATGACGAAAAGCAATTTTTCTAATAAGTTTTTTTGACCAATCAGAATCGTTGAAATAGATGATGGACCAATCAGAAGGCTTAATTCTCTAAAAAATTTTGAAAAATTTCAAAAATGATAATAAAGACTTTTGTATTATAGAAAAAGTATTTTGACAATTTTGTAAGGTGTTTTTTCTTTTATGAGTCTGGCAAACATAATTTTGTGGAAAAACGTGGTTTGAACTTGTAATGTGGCGGGGTTTGATAATTCATTCGGACGGTGAACCAAATGTTCCTTAACGTGAGGGCGTCCACGTGCAAGTTAATCGCAGCCGGAGCCAGCGAAATCAAACATTTGCTGCTGATCCAACTATCTTTCCATTCTCTTTTTCGCCAAGTCAAATAAACTCAACTTTTACCTAAAATTTCAGGATTACTGATATCGCTCCTGTCCATTTCCACAAATGCCCTCGACCTCTCTGCCGTCGACAAATTGCCACTCTGCCAAGGAGGACACATCACAAGTCAAAGGAATGGGATCAACTACTTTCAACAGTTCTTTTTTCTTGAATAAGTTGAGTTAATCTGGCACCTAGAAAAATCGAGGAGTCGCTTGCGGCTTCGAGCTTAAAAATTACTGAAGCCGCACTTTGCGCGGTTTTTTTTTGTTGAAGCTCGAAGCCGCAAGCGGCTTCTCGACTTTTCCAAGCACCATTTTGACTAAAATTATAGAGATCGAGAAGCCGTTTTCGGCTTCGAGCTAAAATATAATTGAAGCCGCGCTTCTAGCGGCTTATTATCTTATTCAAGCTCGAAGCCGCAAGCGGCTACTCGATTTTTTTTAATTTTAGTCAAAATGGCGATTTTAGCAAAGTTAGTCACGCGTTAAACTTTCGTAAAACTAGAACTTATATTCTAGTGCGCGACTAATTCTGACATGTAAAATTCATTGAGCGCCGTTTGTCCAACTTGGATCGCAAATTAAATAAGATTAAAGCCCCCTTCTCCATTTTTTCTTTTGTTTAAAATTTGAAAGTTTGTTAGAAACTGATTTGGTAACAATTTGTCTGATCGCAAAACAGTGGCCTGGAGAGGCAAGTGCCGAATGCGAACTGTCGCTGGCGCATCGAAAGCGAACAAAGCAAGAAAATCAAAGTGACCTTCCACGAGCTGACGCGCGATTGCTCGAATGACGAGGACGAGATTTATCTTCTCGACGCGCAGCGAAGCGTTTTCGGTCCTTTCTGCTCTCTCGCTGCAAATTACAACAGACACAGAAGAACTGCAGTCAATTTTGAACACGAGGTAACGACAAAAAATGGACAAAAAATGAAATTGAATCTACCCGAATAAAATGGACATAAAAAACACAAAGGGACAAAGATAAGACTAAAAATCAATATGACTAAAAAGTACTAAAACCTAAAAAATAGACTACAAAAGGTGACTGACTCAATTTGACCAAATATGAACTAAATAATAGAAAAACAAATGAACTTTGGTTAGACAAAAAATATACTTGACTAAAACGGACAAAAACTTGAAAATCGACTAATAACAAAGTGGTCTCAATTTGACAAAAGACTAAAAAAAGACTAAAATTGGATAAGACTTGAATTTCGATGACAGAAAATAGACTGAAAATCCAGTTTACTAAAATTTTTAGTCTTAAAAGAATCATGAGTAAAATGTACTAGAACTGACAAAAATGACCTAGATAGTCATTTTTAATCCTTTTCGACAACAAAATTGATTATTTTCTTTCAATATTTTCGAAATGAATCGCTTTTTGAGCCTGATTCGTGCATTTTGATAGACGTACCTCAGAATCTGACCTCAAATGAAACAATTATTATTTTCACAAGGGATTTTGAAAAAGCAGGGCATCGTTAACGAGTTTGAACGATGTTCTAAATCGCATTAACAAATTATTTCCAAGGTCGACTTGCCGGAGAGCGCTGACGAGATCGAAGGAATTTTCGACGGGGACGCGGTCGAAGTGGTCTATGTCACCGCGCCTGGAGGATACAAGTTCAGATTCAAGTTCTACTTCGAGTGGGAGCTCATCGAAATGCCCTCCGCCAACGGCACGCTGGTCGCGATTGGAGACAACGAACGAGAGCCAATTTTCCCGGATGGCGTCAATGTGCACTCAGTTCCGACGACAGGAATCTGCGGGCCAGAACACTTCGCCCCTGCCGCGCTCGGTATCTTTGCCACCGAATTAGGTAAGCCACAAAATTAATGTAAAATTTTGACAAATTTTCTAAAATTGCCAATTGCTCTATTATATTAATGACCATGTACTACTAATTGAAAGAGCTTACAATTCAAATACATCGAATTGGAATTTTAATTATTGGGAAAAACTAAGGGTAGATCTTAGATCTTATTCTAAATCAGGGTTCTTAATCGCTTTTTTTTCTCGCAGACTTATCATAGTGACACCCTAAATTTCTCCTTGGTAGCGGTTTCTTCGCTAATTGGTAAATACAGTCAATGAAAAGAACCTTCTATTAGAAGCTTTGGTGTTTGGTACAAAATAAAAGGCGCGTTTTTGTGATGTCAGATTGGGCTCGCTTCACAAATTAGCAACAAACAGCAGCTCACTCACTTTTGCGCCACGGTTCCCAAAACAAGTCCCAATTATAAATTTATAACGCCTTTTATTTAGACTCGACTGCAGCTCCAGAAACGGCGATGGAGGGCTTCTCCAAATTCGCAGCTGCGATGACTGGCTTCGACAAATACTTTGACTCGCACTTTGCTGAATATTGCGCCCTGGAGTCGACCCAGCTCCCTTGCGAGTTTTTCCACTTCCAGGACGACGTTACTGCTCAATTTCTTTTCGGTCACTTGGAGGCGCTAGTCGGCCATATCATCAGCCACTGCGACGACGGATTCGGCCATCTCTGGTTGAAAGAACTCAGCGAGCTCGAATCATGGATTGGAGGCGAGATTCCAACTGTCATCGTTCCCGAATTCAATCAAGTCACGGTCAAGGACGGCAATCTTTGCGACGAATGTCTGGTAGACGCAGACTGCGGCGATTTCCATGAGAAATGGATGCGATGCTCCTCGGAGACCAAGCAGTGCGTCTGTGGCAATCACTGGGTTGATGCCAATGGAGACCCAACTGGTGAGTTAAAATTTCCATCGCGTAAAAAAGGGGACGTATGTTTCTTAGATATGCGAAATTGCAGGCATTTCTGAGTAATGATGCGCCGATATTGGACAAATTGATGACGTAGCCCTTAAATTCTTGCATCGGTAGCTTGAAATTTACATTTTGCGAGTACTAGAATACTTGAATGCACGAAAATATCGGAAGCAAGTGTATCCCCTTCATATTTACGCCGTAATTTGAAATTATACGATATGGAGCATCTATTCCTTGGATAAAAAATTGTGTTTCAGACGGTTGCGAGGCTTTCTCCGGCGACTACACTCTCAACCACAATCAGTGCTCTGGCGAAAATCCACCAAAAACAACTACCACCGTCAAAACAACGACAACAACGAACAAGTGGCAAACAACTTCTAAACCAACAACTACCACAACAAAGACGACAACAACAAAAAGCACAACGGAAGCAACAATTCCATCTCTCTGCGGATCTTGCTCGAGCAACAGCGATTGCGGAAAGAAGTCCAAGTATCACATGGTCTGCTCGGACGAGGGCCAATGCATCTGCGACAATCAATGGATCAGCACTTCTGAAAACAATTTTGGTAAGAAGTTAGATCAGATTTTAGAAATTAGGGCAATCTTTTTGATTTATTTTTTTTTCTGAAGACTTTTATTTGAAATTTAACATAGTGACACCCTTATTCAAATTATGAACAAAAATTTGACATAAAATGACATAAAATAAGGGTGTCAATACGTTAAAAAATCTCAAAAAATGCCTCAGAAATATCTCAAATTGAAGGTCGTTTCTAAACGATAGTTTTGAAATACTTTCCAAGATATTTCCGCACTCAACGTGTCCTTCAAATGTTTTCAGCGATGTCGAGCGCTAATCTAATTCTTGTATTTTTGAAGACGGTTGCCGAACGTTCAGCGCGGGCTACGAAAAGGACCAGGAGCAGTGCTCGCCCAAGACCACCACCGCGCCTCAGAACATTGATGAGACGACCGCAATTGTTGATCACGCCAAGGTGTTCAACGTCATCGAGGTCGGTAACAATTGCCCGCAGCAGTGGTTGAAGACGCCAATGGAGGACGATAACAACCTTTGGAACGAGTTCGACGATGGCCTTCATGAACATGATGAGCCAATGTGCGCCTTTGAAAATCTACCAGGTAAAATCAACATGAATCTTTTGGAAGATAAGAAAGAAGACCAAACGAAGGGTCGAACTTAAGGGGGTAGACATCATAAACGTAGAATATAATTTTTGACAAAAAAATTATTAAATTTTCAATGGAAATTAGAAACTCCGACCTTCAGAAAGGATCGAGATAAGGGTTTGAACTTTACAAAGATAAAAAATAATAAGGGAGTCAAAGCATTAATTTTGGGAGAAAACTCAGCGCGAGAATCGATGTCTAAATCTCTTCATTTGATGATAGAATTCTCCTTACCATAAATTTTCAGCTTGCACGAAACCCCTTTTCGCCGGCGTCGCTGCTTCCGCCTGCCACTCTTCGACGCTGATTTCCAACTACAACGCTGTCGCCGACGAGCTGGCCCGAGTCTCCGTCTCTGGCGACTTTGACCGAACTTGCGTGTTTGCTATTGCCCGTGCTCCCTGCTCCGCGCTCGATTTCAAGGCCATTTCCGATCCACGAGAGTACGCTTACAAATTCGCCGAAGTCGTCAAGACCTTTGCCATTGAAAAATGCGGCAAGAGCCATTTGAAGAATTCGCTCGGACCGATGCTCATGCAAAACGTCGAAATCTTGGAAAACGCTGCTAATGGAAACTGCCCAGCCGAGCTCGGGGATTTCGTCTTTGACGCTGAAGCTTTCGACGAGACGGATTTCAGCGATGTTCCAGTTCATACAACCACGACTACTACAGTTGCCCCGGAAAAGGATGTCCAACAAACTACTCCAAAATCAATTGACGGAAGTAAGTCAACGTATCTTTTGGGAAGGGGCTATTTCTGAGCGAAATTTTTGTAGCCTTCTTAGCCAATAAGGGTCCGAGAATCGCGCTATCGACCAATCAGCATTGATTTACTTGCCTACGCAAATTTTGTCGCTCAAAAATTGTCGCTTCGCTTTTTCGAAAAGACTTTAGTTTTCTTATATATTACAATTAATTTGAACATCGACTATTATTACCTCAATTATTATCTCTAATAACTCTTTATTATTACCCAATCCACCTCATCCCGTTTGTGCAACGAGTTAACATGTTCTACGACGCACGTAATCATAAGCATAAAAGCCCGGTGTCAAGTTAAATTCGATAATTGAGCAAAGAGCGGTGACTAACAATCCACTTCAGAATTCACAACGCTCAAGGACGGCCAATGCACTTCTAAAGCTTACGGTCGATTGGCCACCGTCGTCTTCGATGCCAGAGCTTTCGATCTCGTCGACGCCGACACCGCCAAAGCCAACTTCAAAAGGTTCGCGGACGAAATCGGCCGATTGGGAAAGAAAACGCAAAAGTACGAAATGCAGCGCGGCGAACGACCAGATTGCGAAGTTGCTACTTCCGGAAAGATGCCCTGCGAACTCCTTGACTTTCCTTCAAAAGAAATGGCTTGCCAACTTGCTGAGCGGGCAAAGAAGCTTTACTTGCATGTCAGAACTTCTTGCAACAATGCTTGGATTAACATCTACGGACAGGTAAAAAATGATAAAGGAGAAATTCTTCGGTTTTAAAGAAAAATAGAGGATAGCCTTGTTGATCTTAGGGTTTTTGCATGGGCACCCTTATTCACTCCGGAGGCCACTTGAAAATCAATAAGGTTAGCCCCTATTGATAATAGCCTATTATTAATAGGCTATAATAGCTTGTCTGAAATAACACAAAAACAATATTAGAATTATCAAAATTTCTTTCAAATTATTTTCTTCTTTTTAGACAATTTCTTCTCTCGTCGAAGCAGCTGAACCGGTTTCTGGAAGCTGCCCGCAAATTGGCGAACGAATGGAAAAGCAATTGCTCCAAGAATACACCGAGCGTCATGCAGAGGAAAACGACGGCGTCGACTTCAAACAGCAAATCAAAGAGATTAGAGATGCAGTCAAAGAAGATAAGGCGGAGAGGAAGAGAGAACGAGGCAGCAAGAAAATGCGACGAGAAGACCGAGAGAAGAACAAGCTCAAGAACATGGCGCGGCGGCGAATTGAATCGGCGATGGTCGAAGTTAACAAGAAACAACAGAAACTTGAGCAGCTGAGAATTGCCATTGCCGCGGCAGAGGCTGGAAACTACGCTCTTTTGGGTAAGAAATAGTGCAAAGATTAGGAGTTTAAATTTTCAGCCCGCGACGAAGAGAACGACGTTGTGGTGGAGGAGAACGATTCCGGCATGCTGATGGACTTCGGAGGCGAGTTGTACGAATCCTACGAGTACGGCGAGTACGAAGAGGAGGAAGAGGGTGAGTGCGCGGTCCCGGTGGCGCTTGAGATCGACTCGGCCGTCGAGTTCTTCAACGCGTTGGTGGAGGCGCAGACTTCCCCGCGCTCCAAGTTGCTCCACAACGCCGTGTCGCACCGCGTCAAGCGCCGCTTCGAAGACGTCCTCAACTTCATCCGCGTCGCGCCCGGCCACTGCCCCGAAGAAGTTCTCGCCAGCTGCGCCAACGTGAACCTGGTCTACGGAAAAAGACGCGCCAAGATCACGGAAATCATCGAGGCCGCCTCGCAAATCGTCCAAAATATCGAGGAACAGTGCGAGGGCGCCTCCTTTGCCGAGTTTTTCTTGAGCGTCCATGGCAAAGCGGAAAATCTTTTTTAACCATTAATTAACTAATTAATAATTCATTACTTAAATTACTTTGTATTTAAAATCATTTAACAGCAAAACTAGCAATAATCAATATTTCCTACCATTTGCCTAAAAAATCTTTCTTTTTCGAGTTTCAACTTTTTGAAAACAAAGGAATTCAATATAAAATATTTTAATTTCTCTCAAAAAATTAAAATAGTTAATTTTTTAAAGCCAAATGCCAGTGAAACAACTTTCGCCATTTTTTTCCTGATTTCCGAAATACTTGGAATCAGAAAAATAATTTTATCTAGCTTTAAGCTTGTAGAAACAGCTCTTTTTTATATTTAAAAATTTAATATCAATATTTTGAAAAACGAAAAAATAAAACTGAGAACGAAAAAATATAGCGCGAGAAGAAACCTGTACAAAACACGAATTGAAGAAAAAGGTGCTAGACTTCAATCCTCGCCCAAGAAGCAACAGAATACTTAAAATCACGACCCTGCTCTTTCTGTAAATTTAACTTCTGTAAATAAAATCCCTTCGCAATCAATACATTTATTGTTTTTTTTTATTTCCAAAATGGAAAAATTTGTCAATAAGGTTTTAGAAATATAAAGGTCAGAGGCATCGTGAATTTGACCTGTCGATGATGATGCTGAAGATTACGGTAATCTAAAACAGCTAAAGCGGAAAGGACAAGGTCATGTTTGTAATAACCCCATATAGATGTGCGTTGCCCTGCTTCTATCAGCCACTACCAGAGGTCCATATTTAGGGTTAGGCTTAGCTCAATTGACCTAGCTTAGCAGCTGAGCCATAAGCTGGCTGGGCTCGGCAAGCTGTATGAAAAACCTGAATCAGGTTCTAAAGAGCTAAAATGAAAAGCTGCGTCGCGGTTTTTTTAATAAAGCCGCAAAGCGGAATCACAAGATGACCATTTTATTCATTTCAGCTCTTTAGAACCTGACTCAGGTTTTCCACACAGGTTGCCGAGCCCAGTAAGCTGGAGACGACTGCATTGCTAATTTGAAATGAGCATTTTAGAGACGAATTTTTGTACAGGGTTCTTTTCTATTTCGCCCTTTTTCTGTGTCCCAAACAAGCTGAATCCGGAGATTGCTGTTTTCGCTCTTTCATTATTTCTAAATTTGAAAAGTGACAGTTCCATTTACGTGTTTCAGTCACGTTGATCTGCCAAATTCACCACATCTCGCCGCGGCTTGAGCTCTTCCACGCAAAACTGATAAGATCGAGCGATAACACTATTCAGACAACTTTGGAATAAAACAAATGGTCAATCATTCACTACCGGCGCTGATTACTTTTTAACGCCATTTTGTGATTAGTAAACATTTTCCGCGAAACCTTGAAAGGGAGAGTTTTAAAAGACCAGGTCAGCAGGTCTACATCTCCCGCGCCCTTCTTTCCGGCTTAGCGAGTTGGCAGTAATGATAAGCAGTCACAGCCAACAACAAACATTCGAAGCAGCGCACGTTTTTGTACCAATCATTCGCCGAATTCATCCTTTGACCTCAAACTTGGCTGTTTGCGCTGATTTTCTGTCTTTTTTTGCGTTCTTTTTGAAATTTTTCTTTTTCGGATTAGCAACGAGAATTTTAATAAATAACTAAATTACGTCTTTCATTGTTCTTTGTTCTAAGGTGGCTTGTTTCGAATAAAGGACTCAATAGGTGACAATCTATAGACATGCGTACATCCCTGCTCAATTATTAAAATCAAAATGTGACCATCTGACATGTAATCATTTTCTAACAGAAAAAACGAGTTTATTTCTTTGATCTTAAAAAAGAGATAGCACCTGATTAAAAGGTAACGTTTTTCTGATATTGGCATCAGAAATCGGCATTTTTACCGATAGCTAACATAGTGATACCCTTATTTGCTTTTAAGAAAAAACAGTTTGAACCGTAAACAAGTTTACATTGCCGTAAAATTTTAAATCTTAATCATAAATTTTTGCAAAATTTTTAACTAATAGTTTTACTTAAGTAACACATTAGGATGGTGACTTTTCTTCAAAAGTTAACATATTGAAACCCTTATTAAAGTTTAATCAACAGACAGTTTAAACCTTAACTTGGCTCAGTCAAATTTTTTGACATAACTGGCGCTAGCTGCTAAAATTGCTGCTAAAATGGTCATTTTGAATGAAATTTTAAGCGCAAATTTTGTAAAGTTTTGTCCAAAAATTCAAGTTCTTGATGATCTCTTTAGCTAAATTAAGGATTAAAATTCCTGTTGATTGAGTTAAATAAGGTTGTCAACATGCTATTTTTTGGAGAAAAGTCACCATCTTTGATGTCTGCTCCATTTATCCCCGTGGCCTCCTTTTTTTGGTCAGAAGCAGTAATCAGAATAATCAGAGTTGTTTTTTCTTTGATAGGCGGTTGTCCAGGCTGTCCGGTCTCTCCCAAAAGAAATTATTATTCTGTAAAGGCTTCCTCCGACAGCTTGAAGGATATCCAACGGGCCTACTCATCACTAATTGGTAAGTTGACGCAAGTAGTTTTATGTATATCCAAGGAGGAGTATATAAACTTAGCCCAGCAAAAAGAGCACTACTTCTTCAATAACCAAAATCGAAAATCGAGAGAAATCTTCTTCGCCCAAAGCGATTCTTAAAAACCGCTTTCTTGAATAATAAACAAGGCCGTGACGTCGTGAATGAAAATTTTTATATATTTGAGCTTTAAATAATTCAACAGAAAAAGCAAATACTCAGCTTTTCTCAATGAAAAAGGCTAATAACAGGTTCAAATTGGAATCTGACAGTTCAGCCACTAGTCTCTCAAATCAGGATTTTTGTTCAAGTTATTTTTTCGCATCTTCTCTTTCAGAAAAGCCGCAACGCGGCTCTTAAAATCCTGACTCAGATTTCATACACAGTTTGCCGAGCTCAAATGTAAAATCAAAGAGAAAACCCGAAAAATGGGGATATTGAGGTCTACCCCCTTAAAACCGGAAGGCATAGGAAATAGTAGCACTGTGCTTGTTTTAACAACTGCTAGTACTACCTACTGTCTACATACTCAATTATCACATTTTTGAATTATAGAAGCGTCGGATAGAACTGGCCACTCGAGAAAAGGGAATTTACAATCCGCCAAGAAAAAGGAACGATTAAACTTGCACCAGTATTTTTCTTCTTTGGGCGATTTTAAAAAGAACCAAGATCCAACAAAAAAAGAAGAAATCAACGAAGAGAAACGCGCGATTTTTGAGACTTTCTGATTTTTGGTAAGTTCAAAGAGGAGCCATTATTTTCAATAATTATTAATTAAACAGATAATGTTGAATAATTAGCGCGTAGATACTGTGGTTAATTCCGTCTTTTGGGAAAAAGGATATTTCGTTTTGAAAAGTGTGAAATATACATTTGTTGGCGAGGAATCGTGTCGCCCGATTAATGATTTATTTTTTTATCTAGCACAGAGGACACAGAAAAGAAGGATGACGCACTTATTCAAGAGACAACTGATCATGCTCACCGTTTCCGAACTCGCTCTAGCAACCAGTTTAGAGGACATTTGCAAGGATGTTTATTGTACAAAGGCAAGTACACTTGTTTTACAAGAAGTTTCGTGGTGACCCCCTTATTTTTTGCGGGCTAGACTTTCTTTTTATCAAATAAAATAAGGGTGTCACTCTTTGCCCTAACTGCTCAAAATAGTTATTGTTCATGTTAGCCCTAACCCTAACCTCCTACCCTAATATTCAAATTACAGTGTTTCGAGTTGGTTTCAATATTCCGCCGTCCAATTCCCGCCTGCCAAAAACTGCTTTCGCTGAAAAACTGCTGCAGCCTAATTCTGAACGGAGCCGACGGCTTAGTCACCGTCCGCGCGTCTTCCTGCGTCGATTTATCCACCGCCAAGATCAAAGTTGGCAGCCAGGACGAACTCGGCGCCTCGAGGTAGAAAATAAATTGAGGAGCATCGAATTCAAATACTGTCTCTGCTCCAGCGCCAATTGAAAATTAATTTAGTGGTATTAGCGAAGACGACCTCTCGAATGTCATCTCTCAGAAAATCGATCTCTTCAGTAAGTACTTACTAAAACACAATTTCAAGACTTGAAATTTACTTCAATTTTTCATTTTGTTTATTGGATCATCATTTTAAGACCCAGACCAAGTGGAAGTCTGCGAGCTCAAACAAACAATTGAACCTGGTAAGAAGTTAAAATGGGAAACAAAATTTCTCATTAAAAATTATAATTAAATCCAAAAAATTATTGGCAATGAATTTTTTAATCATTAATATTTTTAGGATTACTTCTGCTCCTTTTTGGAGCCTCAATCATCGGAATGATCACAATATACAGTATTTATCTGTAAGTTACAGATAGGCAACCATGATTTTGATTTTATGAATTTCAGATTGAAATTTGGAAACTACAAGAAACGAAAGGATTACGAGCAGCCCTTGCTGAACTCGCCAAAGAAATAAAACTGCAAATTTTTATTCAAATAAACACACATTTTTTAAAAAGTTGATCGGTTTCAGTTTACAAAGAAGTGAGAGTGATTGAATAAGCTTGAGGCAGAAGATACCATTTTTCGGTTTCCATGTTGAATTCTTCGTTCACTAACTCAACAAACTCGTTGTTGTCTCCAAAATAAACGAAATCGTTGTAGCTGTTAAAACAGTCTTCCATCATTTCGTACGAAGCGTAGAATTCTCTATTTTCTGGAATTCTGATCTGAGAGCCGGAATGGTCGATCAAAGTGTTTTGGAGAACGAATTCGGAGTTTTCGATTCGGTCCAGCACCATTTGGTGGAAAAGTATTTCTCCGTTGCTGTTGAGATAGGCACCGGTTACAGTCAGGGGACGAGAGAAGACGAAGTTGCCATGGAGGAGCACTGAATTATAAATTATATTTTTTTTAGTTTTGAGTTCTTTACCTTGCTCGAAATCAAAATTGGTATTTATCGAGGGCATGATTCTGCTTATTTTTATAATTTGCCATCCACTTTGATTCAAATAAGTCCTGAATTTCAATCTTTTGAGAAGCAATTCGATTTCGTTCTTTTGAAATTTTTGTTCATCGAATTTCGGATGGAGATTAAAGCCAGCCAAACTCCGCGGATAAACCAGCATTGTCAGTTTTGTGAAGATTTTTTCGAGAGTAAAGTTATGTTCCATTTCCCAAGTTCCAACTTTCAAATCATTTTTGAACGCCCATCTCAAAAGCACCGAAACAGAAATGGGTACACAAAGATCGCTTTCTTTTTGGTTTAAAACATTCTTTGTCACGTTTTTGTAGTCGAAATTGATCTGTCTCGTCAGTTTTTGTTTCAGACTGGCCATGGCAGTTGATTTTGTCAAATTCGGATCGTCTAAGCAAAAATCAGAAGACGCGTTTTCACGAGAAATGATTTTTGACAAGTTTTGGATTTGTTTGGTGGATGGTCTTGTTTTGTTTGAGAGCCACTCAGCATTGCATACCTAAAAAGTATTTTTCTGATATAACAAGGAGACTGACCTCTAGTTCTTTTTTGATGGTTTCTATACGTTTTTCTTCGATTGGTTTGAACAGAAGAGTCCAGGCTGTCTTCCACTCGCAACAGGGGTCTGGATTCGTTTAGCGAATTCGCTCATGAGCGAAGCGAACCGAAGCTTTCGCTTTTTGTGATTTCAATTCGTTTCGCTTCGCTTTCGCTTTTTACCGAAAATTCTCGCGAAAACTTCGCTCAAAAGAACTCGTTCCCAGAAGTGAAAATTTTGCTTTTTTTGCTTAGCTATAGCTAAAACTCAAGTTAAAATTTTGCTTATTATTGAACTAAGCTTTGCATTGAACAGTTTTACTGTTTTCAAAGTAGCCAATATTTTGGGGAGTCACTTAATAGCGCCGCCTTGCGCCGCCTTGCGCCGCCCAGTCCTGCTTAAAATTTTTCTTCTCGAAGATTTTCGGCGTTTCAATGATGATTTTTTTCTGTTTTCTTATCAAAACGTTTATTCTCGTATATTTGAATAGTCTGACCACCAGAAAAAAGAAAACTAATAATTTAGGGTGTAATTATCGGGAGTCTAAATTATCTCCATATTTCGGCATAAAATCATCAATTTATTAAGCACGCGACGGGCCAAAGGCCCTTACGCGCGCATTTTCTGGTAGAGAACTCATGGGGTTGGCGGGGCCCAACTCTCGCTCTTGTTCCGATCATTTACTTTGGTCAGGATTTGGTCAGACGAGACCCGGTTTGTACCGCACCGGGCGGCGCAAGGCGGCGCTATTCAGTACCCCCCATATTTTGAGCTCGTTGAGCTGAGCTGTCCTTCCCGTAAAATCATTGAGCTGAGTTGACTCTTCAAAAAACTCACTCAGTTGATTTGAGCAAGGCAGTCCATATTGAAAATGATTGACATGAGCTGAGCCACACAACCTTTTCAGCTCACTTAAATCAGAGAGGGAGAACGAACGGAGTGGTCTCCCTTTTGCCTAAGTCGCTCTTTGACCAAGGACGGCGAATCGGACAATTGGCGATGTGTATTAAAGTTATATGATTGATCATATAACTTTATTTTATTGGCTTCCCCACAATCAATCCTGACTTCACCATCTTTAATCCCGGCTTCAACAACTTGAATCCTTGCTTTTCAGACGTCAATCCTGGTAGCTCAAACGTCAATCTTGTCATCTCCAGCATCAATCCCGGCTTCTTTAACGCCGATCCGGGCGTCATATATTTTTATCCTAGCCTCTAAGACGTCAGTTTCGGCTTATCAGTTGTCGATCACGGCTTCTCCGAGATTGGATTGACGTTGGAGAAGCCTATACTGGAATTGATGAAGCCGTGATTCACGTTGGAGAAGTAGGGATTAACGTCGATGAACCAGGGATTGACACTTGAAAAGCCATGACTAAAATCGGTGAAGACAGGATTGACGATGTAGAAACCAGAATTCACGATGGAGAATAAAATATCAATCATATTGGAGAAGACAAGATTGGCGTTTGAAGAAGCCAAGATTGACATTGGAAAAACCAAATAATGTTTCAATTAATCAAAATAAATTTATTCAAATCGCTGTTTGTTCAAGATCTCCGTTTCCCAAAGTTGGGTAAACAGCGACTCGGGCAAACGGAGACCACTCGTCCGAACGTCTGAAAAGCAAATAAAAATGAAATCGAACTTGAAATGGACTTGAAATGGATTTTTCAAAGGTTAGGAAGTACAGTAGATAATCCTCTAGTGGGTAGGTCACTTTATCGCGTCGCTACCCGTAATAGGATTCGGTGCCCTCCGCGCTCCTTCTGCAAAATAGTGGCAAAATAGGGCTCCGCTACCCACTACACTGTAGTGACTACAGGATTCGGCGCGCGCTACCCACTAGAGGATTATCTACATATTCTCTGAAAATTTCGCTTCGCTTCGCTTTCGCTTTTGAAATTTCGATTCGCTTTCGCTATAAATTTTTGAAAAATTTTCGCTATCGCTTTTCATTATTGGCCAAAATCCAGACCCCTGCTCGCAAAGAATAAAGATATGAGAACGAGATACATAATCTCCGTAGACTTCGCCTATTTGCTCGCCATGAGAAAAGGCAGGAGACCCAGCATCTACGAAAAAGTGATAGAACACAGCGAGCATTTTCAACAACTCCAACTCAAAACTTACATAAACAGACGCTACTTCTAAATTTGCTCCCTCTCCTCGCGAAACCCATCTTCTGATAACTTTCTCGACCTGTCCTTTCGTGAACAATGCTGAAATCGATCCATTTTGGTTCTCCGTCTTTTTCTGGTTTCTGATCGTAATGCTCAATTCCTATTTTCAATAAATACTCTCTTCCCTCTGTAACTCCAATCGCAATTTTCTTCCTCTCTTCCAAATTCAACTCGTCATTTTTCAATTTGCTTCTCAAATCTGAGTCGCATTTCTCCATAATCGTGATCCAGCCAAGACAGTCTTCTTTCTCCAAGTCGCTGCTCAAGAAGACTTCGATGTTGCAGAAATTTTTGATCACGTTTTTGTGAAAAGGTATCACTCGAGCGTCGTTCTTTTGGAATTCGGCGACTCCGTATTCTTAAACAAATGAAAAATAATTTTAAGAATAAAATTACCTTTCGAAAGATGAATTTTAAACTCCATCTCCTCATCCCCCGTAAACAGGGCCGGATCAAAAGCCTGAATGCGAACCGCAACATCTATTTTTCCGAATTTCTCTTTCAAAACAATCGCTTCTCCTCCAGCTGAAATTAATTCAAAAGATTCATCGAGAATCCATTCTCCGAGTTCTTCTTTTAATTCCGATTTTTGAATTTTTCGTCCTTCGAGGCCTAGATTTTTCGAAAGGATCATTCTTTGAAATGAAGTTATTCCCCATTCTTCCTGAAATTTGCCGCCCCATTTGTCAGATGCAAACACCTTTCCTTTTCCATGTTCGAAAATGACCTCGTCCCATTCAGCACATAAATCATCTTCAAACTGCATTCTGTCAATCGACAAAATCAACCTGTCCAAATCATCTCTGCTCGTTTTTCTCTTCAATTTCTTTTGAAACTCTTCCAGCCATTTTTCAACAGCTTCTCTTGTCAGTTCTTCTGGATGCGTCCGTACGTCCTCGTAATTATAAGACTCATTAAATTCTTGAGTAATCTTGTCCATTTTTTCTCTTCCAAAAGTGATGATTTCTCGAAAGACGTTAAAATAATTAACAAAAAGAAAAACAGTTATATTTTTGAAATGATGATCGACTCGCTGGTTTTACGCGCAAATCATAAAACTCTTTCGATTACGCTTTTTGGGTCAATTTTAACGATCTCACCGACGAGCAAAATGCGCTGATTATCGCCGACAGCGGTTCTTTTCGTTGTTGTCAACGACTCGTCGAGTCAGGCGTCAATCGCTAGAATCTTCGATAGAGCATAAATGTTTTTGTAAATGTTATTTTCAAGAAAGAGAAAACATGAGCTCGCGTCGAGAATCTTCCAAAAAGCACTTCCGCGATTCCTCTTCTCGACGAAGAAATCGTTCTCGTTTTCGACGTAGTCCTTCTCGAAATAGGACCAGAGGACCATCAGTGATGGTCCATCACCTAGAAAAAATGAAAAAAAGCAAGAAAATCGCCAGCTTGCAAGGGAGAAAAATGAAATAAAAGAGACGTTTTTGGACAAGAAACTCGAAGAATATTCGATAAAAGCGGACCCCGACGTGAGAGAAAAGACCGATATCTTCTCGGACAAATTCGACCCCATGGCGTTTCTTTACAGTGACGTGGATCCTCCGCACTTTGACCAGCAAGCACCCGCTGCCGATTGCGTCGAAATGCTGCTCGCCAAGTGGGATCGCGAAGACGGACTTGTAATAGGTACTCAATTACTTTAGCGGTCTTTGCTTATTCACTTTTTCCGAAAAGATGAAAACGTCGGAAAGAAGAAAAGAGGATGGAAGAAGGAGCTAAGAAAGATGGAAATCAAGACCAGAGATGTCGCAAAGCTCAGGTACAGTCGCCTGAAAAATTCAATTAACGATATCTACCCCCTTAAAATTATTATACTCTGTATTTCAGAAATAAATTGATTTTTTCAAATGAATATTCAGAGAGATGTCAAACGAAGCAAAAAGAGCAAAGCAAGAAGAAAAACTCAAAAATCAAAAACGTCAAGAATTCGAAGAAAACTCTTCGGACAGCGATGAAGTTGACTTGGACAAACTGGCTTGGAAAATGACCGGCGAAAGTCTCCCGCAGCAAAGATGGGAGGAGCTCTATGGAAGGAAAAATAAAGAAGACATTTTTGAAGAAAAGAAAATGGCGGGAAGAAGAAAATTTCGAAGATTTAGGAAATAAAGATACAATATTAGCATTTCTTCTGAAACCTGACCTGAATTATTTTTGTAATTAATTTTAATCCACTATTATTCGAATTGCGGCTACCACTGTTGCAAATAATAATAAATTAAGCTACTCAAATTTTATTCTTTTGCGATTTTTAGACAAGGAAGGTTGCAACTAGAATCGGTAGAGGACCAATTCTTCCGTAATATTGCTGGAATTGGTATGATACCAAACCCTTTCTCTGTTAGAGATTAGGATAAGGGGGCTGAGAGTAGCCAAATTGTCAAAAGAATTGGTCCCGTACCGGGAGTACTCGTTGCGGCGCTGGTCCCGCGAGTCTACCATCGCTCGTGACGCGGACCTCGACTTTGTAGTTCTTTTCGCCGATTTCTTTGCAGACAAAATCGCTGGGAATGAGACCCTCGAGAACTGCGAAAACTGCTTCTTCTGTTGGAGCCGCTTTCAAAACGAATAAGTATTTGGCAAAGAAAAGGGGATTCTTGTCATGGCAGGGTTGAAAATTTCGCGGAGGGTTGAAAATAGTGTTTACTAATTAAAACATTTTTTATTAAAAAAGTGATCATAAAAGCACAGATAAAGTGAGAACAGAGATTACACTTGTCGTCTTTTTATGATTGGTTTTATAAAAAAATCCATTTATGAGGATCAAATTTCGTCGATATAAGCCAAACGATGACCCCATTTTTTTCATTGAAACCCTACATGCAGAGTATTTCTTATACCTTCCGAAGGCCTTTTTGAAAATATGACACTTTTTTTTTGAATCTCAAAATATACACATTTATTCATTTTGTATTTACAGATTGTTTTCTAGTCTGCCGCATCATAAATAAAAAAAAATCAAAGCAGCTCGACGTTTGGTTTTTTCTGTCGAATGATGTCATCGCCAGAACCAGGAACTTTCAGGTTTCAATAAAAAGTCTTACTTCTACACAAGGTTGATGGAAGTTAAATTTCTAAATCGCTGTTTGAAACTTTACTGATGAAGCAAAATACTCGATGGAGTATGCTTTTGCAACAAATTCCTTTCCAAGCTCCAGGCGCCGGTGGACCAGCCAACAGCTTACAAGGAAACTTTCTAGGGATAGCCTGGTTCGCGTCTTTATCCGACTTGTTTTTCATGACTCTGAAAGACAATTATATAATCATTTTGATGATCAATGAACATGGAACCTGTGTAGAAAACCTGACTCAGGGTTTGGAAGATCTCCAATCAAAAAGCGCTACGCGGCTTGTATCAAAGATATTTCAGAACCCTGACTGAGGTTTTCGATACAGGTTGATTAGACTGTACTTGTTAGATTCTATTTTCCAACCTTTACTGTACTTAGCGCCTATTCTTTCGGGCACACACGTGTCTTCGCCCGCAGTAGCAGCCCGAAGCAACAGTATTGAATATTCCAAATGCATGAGTTCTGGTTAAATACTTAATTGAAATTGCCGGAGCGCAGTTCTAGCGCCTGAATATTTAAAAGCGCTCGCCCTAGCTACGTGTATACGGTTTTGTCTCGCTTCAATAAATTATATTCAGTTATCTTGCTGGCGTTTAATCTCATGACATAATGTTGCTCGCCATTTTAGGTACAAAACGCGGGGAGGTGTCTGGAACCGACAACTAATTTCGACAAATTTTGCGTCGGAATTTTCAACCAATCAGAAGCCTGGATTCGGCTTACCGGCCAATCAGGAGATGAGTAGCCGCCTACGCGAAATTTTTCGAAATTTTTTGTCGGTTCCAGACACCATCCCCAAAACGCGCCAGCCTGTGTAGAAACCTGAGTATGGCCCCTGAAAGAACTCCAATGTGAAGCAGTGTTACGGCTGTGTCAGCAACCTATCTAGAAAACCTGAGTCAGGGTTAACCTTACCACCACAAACGGGAATTTCACCCCCCGACCACAATGTGCCATATATGGCACATCGCCTTTATTGGCAATAAATTATTGCCCTCTAGAGGCTGTTTTATAAACCGAACCCGAGTCTTATCCTGACCCCGAACCGAAAGCAGACTCTGGAACAGAATTTGAGCCCTAATTCGAACTAAAATTCTAACCCAAACCTGAATAAAATTTCCCGAAAAAATGCAAAATTTTGCCGACTGAAGATATCCTACCGACCACAATGTGCCATATATCATATATGATATATGACACATCACCTCTACCGCCTTCTAGAGGCCGTTTTATTTGTCGAACCCGAACCTTAATCTAAGCCCAAGCCCAAATCAGAATCCGAACCCGAAATAAGACGCAGAGACATACCCAAACTCGAACCACAACCCAGAAAGTCAATAGCTTCTCCGGCGGAAAAAAGGCCCCCCGACCAAAATGTGCCAGATATGGCACATTTTGAATGCATTTGTGTGCCATATATGACACAAGTGTAGCGAAGCTAGATTCGCTTTTCTGATGCATTTGTAGCGAAGCAGCGGTCATTAAGGGTATACCACGTGAAAGGTTGGCGAAAAGTAGGGCCTAAAAGGGGGGTCGGCGAAATTCTCAAGTCAAGTTAAAAATGAGTTACGGGCCTTTTTATGCCTTGGTGCCATATATGGCGCACTTGTGGTCGTAAGGTTAAGAAGTGTTTTCGAACTCTGACTCAGGTTTTTAGACAGGTTGCCGAGGCAAGCTTTAGAATAATTAAGAAAATAGATTGAGATAGCGATTTTTGACTCAGCTTTCTACACAGGCTCTGGCGCCGAGGTTAGATAGGTATGAAAGTCGGATTGGAGAGTATGAATTGGCTACCCTGGTTCCTGACGGCGCACAAAATTCCGAGGAGAAAGAAGCAGATCATTATAAAAATGCGAAATTCGAACTGAAATTCATTTCGGAAGCAGGAATCGACTGGCAGTCGTCCGAGGATGTTTTCTCAAAGGGTCAATAACACACAAACATTTACTTGACTTATAATAGAAATCCTACTGTCGGACAATTTCTGAATTTTAAAAAAGTGCTCTTTGATCGACCCGGACCTTCATCGAGCCACAAACTTACCAGGCGTCAAAATGGAGTAATTTCTAATTTCTGGTAAATAAAGATAAATTCTAAGACACCAAAACTAGGTTTAACAGAGACGCTTTTGTTCGTCGAAAAAGCGTCCTGAACGTCGTGTGCTTTCCACTCGCAGCCTTCGAGAGGCGCCTTTTGGTAGATCATCTGGCATCCCTTGTCGCACTCGTTGATCAAGAAACTGCAGATTTCTGACTCGTCTTCTTTTAGAATTTTCTCGTACGAAGCTCTACGAAAAATAATCAAAAATGAAAAAAGGTCCAAAACTGGGCTCGGGAACCTGTGTAGAAATCCTGAGTCAGAATTTGAAGAGTTAAAATGTTTTTTGCGAAGCCGCTTCATTTCAACTCTTCAGAACCTAACTCAGGTTTTCCACACAGGCTGCCGAGCCTAGGTCCAAAAGCAATGGAATTTGATTCTGATTACGCTAAATATTCTCTAACAATTTATCTGAAGAATAATTCATCAAAAAGAATGAACGTAGGAAGAAAAGAATGAGTGCTGATTACCTGGTACAGATTGAACACCTCCTCCTCCGAAGCTCGTTCGTACAAATATTACCAAGGGAAAATTCTTTGACGGATTTACAAATAGAAAACTTGGCGAAGTTGCAACAAACCCTAACCTAACCGATCTGCTCTGACTCAGGCTGGGATCCGCAGCCTGAGTCAGGATCTCGAAGATCAAAGCGGCTTCGATTGATTGATGAGTTACTTGAGCCTCGATGCGGCTTTGTTTTCCAAAAAGCCGCTGCGCGGCTTTCTATGAAAAATCTTTTCGAGCTCTACATAGGGTTTTTCTACATGTTTCGGAGGCCAGGACTCAGGACTCTACAAAGACTCCCGACCCAAGTTTCGGAGAAAAACATAAACGTTTCTAAGTCTTCTTCGTTGAAGTTCAACTTGTCTCTTTGGAAAAGAAAATTGCGAATCCGCGGCAAAGAGATAAAGCAAAAAGAGTTTGGTACTCATCGGCGCGGAGAAGGGATGAAGCTCTGAGCGCAAAGTGCGGCGGCGAATGTGTTGAAGATCCGGAGTCCACGTCAACACAAAATGAAATCGCGTGATCAATATTCCAGTGGAGTCGATAGCGCCCGGAATGCATAATTGATCCGCCACTGCGTTGATTTTAAACTTTAACTTATTCGAATTTCAATTTAATCGATATCAAGGCGAAACGTAAATCAAAACTCGTAATGCGATTTGACACGATCAGCTTTATAAAACAGCCGAAAAACAAGAAACATTCTGAAAACCTGCTTCCTTTCCTGATCGTTTTCCTTAAAAACTTATATGAATAAGGGGCTCCTCATGCTAACGGCCGAGTTCCAATTTTAAGGATTGAATATTCCTCCAGACTTTGGAAGAATATCTGGTCTAATCTAGACTCCAGATTCTGGAGCTTTTATAATTGGGAGGTTCAAGAGAAATTAACCCGTTAAAATGGGGACCAATTTTTTCTTATGCTGAGCGAAAATCTTGATTGTTTGTCAAACGTTTTTTCCTTTTTATTTGAAGTATAAACACAAGGGGCGCAAATTACAGGGTCGTCAAGGGTATTATCATGTAAAGGGAATCTTCTGGAATGTACAGTACATATCTCGCTAAGCAAGGTGCTGGTTAGTGCTCAAAAGTGTCAATCTGGATGTTGCCAGAATTGCTGACGGCGGTTTTGAACGAATCTATTTTGGATTCAGCAATTTTTCGCGAAAAAATTGACTTTTAGAAGAATTGTTAATGGAATTGTTGTGAATCCATAACATTGTGATGGAGGTTTTCTTTTTCTCGCGCTGGTAGACGTTCTTCCCAAGTTGGAGCTGTTTGGCGGCTGAGCTCGAAGGAGCACCACGATTTTGACGGGCCACGTGGTCGAGGCGGTTTGAAAGAAGAACTGGCAACGATCTCGGGCCTGAAATCCGTAAAAAAATAGAAAAAATGACCTTAGCTTGCCTGAGTCCGTCGGAGGAACTTCGACCCTCCGCACGACGCATCCGGAGGACTTCTTTTGCGGCGCCGCTGGGACTGCAAAATTATTCACTGGCAGCGACTTCGGCTGCTCGTCGCTAATTTTAATCGGCGACAGGGACTCGTCCAAAGTCGGCTGGGCGATTTGGCTGTCGGGTTGGTACTTGAAGCGGAGATTCGGGTCGACTATCTTTGTCGACGTTCGCAGCGGCGTCGCTCTCGTGATGACAGGCTCGGGCGATGGAATGCGGAAGTCGGTTGGGACGAGCTCGATCGTGTCGTCTACTTTTTGATGAAGTCGTCGGTTGTCTCCCCGATATCGTACGCGTTCGCCAGCTTTTAAAGGGTACAAATAAAAGCCCTAATTACAATTTTACCTCTTCGCCGTCATTCATCGTATTATCGTCGCTTTCAGCATCAGAATCTATCCTGAGGATCTGCACGGGCGTAATTGGCGAGTCCAGCTCCTCAAAAGTCATAGGCTTGTCTAAATATCGCGTGTTGGGACGCATTCTGAAATCAAGGAAGACTCACCCAAACCATTAAAGCGCGGAGTTACGAAGGGACGGGCCGGCATACTCGTCGCCAGCGCGGTTTTCCGTGGCGACTCGATCGAGCTAAATCACGTGATTAATTTTAAGCCGTCGCGTGATGGCGCTTTCAGCTCTATTTTTCAAAGGAGCGGTGGGAACCGTTTCCCACGACGAAATATTTTACTTCAAGTCCAATGGGAATTGTTCGAGTGAGAAATTTCTTGCACTCGATTATTTTTAAGAAAACCTAAAAAAACTGAGTCCGAGTTAGAAAGATTTGTAAGCTTTCCGCCGCCACGCAGACTTCCCTGACTCAGGCCTTCTACACAGGTTGCCGAGCCAAGACTGTCAAGCCTAAGACTATCAAAATCTACCTTGATCTTTTTGGCTGTCTCCCGCTGCTAGCAGAGTACACCGATCGTTGCGACATTCTCCGCCGCTCGGCCATGGCCGTCGAGGGTCGTTTCGGCGTGTTTGAGACTTCCGCTGAGCGGCTGCGTCGTTTTTCTTCCGATTTGCTTCAGCGCCTCCACCAATGTACTGCAACAGTTTCAGTTTGTTTCGGAGAAATTAAAGCTACCTTGGAAGTGAAAAGCGGAGAAAGCGGCCGCTGCTCGAGGTCGCCGCTAATGTCGAGTTCGCAGTTCTCGTCGGCGAACTTGTCCCACTTGTACAAGTGCTGCTGGTGCTTCGTCGATGATTTCATCCATTCGAGCATATCCTCTCCGTCCTGGCAGGCGATGACAACGTCGTGTTTCGCGTTTTTCAAGCCAAGGGCATACTGCCGTCTTTTTAAAAATTCATTATTTGAGTCATTTCATCGAAGTCAACATTTCCCCATTTTATTAGGTGTTCACGGGGGGTGTCCACATTTTAACGGATTTTAGCTCTAGGTTCGCTACCTGTGTAGAAAAACTGAGTCAGGATCCTGGAAGAGCTAAGCTTTTCATAAGGGCTCTTTCAGGACCCTGACTCAGGTTTTTCACCCAGGTAATTCAACAGCCAAGTTCTTGTTGGTTCGAATCCGTTAAATTGGGAACACTTAAGAAATATCGTGACTCACCTTCTATCGGATTTCTTGATGATTAGGTCTCCGGTAAAAGGGACTTCCAGGATGACTTGTGATTTAGATCTTGGGTCGATTTGGCACTTGAAGACTCCATTCTTGAGCGAAGCCCAGACCATTTGCCAGGTGCCGCTTTGCTCCTTCCAGAGGTGCACGAAGCCCTCATGAATAATTTCCTCGAATACGGATATCCTGCTCAAGTGGGACTCGCCACGTGCCTAGCATTAACTATTCACCAGCTCCACGTGTTACTCAGTTATCACCCTCTTCTCAGCGTTTTTTCAATGATTCTACTTATTATCTCTTTGCGGGCTTTTTACAGAGAATGCCGAGCCCAGATTTCGGAAACTTCCTAAATCATAATTAAAATTATTTGTAGTCACGTGTTTCGAATCCTCTCCTAGAAGCGCAGCAATCAACAGTGCCATAAATTCGCGGAATCTTGGGAGCACTGTCTGTCGGCTCAAGAATATGCGTTTGCATCCGACTCGTCAAATCTTTCTTCGTGAGCTTCGCCGACGCCCATTTCGAAAACTTCGCAGTTGGCGAAACTGAACCACGAATTTCAGCTGTCATTTCTTACCTTCCATTTACCTGAAGAGAGTTTTTCCTTGAGAGTCAAGTCCATTCCGTAAAAGTCGAGGAAGAGCTCGAAATCGGCGGCTACGTTTTCAAAGTGCAATTTCGTCGGAATCTTCAGTTCCGTCACGTCCTTTCCAAAAGTGAAGAGTTCCGAGTCTTTGACCATCGATCCGATCTTCGCCACAAAGAAACACGCTTTTCTGTAGCTCGTCTTTTTCTTCTCCTTTATATTTTTAGCGCTCATGAAGAAGAGGAGGTCTGGAGCTAACCTGTGGGATGAAAGGAACGCACAAATCTTCGAGGACGATGTCGGCGCCGCATTCTTTGTCGACGGATTTGTTCCAGTTGCTTCTGATCGCCGAAGCGCGCAATTTCGCCGTCCACGAGGTTTTGATCGCCTGGAGGCGCTGGCTCTCCCGCGTCGAGTTTTTAGAAAGCTAGAAAATCCAAAAAATAATCATAAATCAATCACATTTAACTTGTCGTAGGCACTTTTCGTGATGGCAAATTTTATTAATCAGATTAAATTTTATTAATTCATTTCAATGATTGGGGGTCTATTCATCGACTCAGCCATCGTTTTCTAGCCAATTAAACAACTACGGTCCGGGCTCGGCAACCTGTGTAGAAAACCTGAGTCAGGTTTTGAGTAGCTAAAATGAAAGGCGGCTTCGCTGATTTTTAAAATATATGATAGTGATTGTGTTGCGGCTTTTCATTTCATTTCTTCAGAACCTGACTCAGATTTCTTACACAGGGTAGCAACATGTGATTAAAAACCTGAGTCAGGATTTGAAAAGACTTTGATGAACACTATTTGCTTCATCAGCTTTGAAAATCCCGACTCAGGATTTCAACACAGGTTGCGAAGCCCAGCCTTGGATAACTGTAAATTTCCAAATGAAGACTCTACAGTGAATTTCTACTGTATGAAATTATCAAGATCGCCTTTTTTTACCTTCAAAAGAGCTTCAGAAACACGAGTCTCTCTCAGCAGAGCCGCTTCTTTGGTGGTTTCACTCATCAAGAATTCGAAATTGAAACTAGCTTCTCATAAAAAGTAAAACGTGAAATGAGCTTCTTATGAAATGAAAATCTCCCTGTTTGAGATGGAGAGATTTGTGTGCCTTTTTTGAAAGGTGCGCGCTGATGCGTAATTGGCCAAATAAAACGTTCTGAATAAAATGGGAAACGAACCAAACTAGGGTCGCCCACCTTAACTCCGCTAGGGTTGACCACTGTAAAATTTAGCTGGGGCCTAGGCTTGGCAACCTGTGTAGAAAACCTGAGTCAGGGTTCTAAAAGTGCTTTGATTTAAGCCGCGTTGCCGCTTTTTAAAAAACTAAGCTGCGAGGCGACTTTTATCAACGCAACTTCAGAACCCTGACTCAGGTTTTCGACACAGGTTGCCGAGCCCAGACTTGTTCACCAGGGGTTGGCCTTTGTCCGTCTTTAACGATCAAGCTTCTTCTGACTCAGAACTTCTGAGGACTGTCGTCAAATTGACATTGTCAAAAAACTACAATATCATTCTTTTTATAAGTTTGATTTTATTGACAGCAGTACAAAATGACGTTCAGGGCATCCAAGAAAGCTTTGCTCCGAAATGCTCTTCAAAGTTCTGTTTAGAATTTTCGAAATTTCAAATTAGCATAATCCAGCAGAAATGCGATGAGTTAATATTTTATTATTCAAGAATTTATTTTAGAAATTTTTTTCAAAAACTCGGCATCCTTTGCACAAAACTTGACTCGTGGCCTGGAAGATTTTTAATGGAAACTTTCCATTGGAAAGGCTTAGACGCGGCTTTTTATCAAAGATCTTCCAGACCCTGACTCAGGTTTTCTGCAAAAGTTTCCGTGCTCACCAAAGGTCGGGCTTACTGAAAAGTACAAAAATAAAATGTTCTGAGCTCAGGATTCCAGTTTTGATTTAAATAAGATTCGAAAATCTTTTCTTGGAGAAGGGCTTGTAGAAATTCGTCAGTAATTCCGCGCTTTCCCTGGACATAGATTTCTTGCCAAGTCCAGTAACTCCCTTCGTGGCTGGCATACAGTCGACTTCGCCGCTAGAATCGTAGCTTGGATACTTGTTCCCGCTTCCGTCTTTCTTGATACAGTAGAATCCGTCTTCTCGCTGCTTGAATCGCTCCTTGGTGAAATACTTGTCCAGTCCCATCACGCTCGTCGCCTTGTCCAGTCCGATCCAGGGCGCCGTCTTCAGCTCGTTTCCGTCGATGAGGATGAATTTCGGTCCAAAAAGGCGATCGAGCTCGAAAATGTCCGAAAACATTCCTCTGATGAACATGTACTTTTTCGGGAATTCAAACTTTGAATTTCAAAGTACTCAAAATTGATTTCTCGGTAAAATAATTCATTAATTATCAATAATTATCATAAAGTAATCGAAAACAATTGAAATCCGCTCGTAAAGAGGAAACTGCTTCCATTTCTCCGGCTTTCCAGTTTCGAAAATCTCAATCGCCTTTGGAAGATGAGTTTTCACCATTTCGTCAAAGGTCAAATTCGCGAAGGGAAACAAGAAGGAGTCCTTTTCGAGCCACTCGACGCTTCCGTGCCCGTCGGTCACGTGGACAAAGTCCGACAAAAGCCGCTTCACTGGATCGCAAATCACCGATATCACGTAGACCTCGCTAAATTAAATTAATCAAATTATTCTAAAAATATTCTACCTTGGCCACTTATCAAGCGGCGGCTGGATTTGGTGCAGAAATGGGACTTGTTCCGCGGCGGGCTTTTCGTACTCTTTTTTGACTTTTTGAAGAAAGTCCTTGATTCTCATTCCAGCTACGCCTAGCCTGGGCTCGGCTACCTGTGTAGAAAACCTGAGTCAGGGTTCTGAAAGATGATTTACGTTCCAATCTATTTTTGGATTCTAAATCTTCGTCTTTTTGAAAAAGCTGCATTGTCAAATTTCATTATAGATCCTTCAGGACCCTGACTCAAGATTTCTGCACAGGTTGCCGAGCCCAGCGCCTAGCTGAGACTTTGTCACTCGAATCTGTCGCCTAGAGAGATCCTCGCCGGAGTCAGCCCACTTGAATTTGCCGAGATAACCGGCCAGTTCAGCTCTTTGCGGGGCGCAGAATAATATAATAAATATGATTTCCTTATTTTTTGAACCCTGCCGTGAAATTTTTATTGCCGCGCAACTGGAGCTCGCTGTTTCTGCCGATTATATCTGGGTGGTGGAGGAGAAAGAATTGGAGCGCCTTATTCTGAGCTCGGAAACCTGTGTGGAAAACCTGACTCAGGGTCATGAAAAAGTTTTATTGAAAAGTCGCTTAGCGCTTTTTTTAAAAACGAAGCTGCGATGCGGCTTTCTCAGAATTATTTGGCTATTCAGTAAAGGCTCTACTGTAGAGTTCTTTCAGGTCCCGTGACTTTTCTACACAGGTTGCCGAACCCAGGACTTGGTGCCGCATTTTTTCTCGCCAGAAATGATCAAATCCGGGAGTCTCAGATTTCCGCGTTTTTGAAAGTTGGCAACGTCGCGCTCGTCTTCTTCGTCTTTGATCGCGTATCTTAGTTTCAGCAATTAAAAATCAAGAAATGCTAAATTTACTTTTTCTTCTTGGAGGCGATCATTTTCCGCAAAAACTCTTTTTCAACTTGCGTCTCTTTTTTGAGCATTTCCGAGCTGATCTCTTCCTTGATCGCGCGCCATTCGTAAATCGACCTTATTTTCAACAAAACGCCAAAAAACGCAAACGCGGTGATCCAACTCTTTTTAAATCGCATTTTCTCCTCCAACATAAAATTTATCCGCCAGACTTGAGGGTTAGGAACGACCTTTAAACAACCGGCCCGCAAGTGAAATTTCATATTCATTCCGCCAACAATCACAAAAGAAAAAAAAAACAAACTTTTTGAGAAAGTTTTTTTTTAATTAGCAATTGTTACTATACTAGACAAAGAGACTTTTGAGGGTACATTTTTAAAGAGTCCTTTATTGATAAGCTTTGAGCCGCAAGTAGAAAAGTACAAAAAGAGCATTCCAAGATAACTTAATTCAAACCGACTTTTCGCGGTGTCGGACAGCGCTTCGTTTGCCTCCTTCCAGGGTTTCGATCGCGGCAGCCTTCGTCAACGTAAGCTCTTCCACCTATGCACTTTCTGTTTCTCCAAATGTTTCTGCCTCCATTTTCCTAAGAATATTTCCATTAATCTTTTTTGATTTCAAAGCGCTGCTTACCGCAACGCAAGCCCTGTTCCAAGCACTCCACTCGCTCCAAAACGGTCCAGAGCCGCATTTTTGAGTTTCTGTTACTGGCTCGCCGTCGTATTCCATCCTTGATTTTAGATTTATGCGGTTTTTCAATTAAGCTCTTCAAAGCCTGACTCAGGGTTTCTACACGGGGTAGCGTCTAGATTCTAGAACCGACAAAAAAATTCGACAAATATTGCGTGGGCGGCTACAAGTCTGCTGATTTGCCGGTTTGCCGAATTCAGGCTTCTGATTGGTTGAAAATTTCAACACAAAATTTGTCGAAATTTTTTTGTCGGTTTCAGACACCTCCCCTTCTACATAGGTTGCCAAGCCCAGGTTTTTACTCAGGGTCTGACTCAGGTTCAGAACTTGACCCAGAGCCTGACTCAGGGTTTCTACACCGTTTGCCGAGCCCAGTGTCTGGTCCTACCTGCAGAACTTGTTCTTGATGCTGCCTCTTTTGCAACAAGTTGGGCTTCTCTGCTTTGTCCCGTCTGTGCAATATCTGTAGCGAGTCCGCGTTTGTCCAGTGAATCCGTCGCAAGAGGCCTTGTCCCAGTTCGACCAGGGTCCGTAATAAGGAGCTTTTTTCTCCGCGATTCGTTTCTCGCAAAATTTGCCTTGGAAAGGATCTTTGCAGATGCAGGAAGGAGTGGTTTGGCACTTAACAGGAAGTTACAGTCAGCTCTAACGGCGAGATCTTACTTCGTCAGCGTAGCACTGCGCACATTGGCCGCCATTTTTGCAGGGGCAGTTGAAAGTGGCGCAGTTTGTGCCGCTAAAGTACTTTTTGCATTTACACTTGAAGAAGGGCGCTCTATCGATGCTGCTGCAGCCCTCGGCGTTTCCTCCCACAGTCCCTTTCTCGTTGCACGGCGAGTCTCGATAGCACCTGTCGCTGTAATCTGCTCCGTTCGGGCAATCGCCGCAAGTTCGACGACACTGAGTTTGGGCTCTCAAACCTGTTCGAATATCAATCAAAATAAATTATTCCTCAGCAAAAAGAATTTCCGAAAAGCTTCTTAGTTTTATGCGCAGATTGATGTGCCCTGTCCTGGACAGTCTTGATGTTTAAAACGCTGCATCGGCCTTGTTCTTTCAGACTCTGGCAGTTGTCAATCTTGTCAAAGCAGCTTTCTTCTTGAGCAAAAGCGGCAGCTAACAAAATCGAGTTAAATAGCCTCATTCGTCGATTTCGATTATTTCTGAATTTCTCTGAATTTCCGAATGAAGCGGCAAATAAATTGTATTTCAATCGGGGAGATAACTTTTGAGCTGCGACTAATTGCCCAATTTTTAGTTAGAACATCCAGCACTGAGGATGAGTATAAAATTAACGGAGCTCTTTAGGGGGCAAATTATCGGCCACGTCATGTTCCACTTCCGCCCGTTCAATTCTCAGATAGAAATTGGATTTTTCGGGGAATCAAAGTTTTTTAATTAAATTTTTGCATCAATAAAACCAAGTTTAAACATGGGCCATGTTACATGGCCAGTGCGCTCGTGAGAACTGGGGGACAGTGAATTGACACAAATGGTGACGAGTTGAAGCACTTGGGGAGCAGGGACTGACACTTCCAAACTGTAGCACACTGTACACATTCTCTTAACAAAAGTATCTACACGCGTTCTCTGTCAACTGACGTAGCTATTTCGCAAGTCATCATTTTCTTAATTTCGGGCGTTTCAGTCTCTTTTTCAATTGCGGACCTTGAAAAATCTTAAGGGTGTCACCCCGAAATATTTGTTTTAAAAAGTCATTTCAACATGAGTGGAAAACTTGATGGAGCCGCCAAGCAAAGTCAAAGATGATATTCATCCATTTGAATTGAATGGTAAGAGAGTCACTTTGAGAATGGCCTCAAGAAATCAGCATTTTGGAGATTAGGGGTGCTTTAATATGATTGCGCGGCCATAAAGCGACAGCGCTCGCGTCAGGATTTGTTTGGTGTGCAGAATTTTGGAGGGAATTTCGTTCGCTCCTCAACCATTTCACATCTCCTTCTAATATAATCATTCCAGCGACAGCTCCTACTCCAGAGAAGAAGAGATCAAAGAAAATCCACGGGCCCTGTGGGTACCCTCGTCAGTGCAGTCAAACAGGTAAACCAGGAATCGAGGAATTTTGAATAAAATAAGAAAAATATGAGATATAAAAATCATGAGAGAAATCATAGAAGAGAATTGGTTCTCAGGTAAGTCTCCTAAAAAAAAAGAAAGACATGTGAATGTAAAATTAAATATGAAAGGGTGCTAACTGTGCTGAACAACCTGTGCGGAAAACCTGAGTCAGAGAGATGAACCTGCTTTGCGGTTTTTTAAAGCGCCAGAAATTTCATCGATTCAAAATTCTGGCGAAAAAGTACCTCTTTCGGGACCCTGAGTCAGGTTTTGTACACAGGTTGCTGCACCGAGAGACCAATTTTTAGCTTGCTGATTTTTCTAGCTTTAATTGGAAATAAAGATTTATATAAAATTGCGAAGCTCATCTATTTACAGTAGCTGATTGATAGTCAAGGTAGGATCGGCAATAACTGGTTTGGTAATCAGTGGAATGCCACTGTTTGGAGTTTACTAGAACGAAATAATGTCCAAAATCGCGATAGTGGTTGACTGACTGTGGCGTTTTCGTGTCACTTTGTTGTCGGCATGTACACAGCGGGCGCTTAGAAGTGGAAACATCAGGGGCATCGAGAATAACTAATTTGGGACTTGGAGTGGAGATACAACAGTTCACTTCAAATAAGACTAGAGATTAACATGCTCGAGTGCTTTGGGTAATGTAAAACTCTTCTTTTCGAACACTTACAGATTTTTAACGCTCCGCCGCATTTCAAATCATTTCAAGAGGCTGTCCCTTCAAAAAGATTCATTTTTGTTGTCAAAGCTTTTATTGTTGTGGAAAATAGGGAGCTTCGATTTTATCAGGCAAATTCTTCTGGGTTGTCACCATTTCAACGGATTATTTTCTAGTAGATCCAGGCTTGTCACGTGACAAAATTTCAAGAAAAAATCCGACCCTCTCGAATCAAACCCCTAAATTGGAGTCCTTACAGAGACATTCACCTGTAAAAATTGGGGCCCCCTATCTTGTCATCATTTTCCTAGTCTTGTGACCGTAGAAAAAACCCCCTTAGTTGCAAAGTAGATTTTCTTTCATATTTTTGACTTCGAAAAATCTGGTGACCGTTTCCGGGAGCAGCTGAGTTGCACCGGAGCTCGTTGTCTTGTCAGTTGAGCTAATACTCTTTTTTTCTTGGCGGATATGAGCGCTCGAAGGCCAATAAATTATCATTTTTTCAATTTGGCAAACAAAAAATAATTGTTTCATTCCCGTAAAAACTCCAATTTTGCGATAAATATGTTTTTGCTTACTTTCCAGAATTGACGCTTTCGACAAAATTGGCGAATGAATAAAATTTATTCAAGTGTTCTGCGGGCAACTACGACCGCAGGGAACTCGAGGACATTCTCACGTTCTCTGGATTGATGCTTTCTAAGTTCGTGAGAGGGTCAAGGTCGCCATTTTTTGCATAAAAAATTCTATCGAGTGAAAATTTCGGCTCCGCTGCTTAGCTAGGCAATTTTTAAGTTTGGCGTAAATTATTATTATTACTTAGCGCAGATCATATTGCCAATATGATATTGGCCAAATGAAAATTAAGCTCAGCAGGCCAATTTTTACCAAAGCTAAATTGGCTTCTTCGAAAGATTATCAAGCTAAGCTAAACATAGCAGACCCATTCGTCTAAATGGCTAAGTTGAGCTAAACTTGACCCGCAGCTCTTGTTTGACCCATTTTTCTTCATTTTTGATTGAATTTTGGCTGGGTCAACATGCGTTTAATAACTTCGCTGAAAAAGTCGACCGGGGTATTTTGTGAAAATTATCACTTCTCGGCGGAAACGGTAAATTACTTTTCAAAATGCCAAACGCATGTTGAATTTCAGAGCAATTGCCCTTGCGACTCAGACAAGCTACAGTCTCCTTTTTTAGACTCAGAGTTTTCCGAAAAAAAAGAAGAGGCGGAAACGGATGGCGTGAGTATTATTTTGAACTAACGGATCAAAAGGGAGTGTTTCTATGAAAAGCGCCGCCTATTTTCATTTCTGACATTCTGATTGGCCGATTAGGGTTTTTGAATTTTTGAAGAGCGCCACCTAGGTTTGGGCTCGGCAACCTGTGTAGAAAACCTGAGTCAGGGTCTGAAAGATCTAAAATTAAATGACGCGTGGCGGCTTTTTCAAAAACGTAGCCGCGAAGGGACCCTGACTTAGGTTTTCTTCACAAGTTACCGAGTTCAGACCTAGGTTTGGCAAGATATAGAAACAGGGTTTCTTATTGGTTTAAGCGGCTTCCGAATTTCCAGAAGGCGTTTGCACTTGAATTTGACTGGTCCCGGATTCGAAAACTGATGTGGTCTGGGAGTATCTGTTGGGAGTGACAGAAGCGTGACGGAAATTGCTCTCAATGTCGAGATTTTTTAATCTGAAAAGTGCGATAGTGTCTCCGTCCGACAGGCAGCTGGCGACCTTGGCGGCGCACACTTCTCTGACCAGAGATACAGTTTTCCAGGCTTTATGAGAAACTAATCGCTTACCATTAAAAAAGCAAATGGCAGTCCGTGCATTTGGGGTGCGCGGCTATTTCCGATTTAGCGAAATTCGCTCAAAATAAAAAAAAGGTCACACTCGAGTTTTTTGAGAGTATTATTTCCAACCGCAGAGAAGCTTCCTTTCTGCAGAAAAACTAGGTACAAAAATTTACCTCTTCAGTTAGGATTCACTTTATCGGCGTTTCCCGCAACTGAAGGAGACTTTGTTCTAATTGAAATAAGGTAGACAAGAAGAATCGGCAACCCTACTCAGCTTGCCGAGCCAAATCAGTAAGGAAAAACAAAAGCCGCGCTTTTCTCGGCTTTTCGAGGCCGCGAGCGGCTTTACGATTTTCAGCATAGAATCGAATGATTGAAGGGTATTTTGATAAGGCGTCGTTATTCGTGTTTCTCTTTTGTTTATCGAACAGGTAGCTCAAGCAATGTCCGGAACTTGCTCCTTGATAAGGAGCTCTCAACTGATAGAATCAGATCTTTATCGCCCGTGCAAATATTTTCCCCGTTGGCCTTAATCTTCGGGCACACACTTTCTTGTTAGCTTACAAGCCATTCCGAGAGCAACTCCCAAGTGCGACGAAGATTTAAAAAAATGGCGCTTGTTCAACCTTTTCGCCCAAATCAAAAATGCAAAAAACGCTCCCACTCACTCGTTGTCGATCTGTTAGGGTAACGTACGCCTTCTTATCTACTGGGCTCGGCAACCAGTGAAGAAACCCTGAGTCAGGTTTTAAAGAGCTCAAATCAAAAGCCTCGTAGTGGCTTTTTTGAAAAAGGAGCCGCAAAACGGCTTCGCTAAAATCACCATCTTTATCTTATTTATTATTATTGCGGCTTCGTATTCAAAAGAGTAGCTACGCGGCTTTTTTATTTGTCCTCTTCAAAACCTGACTCAGGTTTTCTACACAGGTTGCCGAGCCTTGCTTCTTTACGATGTCTCTTTTTTAACGGATTTGAATTTTAGTGGATTTTTTAGCTCAAGGCTTGTTTTTTATGAATATTCATTCCGTTAAAATGAAGCAAAATTGTTTCATTTCATTCCACGGGCGAGTGTATCTTTCGGCAGCTGTGCCTTGACAGACAGTTTATTTTGGGATCATCTTCTAGCTTTTACCGGGATTTTACATTAGTTCAGCGCGCAGTTTTGCCAAAAAATTATGGCCAGAGCTAACGCAAAAGATTCGAGTCTTTTTTTGAGCTGAGCGAAACTGAGCGGAGCGGCGAAACCATTCCTGACTCAGGGTGCTAAAAGAGCCTTAGTAGAAGCCGCGTTGCTTTTTCAAAAGCCTGACTCAGGTTTTCTACCCAGATTTCAGAGCGCGCTTTTGATCTGAATGGTGAGTTTTTTGGTAAAAAAAAAGAGAGAAAGAGAGAGTTGCTGATTTTTGCGAATCAAGCTCTGGATGTATCAAACAGCGAGCGTGTAAATTTGGCGAGCGTTTTTACGCAGGTGGCCCTTCCGATTGCCATTATAGCGGCCCTTGAAGCTTATATGTGCCTCGAGGTGTGGCAACAGAAATTATGTCTTCCTCGTGAAGAAATGCGCTCTCTTATCTGAGCCCACAGTCGCCCCTCACGAGTAGAGTTGAACAATTTTTCGGATTTCTAATTTGCGCGAAATAGAGAGTATAATTTTGATGGAGATTATCGACGAAGGATGTGGTGACTACGCCGCCCTCAATGACAGGTGACTTCCTCGAGCCACATTTTCGCGGAAGGGATTTTATGATTTCGTTATACACGATCACGAACTGACGTAACCAGTATTGAGAAAGATTTCCGCTCGTCGACTCCTCGAAATCCATTTTTTTCGAAAATTTCGTTAAGAAAGAGAGACTCCAGGGATTGTGACACAACGTTGCATTTTCCTCGCTGTTCCAAATAAAAGACTTGACTGAAGTGAGTTGAGACTTTGGAATATTGGCTTGTCGTTTTTTTTCGAATTATTTAGGCCATTTGAAACTTTTAACCCCCTGACGCGGCGAGTGCCATGCATGCACCCCCTCTTTGCCTACGCAAGAACCCCGTCTATGATTGATTTAAATCATGAATCCTATCTTCCGATTGTCTACTTTTTTCCCCATGTGGAGAGCTTAAGAGATTAGTCTTTTTGAAATTCTATTAGAAAAGTCCGGCGAAAATTGAAGATATTTGACGAAAATTGTCATCTTCGGTGTAAATTCTATGGAATCTAACTTATACTAGTAAAAGGTCGGCAACCTGTGTATAAAACTGAGTCAGGGTCCTAAAGGTCATCAATGACAATTCGCATTTCGTATTTCAAATGCGGTATTTGCCCTTTCTTCGATTTTTGCAGGACCTTGACTCAGGCTTCTACACAGTTTGCCGAGCCCATCAAAGTACTAGAGGGAAATCGAAGAAGGAGCTTCCTGAATGCGTAAAAATGATAAACGCGGCGGTTGAAGTGCGCCGCCCTGCATGTGGCGACGCGACCTTTCCGAATGAAACGATAACATAATGAGCCTCGTTCACCTTCTATTTTCAGATTTTCAGACCACTTGAAAATCATGATGGTCACTTCGATGTTCCGCGCCTCAGAGACCGAACCGCTCAAGCCGCTGCGCAGAAGGTCAAGTTCCTGCAGCAAGTAAGTTATTTATCCGTTCAAATCGGAGTTCTGAGACTTCTGCTTCGAATCCAGTGTAGATAACCTGAGTCAGGGTCCTAAGAAGGCTCGAAAAAATAGCCAAAGCTTTGCGGCTTTATTTTTAATTGAGCTCTTTGGAGAATCTGAGCTAGGTTTTCTACACAGATTACCCAGTCAAGTCCAGAAATCGTCTCATAAAAAATTCAAAGAATCATTTTTGCCCACCTTATTGGTCAAATTTAAATGCAAAAAAGGACCCCACTACTCTGAAAGGGCACACCCCAGGAAGCAATAAAAAAGGTCGTCTTGCACAATCTTGGGAAATTTGGCTGTATTTGGAGTTGATAATGCATGAAACCGCATAAAAATTAGCCGCCCCATAAAACTCGTAAAATTTTCGTGTAATGTGGTTTGATCAGGAAATGGTCTTTTTATTTATTTTTCTCATCGCCAATTTCAATTTTACTAGATCATCTTTGGGGTTAAATTTGTGGCCCGTTTTTGATCCGTTAAAATGGACCAAAATGGAATATCGCTTCAAGTTCAAGCTGGCTTATATGTCAACTAATTCTGGACTTGTTATTTTTATCGGAAAGCAGTTTATTTTCGCCTGGGCGATAAATAACTTCATAAATCGGAATCCAATTTTGTACTTTACCGGAGGCGGGCGAGGATTTACGCGCAACAGTCCACCAATTTGAGCTGAAAGTAAATTTAAAAAATCGATTTGGACGGGCGGTTCCGGTGCGCCAGTCGCCATTACTTTCCTCGCAGACTCCAAACAACTTTTTTAATTTCTAAAATTGCCATTTCAAACAAAGCAACATTTCAACTTTATATTTTTTCGTTTTTTTGATGAATGATCGAAGATTTCAGCCTCTACGACAGATTCGATGCTAATCTTATTTCAACTTTCCGGTGAGTGACTTGGAGTGAAATCAACGAAGAGAGCCAAAGACCCGCACTCCTGCCTCGGCAACCTGTGAACAAAACCTGAGTCAGGGCCTGATAGACCATAAATGAAAAAATCTTATAAAAGATTTGAATGATAGTTTCGCTCTAAGCGGCTTCTTTTAGATCCTGACTCAGGATTCCTGAGTCAGGTTGCTTCAAAACTTTTCAAGAGCCTGACTCAGGTTTACGACACAGGTTGCCGAGGACACGGTGGAAATTTTGAAAGAACGCGAAATTGAATTTTTCTTATCAAAGTTTCGCCTCCTTTGAAATAATTTCCATTCAAAAAAATTTAAATAAAATAAAATTTATTTTATTTCAAAAAAATATTTTCAGTTCGTAAAACAGACTTTGAAGGCAAAAGTCTTTTTTATTAAAAAAAGAAAGTTTATTCGAAAATTTCTGGAATTTTTTCGGAGAAATAAACTTTTAGAGTTCTCGTTTTTTGAAAAAGCCCTTTTCGCGAGAAATAACTTTGATTTAGGCTGAACCAGAATCAACGAAGAACTTCGCTTTTACGGCCAACGAGAGATCGTCGCGATTCTATTCTCATTGCTGACAAGAAACATAGCTTTTCGTTTCACGGATCACGGCGGAAATCGCTTTCGACATCCGATCTTCCTGGACAGGTCAGTTTAGCTACTTTTTTATTCATTTCGGAATGATTTGCCTGCCTCTCGGCTTGGCGACCTGTGTTGAAAACCTGAGTTAGATTTTGAAGAGCCAAAATGAAAATCCGCGGCTTTTTTTATAATGAAGCCCCCTTGCGGCTACGATTTCGTTTTGGCTCTTCAGAACCTGACTCAGGTTTTCTACACAGGTTGCTGAGACCAGGTCCGCCCCAGATCTTTGTAGAAAAGTCGGATAGCGGCTAAAAAAATGATTTGAAACAAAATCAAATTCAAAAATTGGAATTTGAGAATTATTAGCGCCATTCGGAAATAATTTGCTGCAGTTGAACAAATGAGTCGTAAATTAACGCGGCGAAGAGTCGAGTTGAATTGGCGATTAAGTTGCTTTTAAACTAAATATTATGAAAGGAGGCGAGGAGAAGGGCAAATGTCAAAGCATAAACTTGGCTCTGCAGCGGAAAATTTTGTAAAATTTACCCCAGCTGGATCAAAGTTCGCTCCTTTTGATCAGACCGAATTCGCAGCGGCCACTTTTTTCTGCGTTTTTTTTTTCTTTCAAGTTTCTCCGAATCGCGCGCCAGCCTAACTAGAAGTAAGTGCAAGAGAGAAAGAAAACGATAATGGTTATTGGCGTCATCGAAAACTTCCGTGAAACCGCAAGAATTTAATGCAACGTAAAGCCCAACGCCGAACTGGCTACTGGAAGAGCAGATCTTCCTTGATTTCAATGGGACGTCTTTTGGGCTCAACAAACTCTGTAGAAAACTAATTCAGGACCTGAGATATCTTTAATGAAAAGCCGCGTAGCAAATTTACCATCCCAGTCTTTCTCTGCTTTTTGATCCTGAGTCAGGTTTTCTACACAGGTCGCAGAGCTCAAAAGATCAGCCTTCGTCCTCAATTGAAACAAACTAAGGGCATCCCCTTGTTAACTTTTCTCGATTTCCTTGAGTTCTTTGAAAAATCGCGACTTTATCTAGGAAAAGTGTGCGAAAACGCGAAAGCGAACAGGAAACATGGCCGGATGCATTCTTTATTTTTGTGCGCGGCGGCGTTCTCGATAAGAACGTCATCGAGCACTCGTAAATCGTAATTACGCTCACAGCTGACAGCGTGAACATGATGATTCTGTTGAGAATTCCGCGCTTTCCACTTTTCCCGCAAAAAGAAAAATATTTGATTCATGAATTTCTTTTTTTTAAGAATTTGATTTTAATTTTTGCTAACTTAGAACCTACAGCTTGTAGGCTACAGCCACCTCTTATTATTTACTCCAGAATTTCTATTAGTGGAATAAAAAATGTCTGACTATGGAAGGTTAAATTTCTCATACTTCTGTTAAATTTCAAAAAATATCAGAAGATTTAGAATATGGGCTCGACAAGCTGTGTAGAAAACCTGAGTCAGGGTCCTGACTACGCGGCAATTTACGTGGCACAGGTTTTCTACACAGGTTTTCAAGCAAAGCAAAATGGTAAACAAAAAACACAAACAAGAACACTCATAAAGCTTAGAACCTACTCTACCGATATAAAGCGATGATTAGAGCAATTCTGACGTTTGCATTGGAATGCAGAACGTTTTATGTTTTCAGCTTGCGTGGAAGCGCGGTAGGCTTCCGCCGCAAAAAGGTCAAGGTGAACTTGAGGTCAGCTTTTAAAGCTTTTCTGAAGATGAATCATGTGAGTGCCCGTTTTCGCAGTCTTCCCACGGGCGCTGTGCCCAATCACTTGCAATTTCAATTCGTCTCGAAGCAGACTCGCCGATTGTCCCTACTCGTCAGAGCGAAATATTACAGATATCGTTTTTTACGAGCAACATCACTTTTTTTTGCCAAGCGCGCTCCCACATCAAAAAAAAAACATGACGTCCCCGATGCTCTTAGAGATTCTAGATTATCGCAGACGACAGATGATGATAGAAACTGTAAGTCCAAGTTTATACATTAGGGGCTTACTATGATCTCGGCATCCTGTGTAAAAAACCTGAGTCAGGGTCTGATTGATCTCTTGCACTCTCAATTTTAGCTCTTTAGGCCCTGACTCAGGTTTTTACACAGGTTTCCGAGCCAAGGAATTGGGCTCACCCTGTTCTTGGCAATAAAGATCTGTCAATTCTAGAGATGTTCGAAAGGGATTTCCTTAATTTACCATTCAAGAGTCTTTTGCCCCAATTGGTCTTATAAAAATTTAATACAACTTCGGTCTCCTTGATTTTCTCTGACCCTGGATGTTTAATCCTTCCGGTGAGTCGCTCGATTCGGCCGACGACCGCGCTCACTTCTTTTGAAACAAGTGCTTTTTAAAATATAAATTTTGATGCTCTCGATTATGCAATTTCTTATTTAAATTCTTAAAAAACCCGTGCAAGTCTCGAACAAGCACGCCAAAAAACAAATCGCAGTTGTCAGTGATTGATTGAAGAGGATTTATCTTTTTCTTCTTCGATTTCACTTTTATCATGGAATTTGCCAGCTACAGCTTTGGAGTCTTTTTCCAAGCGCAGGTTTTTATGATTTTCAAAGAGAAAAAAATAACCAAGAGAATACTTCTTACTTTCATTAACGTAGCCTATCCTGGTCTCGGCCACCTGTGTAGAAAACCTGAGTCAGATCTTTCAGACCCTGCCTCAGGTTACTAGGGGTATTTGCTCTCGTATCAGCACTCCCTCCTGCCAACCTGGAGCAACCTGAGTTCAAAACCTGAGTCAGGGTTTGAAAAAGAAAAAATGAAAAGCGTAGCCAGAATTTAGAATTAAAATGGAGTGATAATTTTATTTTCTTATGATAATTTTCGTTTTTTTCAAACCCTGACTCAGATTGATAAATGTTACAAATTTCCAATTGACAAATGTTTTTGAGTTATCAACTGGAAAATTTGCGCAGACGCAGTTGTCTATCTAAATATCCCTTTTCAATAAAGCCATGGTTGGGAAGACGGGGGCAAACCACATTGCGGCTATCGGATTTATCATTTCGAAGTGACATTTGAATTCGTGTGTGATCTCGCTCCTGCTTTCTAACATTTCGTTTTCAGCTCAAGAAGCAAAAGTCAGAGAAGAAGTTTTCGATCATCAGCCAGTTCCGGCCGAGCAAGCCCGAGCGGGACATGAAGATCATCTTTTGGGGGGCGGAGCAAGTCGGCAAGTCAGCACTGCTTGTCCGCTTCGTCACCGGCAGATACATTTCCGAGTACTCCAGCCTGGTCAACTACACTGTGACGAAAACGATATCCACAGAGTCAAATGTCGACGTCAAGCTAGAGGTCACCGATCCGACTTCTTGTGTAAGTACTTTTTCAATTTACTTAAAGAAAAACTATTTTTTTTTTATTTATTCACTAATACTTTTATACAATATGCGTCGCCATTTTAAATGAGCAAATATTTTGGGAGGTGTCAATGTTAACGGCTGGGTATCCTATTTTTTGCATGACTTTTTTGGTAGATGAGAATCTCACCAGATTTGAGTTTTTGCGCGAATGAGAAGCCTTGATTGACCTTCAACTGTCCAGTGCTATTTTGACTCGTGAATTCTGACTTGTGAACGGAATTCCTTTAGCAACCGTCCTTGCCATTTACTCAAAGACAGCAGGCACACATACTCAGCTCTTTTTGAATATGTATCGCTTTTTCAGAAGCTATGCGGACAAGCCTACAGTAAAAGTCTTTTTAGGCAAAGTTACGAATACTTAATTTTAGGAAGCAGAAACTCTTCTTTTATAAAATTGGAATTTAGGCAAACTCCGGATTGTTAAAAAAGTCGTCCTTCGATTTACTACTGCTTGTGTTTGACTTAACGAACGCCTCGAGCTTCCGCTGGATCAAGGAACGCGCGGAAAGAGTCAAGCACGACATGAAGAACAACTTAAGCGTCGTTGTTCTCGGCAACAAAAAGGACCTGAGCTCGAGGAGAGAAGTTTCGACGGAAGAAGCGAGGTCCTTCTCGGAAGACAACAACTGGGTATACTTTGAGGTTTCCGCCGCCGAGTTGCGAGACTCCGAAGAGGACGACGAGGAGTTACAAGATCACGACAAGGTAGTTGACCACCAGTAATTTATGATCTAGAATTTTCGCTAGAATTGCTTTAGATTCAGTCGGAACTCTAGCGAAAATTAGTCAGTCAGCAACATAAATTGCTTGTATTCGATAGTAAGTTCGATTTATAAATATTTCTTCCTAGAGCGTGTACGACGCGCTGCAAACCGCTGTAACGGAGCTCTTCCACTTCCGCCGCAATTTCGGAAGCCAAAAGAAATCGAGCGGGATGTCGAAAGGAGGCGACGAGAGACCTCCAAAGCGACGATCCTCCACAGTACAGTACATTTACGAGTTCGCAAGCCACGCTCGCAAATTGACGCTCGGCTCGCGCTCCTGAAAATTAATAAAGAAAACGCTTCAGCCAACAACAAAGAAAAAGTTCAATTCACGCTCCAGAATGTTCAAAAATGCTCGTTACTGTTCCATAGTTCACACTTTAAAGATCGTCATTTACTTTAACAAAAGACCCTTTCATAGATTGTACAAACTGAATATATATAAACTCAAACAATGAACGTTGTCATTTATTCGGAATAATTTATCAAACCAAATTCTTCATCCAATATTTGAACCTCTATTACCAAACATTCACGTGCGGCGGCTCAGATGAAACGAACAGAAAATTTCTCAACCTTTCAGCATTTTTCCAACTCGCAATCGAGTCCTCCTTTTTAGACGGAATCCTTTTCCGGTTTGAAAAGAAAAAGCTGGGGTTGAAATCAAGGAAGACAGCCAAAATTCTTCATTTCAAATATCTTCAAATACGTGATCAGAAACAAGACAAAATTGATGAGGTAATTGACTTATTCCTCGTGAATGCTTTGGAACTTTGGAAAAGGGTTGACTCGTATAATATGAATTTCATGTATTTTCTGGCGGATCTCTCTTTTTAATTTCTTGAAAAAACGCTCTCAGGGGGAAAGGCGAAATCACTTTCAAAATTTCCGCGAGCGCATCATCAAATTTTCCGATGACGAATTCACGCACTTGGAGTAAACTCTCGCTATCTTGAACGAATTTGAGTTTGGGAAGATTGAGACGTTGGTGCTGTCGATTTCGCATTTGGGGAACTTGCGAGACTTGGATATTATTATAAAGAATGGGCTGGCTTGCTGCTAAGAAGAAAACAACTTCTGAACTCGCTGACATTGTCTGGATTCTAAGGAATTCCGAAATCATGGAGAAAAAGTATCAAAAGTGATGAATTTGCAACTGCCTTCCGCGCTTTTTCCGAATAATAAAACAGAAAATGATTATTTGAGAATTATTTATTTTGGCGAAGCAGGAAGAAGTAGGTACATAAAAAGCTTAATTAAAAGTGAATTTATTCGAAGTCGTTTTCGACGTCGATCAGTTGTTCTGTTTCTGGTTTTATATTCTGGAGTTCGAGGGCGCATCGTTCCTGGTGTCGTTCGTAGAAGCCGCGGCTGCGGAAATTCTTGCCACAGGCGCAGGAAAAGGGCTTCAGCAAAACGCGGTGCTGCATGAATTTCAACTTCTCGGCGCCTTTGTAGTGCGTGCCCATGTGTTTCTCCATGTTGCCTTTGCGATTGAAGCGGCGGTGGCAGATGGAGCACTCAAAGGGCTTCTCGCCAGTGTGGATTCGCTCGTGTCGGGCCAGGTCAGTGTTGCTTTTGAAGGTTGCTGGGCAGAAGCTGCAGCTCTTGCTAGACGCGCTGCCCTTGGCTGCTTTGGCGTGGGTGAGGCCAGTGGTGGAGGAGATCGCGCCGCTGGTCATTTCCGAAGCGGCGCTGGAAGAAGAGCTGTCCGAGAAATACTCCGAAGTCGGAACTTCGCTGGCCTCGCTGGCTGAGCTGCTTTCGCTGGACGAAAAGTTGGAAGGAAAAGTCGAAGTGGTGGAGTTTCGTTGAAGCTCGAGAGCTGGAGAAGCACTTGGCCCATTTCGAACAAGCATCGCTTGGTGCAGGGCGATCAGGTTGTTGATCAGCTGTTGTCGTTGGAGAGCCATGATGAGGTCAATTTGAAGAAACATTTTTCTTGTTGTGTTGTGGTTTTGTCGGTTAGAGTGGAATAAGGGAGTCTGAATGAACTATTGCTCGCTGGCCAGTTTATATATTCCAGGATCGGAGTGCAAAGTGCGCCGAGAAGGGGGCTGTAGCGCCATCACTTGATTCCAGATTTGAGAAAGACGACGTCCTTTTTGGGCAATGTGGCAGCCACATGGGAGGAAGCAGCTGCGCCAGACGCGATTAGTACCTAGAATAGGACATGCATTCGACCGACTGCACATTTCGACCAGCTTTGGCGAGTGCTTCTGCGAAGAGGAAAGGGAGGCAAAAACTGCTGATTATTCTTTGAACTTCTGACCTAGCTTGAAGAAAAACGATTTGTCAGAAAGAAATCTACTTGAAAGAATCTTCTACAATCGATGCGAATCGCCGAACCCTGCTCGAGGATGCTTTTCTTTTCTTGCCAATTTATCATTTGCTCAACTGGTATTGCAATTGACATTTTTGCAGAGAAATATATAGACAAAATACAGGTCTTGCCTCTTAAACAAGTCTAAAATTCCAGAGTCATTTAATTTTTGAACTTTTCTCTGCAACCTGTGTTGAAATGATGAGTCAGGATCTGAAAGATCTCTGATGAAAAGCCGCGCAGTTTTTGAAAATTGATTGAAAAGGTGATTTTGCCGCTTCGCTTTAAAAAAGCCGCGTAATTAGAGATCTCCCAAACCCAGACTTTTACAGAGGTTGCCGAGCCCGGAATTCAGGACTTCAAAGCTGAAGAACAAAGAACAAGAACCGTGGAAGATGTTTTGTGAAGGCTCAATTCACAATGAATTGAGTTGGTGATTTTATTCGAATATTTAAAATCTTGAAGAGAAAATGAAGTTCAAATTGAGTTGGGCGTTGGTGATTCGTGAATACTTTGTTTTGAGTTGTTTTTTTGGAGAAGAACAGTTGTGAACATAAAATGGAAAAAGGCAAAAGGAGGATAGGTAGTTTCTTTTTACAGAGGAGGATGAGTTCTGTTTATCCGTAGACTAGATCGGCAGCTTGGACGCCGGAACTCTGATCCGGAAACGTCGATGTCTAAGTTTGGCGATTAAAAAGGAAAGTTGCTTTTCAAATAAGGAAGTGGATAAAGTCTTTTTACCACGATGCCCCAACTGGGCATGACTCTTGCCACCCAGTGCTCTCTTTCTCTTCCTTCACACAAGCCAGTTTAAAATGGAAAATCACACATGTCCCAAAGAGCTAAATCGGGAAGTATCTCCCAAAACGCTTCTTTAGTATAAAACATGCCGAGATTTTGAGCTACGTAGGTCCGGCTCAATTCTTGACTGGACTGGTTCAATTTTAGACATTTGTTCAAAATAAATATGTATTGATAAATCAAGAACCCTTCAATACTGGGCTCGGGAACCTGAGTCAGGTTCCTGGAAAGTCCCGTAGCGGCTTCTTAAAAAACGAAGCCTCAAAGCAGTTTCGCCAGAATTAATATTTCACTCTTTTTAAAAATCCTTCGCGGCCTTCTTCCAGGACCCTGACTCAGGTTTTACGAAATCACGATTACCCTTACTCCAATTATTAGCGAATCCTCAATAAAGAAGGATTCGTCTCATCGTAGTAGACAAAAATAATCGCCTTTCCTGCATGTTTCCGCCTGGGAAAGAAGTGAAGGGTTTGGCACCAGCAAGTGCTTCGCTGTCGTACTCAGGGACTGCCCAGTTGCCGATCTGCCACAGCTGGAAGAGTTTGAACGCTTTCACGCCGAACAGAATCGTGTTGAAGAAAGTAAACGCTAAGAAAGATTGCTTCCTTTATCGAATCAAATTGGAAAACTTACAAATAACAGTTTTGGCGGTTCCAGCGCCAAGGCCGATCGCGTTCTCGTCGCGCTCTGGGTCGTTTTTCGTTTGGTTCCAGCCCGCCCAAGTGGCGCAGAAAAGGCAAAAGTGAAAGAGCGTCCAGACCAACGAGAAGAGGAGTTGGTAGGTGACACTAGTCGATTTTGGAAGAAGCGGGAGACAAGAAAGACTCACCTAAGTTTTCTCTTCTCGCTCGTGTTGAGCAACGAGTCCTGCTTGTCCAGTTGCCACTCGATTGCCACAAAAATTACTCCTGAACTATTTTTAGAATTTGAAAGATTTTCTAATAGAGTACCATGCGCTAGTGCCAGGCCAATGACGAACTTCGCGAAGCCACAGGTCGAGCTCAAATTGAAGAGGCATCCGTGAGGATCTGAAAATGACAAAATCTTATTATAAAAACTTTTAAATTCAAGGTTTTTTTTAAAGATAATCGTTGTTTTCTCTTATTGTCATTTCCACTTATTTTTTTCTTAGAGACTATGAACCTGTAAGCCACCAAAGTTAATTCTGTAATTAAACGCCAACAAAAGATTATAATTTACTGTAAGTTCCATTTTTGGTGTCTCTCGCCATTTTTGAAGAATGAATTTTAATCATTTTCGAAAAAAGGTAATTGATTGGAAAATGCGTCAATTGGAATTACCCGAAAAGGACACGACCGCGCAGAAACTGATGAAAGCAATGGCGGAAATCGCTAAATTTAGAATCGTCCTGGTAGATGTAATGAATTCACGTAAATTTGGCTGCTGGCGCGAGCCTGCACCAAAAGCGCTCATTTCTGAATTAATCACTGAATTTTAAATAGACGAGGACGAGACGAGCCTGTCTCGCCCATCCACAGCCGAATTAACAGACGGCCTGCTTCGTTAAAAGCGGAAACGGCTTCGTTAAAAGCTTAATTTATTTATTTTTATTTTGATTAACGAAGGAAGCTCAAACTTTGATTGAAGATTGCAATTATTACTTTTTTGACGAGCAGGAGAACGGATAAGTTGAATTGAAAGGGAAGAGTGGCCTCGGCAACCTCTGTTCGAATCCTGAGTCAGGGTCTGGAAAGATCGCTAATGAAAAGCGGGTTCGTCAAATTACCATTTCAATCTATTTTCAGATTCTGACGAATACACACTATCTCTTTCCTGATCCTGAGTCAGGACTTGAACACAGGTTGCCGAGCCAAGAGAAGATGGAATTAACGCGGGGGAAAAGAAGAAGTTGGAAGAAAAGAAGGCAATGCAGGTTAAAAAATACAGATTAGATTTTTTCTTTCATCGGAGTTTTTGCAGACTTGAACAAGCAAAAAAAAGAGTGGAGGAATGATAAGGAGCAAGTTTCGTGAAGTTCTGTTCAGATGTTGTGCAGATTGTATTTCTTATGGCATTCGTGGCAAAACGGCTTCTGCTGGTGTTCTTTGAAAATCGCCTAAAGTACATTTTAAACTCAAGAAATCGACATGGTGGGTTACCTGAGTGAGTGTCTGTTTACAAAAAGTACAGACGAAGTGCTCGGGATGATAGCGCTTTCCAAGGGCGGAAACGCACTTTCCATTTATGGGCTTTTTACATTCGACACACGCTCCTCCTGAGGAAAGGGCGATTAGCGCAACGATTTTTAAGGGAGAGGAAGTCACCTTTTTTGGCAAGATAATGAGGCTCGCAGTAAGGTTTGCCGTTGTAGTCGAAGAACGAGCCTTGCAGGAAGGGGCCGCAGCCTGGCTCGTGGCAGATGAAGCACTCGGGATGCCAGTAACTAAAAAGAAAAGGTTCAACAGCTGGTGCTAGATCTGCTTATATTTTTCAAAATTTAAAATTTCAATATTTTTCGGATTATAACATGCTTTTTGAGTGAATTTACCCGTCTAGCGCAGCGATGTATTGGTTCAAAATCGCGTTGTTGCAGGAAAGACACTTGGGCGCAACGCACTCAGCATAACAATCGGGACAATAGGGCTTCTCCTCGTGTTCGTGGAAGTTGTCGAGCACTGGGCAATGACAGGCGGCGCAGACGAAGCAGTGCGCGTGAAAGGACTTGTTCATCGCCTGAATCAGATTTTCCAAAATGGCGCCGCTGCAGCTCGCGCATTCCGGCGAGAAGAGCTCCTCGTAATGCGAGCGGCAGTAAATCGTGTCCTTCCAAGTGTAATATGGCTCCTTGAAAAAGGTGGTGAAATCAAGGAGGAGTCAAATCAAAGCGAACAGTACCTGGCCGATTTCTCTGTCGTCGACGCAGCAGACGAAGTGTTCGGGATGCCAGACGCGGCCCAACGCGGCGATCGCTTCACCGATTACTGGACGGTTACAAGTCGGGCATTCGCCCTTGCTCTTCGCGTGGATACCCTTAATTTCTTTTAGCGAATATCTGGATTCGGTTTTTTTAAAACTCCGGACTGAGCCCAGACTTGAGCAAAAAAATATCGTTTTCTACTTTCAAAAATTGAATCAAAAAACTTACTCGCTGAGCGAGATCGTCAGTTAGCTCGCCGAGCATGTCATCGAGGGGATTGTCGGATTTGGGCGGCGGTTTGTGCCAGGCAGACGCCTCCAGCTTCTTGTTGGTTTGATTCTTGGTGATTTGCTCGTCCAACTCGTCGATTAGCGAGTCTATCTCGGCGTGAGTGGCTTGCGACGACTTCCGCGCTTCCGATTTGGAATTGGCTTCGTCCGGAACCGACCCAGTCGACGAGTTTTTCCTTCAAAACTTGCAAGTTAAAATAAATACAGGTAAATTACCTGGCTTTCAGGTCAGCCCCTTTGTTGCGTCTGACAGGTTTGACTGGAGGAATCGAGGCAGGAGGACGTTCATTCTTTTCCGGAATGTTTTCTAGAGAAAACAGACTAGCAAGCACTCATCAATCGAAAATAATACAAACATAGAAGAGACATACATGCATATAATTTTATGAAAAACCTTTTGCTTCTTGATTCAAAGTGGCGATCGACTCTATCAAGTCGTCCAGGTCATTCGCAGACGATTTATGCGTCTTCCGCTCGACAGGGACACTGACTCGGATCACAAATTGGTATTTACCAATTAGCCTAAGACTTAATCTTAATCCTCGTCTCTGCAATGCTTAGAAACTCTTCTTTCTGATGCGTTCTTGCTTTATACAGTATAAATTATACTGTATTGAATCTATATTCGATAATACTATTTCGTCAATACAAGAAAATTAATAAGATAAGCTTCGGACAAGGAGGACCTTCTGGGCGCCAGTCTACAGCCTATCCAGAAGAATAACCTAACCCCTAAGAAAAATCTCTATCAAAACAATCACTTTTGTAATCTTCCTTGGAGCATGCTTCTCCGGCAATACCTCCTCAGCTGGGTTCTCCTTGTTGATTCCCGACGGCATCGAATTCAAAAGCATCATAATCTCGTCGATATCATCGCTCATGCTTTCGACAGGCCAACCAGACTAACTTTAGATCTTTCTTTTTCGGTTTATTTTCATTTTTCAATTATTTATAAATATATTTCTTAGCAGGAATTTCACAGAAGAACGAACGTTGTAATTGATTGATCTAGAATTGCAATAACATAAAAGTAGAAGTACAGAAGCAGGTTTGCAGGTAGATTTGTAGATTTGCCGACGTTAACTCCAAACATCTTCTTGGTAGCGCCCCTTGTTCCTCATGCCTAGATCAAAGTTAGATGTGCAGAAAACCTGGGTTTAGGTTCAGATCGAGCATTAATGAGAAGAATATATAATATAGACTAAATTTAAAACTCACTCTTGAGGAAGTCTTGCGCAGCTGATTTGGGTACTTTCTTGAATTCGGAAATAATGTCGAGTATAACTTCATTGACGTCTCTGGCCATATTCTTGGCGTCACTTAATTTGGTGTAAGATGCGAGTTAAAGAAGTAGTGAGTGATCTTTGACGTCATAGGTCTGATGCGGAGAGCGGAATCGCTCCTCGACACACCAGTTCGAGCGCAACAGGCTGACGCCACTAATGAACGAAAAGAACGATTAAAATTGATACCCGCAGACGTAGATATGCCCATTTCGGTTGATCACATCCCAGACCAGTTCGCGCTGCTCCGCGAGCAAGTGCTGCACGTAAACCTTCTTTTCGGAGTCGCGGGAAAACGCGCAGAAGAGTTTGTCGATAGTCCCGTCCTTTTCGAAGCTCTCCAGCTCCTCCGAGTAGATGTAATCCACCTCTTAAAAAAGAAAACGCTAAACAACTACGCCCAGATTGGTGCTCACCTCTGTTGCGGCATCCAGTGAAGAGGACTGTCTGTCCGACTTCACGCTTGTCGGAGAGACGTTGCCACTGTCGATGCTGGAGGAATCCCCGGAAGGGCGCAAATCCGGTTCCTGGGCCAATCATGATGATCGGAGTTGTCGTCCTGAAGAATAGCGTGAATACTTTGAAAACTCAACTACCGAAGATAGGAATTCCTATCTATTATTGAGCATTTGCTCATTTTGGGCTAAACAATTACCGGAAGGGAAGTTTGAACTGCGATCTTCTGATGAACACTGGAAGCGTTGGAGGCGGCAAGTCAGCTCCTTCGGTCGGAACTTTGTTTTTCATGAAGCCAGTTGCGACGCCAGTGTTGATCCGCTCCTTACTGGCTTTGTACTGGACGAGTATGGCGCAGATGGCAACGCGAGTGGAATCGTGCTTGGGAGACGAGGCGATCGAGTAGTAGCGGGGCTGAAGACGCGGAAGTAGCTCCAGGAGATGATCCGCTGCTATTTTCACTTCTGAAATGAAAACAGTTTGTCTTTTGATTGAAAATGGTTGATTTACCGGTCAAGTCTTCGAGAATGTGATGAATGGTTCGTCTCTGGTCGAGCACCCACTCTTGGTAGAGTTTCTTCGCCTCAGCTGGATCTTGTCCGTGGATCCCACAGAGCTTCTCGAGCATGAGTCGCGACTCGGACTGCGGCGGCGTGTACTGGACCAGTTCGGCGAGCAAGTTGGCGCGCGGCTGACCGTGAATGTCGACGTAATGCGTCAAAGCCGTTCTGTACGTCGTCGGACACGGAAATGGGTACTTCTTCGAACTGTCTTCTGAAGTTGAGAATTTAGAAATAAATTTTAAAGCACATGGCTTAAATCTCAGCTCGGCAACCTGTACTCAAAAGCTAATTTTCTTCGATCATATAGATTTTCTCACCGTCGACATTTTCCAAAGAAAAGGTTTCTTCGCCGTCGACTCCGAGCAGTTTACAGAGCTTGTCCACGTCGACCGGGTTGTTACTGGCGTAAACAGCGATGTGGTCTCCTGCTTCGTATCTGAACCATTCCGAGTTGAGGAAAACGCTTCAACTTTTCTTGAGCTAGTTGAGAGCAGTGGAAGGGTGTAACTGAACCCCCCTCGGGGGTTTAAGGTCGAATTCTATTTTTCGCATTTTCAGCCTTGATTTCCAAGCCTCTAAGCAGCACAAAGTACAAACTCGGTTGGTAATTTCCTAGAGAGCGAAAAGAAGAAAAATGAGCAGCCCCGTGGATTCCGTCAAGCCGCTGAGAAAATATAAAGTCGTTTTTCTGGGAAAACAATCCGTCGGCAAAACATCACTCATCACCAGATTCATGTACGACTCTTTCGACAATACTTATCAAGGTGAGAAAAACGCCGAATAGAAGCACAGGCAGAAATAATTTTAAATAAGATCCATTTAGAATCTTCTACAAATTAAAATAGACAATCAAGATCGTATATGCAAGATTCTCATTGCAATTCCTAAAACTATAAAAATTTAATATTCATGAGTCAAGCTTTGACTTCATAAGAACTAAAGATATGAAGCACTCTCTCCAAGAAAATCGCGAATATTGAGCAGATCCTTAAAAGCACAGATAGAATCTGTCACATACAAGTTGCCTCCCTTTCATTAAATTTGAAGCTCAAGCTGAAATGTTAAAAATTGTAAATTGTAGCGACGATTGGAATCGACTTTCTTTCGAAAACAATGTATCTGGAAGACCGGACGGTGCGTCTGCAACTTTGGGACACAGCAGGTCACGAGCGTTTCAGATCGCTGATTCCCAGCTACATCCGAGACAGCACCGTGGCGGTAGTAGTCTACGACGTCGCCAACGTAAATAGCTTCCAACAGGTAGGATTCGACAAAGGCGGGCTAAATTGCCTTAACGCTTTTCCCAGACGTCTAAGTGGATCGACGATGTCCGCGCGGAAAGAGGAACCGACGTCATCATCATGCTTGTCGGAAACAAAACCGACTTATCGGATAAACGACAAGTGTCAGTCGACGAGGGAGAGAGAAAAGCGGCAGAGCTCAATGTCATGTTTATCGAAACTTCCGGTAATTACTAATTACTTCCGGTACTTATTAATTTACCGCGATTCTAATTTATGAGTGACCTATTTTTCTGGACTCCCGATTATTTCTTGATAAATGAGCATTTTCTTAGCAAAAACTGGCTACAATGTGAAACAGCTTTTCCGGCGAGTGGCAGCTGCCCTTCCGGGCATGGAAGTCAAAGAAGACAAGGAAAATCTCGTTGAAGTCAATTTGCAGGTAAAGAACTTGATCCGACTTCGGAGAGCTACTCAATTAATTGATAGTCCTTGTCAGATTGTTGTGAATTATATTTTGGAACTGACCAGCCTTTTTCAGAAACATACGAGCCAAGACAACGCCTCAGCGGCGATAAAAGAGGCTGGAGGATGCCAGTGCTAGCTTCTTTCGCCTTCCTTTTTAGACTATTTTCATCATTCAAAAATAACCAGAAACAAAGACCACTATTACATTCACTGCTGCTTTCGTTTTGGGTTACCTGATTTTCGCATCTGAGATGTCGACTTCTATGTGCATGCAGGAACGATCGCCGCCTGCAATAGTCAGTAAATTTTTGCAAAAGATGAAGAAAGTAAGGAGCAAGACTGTCTCTTACCCTTGTGAAGCTCCTTGTTGACGGCGACCTTGGCATAATAGGGATTCTTGGAGTCGTAGGGAGGCCGTTGGTTCTTATGCGAATTGAATCGGACGACTTCGCCGGTGAAAATGCGGTTCTTGTTGAAGTCTGGATTGAGCTTGTATTGCCGGATCGTGCCGTCGGTTTCCTTGCGGTTGACCTCGAAGGTGCGGCAGACGGAGAGCCAGAACTGCTCCTTCCACGCGTTGAAGTCTTCCTCGATGTTGGCGTCGTCGTCGCCCAGTCCCAAGTCGACGATACGTTCACCTCCAAGCTCAGCCAGCCGCTTGTCGAAATAGATACCCATCGCGTTGTAGAACTCGTACGTCTTGTTGCCCAGTCCAAAGACCGCGAACTTCTGGCCCTCAAAAGAGTCTCCTCGTGTTCTTCGTCCTGCAGCCAGTCGTAAATCGTCTGCGTGTTATCCGTTGGATCTCCTTCGCCGTAAGTCGCCACCAAAAACACCAGCACCGAGTTGGGTATTTCGTTCAATCTGGAAAGGTCTTCGTACTCGATTTCCTCGGGATCGACCACCATCGCCTTCATCTTCTCGTAGCGATGCGCCTCTCGCGCAAGCCCAGCAGAGAAGTCTTCTGCAGTGCCAGTTTGGGATCCATACAGCACCAAAATGTTGCGCCCCTTCGCCTTCATTTTTGAGATAATGTCGTCCCCGCCCAAATCGTCTTCTTTTTCTTTCTGCGCCATCGGACTGAAAACATTTATTCGCAAAATTTATTATTAAAATAAAATAATAGTCATAATTTATCATTTTATCATTTATGACTATTATTTTGGACTTTCGATAATTTGGAAGGAGCTAGAACTTTTATCAAGATTAGTTCGAACTTACGTCATCGGCTTGATTTTGAATTTGTTGTCATTTTGGCTGTCTTTCGAGTAAATCTTCCAGAGGGCTGCTGCGACCACCAGCGAAATGGCCGCGCAGTAGATCGAGTTTACGTTTTCGATCATCCCTTCTAAACTCATTCTTCTAGCTTTCTCTCTCGAGGGGCAGCTCGAGCCACGGAGCGAGGCGAACTAAACGCTCTGGCCAAGCGTATCAAAATAATGTTACGTAACTGGCCAAAGAAACCATCAAATATTTATCTTTTTACGACGAGATTGAAACTTTCGAATTCGAATTCACAGCTCGGGAATTTCACGTTTATTTTTATTTGGGCAATTATTAAAATGTTTATTTTGAAAAAAAGCGAAAATAGAAAATGAACTTTCAGTACGAGTTTGATGCACTAGAACTGATGTCTTATGGGCAATACTTGCTCGGCTGCGTAATCTGTGTAGAAAGCCTCTACCGGGATTCGCAAAGGGGCTTCGGCAATAACAGATCATCTCTAGTCAAAACGAAAACTCGTCAAATTTGACTAGCCGTTATTCCGCATAAGAAAATAGAAAAGTACAGAAACGAGAGCGCGCTAGGACCACCTTTTTGGTCGAGACAAAATGTACAGTTTTTTGTTGTTTCGGACTGAACAGGGCTTTGAATGAAGAAGAAAACATGGAAGAGTATCTTTTTTGGATTTTTTTTCTTTGAAGTAGATTTTTGTTGAATCGTTGTTTTTTCGGATTGGTGTTTGACTCAGTCGTTGTGCATGAATTCGACGACCTTGGCGACTTTCGTCCTCGCCGCAATCACAAGGCCGGCTGAAAGAAGGAAATCATAGTTGAAGGACACGAGAGTTCTTTCTTACCGAGCATGGTGATGATCGCCACCGAGTAGAAAATAAACATCACCCAGGCGATCGGGTCGTCCATGCCGATGTCTTTGCCCTTGATGGCGAAGGCGCAGATCATGCAAATTATTCCGGCAGTGAGAAAGGCCAGGAACAGCCAGCTGAAAGCAGTGTAGAAAACTTGAATGTTTGGTGAATAAAAAGGCTTACAAAGCGATGAATATCTTCTGGGCATGGTCTTTCTTGTTCAAATGCAGCTTCTCGTCGCAGGAAGGGCAGTGCATAATCCCCTGAAGAGGGTAAGGAGCCATGAACTCCGTTCGGCACTGGGGACAGCGCAACTGAAATATAGATTCAAGGTCGCTTCATATTCAAATAAATGATATACTGTATAGTACAGTGTACATCCTTAGATCATCTAGTCTAAGTTAGATGTACTCGTTTCTAAATGACTAAATTTCAGTTATTAGCACATTCGACGATGGCGGAAATATTGGTAATCTAAAGTTTAGATTCTAAACTCAACGGCCGATTTCGGCTTCGAGAAAAAAGCTGCGCTTCTCGAAGCCACAAGCGGCCTAACATGTGTTAGTTCTACAAATCGTCGAATGTACTAATGATTTGAGTGACTGGAATTAAGTCACCAAGAAATCAGAATTCAAAATATGCAATTTTGAAACACTCACCAGGGCGGATCTGGGAGCGGTGGGCATGACAGCTCTGCGAAGGGAAATGTGTCTTCGGCATCTGGGACAAACCACTTGCGCCGCGCTCTCCGTGCAAACTAGCAGGCAGTTGCAGTTGCAACGGATGTACTGAACAGAAAGTATGAAGATGTACTGTATTTAAATTGAACCTTTTTGCCAGGCGGCGCCTGTTTTAGCGGCGTCGCCTCGTTGCAAGTGTTGCAGCGCATCACGTGCTGGTGCAGTTTGCCAGTGCAGTCGATCGTGTCGTGGCAGACTTTGCACTCGATGACCGGGATGCGCCGGGGCACCACATTTGGGAAGGTTACTTCGAAGCTTTGGTCGACGGACTCGTAGGCCGGCGGCGGCGTGTCTAGAAGCGGCGCTAGGTCCGACTCACTGCCCATCTAGGCGGAATTGAAGTTTACCAAAGAATAATGAAGAAAGTATCAATCTGGAATACAAGTAGCAGGAAAAAATAGAGTTTTTGGAACAGTCAAAATTAATCATTTCTTTCTTTTTGGAATTTGAAGTCAGTGAATTCTGCGGAGCGCCTTTTCTTCGATTTCGAAACCGTAGAAATATTTTGAAATGATCTCGTCTTGGTTTTGAATTGGCACGGTTGATTTCGGAAGGGCGCGTTTTGGAGCACTTTCGACGCCGTTGGAGACGCATTCGTGGAGCGAGAACTGGACTCCGTCGAGAGGAGAGGCGATCGGCGAGCGGGAGCTTCGGGAAACGGGACTCGCTGCCGCCGGTGGAGGTGGAGCAACACGCTTCTTCTCAGCCGCAGAGGCGCGTTTGGCCTCTGATAGGCGGTTCGATACCTCGACTTTGAAGCAGAGATAGAGTCCATTCAGTTTACTGAAAGTTCCAAGATTGAAACATAAAAAGTGGGCCTAAGATAGTATCTTGAACCTAAAATGCTTACCCAGCGGATGTGTAAAGATGGTTTCGGGCGAAATCGTCGTCTGAGGTAATCGCAATGTCGGTGACTTTCTTAGCACTGGTATGGAAGGATCCTTTTGCCACGCAAAGCCTTGTCGAATGCAAGCATTTGTCGTCTTTCTCCAGAGTGCGTCTGAATCATTTGTCTAGAATTACAGCCAAGAGCAAATAAATTGCTACTTTATTTCGGTGAAGCCCGACGGGACATTTTGATCGTCAGCAATGATGCACAGATCGGTGACCACTTCGCTGGCGGTCTTGTTTTTCTCAACGACGAGGTATCTCTTCGTGTTCTTGAGTCCAAAGAAACCACCGCGAGGATATAGATCCGCCTCGTTTCCTTCCTTTGTTCGAGAGACCTAGATTTTTTTCATCAAAAGATTGAAGAGATGGAAGGAAAAAAAAAACATACGATTTGCGAATTGGGCGGATGCGGTCCGTTCAAGCTGCTGGAAATGAAAACGTTGGAGATGAAACTCATTCTGAATCAAATTAAATTTATTTTTGAGCAGTTGTGGAAATTTTTCGAAAAATGAACTTGAAAGTCGACTGGTCAGGCAGTGATTAGGTGGTCGAGGACGTCGTTGAGATCGATCGCGTTTGAAGTGACTTCGCACTCATCCAGCATTAGCTCGATTCCGGCGATGTTCTGCAGCCAGCTGAAAATTGTCAAATTTGAGAATGAAAAAGAGGCTAGCAGCAAGTTACCGGTAGCATTTCCATCCAGACTCGTGCCACTGGCGCATCAGCTCGTCGTTTCTATCTGACACGCCGTACAGATTCGGCAAGCCCAATCCATCGTCTTAAAAAATAGCTTCTTGAGCTTCTAGCTTCCGTCTACCTGAAGGATTGACGCTGTCCAAGAGCACGGGCTTGTCGCATTTGGCGAGAACGCGTTCTAATTTCGGGCAGTAAAGCAGTCGGATCGTGAAGTCGGAATAAGAGATCTGAAGCTCTTCTTCTTTGAAGAAGCATTCGAAATCGCCGAGTTGAGCTTCTCGCGCTTTCGCTTGTCGATAAAGCGACTCCAGTGGAATTGACATTGTTTCGATGCTCGGTGCAAACACTAAATTTTATAAAAAATTCGTATAGGATTTTTCCAGGTTTTTGATGCTCAAGAGCTGTTTTGCCTCATCTTAGATCCTTTTTTAAGTGCATCATAGATAGATATGTTACATATGATATATCATATGTATATTCAACGAGATTCAAGATAAAGAGCGGCAATTTGGGAGATCTAGTGTTATCTGTAGAGCCTCAAATAACATTTTATTTAATAACCATCAAGAAAAATCCTGAGAAAATTTATGACTTCTAGGAATTATAGATCTCAAGGAATGTTTAGAGATATTCTCAGGAATATGGGGCATTGATAATTGAAAACTTACCGATGGTATTTCCGAAATCCGCCTCGCTCAAGTCAAGACTTTCGACAAATGGTTTGCACGTTTCCACGAGATTCTTGAGGCCTTCTACTGATTCACGCTCTCGATCTTCCAAGTCGGCTATTTTCTGATTCAGCTTCGATCGCTTTTCTTTGTGTTCCTTCAGCTCGATCGCCAGCAACTTCCTCTGAAAACCAGCATAGTCGACTATTCTCATCAACCGGAAAGAAAAGTACCTCTTGAAGCTCGAATTCGAGCTGTGCTAGTCGCAGACTGTGCTCGTTCTTGTCCGCCAGCTCTTTCAGCCGATTCGGAGCGAGTTTGTAGAATTCTTCTCTTGAAACGATCGACGTGTGTTCAGCCTCGAATTCCAGTACTTGCTGTTTTTCCTTAAAGCAAACAATTAGCTTCCGCTCGAAGATAGAAAAGGGCTTACTTTGTTGATCTGGGCGATTTTGTAGGCAGTGGTGTGGTGGTTGGTTCCTTTCTCGCTGACTTTATTGCCGAAATTGATCACGTCCTCGGTGAGCTCTTTCGTCGCCCTCTGTAGCTTCAGATTTAGATTTTTCATGTCTGTTATCAGAAAGGCGCCTTTCACTCTTTCTTCGTAAGTTACACTTCCTTTTTCACCATTTCTCTAATCGTATTCGCTGCTTTTACGAACGACTCATAATCCGACAGTATTCCATCCATTCTATAACATTTTTTTATAAATCACGAGAATGCAGCTGTGATGAGTCATCACTTTGTCACAAAGCTCCATTCGAGTTCCTCCTTGTTGTCTTCAACTCAACTTGAAACATTTTCGAGTCGAAAATTTCGACTACGGAAATGACCCAATGCCTTTTTTCCTTCGTTTCCAGACTTTCGCTCGAAAAAGAAAAGCATCTCTGGCAACTTTTTTTTTCCTCAGAAAGAGAAAAAAATGTCAGAGGAAGGATCCCCCAACAAAATCAAAGCCACCTGCTACATATGTGGCAAAGGGCCTTACGCAAACGTAAAGAGGCACATCGACGAGGTCCACGAGAAGATCAAGAGAGTGGTCCGCGATCCTGAAGAAGAAGAACGAAGAGGCAGGTCGACTGCGAAAAAGTAAGTTACCATTTCAATTAACCGATAAAAATAACCTCAATTTTAGGGAGGAAGAAAAGAAGAAGCCAGTGAAGCAACCCCCCATGGACCCACTCCGTCTTCTAAAAAAGTAAGTAAACAATTAAATTAACTGATAAAAATAACCTCAATTTTAGGGAGGAAGAAGAGAAGAAGCCAGTGAAGCAACCCCACGTGGACCCACTCCGTCTTCTTAAAAAGTAAGTAAACAATTAAATTAACTGATAAAAATAACCTCAATTTTAGGGAGGAAGACAAGAAGAAGCCAATGAAGCGAGGCCACATGGACCCACTCCGTCTTCTGAAAAAGAAAAAATAAAATAATTTTCTTTGATATTTTGTATTTTAATAATTTATAAGAAGAATTGAAACGATATAAAAATAGAAAATATTGTTGAAGGCAAAAAGCAGGAGTAGAAAAAAGCTAGGTAAGACAAAAGTGGAGGTTAGGCACGGATGAGTGTTTTTGTGAAGAGAAGGTTGGAAAGGAATGCGTTCAAAGATAGATGCTTTTAGCTTTTGTGCTTGACGGGCTTTTGCCGCTGCGTTTGAATTGGCTCCAGTCGGTTGTAGGGCAGCGCGGACGTAAACATCTCCGGCTCCATTTTGACGAAACTGTCGCTGAAACGAGGCTGCCGCTGGTTCCCGTGCTTCAAAATCGGTAGTTATCAAGACAACTGAAATTTATATTTACCTTGAGCCCGGAATGGGCAGAACGAGTAGAAGTGGTTCCCGAAAAGGGTCCAGAACCCCGACGGTCGGGTTCGACGAGAAGAGCGCGTTGTAGTTTTGCTCGCGGTTGACCAACTCGAGCTGGAAATATTTCAAGTTCTGCTGCAACTTGTCGATTGCTTCTTCTTTCTCGGCGAGGACAAGCTACAGGAAATCTGTTCATTGTTCTTTTAAAACGTCTTTACCTCTAGATTTCTTATTCTTTGGAGATCTTCTTCGAGCGACTCGCGATTTTCAAGCTTTTCTTCCAATTCGGCCTTGTCTTTCGAGAATTGCGAGATCTTTTCCATCAAGGACTCTTTCGTTTTGTTGAAATCATTGATCAAAAGCTGAAATCAACCTAATAAACTAGTGAAAAGAGCAAATTCAAACCTGGCGTCGTCGGAGTCCATCTGCGATGCTTTCGTTGACGCAGTTGTCTCTCTCCACTTCGAAGTCTTTCTTTAAGCTCTCGATTTGTTGGTCGAACGAGCCTTCTGCTTCTTCTTTTAGCTTTTTCACTCTGAAACCAATTATAACAAATGAGACAAAAACACAAGAACAAAGCTTACGGCCTCGAAAACCTTGATTGAGACAGGTTCTCAGACAGGTTTCTTTTCCTGGGCTGAGTTCTGAGTCAGAAGCTCTCGAGCTCAGAAGCCTTCACTCAAAAGAGAAAGAGTCGTTAAGAAACACACCTGTCGACTTCCAAAATAAGTCTTCGATTTTCGGCGATGGACGATTTCAACTGATCGTAAGCATTTTGCAAGGAAGCTTCTTGGCCTTGAATTTTCGCTTCCAAATCTTCTTTCAAAGCAGCTGATTCTTCTTCAACGCGCTCACGGATCTGTTTTTCAGTTCAAAATTTGAGTCACTTCTACTTCAGAAAAAGGGAAGAGCATAAAACTGTTCCTGTTGCTCCTTGAGCATCCTGGTTTCGAAATCGACGCATTCTTCTTCGTGCCGTTTTTGTTCGTCGTCCAGCTCGGATCTGTGCGCTTCGATCAGCGACTCTTTTAGCTCTTCTAGGGCCACGGCGTGTTCGCTCTTCAGCATTTCCACTTGCTTCTGGTAGTTGACTTCCAAGCGCGCTAGAAAGAGAACGTAATTCAGCCCAATTTGGGTTATCAATTATTTAGGGATTTCGGAGACTATAATTCAAGCTTTCCAAGAATCAGTTGGGGTTGGTTTTAGTCCAGGTTGCATTAGCTACGATGGTGAGCGTTCGGGTTATTACTAATTTGTCCTACTTGAAGTGTCACTAAGTAAAAAAAACTCTAGTCAGTTTAATTCTTTTTGAAACCCACCCAGCAGCTGGGAGGGCAGTGAACTCAAAGCATCAACAAAAATTTAGCAGGACCTCGGCTCGGCTATCTATGTGGGAAACCTGAGTCAGGGCTTGAAAGATCAATTATGAAAAGCCACGGAGCGGCTTTTTTCAAGACACAGTGGCAAAATTATCATTTCATTCAATAATTAAAATCTGGCAAAGCCATTTTCAAACCTTTTGAGCAGGTCTTGAGTCAAGGCCTGCGCAGAAATGCCAAACATTCAAAGTACTATCATTTTCAAAATAAGAATACTGACCTTTGAGAGCGTCAATGGCGATGCGCTGTGACTCCAAATGCTCGATGCTCTCTTCCCTGCTTTTCTGCTCGATCCTGGCAAGTTCCGCTTTGCGCTCATCCATCAGCCGCTCTTCCAGCAGCTCCATTTCAGATTGATGATCGCCCGCCATTTTCTGCCTGCTGGCTTTGAACTCGCTTTTGAGTAGCTCCATCGACTGTTCCATTTCTTTCATTTTCAGCTCTGCCGTTTCGCGCAACCTCTCCAATTCCGAATTATGCGACGACGACTGCGCCTCCTTTTCTTCTTCCAAAGCGGCGATCTTCGCCGTCAGCTTTTCCGCCGCGCTTCGCCAGCTCTTTTGCACGATTTCGACTTCTTTTGTCTTTTCTGCCTCGAATTGCTCCACCAAATCGGCTCGTTCCTGAAAGTTAATATTCATGGACTTGACTCGGTAACCTGCGAAGAAAACCTTCACTGACTCAAGTCAGGTTCTGAAAAGCGGGCGTTTTTGAAAACGAAGCCGTGAAGTTATACAAGGGAAAACGATAAATTCCTCTTAAAATATTTGAGCCCTGCTCTTTCAGTTTTATTTATTCGATTAAATAATATCGAAGTACAAGACCATATTTTCAAGAAAAAGGCCGAGTGGCAAAATCGTAACTTCGTTACATATTTCTCTGAAAACGGCGATGGGAGTCTAGACAAGCGAGGCAAAAGTCTAGACCGAGCTCCAAAAATTAATTTGACAGGAGCTTTGGCCTTCGATTTCGAAGAATTTTACATTTTCCTGGAATAATTCAGCCCCAATAGTCTATTGCCAATAGAAAAAATAGTCCCACAATTCCAAACCAGTACCATTTTGAGTCTTTTGGAGAGCTCCTCGCGGACGCTGGCTAATTGGCTCTGAAGTTCGCTCTCCCATTTGCGTCGCTCTGCGCTTTCCACGGATTGACGTAGACTCTCCTCCCGCGCTGCCCGGAGATTGAGCTCTTTCTCCAAATCTGACGGAAGAGCGCGATTAGATTCTAATTGAGTTGCTCCCTAACTCACCTTCCTTGACGTCCGCCTGGGCCTTTTGAGACTTGATCAGCGCCTCCGCCAAAGTGGCGATCTTCTTCGTCTGCTCATCCTTCATCTCGCTCAGGTCCTTTTCCCGACCACGCAAGTAGCTTATTTCGCCGGAGAGAGTTTCCCCTTCCGAGGTTCGCTCTTTCATCAATTCCTCCAGCTGCGCGATTTGGGAAGCCATTTCACTTTTTTCGCTTTTATCCAGCTTCGCCAAAAACAATACTTTAACTGTCTATTATTGACAATTTAAACAAACGATTGAGTTTATCAAGTTGTCAGTAATTTAGAGTTATTATATGTTTTTTATTAAATTTCAAGGTTAAGAATCTTAATCATCAAAACTACTTAAAATTATTCAAAACTATTTTGGCTAGCGTTGCCTGAGATGCTCTTTTCGGAGCGAGTCGATCATCTGCTCTAACTGCTTAATGTTGCTCTGGAAGTTTTCCTTCTGCCCTTCCGAGAACTTCTCGCTCATTTGCTGGATGTTCTCGCGCTCGATGTCGAACTGCTGCTGGAGATTGTCCTTCTCTGCGGCCAAGATCCGTTCATAGTGCTTTTTTGTTTCTTCCGCTCGTCGATCAAAGTCTGTCAAAGTGTCAAAAGAGTCTCAGTCCCAAATCAGGGTTATTTTACAATTACGGACTTATTTTCTTTGAGCCCCGACTCGGTAACCTGTGTCGAGTCCTGAGTCAGGATTTGAAAGAGATACGCGGCTTTTCATAAAACCCCTTTCAAATCCTTACTCAAACTTCCGATTTTTTTACTTAAAATCCATCTCATTAGAAGAAATAAATGGCTATAGGTAATAAGTCTGGAGAAGCCGCCCGGCGGCTTCGTTGAAAAAGCCGCTACGCGGCATTTCGATAAAGATCTCTCGAATCCTTATTCTGTTTTTTACACAGGGACGATTGTGGGATAATTAAGAGTTACGATAAATTTACTTGAAGCTATCGTTTTGAATGTAAACAGATTTTATTATTCAGAATGAACAGTAAAGGCATATCCAAATCGGATCCTCGCAGGTTCATATTTTCGTGCAAAATCGAAAAAATGAGCTTTGAAATTTCGAAATATTGGAATTGAAATTGCGCGAAATCGGGGAATTGCGAGGATCCGATAAGTATTGGGCGATTCGACACAATCCTTGTTGCTCTTGTTTTCTGCGGCTCTTCTCTGCGGCGAGCGCATTGTCCTTCGAGGCCAGAAGCTGGTTAAGCTGCTCGGCGCTGCTCTGATGTTCTGCTCGTGCCTTTTCCAACTGCCGGGTTAAGTCTTGAATTTTCTTTGCAAGGATTGATCTCGAATCACGCTGTCTCCGCGGGACGCCCCAAACCCTTTCAAACCGACAAATATAAATTTCCCGAAAATCAACCAGAAAATCAAGAGACTTTTCAAAAAAAAAACGCGAAAAACTATAAAAGCGCAGTTTAATAACTATCGGCGATAGTCTATCGTAGGAAGTCATCCTTGATCTCAAGAGTCCCGACTTTCTCCAGAAACACTATCATTTTCCCGAATTTAAAAGTATCGACATGTTATACTTTTCAAATGGTCGGCAAGCTCTGACTAGTGCAATCTGTTAAGGCGAGCGTTGAATAAAAAAAAGCGCGCTGAAATAAGTTGTACTGTTCCGAGTTGGTCCCGTTCGACTTCGAACCTAGGCTCGACAATCTATGTAAAAACCTAAGTCAGGGTTCTAAGAGAGATTTCAGAAAAGAGCTTCTCCAAAATTATCATCTTATTCTTGTTTATAAATTCTTGCTGTGTGGCTTCTTTTCTCAAAGTTCTCTCAGGACAGTGACTTGACTGAAGGTTTAACACAGTCTCACACAAGCTGATTCAATCCAAATCCTTTGCTGCCACGTCGCTGAAGTCCTTTTTGGAGCTTTCAGCGCTGTCGGCTTTCAACTCTGCTTTTTCAAGCGCCTAGAGAAAACAGTTGAAGACAAGGAAGAGAGCTGAAATCATGTATTTACGATTTTGGCTTGGTTGGTTTCAGCACGCAATCTGACACAGTCGCTCTCCACTTCTGCCAGTCTGGCGATATTCTCCTCGAGTCGCTGCTGCTTCGAAGCGATCTCTTCTTTCGAGGCAGCTAGTTCCGAATTTAGCTTCTCGAGTTGAGCGTCGACGCTGCTTTTCTGAAGCGCGAGCGTTTCTTTTTCGCCCAGAATTCGCTCTCTTTCCGCGCTCATCTCGTCCAGCAGAGTTTGAAGGTCTGAGCGCTGCTTTTGGCCTTCGCCCTTGGCAATCTTCATGCACTGCAAAAAGCTTCGGAATAAGTCTTACAAGGATGATATTTTTGCTATTAATATTTTTTTAAAAAATAGTTGCTAACTTCAGAATAAAAAGAAGCCGTTCCTTTAATTCTCTGGACAGTCTCAGAATTTCCTTTTCCTGCATTTCAACTTGTTTCTCCAACTTGGCAGCGTTCTTCTGCGCCGATTCGGCTTTGCTGAGTTCCTTTTCTTCGGCCGAGCGCGCTGCTAGAAGTTCGCGAGTGTGAAGCGCCTTCAGATTTTCGATCGCAGAAGCGTTTTCGCTTTCTTGCTTTGACAACTTTGCGGCGTAATCGCTTTGTAAATCGTTTCGTTCTAGCCGCAGACTCGAAATCGCCGAGTTCAGTCGGTCTTTTTCGTCTTTTAATTGCGCTTCTAGCTCTTGGATTCGCTTCAAACCTTAAAATATCAGTTTTTTAGATCGATATCAAAGAAGAAAATTCTAGACCCTGATTTTTCGGGGTTATAAACCTGAGTCAGGGTCCTAAACGAGCTTAAAAGCCGCCAAAATTAAGCGTTCTTTACTTTAACAATCTTAATAAGAGCAGCTACACGCCTTTATAGAAAAGCTCTTTCAGGACCCTGACTCATGTTTATGCACGCCTTGCCGAGCCCAGGCTTACTTGATTGATCCGGGCCTTTGGGCCGTCTCGAGAGCTCAAAAGTCAGTTTCGATTTGTCCTTTTGCCATTCGTCCTTTTCGATGCTGAGTCGTTCCTCGAACGAGCTTTTCTGGAGCATCAACTGTTCATTCTGCGCCTCGAGTTCCGACTGCGCCACTTTGAGCGTTTTCACCGTGTTCTGGAGCTGCGATTTCTCGTGAAGCCAAGCTCTCTCCGCCGCGTTAACTCGGTCGTGGATGGTTTTTTCGACTTCGGCCGAAGAAGGGCCGTTTTTTAACTTAGAAATTCTAATAAGCGGATAGTTCAACAAGCAAATGGGCTCGAAAACCTGTGGAAAATTACCTGTTTGAGGTGTTTGACTTCTGCGTGGTGTTTCTCGATGAGGTATCGGATTTTGGCGTCTTGGTCTTCGCACTTGGTGTTTAAATTGTAGACGACTTTGGTCAGCTGGGCGATCTTGCGGCTCATCTTCTGGTGGATGTCGTTGACGTCGCCGTCGCCCATCGCCGGACTCATCATTCTACTCATCCTCGATCGCCAGCTTCGACAACTGCTTCCGATTCGATTTCAATTCCTCTGAAAAAATGCGAAAATTAAAGAAAGCGTCATTTCCCTTTGTGGCTCATAATTAGGGGGAATTAGCACAATCGTTTTCGCATTTTTAAAAAGTGATTGATGCCTCCTCTTGCCTGCCCAGCTCTACAAATTCAGAGGATGGCTCGACAAACCGTGTACAAAACATGAGTCAAGATCCTAAGCGGCTTTTTTCAATACGAAGCCGCCAAGGTGAGAATTTTAACGATCCTGACTCAGGTTTTTCCACAGGTTGCCCTACCCAGTTCACAGCTTTTCGTGTTTTATTTAAGTTAAGTGGCAGATAAATGATATAGCAGAACATTAGTGCTAAAGATCGCAAATACGGACAAAAGTCGAACTTGCGGAACAAACTTCAAATCGGACTTATTTTTAACTTAGCTTCCGGTAATAAAATCGTGCTGGAGAGCCTCGGCTGGTCGCAGTCGCTTGTGGGGATTTGGGTTGAGAAGTCCCTTGAGCAGATTCACTGCGGAGAACCATTCGAGGGAATTGGTGTCATCGGTTGGAGCTGGACTTTCTGACCCTTCGGAAGAGTAAATTCCCGACTCTGCTTCCTCGTAGCCGTCTTCGGGCGGGTAGGAGTTAATCCTTAAAGTTTGTTTAACAAGAGTCATTCCCGAAAGAACGCCTTTCAGAAAATACCTCAGTGTTTTGACAAGCTCATCGAAGTCGACAACTTCAGGCTTCATATTCGTGTCCAACGTCTTGTCCATCGCTTTAGCCGCCTCCTTCAATTGGCCCCAGCCGAGAACTTGCGCCATCATCGCGAGCGAGTCCATATCATCCGCTTTCGGAAAGAACGGGTATCTGCGAGTGACGATGCTCAGCATGCACACACCGGCGGCGTAGACATCGATTTGTCCGTCTGACAGAAATTAGAAAGTCAATTTGTTTCAATCGCGCTAATTTACCGTAATTGGGGTACTTCATCAAAATCTCTGGGGCACGGAATCCGGCAGTTCCTCCTCGATCAACTTGCTGCTTTGGCTTCCTCGCGCACTTTGAGCAGTACGTCGGTTCGTTGATACAGCGACAATGGTTTGCAAGGACGTCTTTCTGCAGCTTTGCTGGTTGTTCGCGATTCAATTCCGAGAGGCCGAAATCGATCAGTCGGCCTTCTCCAGTGACAGGATTGAAGAGGAAGTTCGCCGGCTTTACATCCCGATGAATAACTATCAATCACGTTGGAAAGTGGAAAAAGGGAAAGTGTTACCGTTGAGCTTCTGTAAGTATGCCAGGGCTCGGAGCAGACTGGTGGCGTACCACTTGATCTGGCAGAGGTTGAGTCTGTCGTAGTATGATTCGAATGCCTTGTTTTCGAAGTACACCATCACTATCGCGCAGTGACCTAATTTAAATCGCTGAGCAAAAAGTTAACCTTATGCCAACTTACCATCTGGCTCCATGTGATACATCAGTAGCTCGGAAATGTTGCCCAAACCATCCGCGAGCTCCAAAATTTCAATCTCCGTCTGCACTCGTTTGGGATGGTTGGAAGGCTTCAGCACTTTAATCGCCAGTGTGGGATTCTCCTTCTTTTTCACGTGTTTCTTCTCGCCCTTCGACTTCTTCATGTAGCCTTTGTATACATTCGAAAACGAGCCAGCACCAATTTGCTCGACGAATGAATACATTTTGTCGAATCGCGACTCCAGGAACTCTTTTTCCTCTTTGCTCAGAGGCGCAAAGTTCGGCATTTCAACGTCTCTACAAAAGAAAATTAGAACTAAGAGCTCGGCTGCCTGAAAAAGGCAACAGAAAGATGCTTTTACAATCTGCAAGTCCCCTTAAAGAGAGTGCACTTTAAACGACGGAATGATTTATACTTTTCAAAATTGAATTGGTTTATTGAATCGATGAATTGAAATGCGAGAATCAAAGAACTTCAAGGAATCATGACATGTGTTGAATAAAACTGAAATTATGAGTTAGAGCAGTTCAGAAGAAATAGTTCTGGAGAAGAGCCATCACTGGCGCACCGGTTGGCAGTCCTGGGAACGGGCCAGAGGAACCAGCAATATCCAAGTGAGCGTATTTCAGCGGCCTAAAAACGGTGTTAGGAGGGAACTTGACCGAATAATACGAGGGGATTTCGAGCTATTTACGTTAAAATCTTGATAAGGAAAGCATGTCTTACTTGTCAGAACCAAGACCGTGCTCCTTCAAGCCAGAAGTAAGAATCATGAAGGCGGCGGGAGTCTGATGTCCTCTGGCAGTTTGGGACGATGGCTTGTTATTGCACTGAAGGACGTCGGATTGCTCGTCCTTGCCCTTGTGGAAGAGGTAGTCCTCTCGTCGCAGTGTCGAGCAGTCGAACTGGTCGCCGATCTGCTCGCCAGCTTCTTGCAGCTTCAAGTGCAGATTCTCGCGGCGGTACGGGCCGTTGGGCACGATGGCAGTGTAGTCCCCGACTGCGAGGCAGGCGTGGCCCGTCAGTGTCGCGATCGTGTAGATTTCGGGGTCGGGGAGGTGCTCGTTCAGCGCCTTTTCTTTCGCGTGGCTAAAAAAGGTCATTTGATTCAAAATGAGGAAGTGAAGCTCTTACCAGAGAACGTCGACCATTGCCATTCGACCTTCAGCGTCGGTGTTACCGACTCGGACGCGAACCCCAGCGCGGCTGGTGATGATCTCGTCTGCGAGATAGGCTTCTGAGCCAACAGAATTTCGAACCATGGCCATTCCACCGATGACGCGCACTCCGGCCGGCTTGATCTTGGTCAGCGCGTATAAGAAAGAAGCAACTGCCGCTGCGCCGCCCTTGTCTCGGTGCATTCCAGCCATGTGGCCGCCGGCTTTGATGTCGGCTCCACCAGTATCGTAGGTGACACCCTTGCCGACGAGGAGAAGCGTCTTCTTCGCATCGCCGGGGTTGTAATCGAGCCAAATGACGCGGCCTCGGTGTCGCTCGACCGTGTTTGCACAGCGATCAACAGCGGCAAAGCAGGGGTACTCCTTCACCAGCGTTTCTGCTCCTTCCACGACATTGATGGAAACGCAGCTGCCGTTGAAAATGTCTCGCACGTATTTTTCCACCATTTTGGGCGCCATTCGTTCAGGATCGGAGCCAAGAATGTCTCGGTAGACGGTTTTCGCCGCCTCGATGTTTTGCGCCTTTTCCTGGACAGCTTTCGCAGAATCAGCGTTGTTCGACCAGATTCCCAGGCGCTCGGCTTTCTTAGCTTCCGATGGCTTCGATTCTCGATGCTCAAGGGTGGTGTACAGCGCGTGGTAGGCGCCGAGAAGGGTCACCAGCGTTGCGTTTTCAAAGCTGTCGCTGTGAAGCGAGATAATCGCCGGTTTCTTGGCTCCAGTGGCGAGGGCACGCTTGATCCCTGCTTCTCCTGCGTCGAAGAATCGGCGAACATCGTCCTCGCATCGGTTCAACGGGCCAGTCGGCGAGACGACCAATCGTTTTCCATTGACGACAGCAAGGTTGACGGAGCTCGAGAAGCTAGCATCGAGCTTGAGGTACTCGTTCAGCTGCGGAAATCGCTTGTCGATCTCGCCCTGGTGGCATTTGCAACCCAGATTGGCGACGAGTACGAAAATGTCTAAAAAGTCGAGTTGACTCTCAGTGAATCGAGGAAATGGATTAACCGTAGTTGCTATCGTCCATTGGACTTGCGTCATCGAGCACGCTCAGTGGGACGATCTCTACCATTCTTAAAAATCGAAGTTGATTGGGATGGCTGTGGATCTGGCGAAAGTCGCCGAAACGGGCGGGATAATGTGCAAATATTGGAAGGCAGTTCGTGTTTACATGATAAAATAAACAGCGGAAACGGGTCTCCTTCTTGATGTTCTTTAGTTTTTCTTCTGGATTCGTCTGATGCAATTCATGCCCGTAAAGGGACTCTCTTTTGGACTTTCAACGGTTAGAACTTTGTGACCTTTGATTGAACGGATGTACTCGCCCCAGGAAGAGGTGATTCGACAGCTAGGGCAGCGAAACTTCACGGGAATCACTTGCTCGAATGAAGAAGCTTGGTTTTCGCTCCTCAAACAGCTTCTGCTGAGACATACGGAGTGAAATTGTGCCTGGCAAACCTCGCGATCTAAAGTCTTTCATTACAGCTATTCCGAAAAGAGAGAAGAGCTCTACCTTTACAAGAGAGAGCACTTTTGTCGAGGGCTTTAGTGCAAATCACACAATTTGAAGAGTTTTGCGTGAGACACGGCTTCAGCGGGCTTGGTTTCCTTGGACTCGGCGCCCTTGTTCTGTAGTTATTTACCAATGCCATGAAACTCTCATCTGATCCACTTCCGTCGCTTTCTGAATCTGATCTTCTTTCGTCTCCATTTTCTCTTTAGATTTGAAGTTTTGGGATCAAATTTTCATAATCTTTTCTTACTGTGAGGAATAACTGTCGCTTTCTGCTACTTGAACGTCGTGTCCATCATCCTTTCTTCGAGGTTCACAAACCAAAAGCATTGAAAAATGCATGAGTAAGCTTGGTCAAATGCATCAAGAAACCCGTTCCTGATCAAGTTCCGGCTCGTTTTCTTGATCCTTCGAGCAGTTGATGAAGTCAACATGAACTCGGACATGAGAAGGAGGCGCTGGCTGCAGCGGTCGTTTGTACTTCTCGATGAACCAGCAGACATTCAGCGGCAATCGCGACCAAGGAGACGTGTGGAGCATGTGCGACATGATCCGGACCCTGTAGCTGCAGCTGGAAAAGAGAGCAACTCACCTGTTGCCCATTTTTGGCTGACCCAGAGTGAGCTCTAGTGTTGGTTAGGTATTATTTGGTAGTTATTGTCTATTTCTATTCTAATCTAGTGATCACCATCCTCAATTTTGATTGGCGAATCAGGTTTTTTTTAACGTTGCACATAATTGGTGGAGCGTTTTTGATGGTGTTAGAGTCGAGATATTTCATTTCTCTCTTTTGCACTTTGTTTAGGAGGGTCTGTTGTATGTTAAATAAGCTTTTGGTGTCGGCACCATCACTGGTGGTGGAGTAATCACGTCATCCAAAATACACTAAAATCATAGGGAAAAATCTTGATGACGTCATTACTCCGGCACCAACCTTGGTGCTGGCACCAAAAACTATCAGGTTTACTTCGTATACATGTAGGAAATATCTCTGTATGATAAAAAAGCATATCTGGTGCTTTCAAGGACTTTTAAAATTCTCCCTACCATTCACACTTTGGCGCGAATACCCAATGAATGACGTCATTACTCCACCACCAGTGATGCTGCCGACACCAAAATCTTATTTAACATACTACAGACCCTCCCTCACATGGTGCAAAAGAGATAACCAAAATATCTCAATTCTAACCCAATGAAAAGCGCTCCACAAAAATGGTGCAACGATAAAAAAAACCTGTTCGATCTAATTTGGGATTCTTAGAGATCTATCCTTTTATTGTCACTATTTCTGCTTTTGACAAAATCCAGTTCTAGAACTCGATTCTTAAGATTATGGTGTTCACCCGTGAAACAGTGAGAAATCTTAAAACAAAGATCGGGACGCATCTTTTCTAGCTCTTCCTGTAGTCGTACTGCGTTTCCTTGGATCTTTTCGCCGGCAAATGCTTCAATCGACGGGATGCTTTCGGGTTTTGCCAGGCCCACTCGAATCGCAGCCCGGAAATCTCGCTCGGAAAACCGTAGACGAAAAGAGTCTGTCAAAAGGGATAGTTTTATTCTTCATTCGACCGGTTGTGCGGGTTACTAGCTAACCGTAACATATCCAAACCGAAATGGGTCACTACAGCCTTGTTTTCTACGGAAGCGGGTTAATTTTGAGTCACCGAGGCCGTTTCAATTGAGTTCTGATTCTGGGTGGCCTTGATGATTCAAAACTTCTATTCTATTTTATTGGTAGTTAGCGACCCATACCCATGGGCCCTTGAGGTTGGTTTTTCTAGCGCCGCCTTTGTGAATTCCACTGTTGTGCTGCATAATCCTCCTCTGCGGATTCACAGTGTACCCGATGTAAGTTCTTCCCTTCGTGCTGGGATTGAGCGAGCAAAGAAGATAGCAACCGTGCAGATTTTCAATTTCGAGCATTCTGAAAGATAATGATTTCAAATAAACAGACTCATTTCAAGTAAAAATTCGTGTATCTGTATTTTCATTTTCGTTTGTTAAAGATTTTCTTTGCGAGGCGTTGTTTAACAGTGGAACTTTCTTTTGGAGTCTTCTTTCTTTTTCTCGAGTACTCTTTTAGCTCTTTATCTTGGGCAGGAGTAGGAGACGCCAATTGGCCGACGACTGCGCCCTGAACGTCTCGGTCGACGATTTTTCCATGAAAGGGGCACTTTTCCGCGTCCATTCTAGAGCACAGCTTTCCATTGGGCATCGGAGCTCGACAAGTTCGCGTGATGCGCTTTTCCTCGATGGCGATGTCCTCGGTTGTGTAGTAAATCGTCCCGGCCATTGATTTTGCTCGATCGAGGCTGAAAAGAGCTGAGTTAGTCTAGATTCTTAACTTAAGAATACCTACTTGACTTCTGAGTCCGGCGAAGTAAAATGGTGCCTTTCGACGAGCTGGGCGGAGACGGAGTTTCTTGTGTCGACGAAATTGTCGCTCGTTTTGCTGTGATTTTCCAGCTCGCTTATCGGAATGCGGCTCTTGTTTCTGTCATCGTTCTTTGCGACGGTGTTTTTCGTTTCTTGCTTCTTCGGCTGGACGATTTCTTTCATGTATTCTGCCTCGGCCGCTTCCTCGTCTGTTGACACATCTTCGAACTCGTCTTCTTCGTCTTCCGAATCGTCGTAGAAATTCAGCGACTTGTATTTTCTGAGCAACAATTGAACTTGGCTATTCGCCGAGACGATCTGCTCCAGCCGCTGGGCCTCGATGAAGAGATCGCCGCCGATCCACATTCGCAGCCGCTTCCCAAGCTTTTCCAATTGAGCGACGATTGGGCGGAGTTGTGACTCGACGAGTTCCACTGCGCCTTCTCGCTTCACGCGGATTTTGGAGAAGTTGAGATCCAACTGTATTGTCGAGCCGCTGGTTGTCGCTTTTTCATCTTCAGGGTTGACAGACGATCCTAAAATAGATTTATTAGCAGAAACATGAGTTATTTTGAAGCTGCCAGTCCTGGGCACCGCAACTTTTGTAAAAGCCTTCTGGACTCAAGTCAGGGTTCTGAAATGCTTTAACGAACAATTTGAGGTAGAAAAATATTTGGATTGGCAGAAAATTCAGCGATTATTGTAAAGAACTAAGAGCTTCTTGATACTATTTCTACCTGAGTTGGCAGCTCTGCTCGAACTGTTTGAGAGCGGCACGATAATTTCAAAGAGCGATCGAACTTCGGCCGTGGCCACATCCGCCGCTTGAACAGTTTCGTCGATGATTTCTTCCAGTCGCGAATTCCCACTTGTCGAAGGAGCGGTTTCTTCTCCATTCTGCGCAGCTTCTTCTCGACTTTCGACGAGTTCAAGTTCTTCGAAGTCGACTCCTTTGTTCGTCAAAGTTTGCATCAAGCAGTCGAGTTTTCCGTAGACACCCTTGAATTTTCGATGCCAGGCTTTGAGCGTCCGAATCCCCAGTTTCCGCAGCTCGGACGAGTTCTTCAGTCCGGAGAAAAGTGCCGCCTCTGAGAGTCGATCACACTTGGGCACAACGAGTTCTCGCATCGTCCTCGACCGCAAAAACAGTTCGGAAAGGATCTTCAGCGCAATTTCTCGTTTCTGCGCGCATTTCTGCCTCGGCGAAGTGAGAATAGACCAGAGTCGGGAATGAACAGCGGCGACCGCGTCCGTGCTCTTCTTGCAAACGCTTTTGATTGTTTCTAGCGCGCCGGGAGCTAGGTGCTTTTTCTCGCAAGCGATCTTTTAGAAGGATATATTGCTGTTTGAAATCGAAGTCTTCGATTAGTTTTTCAACAAAATTATAAATCTATAAATTATTATTATAATACGGCTCCCCGTTTCAACGGACAAATACCGTGATTCACATTTCTGATTGACCAGAATCGATTTCTATTGTAATTCGTTTGAACAAAAGTCCTATGTTTTAGCACAGGGAAATGTTCAAACGATTTTGACTTGGTCACTCACGAATGTGAATCGCGGTATTTCTGGGGTATCTCACAACCCACTGACCCAAAACAAAAGGTCAAAATATTTTCAGAAATTGCATTTCTGCAACAATCCTTTACTAAAGCAACCGCATCTTCAGTTTTCCATTCCATTTATCGTTTTCTCACAAGGCTTCTGAATTTTCTCCTTTTCTTCAATTTTCTTGGATTTTCTCAGCGCGCGAAATTCAAAAGCGCATAGGATGACTCATCGCGAGCTCAACGCGCTTGATCATTTTTCGCTCGCAGAGAATTTTTCTAAACTTTAGAATCTTAAAAAGCTTTTTTCTTCCATTACCGCCAAAAGAAAGATCTGTCATTTTTATCTTCAAACATTTATTCTTAAAAACTTTGAGTGTTGTAAAAAAAGTTTTTTTTTTCTGCAAATTTGTAACTCTGATTAGTTCATATTAAATTGATCAATGATTAAGTGGTTGATATGAGTTCGGATAGAATTTCTGTCTTTTTGTTTTCGCCAGCTCTGTAGTTCTTTGACTTTTCGCTCTCTTCGAATCGCTCCAAGCGAGGACTTCTTGGGCTATCAAGAACTTTTAAAGATGATGTCTGTTTGCTAGCTCTAATTTAGAGCTTTGTGGAGACACTATTCAACAAAGAGAAAATGTGTTCATTTCCTGTTGAATTGTATTTCTACGAAGCTATAACCAGCGCTAGAAAGAACACGAAACTTGCGCCCATTCCTATTTTCATTTTTGTTGAGATTTTTGGAAAGCATTTGAGCCGAGAGGATGATTTCATTCAGTTTTTCGCGAGCAGCATCGGCATTTTCAAGGCTCAGATCTTGGATTTGTTCTTTGAGGGTGTCCGCGTTCGCCTAGTTCGATTCTTTTAGTTAAAATAAAAACGAATATATTTTACTTCTCGGAGAGTGTAGATTCTGATCGTCATGTCCTGCCCGTTTTCTTTTGCTCTTTTTGAAACGAACGATTTTTTCTAAAAGCGGAATTAAAAACACTCTCAAATGCCCTTGAAACCTCGACAAGTTCGCATGCGTGCTCGTCCACTATTCTGTCTGTATATCTCCGCTTGTCTTCTGTGTAATTCTCGTCTATCGCAATGTGTGTGCCCTGTTCTTTTGGATTCGCGCCTTTCATGAAACTCGAAAACATATTTTATTCTAAATTTCGGCCTCAATTTCGAGCTCCTTTCCCATGTACTCTTCAACTTCCAATTTTCCCGAGACCATGAACTCCCTCTTCTTCATCAGTACCTTGATCCTATGCTCCCAAAACGCGTCCGAGACACGTTTGTCCGTCGCCATTCTGTAAAAACCGTCGTCGACGACGATTCCTTGCCTGATGCACTCGTTTATGTCTCGGCACCGTTTCATGTAGGGGCTCGACTCTTCTTTGCTTTCACTTATCTCGCTACCGTCCACTTCTGCTTCCCCATCTCTTATTTCCTTCAGTTCTTTCTTGATCTTTACTTTGAACTCGTCGAAGTCGCAGTCCTTGTCCAAGGCCCACTTGAGAAAAGCGTCGGACAGCTCGTGCTCGAGCATCAAAGGAGACAAAAACTTTATTTTCGCATCGTACAACTTCTTTTCTTCAGCTTCTCGTTCTTGACGTTCCCTTTCTTCCGCTTCCCTGATTTCTTCGGTGTCACTTTCTTCTTCCTCGCTGCTTTCAGAAACTAAAAAATATTAAAAATTTCATCGGAGTCGAAAAGTAAGCTCAGCATCTTTTGTTGGACAGCTGAATTAAGACCCTGAAAAAGATAAAAAAGGCGTTAAACTAAGCCTGAGCTCGCCAACCTGTTTAAAAAAGCTGAGTCAGGTTTGGAAGAGCTGCGTAGCGGCTTTTCATTTTTGCTCTTCAAAGCCTGACTCAGGCTTTCTACGCAGGTTGCCGAACCCAGGCTGTTTCTCTGCTTACAGCTATAACCGTCGCCTTCGAAAGAAATCGTCTTCCTGTAGGGAGGCCTTTCGTCGGCAGGTTCTTCTGACTGCTGCCTTAAAATGCTTCGGCTTCGGATTCTTGGGTCGTGTTTGAGCATTTTCTCGACTTCATCTGATGTCTAAAAGAAGCTGCGAAACAAGTACGCTCGTAAAAATAGCGATCGTTTAAACTTTGATTAATTTCTTTTTGAAAGAAAATTAATTACCAGTGCGGGAGTGAACTCGGCTCCGGAAAGGATGCTATTCGTAGAAGGTCCATTCCGCATTCTATTTTTTATTTTTCGATCTCTCTTTTATGCGAAATAGCGACAATCAAAGCCATCGCCAGTTTTCTGTTTTTATTGTCCGAAGTCGTAACTTTTCATAATTTGAAAAAACAAGTGTCTTTTTCAGAATGTTGAAAAATAAAAAAATGATGAGGAGTCTGCAAAAAATGAGGAAAGCGAAAATGATCGTCGATGCTAATTTCGGTTTCCAAAGTTATTTGTCTTCCATCCCACTTTCGTCTGGGCTCGGCAACCTGTTGACAGAACCTGAGTCAGGGTCTGCAAAATCTTAGAACAAAGCGGCTTTTCATTTTAGTTATATCAGAGCCTAACTCAGTTTTCCTACACAGGTTGCCAAGCCCAGTTTTCAATGTCAATTGCGAAACCGTTTGTGAAGTCTTCAAGCCTTGCGAATGGGGATCAAAGACTTCTGGCTGGTGGACGAAATTAGCGACGATGAGGAGTTCAAATTCCTCATTGAAGAAATTGTAAAAGAACCAGACACTTTTACTTTCGAGGAAATTTGCGGCGAGAATTTTGTGCGGAGAAAAACGCGCCCCAATGAAGAAGTGGAAATTCACGCTAGAATGTTTGTGAACATTTCGGACGGGCGCACTGGAACCGTTGAAATTGGCGACTTCGTTCCGCCGAAGTTGGAGTTTGGGCCCGATTGGAAACCTCAGAAGACGTTTCATATTCCGACAGTGTTTGGAATTCTTCTTGGTTACCCGGTGGTCTATTTGCTCAACGAGGACGAGAGAACGGGGATTTTGGAAGGCGTCGATTTAGGAATCGCGGGATGCAAGTCTTGAACTACATATGTGCCTCATGACGGCAGCATCTAAATTAGATAGACTATATAGCAATTTTTATCTGGGCTCAGAAACCTGTGGCTTCGCGGCTTTTATCGAGAAACTTCCAGGACTCTGACTCAGGTTTTCTGCAATGTTTGCCGAGCTCAGACTATTATCCAGCTTGGCAAAGTCAATAAACAGCAACTTCTCATGTCTATTTGCATCCTGGCTAAAGACCTTTACCAGATATTTATCGATGAAATTCGCGTCCTGTCATTTTCACTGCCTTCTTCAACCGCCCTCGATCCAAAAATCGACCGCCAAATCAAATCCTGGGTCAGCCGAGCTTTCGAAGTTATAAAAGACAGCGAAAACGCATCGATCATAAAATCCGTCGTCAATCTTTCGAATGTCAACATTTAGAGAGCAGTTCTTATGATCATTATTGTTATTTCTTCAGAATGAGCCGGATAAATGTTGGCTGTACAAGAGTGACGCTGGAAGTCAGAGATGATGAATACACTGAAAGTAAGTTTCTCTTTGAAGAGAATGGACTTGGCAACCTGTGCGGAAAACCTGAGTCAGAGTCGAGAACGAACTTTGATAAAAAGCTAATAGGCTTCTGCTGAGGGTATTTCAGAACCTTGACGCAGGTTTTCCACACAGGTTACCGAACCAAGGTTAGGGGTGGAGCCTTGATCGACAACCTGAGTAAGGGATTCTGAGTCAGGGTCCTGTAAAAAAATTGAATAATAAGCCGCGTATCAGCTTTTTTTAGAAATCAAGGCACTGGTATTTAGAAAAACCAAACCATCGCCCCCTATTCCACGTAATAAACTAAATGCCTTCAGTATTCCTCGACCGGAGCTACTGCGACATACAGATCGATCCAGTTTTCTTCCAGCAATTGGACGCGATCAAGAGCGATCCGGGCTTCTTCAACACGAGGCAGCAAAAGTACAATTTGCACCACAGCGATTTGCCAGAAGGCGACAAGTTCTTCAGCTTTCTTGGCGGAAAGCAAGTCTCCCTTCCGGACGCGAGGAGCATCAACTGCTTTCAGAAATGCTGCTACTTCTTTCAACTCGGCAATTTGGCGAGTTTGGTGGAAGGAAAGAGCTCGGCCTCGATAAATTTGGACGATTACAGAAAAGTGTTTTCCGAGGCTAACCAATTCAAGGCGCCACCAGAGGTTTTAGAAGACCGGAAGCCAAAAACCTTCCTATCCTCACTTCCAGTCCAAGAACAGCTGCCAAAGCGCCGGTGATTACGAGCCCCTTTCAACGGGGTAATTTTAATCAAGGTACAATAAAAGAAAAATCTATCGCCTGGAAGTCTAAAACGGTTTTTAGAAAATCTGACGCCCTCAGGTCATCCTGCTCAAACCGAAAGCTACATCACGAAAAGCCATGCTAGTCACCGTCCCGACGTCCCCGACCCTAAAGTCCAACAGATGCACGATCAAATGTATAACATGAGTCTCCGAGAAAAAGTGGATAACTGGGAAATGGCAACTAACCCAGATAATCCAACGCCGACCTCGCTTGGGCCTCCAAGGCCGCCTTTACAAGCTGCAGGAACGAACAACCTCTTTGATCAAATTTCTTTGGCTCAAACTTCCTGTTTTCTGGCTTCGAAGGAGAAAACTAGAAATGAAATCGACGGGGACGGAGTTCTGCAGACAAGAGTCGACCACGAAAGGTAAAAACTGCAGCTTGTTTTGCTATTCTTTAGAATTTCAGCGACATTGAATTCAGCGATATTTCTGCGCGGCCGCATTTTACGTTAAACAATAGGAAATCGTCAGTTCTAAGAAGCCAAGCTTCGAAATTTCCATTTAGGGGTACAAAATGCACTAATGAAGAGCGAATTGAGCTGATTAAAATGATTAAAGCACCTTGATTTGAATTTCTGGAATGTTGATTGTCCTGAGCCAGGACAATTGATTCAACTTCGAAAAAGTCATATTTATTTTCAGCGAGCAAGAAATCTCGTTCGAATCGACTTTCTCCTCCCAAACTGATTACGCGAACAATCCAATCGGCAGCTTACAGGAAACGCTTCAGAAGGATGGTTTGGCTTGCCCAACTTATCAAAGTCACAAAGGAGACGGTAAGAAAAATAGACGGCACAAATAGAATCTAATCCCTGAAGTATTCCCTCGTTGAAATTCAAGTTTAGACGGCAAAGTAGAAGTGACCTGTCGAGCAAGCGGGGAAGAAACGCGCGCCTTTGGCAAAACAGAAAACGAGGCGAAGCGAAAAGCGGCGCATCTAATGATGCAGCTTCTGCGCAACTCCGGCTCTGACTCGGGCATCAAGGAGTACGAAGACATACCTTCGACGGCGGAGGCGGTGCGCTTCTTCGAAGAAAACCTGAAGTCGAAAAAGGCAAGAAAATGGAACTGCCCGCCAACGACGCCAGATCGACATTTAACCTCTTTGCGCAGCAATTCCCAGCCATGGTCGAAGTCCACGGCTTGGGAAAGAACGATCACAAGTTTTCTGGCAACGATCATTGCAGGAACGCGGATTTTTTCATCTCCATTTTTCATTTTATAAGGCTGATTAATTATTTATTTAGAATTATTTTTTATTTAAAAAGCCGCTGTAAAAGAGAATACCAATACTTTGGGACGGCCCGCTTTCGCTACAGCAATTTGGACAAGCAGGTTCACTCCGTTTTCGTAGTCAAGGCGGAGAGCGTCAGCCGCGAGAAAAACGAGCCCAGCAAAGTTGCTACGCCAAGTTGTTAAACGCCATCTACGAGCAGCTGAAGGAAGAAAAGAAGAAGTCGAACATTCGCATTCCCTAGCTGCTTCCTTCCTTGATTCAATCATAACTGTACATAACCGACCCAAGCACTATCATGTCTGCCCAATACTGAAACCTGAACTGACCTTTTTCTTTCTTCATCGATTCAAAAATTATTTCTGCTTCCCTGAATAAAAGTTCCTGAAAATCCGCGAAAATCGGAACACTGAATAATTAGTAATCACGGGTAAATTTATCGAGTCTGATTATTCTTTTCATTCTTTCAAATATTTATTTTGATAAATTGAGAGCACAAGCAGGTTTATAGTTAAATTCAGGGCTTGCAAAATGCGAAGTTGTGTTGGGATTTTTCGGAATTTTGAAGTTGAATCAAGCAAGAATGAGGCGAAATATAAAAATCAGATGCTTCTTTTCTTTGACTGCGCTTCTTGAAGATCTTGAAGACTTCTTGATGCTCTCCAAGTCGTCAGCAAGGGAATATCTCGGAATCTCGATCGAGAGAGTAAAAGTAATTTACTTTTGAAAAAGTAGTTGAAAAGGGTTGAGGATGGAAAAAGGTCGACCATCGTGGTGACATTTTTTGAAAATGGCAAAATCGAGCGCTAAAGCAATCCCTTCTATTTTCAACATTCTTTACGCGGAACTTGGTTTTCAAATCGTTTTTAATGTCTTTTTCTGCGAGTCTTCTGGAAAGAGTGAGTTCGTTGGAGAGATTGGCTCTTTCCCTCGTCGACGCAATAAGAGAAATCAAGGAAGAACTCAAACCAGAAGAAGTCACAGGGAAAGGTGGCGAAATTCAGATTTTAACGGAAGGTTACAATTATCCTGAGGATCATCCTCAGGATACCCTCTGGAAATGAATCCTGAGGATTGTCCTCAGGATACCTTTCATAAACCTATCCTGAGGATAAGACACAGGATACACTCTAGAAACGGATCCTGGGTATCAGATCATAAAATTTCTTCGATAAAATTAGTCCTGAGGATAAGAAAAAACTGACAGACTCAGTCCCAGAGTTTACTACAAGACAGGCGCGGAGCGCACACACGCTCCTTGACTTAGAACCGCGCAAATCTTTTCCTCAGAAATCATCTTTGTACTTCTTTTTCTAGGCTCGATCCTCAGGATACGCTTTTAAAAGGTATCCTGAGGATTGTCCTCAGGATTCATTTCTGGAGGGTATCCTGAGGATGATCCTCAGGATAATTGTATACTTCAAAAAACAAGTTTTTCACCCCGAGAAAGTGAAAATGGAAGCGGAAGATGACGATCCTCCTTTAGTTACTGTAGAAAACAATCCGGCTCAGGATCCACTCCAGCTGGCAGTTAGACCAGTCGTCCAGAGTCAGAGACTCCCGCATCCTCCGAAAATGATGGAGCTGAAATTTACCTCGAGGGATGAAGTGCCAATGATTTCGCCAGCCAACTTCGGTGCAGTTCCCGTCCCTCGTTTTTCAGGTAAAACTTCGGAAAAGCACCTTCTTTCATTTTCAAGCCGGAGGAAAATTCAATTTCCAGCGCGGCTGTGCTCCGCCGCCTTTGTCCTCGCTGGCGCATCTGATTCCTTCGCGGCGAGGCAAAAAAACGCTCTGGCTCTTTCTTCTCGAAATGTTGACTGACGCGGCGTGTAAGGACATCATCCGCTGGACTGGCAACGGTCACGAGTTTCGTCTGCTAGACATTCCCGAGATTGTCAAGAGATGGGCCAAGCTCAAGAACAAACCGGCGATGACTAGGGAAACTCGATGAAAAATGAACTTTTTATGGGCTTTGTAGGGACGAGGTATAATACAGTTTTAGAAAGCCCAGAAGCTGGGGATCATTTTTGACTATTTACAGTAAGGGGTTTGACCCATGCCCTGGGGCATTTTTCCCTTCTAAAGAGCCGAAAATCTGGTACTTTCAGAATAGAGGGTCGTAACTTCTAGTATCCCGGATTTATTTCAATAAAACTTAAACCAGATTGTAGATGACGCTCTGACGGTTCAGAAAATGTGTAGAAAACTATCGTTATCGGCATTCTAGAGGGCGCTAGAGGCTCTAGAAGTTGAGGAAGTCGACCGAAAATCGGGACTCTTGGTCCCAAAAGTACGAAAATGTTATTTTACTCGACTAAAATAGATTAAAGAACGTCTCGAATAGATTATTAGATGTCAAAAATGTATTTTGGAGTCATTTCAGGTATTTCGGGGTGAGCTACTACGAAATTCTATTTTTGTATAATATGACCCCAAGTGACCTTAACTGACCCTTGAACACTTTTCTAACAATTTTTTATCGATTCAGAACATCCTTTATTGTATTTCAGTCGAGTAAAATAACATTTTCGTACTTTTTGGGACCAAGAGTCCCGATTTTCGGCCGACTTCCTCAACTTCTAGAGCCTCTAGCGCCCTCTAGAATGCCGATAACGATAGTTTTCTACACATTTTCTGAACCGTCAGAGCGTCATCTACAATCTGGTTTAAGTTTTATTGAAATAAATCCGGGATACTAGAAGTTACGACCCTCTATTCTGAAAGTACCAGATTTTCGGCTCTTTAGAAGGGAAAAATGCCCCAGGGCATGGGTCAGACCCTTACTGTAAATAGTCAAAATGATCCTCAGCTTCTGGGCTTTCTAAAACTGTATTATACCTCGTCCCTACTAAGCCCATAAAAGTTCATTTTTCATCGAGTTTCCTAGCGATGACCTACGAGTGCATGTCCAGGTAAGGGATATTTGAAATTTCATCTTGGCCTGAGTAAGGCTCCGGATGCGCTAAAATGATAAGCCGCGTAGCGGCTTTTATTAAAACGAAGCCGCGAAGCGTCTTCGAAAAAATTTCAACTAGATTGAGATGAAAATATTTTCAAGAAGATGTCGATTTTCAATTTGGATGATTTAATTTAGATCACTGCGGCAATATAAACAAAGTGGCATCATGCGAAAAGGCGTTGGGAATTATTGCTACGAGTTTATGGTCCCTCCAAACGAGCTGCTAGCCTCGGCCATTTACGAATAAGCAATTTGAAATGGAACTCTCAACGAGTATTTTCTATTTTATTTTTCAATTAAAATCAATAAAAGAAGGCTTTAATCTTTTCCGACTTTGTTTCTTTTAGCTATCTTTTTGAGCTTTCTAATGTTTTGAGCTACTGCAAGAGACAGTGACTCGGGTAGAGTAAAGTAGCAGTGCGGGAGAAAAAAAGAGAGCCGCGCAGGGCGCTTTTTGGCTGTGCGAAAAAAGTGGTGTGAAATACAGTTGGGCCGCTGTGGGGCTGTGTTCTGTGCTCGCGAGTGGAAACGTGACTGTTTGAATTCGTGAATGTGCGAAATGTCTGGGCCGGGCAACAGCGCTCCCCGCCCTCACTACACATCATTGCGTAACATGAGACATCGGCTCACATTTGTGTTGTCTCGGGCTTTTTTGTTTTTCTGCCTCTTTGTCCTCTTTGCGGCTCTCCTGTCCAGCCGCTGTCCACTCTGCCAAGCCAAGAAGAGAGAGATTTTTTGACACTCAGGAAACGAACTCGCAAATACACAAAAATCGAGACATTGGCCTCTTTTTCTCACATTAGAAGGTAAATTCAAATGTTGACATTTCAGTTTTTTCTTATATATTAATTTTCCTAGCAGATATTCTTATTTAGTATTTATGAAAAAGATAAAACAAAAGAAATCGCATATTTTCCATTTTGAAAAAAAGTTTTTTTAATAATTAATTATAAATAAAAGTTTTTCATAAATTGACATTTTAGTTTTTAATTCGGCTATTGATAGGCTAGTAGCTTATATTGAAAATATAATAAAATATATAATAATAAAAAGGCTAATAATAAAAATTTTTAAAATGAGAGAAAAAGATATATAAATACATTCAGTGAGTTTAGTTGGTTTAAATTGCTTAAAATTATTTAATACTTATTATTAAATTTATGATTATTTCATATTTATTTATCAGTTTTCTTATTTATTCTTATTAAACTAACGAACATAAAATTAAGCACCATCTCCATGTCTATATTTACTGATTTCAGTTAAAATTTTATGGAATGTATTCATGACATTGGCCTGTAGGCTCTACACTGTAGAGTCTACAGTGTAGAGCGAGATATAAATTCCCAAATTTCAGAAAACGAGACATTCTTTCGAAAGTGATCTCGGCGGCTGAAATGTCATCTCGATTGAAATGTCAAAAGTATCAACAAAAATACACCTCTAGTGAGACTTCCGATAACTAGCTCGCTGGGAAACTAACTCGTATTGATTTTCGCCCCTTTTTCTAGAATCAAAAATATTCAAGAGACAGGGAGCGCTCACAGCCAGACTGCGCTGCAAGTTACAGTAGGAGCTGCTGTGTATTCTGCTGCCTGAATCTAAAAATAACTTTCTTTTTGGCGAGTCGATTTTTGAGACAAAGAGAGAAGAAGAAACAGTTGAATGTGGACTTGCGTGGAAAGCCGAGACGGCCAGTTTGGCCAAATGATCAGGAAGATTGTCTTTGGCGACATTTACGAAAACGAGGATTATGCACGACAGCGCATTCCCATTCCCAAAAACATTGAGCTAAAGGTGAAACTCTTCAATGCGAAAAACTCGGTTTAAAATGTCTCGCTTATTTTATGGATAACAATTAGATAAAATATTAAAAATTGAGTCAACTGTTATCATTAGTAATCTAATAATTTATTACAATTTTAGACTAGAAAATTGTTGACTCTAAAAATAAGGCTGTCATTAATTAGTAAACTTTTGGTGAAGTGATTCGCCAAAAAATCCTCTACCTTTGTTGATTTTTTTTTGCAAAATTAACTGAAATTTTCTGCGAAAAGGAGAGTCTTAATATCGCTCTTTTTCCATATTTGCGCAGTGCACACTTCCGCTCGGGCAAAAATTCAAATAATCATGTCAAAAATCGACATTTTCCGGCTCTGATAAACTCGAATCCGTAGATGGGGAAGACGGTGAGTTTCTTCGAAAAAGCGGCCGTCCAAACTGCGGCGGTGGTGTGCTCCTCCCGGACTCATCAGGACATGGGCGCGCTGGACATTGTCTCGCAGATTTTGAACACGGAGCTCGAAATGGAAAACTTCCTGGCTACCTACAATCTCGCCAAACCAGCCACGGCTTTCTTAATAGATTGATATTGAAAAGAAGTCTGGGCTCGACAACCTATGAACAAAATCTGAGTCAGGTTCTAAATGAGCTAAACTGAAAAGCCGCCTAGCGGCTTTTCTTTAAACGAAACCGCTTTGCGGCTTAGCCAGAAATTAAGTACAGATTGAGTTGTTAGTATTTCCGAAGCCGAAAAGTGGCTTCGTTCTCAAAAACGCGGCTTTTCAATTTAACTCTTTTAAATCCTGACTCAGGTTTTTTACACAGCTTGCCGAGCCCAGAAAGAACTACAGCTAAAAAGCCGCTTTGAAAAGGAGTGATTCATTTTTACGGAAAAATCATCTTGGCTTACGAATTTTTAAAGTCGAAACTGGACGATATGCGATCAGTAACTGTAGTTCCGATGGAGCCCGAAATGCTCCCGCTCTCCGCCCTCCCGTGTTCTGAAATTAAGGTAAAAGGCTCTTCCCAAAATTGCCGAATTCAGTTTTCATTTTAGTTAGAAAGGAGCGACAACGAGCTTGACTTTGAAGAGTCGGAATTGATGATCGACGAGATGGAAGACGAAGACGCTGAAGAAACCCATGGCAACTCTCTCAATCTGCTTTCCGCTGATGACGCTGCCCGACTCACTGAAATGCTCGTTTCCGCGCAGAACAATTGCAACCCGCAACAAGATCTAGTCCTCACCGGAAGCATAAGGTCCCAGCCAGCCGTTTTTACGCGAAATAAACATTTCTATTCAGTAATTTGCTGGGGCAAGGAAGGCCGCAAAGGCCACTAGCTCCTGCTCCGGCGAAAAAAACTCCGTCGAACAATCGAAAGTCGAAAAATCCCTCTTGGAGCAAACAAAACGGCACTGGAAAAAGGAACAGGATCGAGAAGGAGCAAAACGGTAATGATTCGATGAAAAAGGCTCTTCTTCTATGTTTTCAGGAGACTCGTTGACAAGTCGTTATCGCGACACTTTGATTCACAAGTTCGACAAAGACGAATTGATCGTCCGTTTGAACCGGGACGAGGTCGACTTCCGGCCTTACTTCGACGAGCAATTCTGCTTCCTCCGCCTCGTTGTCGTCGACGAAAAAGTCTCGAATTATATTTATTGCGTCAACTGCAAGCAACTGCTCTGCTTCTTCGCGATCAACGTCAACTCGGGCGGCAAAGTTCAGGTTCGCTATTTTCATAACTGTCAATTAGATTTCTCGTTTTCTTGAATATAAAGCAAGACTCTGAGATTAAATTTTATTCATTAAGCTAAGCTGACCGATTTACTTGTTAGCTAAGAAAATTCTAGCCGGACCATACATATCATATTCTAGCGCTTATCTTACTAAGCTGGGGAAAATAGCTAAGCTGATGAAACAAATTTTGCATATAAAATGATCCGAAAAGAAGCTCGCTAAGCTGTGTTCGAAATAAAGCTAAGCTAACCTAAGATTACAGATTTTAACCATAGCTAGGCTGAGCTTAGCCCACGGCCTAGCTATCTCCGCTAGCGATTTTGATGAGACTGACTCCTCTTTTCAGACGAACACGATAAAAAAGCACAGTTCTGTTTGCAAATCTAACGCGGCGAATGGCCCCTCTTCATATTCAGAAATCAATGCTCCTCCTTTATTATCATCTCTTCCTGCTAACTCTATTTAGAAATAGTTTTTTTCCTTTGTACTTCAACTTTTTTGCTTCAATATTTTCTGTCACTTTTTAAATAAAGACCAAAAGAATGAAATCTCTATTTATTAAAAATAAGAAAAAAATGGGTACGGTGTTTCTCATGCTCAAAAAATGGAAATAAATGGAGTTAGAAAGAGTTTAGCAGCAATTCTTTGAAATTCGGGGTCTTGGTTGTTTTGGCTTTTTCGTGAGATGGTATGGCTACTTGTTGAGACTGGTACTTTGCGGGTGTTTCTTTCTTTTGTGCTTTTTAGTCTTCGATCCATTCATCAAACGGATCGAAGTCATGCTCCGTCAGAGGCAATTGAGTGGAGCTCGAGTCGCTGCTGGGCATGACGACAGAGTTGGAGGAAGAAGATCGGATCTGAGGAGACACTGTGCGGCTGGCTTCGTCCTCCGCCCGAGGTCTGAAAATCCGAATTAGCCCACAGCTTTAAAAATGAACCCAAAAAAATATTGACAATATGTTAATTTTTCGCTAAATTAAACGGTAAATCTTACCTCTGCCGGCCGAGCTGCTGGAGCGAGCTGGTCAAACTCGCCTTCGCGTCGACAAGTTGAACTTCAATCGCTCTCAAGTGCTTTCCGTTCTCCTCGAGCAGCCGCTCGAACTCGTCTCGCAAGTGAAAGTAGTCTTCGCATTTCTAAAAAAACGTAAAAATAAGAAGCGTCGTCTTTCGTACTTTAATGGCACTTTCGCTTTCTTTCTCCATCCTTTTCGCGACTTTGTCGTACCGGGAGTAGATTTCCGTCGCTTTTCGATGTTGCGAGTGGATCTTATCGCTATAAAAATTTGGGGATAACAATTTAAAGGCTGATTTAGGTGCTACCGTTGGAAAATCGCAGTTTGCGCCTTTTCGTTGGCTTCATTGAGCATTTCAAGCCACTGCGGCTCGAGTGGAAATTCGGCCATCTGTTCTTCGGCTACCTTACTCAGGATATTCACCAGGCCGAAAATCTGCACGTAAAAATTAAAAAAAAAACACAAAAATGGTTAAACGCTTTAAAAATCAAAAAGAACAATTTCAGTTGTATTTAAAAAAGCATCATTACTCCATGCAAATTTTTCATTTTTCATGCTCATGCTCAAACAAGTCTCTCTCTTTTTCTATTTTTTACCTGGAGGGTGATTGAGTCAGCTAAGCCTGTGCGAAATTTTAGCGTCAAAGAATCGGGTATAAAACAACTTATTTACGTCTATTTTGGGAATCTAGTCCATTTTTTTTTCATTCCAGAATGAAGAATACCCTTTGCTTGACAACGTCGCGCGCGTTTTTGAGCATCAGGATCGTCTGGTGATAGTCGTTCGAGAGTTTCTCAGCGTGGGATCGCGTCCGCGCCGATTTCTTGCGCGCTTCAAAGTACGGCCGCGTCCGATCGAGGGTTGACCCGAGCGCACGTGACTTTTGCTTCAACTTGCCGGAGAACTCGGTCATTAGCGCGCGGTTTTGGGTGCGAGCTTCTTCGGCCTCGCGTTCAAGGCTATTGATTTTTTGTTGACAGTGCTTTTCGCGGACTTTTAATTGAAATGGAGGAACTCGTAAGGACTATCGCCTAAGTGGCAAAGGATAAGAGCTTTTCAGTCCGAGCCTGAACACGGGCAAGATCTGACGTGACGTTATGCTGCTCGATTCGATAGGGACTGATTCTGTGGCTCTCGGAAAAAGTGGAGGAGCCTTCTTCTCCGAGTGCATCTTCGCCTAAAGTGTGCTCCGCGATGCTGCTCGGTGCGAACTCGTGTGTCCTTGGATAGCCGCTGTCGATCGAGGGCAGCTTAGAAAACGTCGAAAGTTCAAAATTGAGGCGTCCATTCTCGTCCCGCAGCTTTAAAATTGACCGTTTTTGGAAGAAGCATTTTCTTTTGGTTTATAAGGGTAACGTTGTTATTAAAAAGATGCTGTAATCGAGCAAAGTAGTTTTAAATAGCTTTTTTAAATTGGCGTCAGCGCATTTTTTACAATTTACGAGCTGTTTCAGTCAAGTAGAAATCAATTACGAATATTTGAAATCAGGAAAAAGTGGCCAGGAAAATTGCCTACCTGCTGGTTTTCTACTTGCAACAGCTCAATTTGCTGAAGCAATTCGCTGTTGAGATAATTTGCCGCGTCCAGGTTGTTGAGATTTGAAGATGGCGGGGTCAATTCTTCGTCGATATCTCGGAAGATGTCCTTAATTACACTTCAGTTCTTGTTGTTCATACAATTATGTATCATTTTTGGCTTTTATGATTTCATTTTTTTAGCTGCTACGAAGAAAAAAATTGGAAGAGAAAATAATATTTATTTAACAAAAAGCCTTAATTCGATTCAGTTGGGTACCTTGAAATTAAATTCTTTCGGCGTAGAATTCCCACTCATGATCTTCCCGCTTCTTTTCCAGCTCAATTTCAGAAATATTCGTTTTCAGTTTTGAAATTATCTCTTTAGTAAAGAATCGTTTGTCTCTTTTGATTCGGTTTACGAGCTGGGCGCCTATCCGAGCAATCACTCTCACCAATTCACTCCAATTATCATTTTAACTCGCTCCATCTCCAGTCTTAGACCGTTCTCCTCTTCCTCCCCTTCTTCGACTTTTTTATATTTAAAAAATTTCTTGGAAAAATAACAAGAGAGCTCTGGTAGTTTGACGCTCCTCAAAAGTCAAACAACTCGACGGGGGAGAAGGCGCGACAAAAGAAGAGCTTGTTGAGAATTCAGGGCGCGACTGTATTCGTAAGCTTTGCCCTAATCCAGCTCTCAGATCCGATATTGTCTCCCTTATCGAAAAAGCATCCGACGGAATGAGCGTTTCCGTTGTAAATGATGTCCTCTGTAGCACGAACAAGAATATTCGGAATTTCGGAATGTTTAATAGGTTCATTGCGTTAATATTATATATATCTGGGATCGGCAGCCTGATTAGAAATCCTGAGTCAGGATTTGAAAGATCTCTAATGAAAAGCCGCGTATTATTTTTACAATCTATTTTTAACTTCTGGCGAACTTGCGTTGTAAGAGCGCCGCTACTAGGCTTTTTCATTAGACTCTAATGATTAGAGATCTTTCAGACCCTGACTCAGGTTTTTTACACAGGCCAAGCCCAGATTTATATTTCACAGTGCAAAAGTATAAAAATGAGCAGAGTTGACGAGAAGAAGGAATTCGAAAGTTGAAAACAAATGACGTGATCGAAGAGGGATTGGGCGGAAGAGAAGTTCAAGAATGTAAATCACTTCTCGAACTGTGGGTTGTGGCCCAGTAGCCGTTAAAAAGCAACGCTTGACTTTCCTAATTGGGCCGCTTCGGGTATTTAGAGCGGAGACAACAAGGAGAACAGACAAAGCAAGAAATGAGCTTCGAGGAACTGAACACTTGGCTTTCGAGTTTCGACGGATTCGTCTCGCCCAACGTCGCCACGCGAGATTTCAGAGCGACCGGACGCGGCATCGTGGCAAATGAAAACCTGCGGAAGTTTGAAAAGATTTTTCAAATTCCCCAAGCGCTGATTATTTCGGGCCCGCGGATGCTCAAAAACGCAGAAGTACTCAGGTAACATTTATTTGACGTCACTTGCAGGAAATCAAGTAATATGAATCAGACACAAGAAAAGATTTTGTATGAGAAATTGAGATTATTTCAGCATATAAAATTGAATACGATCTTCGTTGTGTAAATGCTCTAAGGACGAGAGCTTCATTTTATTAATTATTTAGCATATTTTACACCTCTGCGAAAATTATTAAACTGCCAAAAAGAGAAATAAACGCATACATTATTGCTTTCATTTTAAAAAAAGTAAATTTTAGTATCTTCTCGACCTCTTCTGTAAAAGTCGACATTTCTCAAGTCTTCATCCTCTGGCTCTACTTAGGTATGTTTCTTCGCTTTTGCAGAAATTGACGTCTTCTTTTAAGAAATTCGAAAAGGGAAGAAGTCGCCGTTCCACACGTATCTGGACTCGATTCCGCAGCGCTACTGGATGGGAATCTGCGTCCCCGAAGAAGTCCATCCTTGCATTCCGAAGCAGACGCTGGCCACGCTGCGGGACGAGATCGTCTTCGTACGTGCCAAGTTCGCCAATTTCTGCAAAGCGACAGAACACACTTGGCTCAAAGGAACGGGCCTCCTCTCTATTTTACATTCTTTAAGAAAAACTGTGCACTTTGGCCGCTCAAGTTCGGCCACAACTGCGCTTAGCACTTTTTGCACCTTATCAATTACGTCAACTGGCGAGGCATTATCGAGCACTGATTTAGTGCTGCATCTTCTCGAAAAAAGGGAGCCAAATGAAAGGGAGAATCAACTACACGCAGTTTTGCCACTTGTACGCGATTGTCAAAAGCCGCGTCGTCGGTGTCTGCGGACTCGTTTACAACAACAAAGAAACAGAAGAAATAAAGTGGATCGAGTGGGGCAGTCCTTACGATGACGCAATTTTATGCCCCGTTTTCGACTTGCTCAATAATTCCTGCGATTCCAACGCTTCCTACTCGTTTGATCCCTCCTCGAAGAGCATGCTTGTCGAAATGGAAGAAGACATTAAAGGTTAGGCTAACAATTATCTGCTTTATGAGTTTGGCTCGCCAACCTGTGTAGAAATCCTGAGTAAGGGTCTATAAGATCTCTCGTGAAAAGCCACTTAGCTAGAATTCGAAAATTGAATGGAAAAGAAATTTTTGGAAGCCGCTTTCCGAGCTTTGATAAGAGTTCTTTCAGACCCTGACTCAGGTTTTCTACACAGGTCGCCGAGCCCAGTTTACAAGTGTCTTCCCCCTCTAAAGCAAAACTAATGCTCGTTTAGCTGGCTCCCAAGTTTTCATCTGCTACGGGCCAAAATGCGACGATGTCCTTTTCAACAACTACGGCTTCGTCTTCAAAAGCGGCGAAAATCAAGAGAACTCGATCCGCGTCTTTCCAGAAGAAGTGATTTCCGAGTTGAGGCAACAAGGAAAACAGACATGCGCGCAAATTGACGAAAAGTACCAAAGCCTGCTTCGCCAAATCGAAGATGATGCGACTTTTCATCTCGCTTTCGATCAGATGAAGCTGAGGAGAGGCAATGTAGACTGGAACTTGTGGTACTTTGTGGTCTGGATGACTGGCGGCAGCGTTGAAGGTATTTTTGTTTGGAAACGAGACGCAACAGATCAACAGGTCGCGAAAACATACGTTCCCCGAACATAAGCAATTTACCCAGTTTCTTTTGACAAGCAGAATTACAGAAAAAATAATTTTCTACATTCGTAAAATCTTCAACTAGAATCGCTTCTTTCAAAATATAAACAATCAAATTAAAGTATCCAGCAAAAAATGAATAGTCAATTTCATTTAAATTTCAAGAGCTGTCTTCCATCCGTTCCACGCTCAACTTTTCAAGTAGCAGCGAGGCAAAACAGCGAGTCAATGCCCTGGACGTGATTCTAGCGATTCTGCGTAAACGACTAAATCAGCTGGCGGAAACGGCGAATGCGCAAGCAAAACTGACGCTTGAAATTCCAGATTGGTACTTGAAAACGCTCAAGACTCTTAGGAGTTCGCACAATCAGCTGATGACCTACTGGTTCGTTTTTTTCCTTCACTCTATGTGTAAAAAGAACTGTTTGTTGCAGGTACGACGAGTTGGTCGAAGAGCGCAAAAATAAAAGAAACCATTGCGAGGGAGAATCCGATCCAGGACAAACAGGCCAGGCTCTTTACCAAAAGATATCACTGTAATAGAAAATTAAACATGGAGCCAACCACAGTCACTAGAATCGCGGCTCTTTCTCGAGTCAAAACGCCGTCGAGCCGAAAGCCGCCGCTCCGTATCCCGCTACATGGGGAGCTATTCGGATCCTCCTGCTCTGGGCTCGGCAATCTGTATAAAAACCTGAGCCAGTCTCTTAAACTTTTAAAGTGAAAAGCCGTGTAGCGGCTCTTTTAGAAACGAAGCCGCAAAGAGGCTAATTATGATTGAAAAGATTATTTTCGTTTTCAAAAAGTTGCTACGCGGCTTCTCATTAGAAATCTTTCAGACCCTGACTCAGGTTTTCTACACAAGTTGCCGAGCCCAGCTCCTGCTTACCGCTATTTGAAGTGGCTTTCTTGAAACGATCATTTTTTTCTTCTTTCCTGTCAAGTTTTCATTTTTATCACTTTTCAGCAAAAAGTTCAAGCAATAAATTTCCGTTCAGAAATCATGACTTTTTGATGACTTTCATTTGATTAAGGCAATTTTAGCGCGGTTTGTTTTTATTTAGTCGATGGTTTTAGGTGTCGCTGGTTATTTTAAAGTTGCGATGGGAAGGATGGCGGACGTGTTAAAAGGGTTTATCGTGGTATTATGTAAGTAGCGAATTTTTAAAAGGAAAATTAGAAGGCGCGGCGCTGGGTGGTGGTGCATTTGGCGAAATAATTTAAAAGAGCTCTTAGGAAGCTCTTCCGAACACGCGCCACTCCCTGGCTCCTGATAACAAGGAACTCTTTATCGCGCGCCAGTCATAACTGCGATCCCTATCTCTCGACCACGTCACTAGAATCTACAAAAGACACCAATTACCTCACTAAATAGCCTTTAACTCTCGCCCTTGCTTTCAAACGAAATTCTTCGTTTCAGTTTTTAACACTTTCACTTTGATAGTAATTTACTATCAAATTTAGTACGCAATAATTTACTACGCTTTAAGCGTTTTAACTTTAAAGTCGGACAGCTCGGAGAGCTTGGCAACTTGCGTAGAAAACCTGAGTCAGGGTGTAAAGAATCTATTTTTAATAAAAATATATTTAAAAAGTCGCTACATTTTAGCTCTTTAGCTCATTTTAGCTCCTCAGAATCTGACTCAGGTTTCCTACACAGGTTGCCTCAGACACTCAAAACAGTAATACATGTATCCAAAAAAGGCAAGAACAAGTAGGTGGATTGCACGATTTTTTATCGCGACCTTGCTAATTGCACCGAGAAAGGGATTAAAGTAATCTTTTTAGAACAGTCACTTTTGGATGCTTAATTTCGGCCACGTAACAAGCCCAATTTTAAAAGAAAGCGACTTCCGCAGCGCCAAATAAAAACTAAAAAAGAGAAGTTAAAAAGTAGCAAACTCAAACTATGCGTAGATGCGGTTTCCACTGTCCGGAAGCGTTTTTAAATTTTAAATATTTAAATCGTGTTTTTCTCAAAACATGTTGTTATTCCTCTTTTTAAAAACGCAAAGGTCGAAACTCACTGCTTGGTCAGCTTTTTCATTTCGATTTTTTATCCTCTTTGGACGTTTTTCGTCGTGATTCGAGTTTTTCCAAATGATTTGGCGGTTTATGCTTACGCCTTTTACAGGAATCGGATGACACGCTGATTTAACCAGAATTTGGAGTACAGGAGAATAAATTCAAGACTCTTCCGTTCACAAAATGTGTAATTGGAGCACCCTTCTTCATTCACTTCTTACCTGGGCTTGGCAGCCTGCCTGGAAAGCCTGAGTCAGGGTCTGAAAGATCTTTAGTGAAAAGCCGCGATAAACGGCTTCGCATATTTTACCTATCTAATCTATTTTTAATTTTACGCGGCTTTTCATTAAATATCTTCTAGACTCTGACTTAGGCTTACTACACAGCTTAACGAGCCTGGAGTGACCTAGATTTTACATAAAGTAAAATTCTTCTTTATCAAAATAGATTTAATCAAATAGTTGAAAGATTCGGGGATCTACCTCTCGTGGTCATTTCGTCAAAATTGCCTCTCGTGGTAAGTTGCCTCTCGTGGCCATTTGCCTCTCGTGGTCATCACGTATCGGCTTACGAACCTTAGGGTATCCAAACTTTTCTCGAAGGGCAGATTTTTACAAGCCTAATATTCTTAGATTTCAAATTATTTTCGAGTAGTATATTCGCGGAATGTAAAGATAAGATAATTTTTTGAAAACCTTACTCATCTCTATAAGAAAAACTTCGAAAAGAGTTTAACTTTCGATCAATTTGAAAATTTTAATTGCATTCTCATTTAGAAAAAAATTTGGTTGGCTTGTGCCAAGAAAGAGCATGCGTTTATAAAAAATAAATTGCATTTTATCCAAATTATAAATAGGCCTTTCTAAGTATTTTAGAAAGAATCTTTCACACCCAACTTATCAGTAGTATATAGGGTGGCTGTATGTTTCGAAAGGTAAGTGCTCTGTGATTGCTCTATTTCACTGTGCGCGCAATTCAAATTTGGTCCAATCCTCAACCATTAGGGCGGCCGTGTACCAGTCGATTACTTCCTCTCTCTCCTCCTCCAGGTAAACAATGCCCACCAAGATGTAAACAACTACTCCAGTCTAAACAAACATCTTTCCTTCAGTGATTAGGGCGGCGTGCCATTTCCGCAATTCTTCTAGAGCCAATAACATTTCCTCTCTCCGCCCACAGGTAAACAATCTCCACCAATCAACTTCCGCTCTCATTCAAGAGTTATTCTAGCGCTCATTTCCTCAGATGAGTAAACAGTGGTCACATTTATCATAACAACTATAATAACAGGTATGACGACATCCCCCACTTCGAACAGCAATGACCGTGATCGACCTCAGAAGACTGCCCAAACAATAACTGACCGTGGCAAGAATAAACAATCACTGAAGAATAAACAAGGTAATCAAACCAAAGGACAAAACAAATTCTCACACACCTTTTCAGATCAACTCAGTCTACTCCTGCAGACAACAATGACTGTATATAATATCTACTGTATATATCCTGCAAATAATCAACAAACAATCAAAATCAATTTCAATTACATTTATTCCTCAATGCACTGGGAAAAAACGTATTTCAGCTCAGAATATGTAAAGGGTCGCAGGTTTCGCACTGTCAATCATCAAAAGCATCTGTTCAGGAAATCATCAAACATTTCGTCAAATGCAGCGTCCTTTAGAATCTCGTCGACGAGTTTGTAGACTTCTCTTCGTCTTTGCTTAAAGTCAGATGGTTTCTTTGAAAATTTGTTGACCTCACGCAGGCTAGTCGATGTGTCTTCTCGCGGGATGCCCATTCTATTTCCTCGATTCGTCTTGACCTAAGTTTATCTCATAGTACTTACTCTTGTATTTATCAGAATATCTCTCGTAACTAAAAGCTCAAATACCTCTCAAGTTTAAATTCTCTCTGGTTTGAAGGTCTAAGTGATTGTCTCGGTCAAGTTGTTTCCTGTTTCTCCGTTTGATCCAAACAACCGCATCTAGCATATTCTACGCCTCAACTCATCTACCAAAGGTCAAAACAATAATTTTGGGTTGCAGATTTGTCTTTTGCATTCATAATTATTAATAAATAGATGCTTTCTGTCTGACCAAAGTGTATAACAAAGTGTATTCCTGCAATTTTTTGACGCTCAGATGGTCTCTTCCATGATTTTTTTATTGATAGTCATTTCTGCACATTTTAAGAGGATTACTTTTTAGAAAGGAGCGACGAGTTGTTGCTTCATTTTATAATATTTTATTTTCAACAGTAACATAATAATATTTTTATTGTCGAATTTGGTATATCAAAATACGCTTCATTTTATCACATTAAATTATTTTGCATTCTTTCATCGATCTGTAGCTTCATTTTATCATCCCACTAAGTTAGCGAAATTTCATCGATTTGTTGCTTCATTTCATCTCTTTTTTTTTGGTTTTTTAAAATTTTATGTTTTTTTTGGATTTTTGTTTTATGTGTGGCTGTTGCTCAGTGCGCGCTGCTTTTTGTAGCGCTTGTTCGCGTCATATCTGCGATAATCCGACTCGAATTCGAAAATTCAACGTCGGTCTTTCCGCTTCAACTTGGGGATTGCGTCATGCCCGCTCTTGATTTCGTCGATTGTACAATTATCAACAATCGGTGCTATAGTTCCATTCTTTCTTAAGAATGGTGGCTATTTCATCGAAATTGAAATTTGTAGATTAGCGATGATCTTTATCAGGGCCACAATATCTGTCAATTCTATTATAAACAGGTATGTTGACCGTTGAAATTTTCATCTAATATTTTATATCTCAATTTCATGTAGATTTAAAATTTGAAATACCACTTGCTGCTTTTCTGTTTATTCTTTATTGATGAACAGAAATACTCAGACAGTGTTATTGCAAAACAAGTGACAATAAATGAATCTCTGTGAAATTATGAATTCGTTGTGACTTTCATAAATAGGTCGAGCTTGGTGGCGCTCGCTCACCAGCAACATCGACGACATCTCTTTTGCGCCGTTTCTTTGCGGAATAAAATCTGATGTTCTGTGCTAATTTCCTCATTCAGATTTGTCAAATTACAAATTTTTTCAGTTTCTCTAGTGTCGTCTATGAGAGATGCGCTCTTCACTCTTTTCGATGTCGGATGCCGCCTGTACTTTGCTCTTATTGTGGTAAGTTTGATAGCAGTTTGTCCAAGAGAATTAACCTGTTCTTTAGATTGCGATCCTTGGAGAATTAGTAACCGAGATGATTTTCCCTGGATTGGCTGAACGGATGCTGACAAACGAAAGTTTCTCGACTGGTCGACCGATTGATAATTTGAATGCTTTGCTGGGTTGAATGGAAGACGAACTGAGTGAAAGCACAATCTGAACCTTCTAAGTAATATCGCCTCCTCCCCTTTAGGATGTCACAAATTAATCATCTTTTTATCGCCATCAAATTTTTTTATCTCCGTGCTCGGTTGTTTACTTTTTTTTTCTGACTTGCGTGTAGTTGAAAATTGTTATTTTCATGTTTTATCTCCGGTCTCTTGTAAATATTATCTTTTTTTTCTAGCTAGAGCACTGTCAACCAGCGGCACTGTAGGTTTTTTAAAATAATTTTGTTTTGGTCTGCGGTCATTCTAGTTGTACTTTATTCGTGTTAGATTAGGATGTTAGAAAAAAGTTCATCGAAAAACCTTGTTCCTGTTCTGTGAAGTTCAAGCATCTGGGTGCACCACAGTTTCTATTAAATTTCATTCTGTTCACAAAACTACATGAAACTGTCACACTTACACCTTAATAAAAAAGGACCCACATAATTTCTAGAGTTTGTGTTGTTTCTTAGCATGAAAAAGAAAATAAGTTTAATTTGAGTAAAAAAGTCTCTAGAATTCTGAGAAGCCCAGGACTATATAAACAAGCGCGCACTGCTCAGAAGTCAGTTTTACAAATTGGTAAAACAAAAAAACAGTGTCCGCTGCAGATTGCGCGATTTTTTGAAGATGGTCCGAACCGCTACCCGACGAAACCAGAAACGTGCCGCCAAGGCAGCCAAGGCAACTCCGACTTCCTCGAACTCGGCGCCAGCTAACGTTGTGAAACGAGAACCTCGTCGATGGGCTGCACGATCACCACCTCTTCGATCGGCTCGACCGCTCTCAAACGACGAATGGCCAGAACTACCACGATCTTCTTCTTCTGATGAAGCGCCTCCAGCTTCGCCAATCGGTTCGCCACCACGTGCGCCCGCTACGCCCCGACAAAGTACTCCGAAGAAATCCGACCACCCGCAGAAACTTCGAACTGGTATTCGAATGTTTCAGTTTGACGACATTGGACAAGAAACTCGTCAAGCGCCTCCTCTTCCCGATCGACCCCCTGTCGGCACTCCCGACGATATTTCTCTTGCTGAAACAACGTCTCTTGATAGGCGTCAAGATGCGGAAGAAACCGTCCTTCTCAATGACGGGGACGAAACAAAACTTGAAGCCTTCACTTCAGGATTTTTGTTGAAGAGTGACATCGCGGAATTTTCCTCGTTGTCTCGCTACAACGACGATGTTGTGAAATCTGATTGGTTCTTTCGACCTATTAAGAACCGATCAGCTGTGGATGGCAACTGGAATTTCCCTGCCGACTGTAAGTCTTTCAACGATGATGTTTAGTAATTGTATTTAGATAATCCAAAGGGAAGTCCATTCGCGAAGGCACTTGGGTACCTGAAACACTTTTACGCTAATAAAACGGCAAGTTTGGATACTCTCGAGGAGGAAATAAATAGCTGTCAACTTGGTGTGACCCTGGAAACACCGCGTCTCCTAGCCCCGCTGCGAAACATCGAACTAGCTGCAGAGGATTCTGAAAGGCAACCCAACATCAATGACACCATCATTGACTGTTTTTATCAAACTGCAGATCGTTCTTTCTTCAATTAAAACTGTTTGAAATAAAAATCTGTAATTCTTACTTCTATCTAAAAATTCGTAAATTATATTTTTGATTTACGTTTTATCTTGTTTTTTTTGTTTTGACCTTTGCAGGAAATGTCAATTCTAGAAATTAGGTCATTTATTCTTATTCGCGCATGGATTTGTTTGTTTTGATCTTTGCAGGAGCTCTCACTTCTAGAAAAGTAGGTCTTTCCCTTTTTTTCGCAATTGGAAAATGATTGCGTCATTTCGCGTTTCGAGATTTCTTTTTCGCCGGCTGGCATCTTTCGAGATTTTGGTTATTTCGTTAACCTAGTTTCTTACTCTTAGAGATAAAACTTATTCCCAGAGAATATTGCGAAGAGATAATCAGTTCGAGGCGGCGCTATGCTTTATTTCTTATCACACTTTCCCATAGTTTTCTTCTGTTTAAATTGATACCCTGAAAAGGGGATTGACGCTTTCTTCTGTAGAAATTGACCGGTGATTTTATAGGGGCAATGTATGTTCAGCGCGGGGAAGGCGGCGCTCCGCAGCCACAGTATTCTGCAAGTTCTCGTTCGCTTGATGGTGGCAATGCTCTTGAAGATCGCATCTCCGTCGCCTCTTCTGTCCAAGGCCAATTTGCGGTTCCGACTGTTCCTCAACAGACGAGCCGTCAAGAGTGGAATTCTCGTCAATCGACTGGCGAAAGGTTATATTCTCTGTGTGTTTAAATTTTGAGTTTTTTTAGAGAATTGTTTCCGGAAACCACCCCGATGCCTCAGAATCAACAAACTTCTGCGCCTTCCACCACGGTCCCTCCAACCGGCGGTCATACTTCGACTACTACGTCTTTCGCGGCTGGAGCTGGAGTTGGTGGTGGAACTGGCACTTCAACCGCCTTCCCTGCTGCGCCCACTAACATCGGGGTCCACATGAACGATGTTTCTCGAACTCGGGTCGAGAATGAACACCAGCCGCTGCTTGTTGGTCGGGGTGTCGGCAATCCAAGCGTTGCGACCCGATCTCCAACGGTAAATTTTCAATATTTCTTATTTTTATTTAATTATGATTAGTTCTGCTTTGCGACAAAAGCGTTCTGGACAAACTGCGCGGTGTTTGCGGCGGGTGCTTTGATTGCGCTAAGCGCATACATATTGTACTCCACGTACAATAATTGCGTGCCCTCCGCCCTAGTTAACCGCCGCGATGACCTTTCTATCGAGTCCACTACTCGTGACGGTCAAGTCCAGACCGACGACCTCGATGCAATCCCCAGCGTGAGCCGAGTCGCCGATGAGGAGGAATCCCAAGAGCATGACGAGTACCGACTTCGAACTGGCTCGGCTCATCGTGCCCGACGTGGCACCCGCACCCTCTTTTTCCACCGTAAGTTATGAATTGCTGCAAAAAGAAAGCTAAAATTTATATAGCTGGTCCATATGGCCGTGTTGACGATTCTGGAGTCGTCATGCAAAACGACTATGATGTGGACACCAGCAGCTTCTCAGCGAGTTCCAAATGGTACTCCGGTGATTTGGATGCAATCTCCAGTATTACCGACAGTAAGTCTAAAAGTGGTGTTTCATGAATTAATCTTTTTATTAGTAATCAACCGCCGCAGAGCTGCTGTCACTCAGCTCTTTGAAGATGACGAAAATTCTTCGTCGGAGGAAGACAGCGTTTACTTCATTGCTGGGCTCTTTTCCGAGCCTGAATTAGAGGGCAGCGGCAGTGAGGCAAGTGTTGATCTTACTTCAACTGCTCTCTCCGACGACGATCCCGCGATCGAGGCAGTGCCTGTAGTTTACGTCGCCGAGACTGATGGAAGCGGATCTGGCGACTTTTCTCTTCCTGCTGCAGGTAATTTAGATTCAAATTCATTACTTTATGTTTATGTAAGGTGCTGATATGGAGGTCTCTGCTGTCGCCGATAACTACGTCGATGCGGAGATTTCTTCCAACGACACTGCCGATGCTATTCCAACTGACTTCAACATCACAGCTGGTTCCAACTCTTCTGAAGCGATGGAACTAGCTGAGCTCAACTAATCCTGTCCAATTAGTTCAAATCTCACCCTAAATTACTCTTTTGTCTACCTAATTGTGCTTCATTCCCCAAAGTTTAATATGATTAACACAAACTTTTTGCGCCTTTTTTAACACTCGTTCTCTCGTAAAAGTAATCTTTATTATTGAAACTTTTTAATGAATCTTTAACTGAAATTATCAACCTCTTTTGATCTACTCTCACCTCCTGCTATTTCCTCTCCCGTTGTTCCATCTTTCTCGCCAATTTCCAATTTTCCACGGTCGCTCTTATCAACACTATCATTGCCGTAATTTCTCTCTCCTGACATAATCCGGCCCATCAAATGTCAAATATGAAGCCACTTTTACCAATTAAATATCACGCTTAATTATTTAGATATAAAAGTATGCGAAAGCTTCGAAGAACCGTCTCTCTTGGCGCTCTCACAATTTCGTCTGATTCTAACGATAGTTCCTGCACAAAAACCTTGCCAACTTTGGATGAATTTTCGTTCTACAGACAACCAACACAAAAGCGTCAGTTTCGTCTTCGCATGGTAATGTCCCTTCGAGAAAACTCATTCTAATTAAAATTTAGATCAGAACGACTGATGCTGACAACAAAGAGTTTCAAAAGAGCGCCAGCTTTCTTAATTGGTTTGAAAGATCTGCCGATAAATATTTTCCGACTGCTGATGAGGTAAATTTATCTTTTATTCAATAAGTAATACTATTTTTAGCATTTAAACACAAATCTTCGACTCGCAATGTACCTCTCCGATTCAGAATTCTACGAATGGCGAATCCTTTCCTGGATATCATTTCAAAGGGTTTATACGCTCCCCAATATTTTTAATAACCTGCCCTAGCTTTAAATTGTGCTGCTTGCCTGCTTACTAACTTATCTTATCGCCTTTTATTCGTGCTATGCTTTGCTTTTGTAAATAGGATTTCAATTTTCAATCGAAATAACCTTACAGACATTGAATCGGATTTCTGACGTTTGGCGCTAATAAGCTGACGACTCTGGAGCGACACCATGGGCCGTACGAAAGGCAAGGAAAGCTTCAAAAGCCGACTTCTGCATGAAGTCGCCTCTCGTGCTAAAATCGGGTATTGAATCAATGAATCCCACGATTCTTATAAGTTTATTTAGCGAAAAGGTTACCCGTAAAGTAACCAAGTCGATTGCCTCGGTCATGGTTCCAAAACAATCAGCCGAGCCAGAAGGTCAAAAAAGTCCAATCCCGAAAGCGATGGCACCGCGTTCGCTTCTGGACGTCGCTGCTAGCGAGATCGTCCAGCGTGCTATCCCTTCTTTCATCCCCCACTCCCCAAAAAACGGTAGCTCAAACATTACTTTCTATGTGCTTATTGTTTTAAGGTCGGGTCAAGAAGAGAAAGCGCGCTGTTAGTTCAGACGAGGAAGCAGCCGAAGAGAACGAGCAACCGGCGAAGCGTTCTAAAGGTCTTTTTGAAAAGGCCAAGCAGTGCGCCAAAGATGCCAAGCGTCGAACTATCAACTCCATCAAGGGTAAGTCCATTTGCTTGTTTCGATCGTTAATTTGTAAAATAGAGACTGTGAACGCTGCACCGGCACTTCAAGCTTCGTTGTTGATGGGAACTTATACAGCGAGTCTCTGCGTGACACCAACAGGCAAGACCCCAAAGTTCCTCGACTCTTCGGTGGTTGATTCTGATCGCCCAATCGTCGTACCTGAGAAAGGGATTTTCATCCCTTATTCCTGCTTCAAAGGGGTTTTGCCAGCGTTAGAGGCTCCTCCAGAAATGCTCGCGATTGAGGAATCTCAGATGCCAGTTCCACCGCGACCGATTTCTTATCTCCGCAATAACGAGGCTCAGCAAAGTCAGCTCGCGCATCCCGTTGTTGCTCAAGATCGTGGCATCGATTTCGCTCAAGGAATGATGACTCCGGGCAAGCCATCTCAGGCGCCATTTGGTATGTTTTGAACTTTGGTCGCAACTTTTAAACTCTTTTTAGTTCCTTTCAACAGTGGAACTTCGCCCTCCGCGTTCGAGCCCCGCGTTGACGACCTCACCTCTGAGAAGCGAGTTAACATCACCGTCGTTTCCAACTCTCCTCCTCTTGGCGAGACAGAGAACTCGTTGGCAGCGCGCGAACCTTCGCCTCCATTCGCCGCGGAGATTACTTCCCCTAAAACTGTCAAGAAGAAGAATCTCTTGTTGGCCTCTCGACGATTGGTGTTTGACTCGCCATCTCCCTCCCCTCGAGAAGATCCTGACCTGAATGTCACTCTCCGTCCTCAGGTCGACCTTGATGCAACTCTCTGCCCTCAGCCTAACTCGCTGACCTTTGCAATGCCCGCGTCTGGAACTAAACTTGTTCCTGTCGACGATGGTCTTGTTGCTGGTCCACCTGATGCGGTCACACCTGCGACTCACCGCGTTGTCAATGCTCAACTTCTTCGTGAGCGACGACGATCTTCTCCACTCGTCGTTCCTGCCTGGCAGAACTGCATTGACGAGTTGTCCAAGCGAGGACCTCATTCTGCGGACAATTGAAAAAATACTGTCGAACTTTACTGCTTTTACTTGCCTGTAAAAACACGATCGTTCTCATATAATCTCTGTTAACTTTTTATTTGTCTTATTTTGCATGCATTTGATTGCTAACACAAGAACCAATTTGTAGATTGAAAGTTTGGTGGTTTAATGAGTGAATCATCTAAAAAGAAAAAGGGTTTGAGTCTTAAACCTTCTACTCCGGCGCCTCGAAGTGATATGACTTGGTCTGATGTAGATGGAGAGCAAGAACTTGACTCTTCTCAAACTACTTGCTTTCGAAACCAATTCAAAATGGTTAGATTCCTCTTTTTTCGCTTGTCTATGTTTTAGAAATCCGATTACGCGCGAAAGGCAAAGGTGAAAAGTTATTTGGACCAACTTGAAGGAAAGATTCAATCTGATTTCTTTTTTTATTCAATAAAGAAACCATTTGAATCTTTTAAGATTCGGCTATGCCTATAAATCCGCGGAAGAAGACAAAACAGGACAGCGTAATTGACGCTCGGACTGAGGATGAAAAGGCTGCTAATCGCGCGTTGGCTCGGAGTGCGGCTAGAAAATTTGCGAGCAACCGCGACAGTCCTGCTGGTCCAGCTACACATTCTTCTGACGATGAGGTTGATCGTAATTCCTCTGATAGTGACGTAACTTTCGTCTCTGAAAAACTTCCAATAACTCCGACTACACCTTCAAAAAGTAAAGTTGTTCGACCGAAGGTAATTCCGACGAAAAAAGCAGCCTATCCTGCGAGAAACAAGAAACGCAAATTCTCTTCAAGCGACGAATCTGAAGAACCGATTTCTGAGCGTCGAGCAGTGCGAGGCAAATCAAAGGCAAAATGTGCTTCTGGTAAAAAGAATGAAAAAGATGCCAGTGAACGATCGCAATCGCCGAAAAGTAAGCCTATTCCTCGCGCCCGACGATTGCAGAATGTTCCCCTTGGAGCGCTTTCCCAAATGGACTGGATGGATCGTCGGGATCCTAATGTGCCAAAAGGTGACAGTGTCGCACCGCCAAACGAGCCGATCGTCAAGCCGATTTTGGCGCAGAGTGAGTCTAATCTGCCTCGGGAGATTTCTATGAACAACGCGGTGTTTGAGCAAAGTGGGGTACCTGTTGATCTTATTGAAGGCGACGCCCCTCACATTCCGCTTAATCTAACGCGAAAATCTGATACGGATAAGGTCCAAGAGCAGTTGGCTTCAATTCGACTCGCACCGAAGTCTGCCAGAAAAAGTCGACACAGCGAGAAGAATAAAAATACGATTGAATCAAACAAATATCAATCTTCCCTGTCAATGGTACCTGAAGAGACTGAAGAGGAGCAGTATCCTCGCGATCATGAAGATTCAATCACTGAAAGCGAGGAAAGCGATGGTGAACTACGAATGAAAATAAAGGGGCTAGAACAGGAGAAACCTATGTGGTATCTCAATCGATTCCAGTTGCGACGGTTTTTTTCGGCTGCTTATGATTCGAAGAATGGCATTCGACCGAGCTTACGCGGCACGAGAATAGCCAATTTTCTGCAGCGTGTCGATAGAAAGCTCTCAAATGCAGAACGCGCAACTGCGGAACAAGATGATTCTCCCACCTATCGTGTATTCTTTGAAAATACTCCCAAATACAGTTCTTTCGATCCGTTCTACACGGAACCTGGTGCTTACACTGGTGTTTATGTTGAATGGGATCAATTGGGCGCTTTCAAACCATATTTTGCGGTGGATGGATTTGGAAATTTCTACATCCGCATGCTTAAAATTTGGGTAAGTTCCTTCTGTTACAAAGCTTGCATAATATTAACTCTTAGGTCCACTATCCAAGCAGTGTGGAGGGAGTTGAAGGCGCTTGGAAACTCGTTGACTTTGCAGATCGTTCTTTGGGACATCCTGCAAAAGTACTAGCAGCTGTCAACAAGATACCAATTTACGCATATCCTTGGCCGACTAAAATACGCATTCGTTCTCTCGACAAAAGCCGTCCACTCACAATTCTGGATCCTAATGGACCTTTCAAGGCTTCTGTTCTGCTCATTAACGGATTTATTCCTCTCGTTTGCGATCCACCCTACAAAAAACAAGCCGATCTTCTGTTTAACAACCCTGAGGTAATTTCTATATAGTTGATTTTCTTTCTTTTAGTAGTATCTTTAGGTGTTGGACGTTCTTTGTGACTCTGATATGACAAACGAAAGACCAAATCAATCGCAAGTGGATGCTGTCAATACCCGACTGGAGAACTTCGTCTGGCGGTGCATTCCAAGTGTCTTTAGGGCTGATCTCTTTGGAGTGACTGACGATAACAACGTCCCTTCGTCTGAGAACAAGACTGTCGAAGAGCGATTCCAGGTTCTTCAAAATAAATGCGATTCATTGTTTGGTGCCAAAGAAAGCCAGCAAAATAATGATCCATTTCAAACTAAGAAAAACCCTATTGACGTCGCCGTCGACCAGATTCTTGAGGCTCTCCCGCCTATTTTCAAGCGGTATGAAGATTTCTGGCCTTCAAAAATGCTCATTGAAGCGCTTCTTTACGCAAACAGCACAAAGTGTTTCACCGAATCCACTGACTTGATGGCTATGGTGAGTTTTATTGTTACAAGTGTCATCATAACCTTGATTTAGATGGGCGTTTCCCGCGGAATCTCTGCAAAAATTATCGCTTGGCAGATTTGGGCTCAGTATCGTCCCGAAGAACTTGACAAAAAAGCCGTCAAAAAGGAGCTCATGAAAGTTCAGAAGAAGCTTGAAAAAGGTCTCAAGACGAAAAATTTAGGCGTGCCCACTCCAAGTGTCATGCATTCTGTTGCCCCTGAAAAATCTATACCATTGAAGAAAGGTAACTTACAGTCCTGATTAAATTCTAAAGTTTTATTAGCTGTGGAGTCCGCACGACCAAATAAACGTAGCCAAAGTACCGCTGACACTCTCGAGCAAGAGATTCCTGATCCTTTGTTGGTTGGTGGTACTCGACGCGGAGTGAATCGCAATGAAAATCGTTTTGGTTTCTTTAAAACACACCCCAAATCATCAACTACTGCGCCCACACCTCCATCTCTTATCTCATCTTCAAACTCCGATGATTCTTCTTAATAACCTGCATTAACAATTTTTGTTAGTACGTAATTTATTTCAGAAAATGACCCGTTTATTCGGACTTATTTTGTTTTTACCGTTGTGTCTATCGATGTTTCCGTTCGACTGTCCCGATTTTATGCATGCTCCGAGCAATCATAAACAGTGGTGTATGTTTCGAATTGGTGTCGATCATTGTTATGATGGTGATGAGTCAACAAGTACTACCACTCGTCCAGCTACGCGGAAAACAACAACAACCACCGAGGAAGCAAAGACGAGTACAACAACTGAAAGTACGAAAGCTGCAACGACTACTCTGAAGACCTCAAGTTTCACTCCTTCTTCTGCGATTAGCACTTCTACCATAGAAAAGACAACGACTGAGGAAACAAAGACAACGACTGAGGAAGCAAAGACAACGACTGAGGAAGCTAAGACGACAACTGAGGAAGTTAAATCACCTACTACAGAGAGTACCGTCGCTTTCACGACTTCTTCTTCGTCGTCCAGTCCAAATACAACAAGCGCAAGTCCAATTGAAGAAACAACTTTTACTGACTCGATTGATTACGTAACCGAATCAATGAATTCCTCGGCGGAAACAATCAAGCCAGATTTTTCACCCCTGAAAAAAAATTTGTTGTTCAGGTGAGCTTTGTTGTTAAGGTAGCCTTGGGAACGTGGTGGCAAAATGATGCATGGTATGATAATTTTCATGGTGGCCCAAAACCCTATGGTGGTATCTGAGACATTTCATCTACCACCATGCAATTTAACCCTACCATGGTAGATTTTGCCACCACGTTCCGAAAGGCACCATGCGATTCCAAAAAAAAATCTGGGCGGAAAAAAAACCTCGAAATTCCGCAAGTTGAAAAATTTGAAATGATTAATTTGCGTTTTTCGCGCGTCCTTATATACAAATCTATTTCCGCTAAATATAGGTTAAATAAACAAATGAGTCATTTTACTCACCGAACATTTCCTGCATTTTTGTAAAATCAAAACAATTAGGTTCATTTCCAGGAATCGTTTCCGCTATTTTAGTTAGAACAAATAAAAAAACTGGGGAATGAACGAGAGTAACCTCATAATCAAAACACTTCATGACCTACTAACCTATTGACCCATATCTTATCAACGTTATTTTAGCGCGTTTACTTTCGCTTTACGATTGACACTGTTAACGGCGATTGTTTGTGTGTTTCGGCAGTGGTATTTGGCGTTCACCAATCGCGATCAAGCCGATAAAGACTTTATCACACGATTCAACACCGCAACACGCTTTGTTTTTCGTGAAATTCTCTGCCTGCGTCTGTTTGAAAAACCAAAAATGGTGTACAACATAAGCTACTCTCGCGGTGGAATTACTGGAGCTTCTGCAACTACAAATATTCCCGGCGAAAACTATGCTTCCGATAACGTTGACACTCACCCACCTGGATATATTCCAGGCCGAAGAACTATTCAGCAACCACCAGCAGTTAACTCATCTCGAGCGGACAATGTCATTTACTTCGATGAAACTGTTACGTTGGAAGAGGCTCGTCGTAAAACTTACGAATCAAGCCTTAAATTTGGAATCGATAAAGAACGCGTGGATCAAATTTTCAGCAAAGATTGGGTCCCTGATGAACAGACGGTTGATCAGGAAAATACAAGTGCGGAAAAGACTGATGAAGTATCGCTAGATCACGATCTAGAAAAAACGAAGACGTGGAAAAAGAGCCGATGGCAAGTGACGCTTTCCTACCAAAGCCAATATGTAAGTCTTATAATGAGTTATTCCATTATTACTCTCGTTTAGCACAAGATGAAAACCACAAAAAGTCGAAGTTTGCGCGAGTGAAAGACTTCATGGCAAGGTCAATTTCTCCATTCAACGATAAAAAGAAAAGAAAAAAGAAAACGATTCCCAAAAGCAATGAAGCGTTCAAATTGAGCATTGGATCTTCTGACGAAGAACAAACAGATGTCGAGGGTGAGTTTGCTGGTAGCATTGTCAATCAAACGCCCACTCTCTCAGAACAAGAATGCCTTCCTCATCTGGTTTATGAAGATAAAACGGCAGGAGAAGAGAACAACAACGAGAGTGAAAAAATGTTCTCCGAACGAGAAGTTGATTTAAAACTTGATAAATCACTTTTTTCGCGTTCTCATAAGACTCGTCTAACACAGCGCAATATCCGCTCTCCTCGACTTGGCCACAAACCACATCTTGAGTCTCCACTTGTTCAATCATTTTCGCGAACGGACAACGTCAGAAGTCAATCCCATATCAAAACGGAAGCTAAACCTAACGTGACGGTGTCTGATGACGAAAAGGAAGTTCATGACGCCGATACACCAAAGAATTCCTGCGGATTCAAGAACAACAAAAACTCCCCGACTTCAAAGGTAAATATCCGTTTTGGTATTTTGATCCCGAAAATATTTAATCTCCATTTAAAATCAGTTTCCTCAAGTCTGGGTGTCTAAATATTATCTCGGGCTCATCATTATTTCAATTTATGAGATGATTGGGAACGGAAAGTAATCACTGAACCTTGCCACAATTTCCGTAGTTTCAATAACGACCCACCATTCCTAAAGCCAAAGGTACAAACAAAGTGAGTGCGATAACTTGCAATTTGTTGATTTCGATCTTTTTTACGGATTTTGCTGATAAAATCAGTTATGGGAAATTGAGAAGGTTGTAAAACACTGCGGTCATGTTTTTTATATTACTCTGAAGTACCCTGCAATACACAGTCAAAGCTCCCGCGCTCGCGCGCAAAGATCAAAACAACATCTGCTTTTCGTTCTTGCGCCATCTTCTTGCTCTTTAACGCTATCGCGCCAAAGTACTAAATAAAACCAAGTCTCTTCCCTTTACCAAAGTACAAAACAATCTTCTTCTACAACTTTCAAGCACTTCTATCCTTTTTACAAGTATGATCCTCAACGTCCAACAAATCAAGCCCGAGTCCTCCAACAAAAAGACAATGCGACGACTTCGAAAGTTTCTACGAAAAACTTTTTGGTCAAAACTTTGCGCTACCCTATTGGGGAAATCGAGCGAGGACTTAACGTCGACTCTGATATCGAGCAACGACCTGGAGCCATTGATTCTGCTGCCGTTCGCTATCTTACCCGTGTGAGAAACCCGTATGCTCCCGAAGATGAACCCGACTCACTCATGACTCGCATGAGCGAGGAAGAGTTACGATACGCCACAATCAGACGTTCTTACTCTTTTAGATACAAGTATTCAAACAACTTCATTTTCCCTTTGTAATGTTTACGCTCCCAGTATTGACAACCTGCCGCTTTTCGCTACCATTCTACAATACGTTTGATTCCTGATCTAAATTATGTTTCAATTATTTTCTTCCTACGCGATATTTTTTCTCATGCCCTAAATCTGTTATTTTGACCCAAATAAAATCTAAAAACAAATTTACGAATCTCAGCGGGTTATTTCCTGCAGCGCCCTCTCCCATTTTTTCTTCATAAAACAGGCTGATTTTCGTTCATTCTCAGAATTATTTCAAAAATGTAATTGATAAAAGAAAAAAACCCAGTACCAACTTGTGAGAATGAACGAAAAATGAACCAAATATGTCGAAGAAGACCTCGAGAAAAGTCAGAATATTTTCTTTTATGTTATCATAACTATTCTAAAATGTCACGTTAACAATTTCTGAACAGTATGTGCAATCAGTCTTTTATATTCAATAATTAAAAATTATAAAATGTTTCAAAAAGCTGAAAGAGTTATAGAGTTGAAAAAGGGTTTATCATTAAAAATATAAAATGTAGCAAAATGTTTCGAAATGCGGTATATTTTTCATCGGATATTAAATATAAAATGTTCCCAGATGCATTTTCATGCTGAAGTTTCTTAATTTCATTTTACTTTCAAATGAATCAATGTGTAAAAAGATCCTATCTAACTTCTTCGGATTTATAACTGTGCTTTAAATGAAAACTGAATGAAAATGATTTTCTAGACGCGTTCCACTCTTTTATATATTGCAATAAAATGAAGCTTAATACCTTAGCGATTTGATGACGGTCGTCTTTCCATTATATCCTTTAAAATGAACCTATTGGCAAATTAATTCCTATACCATGGCACCTGATAATTAAATAAAATGTCGCAATTTTCTTATTTGTCGATTTACCGTTCTTCTAGGATAAAAAATGAATCTGATGGTAGTTTTAAACCAAATCCATGGCACCTTATTATTATTATTAAAATGCTCTACTAAAACTTCATTCTGTCTCGGTTTCAAATTAAATCCCTTTTATTTAAAAAACAATTTATTCCTTGTTGTTTTGATCTTTGCAAGTCACATACCTAACACCAATGCAGGAAACAACGAACACCAAACTACCAAACAACCTAACTGCGAAAAGCGAAAAAGTGCTTTATTTTAGTTAGATGCATAAAAACCTGCCTGAATAGATAAAAGTATTCGAATGATCACAATAGTTAAACACAATCAGTTCAAATTATCAGATTTATTTGATTATTGAGTACATAAAGAGTACAAGAAATCAATGTTTTTCATTCTTTTGCAGCTACTTTTCTTTCTGGAGACGGTTGAAGTCTTCAATCTTTGCGGCAAGCCAGGGATCGATTTCTCGTGGGACAGCAAACTCATCCTCATCACTCTCGATTTCCTTGCCAGATGAGTGCTTGGCAGGTCGGAATTCGTGCATCAGAGCTTCCACGATTGCTGGGGGTTTTGACTTTGCAGATCTTGCAAGATCGCAAACGATGTAAAATCCGTCGTCCAAGAGGTCGTCGATAAAAATCTGCTTCTTTTTGCAAATCGGATTCGAGCAGTGTCGCGACTTAAGACAGCTTAAAAGATCGTAACTTGCCTGGCTGGGCCGGTCTGCATTGATCTCGATCGCTTGGTAATTGATCGAAGAAACCGCTTTCAAAAGTTCATCGCTAGTTTTCTTGATGAACACAATTCCTTGCTTCTTATCAGCGGTTGCGTTACATGCATCAGAAGGTGGCGTTGTCGGTGGCAAGGGGGGTTTTTGGGAATTCGCGTGAAACATTTTCTCGTTTTTTAGCTATCTGATATTTTATAGTAAATAACGATAGGAGAGCAAAGGTGTGGGTCTTCGCAACTCACGAGCGACGCTTGAAATAACACTTCTTTTAGACTGATGACTTGACAATCAGCGAACATGCAGCAATGCTCGGTGGAGATGGCGGATTTAAAAATCATGCTTCATATGCTGCTGGCGTTACTGCGCGAATTCGTAGTAAACTAGGCGATTTTGGAGATGTTGACTCACCTGGTCTTCAAGCCAAATTGATGGAAACTTTCATTCGACACGAGGCAGATAAAAAAAGAGGTGAAGCAAGAAAGAACCGAAAAGTGGGAGGAATTCGAAAGCGAACCCTTTTCTCCTATTTCCGATAAGCTAGAAAAGATGCGAACTGAGAATGTGATAGCTCAAGATTCGTCGATGACTAAGTTCAAGGTCAAGGCCACATCACCCGAATACAAGTTCAATGAGCAAGAATCAAAACAAGTTGCTGCGCCCACTGACGATGCATCGGAACCTCCGACTTGTTCAACCTCACAACACGATTCATCAGAATCAAAGCAAGAGGTAAAGAGAAATTCTGATTATTTTTATGTTTTTATTACGTTCTAAGATCCGGTCTTTACTTGCTGCAGTGCCAAAGCCAAGAAGTATGTTAGAAGAGATGGCTAAAAAACCAGTTTTTTTCCCTCCACAACCCAGACCACCGACTCCACAAGAATCTCTTCCTGCTCCAGCAGCTGGAGGATTTAATGGCCCGACGAGATTTCCGGTTATACCGTTGCGCCCGAATGCGCCTAAGAAGCCGCTGATTTATGAGATGCCAATTGTTACAGAAATGTAAGTTTTATTTTCTTTTTCATTAAATGACTTTTGAAAAGGGTTCGTGAACGTCGACAGCAGGAAGAGGACGAAGAACGTCGACGCTATTATGAAGAAGAAAATAATAAACAGCGTACTTTTGGTAAAGGAGGCTCCAACCTCACTCCACCGGACCCATTTGATAGAAAAGAAGCTGCATATTTTTCATTTGGACGCCCTGAAAATTCAAATGAAGACGATCGAGACGAAAATGCTCAAATTGGCTTTGGTGAGAATGTAATAATAGACGAAATCGCACTGGCTGAAAGATTAAAAGAAGGCTCTCCTACCAGAGAGGAAATTTTGGAATCAAAAGAAGCTTTTACGACAATGCCTGTCCCAGACGCTCTCAATAAGAAGGAAAGTAATGATCAGGGTGGGACTGTTTCTTCGCCAACAACATCAGCATCGTCGAGCTCGTGGTTTTCTTCGTCGCCGTCTTCTTGGAATTCTTCAAGAACTCTCACGAAGTCGACAAGTCAAAGTAGCGGAGGAACTTCATCTTATGACGATGATGAAGAAGATTTCGATGTTTATGATGATTATGAGACAGATCAACCGCAAAAGACGACTCAGGTGCTGCTTCTTCATGAAATAAAGAAAAAACGAATGGAGGAGCTTGCAACAATTGTCGAAGATAGCGACTCAGAGGCCGAATCCCTACATTCTTCACCGCGGGCATCTAACAGTCAATCAGTAGACTTACAAAAGGTAATCATATTCGACTGAAAAGATTTTTATCCATTTTTAGGAAGAAGATGTGATGGAAATAGAAAATAATGACGTAAAGGCAAAGACAGATGAAGGGCCAAAGGCAGATGAAGAATTAAAAGCTGATGAAGAGCCAAAGAAAGAGGAGGACGTTTTTGTACCACGAAGATCAAAACGTCAGAAATTTCAAACTGATTTCTATGGATATGGAAAGAAAAAATGAATCACTTTCTCCATATTCTGAACCTCAATATTAGGGACCTTATCACTTATCACAGTTTCGTTAAAATTCACGTTGCCAGCCAACTTGGAGGCGAACGTTCACTTACCCTTCTCCTATCTGTGTTCAAATACCGGCAAGCGACATTCTTTCCGATATCACACCTTAACCAATTCCCATAATACATCCGCGCAATGGCGGTCACTTCTTTTCATCTTTGACTTCCTAAAAAACAGAATCTATCCTGTATCGTTTGATGCTCTTCGAGGGTGTCGCTGTTAAAAGTAAACTTGAGAAGTGGGGATTTTTCACTGTCGAACATTTTACGTTTAGTAAAGAAATAAATCAAAAAATCAAACGAATTAATGTTTTATTTTATCGATAAATGAAAGGATTTAATGAAAACATAGAGGACAAATCTCACGAGAGCATTAATTTTCCAGATTGTCAAGAGAGAGCCGACATTTTTGATCGACCAAACGATTCTTACGATGGATTACGAGCGGTTCGAGTACTTTCAAGAGAACGATCGACGTCGGTATCAGAACTTGCTCTGGGAGAGACAGTTTCGAATTCAATCAGCACCAGCGTTGTTACCTCAAACACAAACGTTTCCAGAGAGCGAGAGTTTGATTTCAATGTCAACCAGTTCGAATGCGAGCGAAAGTTCCTCGATCTTGACAGTGGTCGAATCGTCGGCGGAGCGCTTGCCAGTGGAGCAAGTACCATTGAACCAAACAAGGGTAATGAGGGAGACTTTATCAATTTCGAGCAGCTTTCAAGAAATAGCGCGCACAATGCTTTTGAGAATTCAAGCTCATCGTCGAACCGATCTAAAACGAATCACAATATTCCTGGCAATAATCTCTTTGCTCCTATTACTAACATTGGTGCTTCTGAGCCAGTTTCGCTTGCACTAAACAACCCGTTTTCTTTGCAGCTCGATTGCGATAAAAAAGAAATTCTTATAATGCGAAAAGATTACAACTTGAGGATTCCTTCTATTTATCGTAAGAACCGTTTTCACGAGTCCGAGCTGCATTTGCACACTCACTATGAAAATTCTGCTGCCGATTTCACATTGCCGCTTCAGAAACTAGAACGTGCTTTTATTGGAGATGCGCTTAGACATAGATATGTGTTTAAGAATTCGGCTATGGACTTTAAGCAGCACATCAAATCTCCAGTTAATGTGAAGCTGACTAGTGCACAATGGTCAAGATGCGCCCGAAGAGTTGCAAAGAATATTACTGGGGCCAGCCTGTTTTACCCGTATCGTGACAACTGGGAGTCGACGTCAGCTGCTGACACGAAGCTCTATTCAAAAATCTTCTCTTCAGACGATTCTGGTGATGACTATCAACTGCGATTTCTCGATATACCTGCTTTAACCCAGAACATGTCATTTGAGGAATCTTCATCTTGTCTCGCTCTTTTAGAGTCTTACTGCAGTCTCCTAAACCCACACTTCATTAGAAGAACAATGACAGAAAAGAATGTCGATGGAACAAGCCGCAAAGTACAGAAACTAAGAGTTATTACTACAAATGTACAGTTTCTGAGTCCAGTAGAAGATCACTGCTCAACTGATGGATGTAATCAATTTATCTCCAACATCCTTCGCTTAGACGAGTTAGTAAATGAAGCTGGTGATTATCAAAACGATCCTGGCTTTATTGAATACAATGCTGTAGATATCACGATGGAATACTACTCACTCTGGGAATTTATCGCTGGTAAACTCTATCTGAACGCTGGAAAAAGGAATGACGCTGCTGCAGAAGTAGATGAAATAAATCGAAATGTGAATGAGCCTTTCAACGACTTATATGAGGATATACAAGTGACACAAAGGGCAAGAGATATTCTTGAATCACGACGCGGTCCAATCGAAACAACTTATGCGGATCCTTGTTCATACAAGTTAAACGATCGTTTATATTACGATCCATATGGCGAACAACGATTTATGAAATACAATTATGAAGCAAGTCGTTACTCGGTCAAGCCTTATCGTCTAGCAGAAACCGACCTCTTCGCTTACACAGCATTGATCGGTGTTCTTATTCAAGCAGTTGTACCGTACTACATTCCTTCACAACTGATGAGCGGCAATCAAAGTAGTCAACTTGCCAATCTTTTCGTTGACGATGTCGATTGTGATGTGAACGCCGAAAATAATTATACTCGCAAAATGAAATCTGATTGGCGCGCCGGTCTAAAAGCAATAAAAAGACCAAAACTGGTGAACGAAGAAATGCTTAAACTTGAGAAATGTTTTTGCACCGACGCTCGCAATAGCTGCTACTCGAAGATGTTCCAGTTAGACATATTCAAATATGAAGTAATTAGGGACCATTGCCCAAATTGTCATATCGGTTACTTGATCACCCTCGCGAAAAATTTTCACGATCAAACCGACAGAGAACACTCGAAATTGCGCAGAATCTACTCTCAGCCGGTCGACGCATCTATTCAGGACCCACCAAAGATCAAAACAAAACGACACGCACTGCGACTATCACTATATTCACATATCAAATTTGTGCAAGATCTTTTCAGCCGATCGCAGTCGCTCTATCACTCATATGTGACGAAGTGTTATTCAGTTGGATTGGCGTCTCTGCCAACTAAATCATCATGCTTCCAAAATCTTGTTGGTTGCAACGGTTACGCGAAAATTGATGACGGGCAACTACCAACTCTTTGTTCACGATGTTTAAGTGGCTTAAACTCAACTCAAAATCGTATGGCGACAATACTCAAATGGCGGGAACCTGTGCACAACGCCGTTATTCGAAAACGACAGTTACAGTTTAATACTCTTATATCGGAGAACGCAGAATTCGATGAGATTTTCATTCACGATGTTGTCGCCAAGAAGAACCAAGTAAGTGCGATTCATAAACATAAATTTGTTCCATATTTTTAACTCTCTGTCGCTTCAATGAAGTTCTCTTTAGCGACAAAAACGAAAACAAACATGGGAAACGGAAGGCTCAGAAAAGATAGAGTCAAACTTTCCTTCAGCTGCCAAAAAAAGCAACCGAGAGATAAAAACTGCAAGGTAAGATACTCACACCAAGTCCGATTTAGAGAGAGAATTTAGTGACAAACCCTCAACGTCAAATGGTGGAAATTTCGCCGAGAAGGTCGCCACTAGTGGACAACAATCGCCATGTTCAACAACAAGAAGAACCACCACAGAATTTTACGACAGCAGATCAGCCTCTAGAACAGGTTTGACATTTAAAAATTACTGATACTAATAAGAGCTAAGGAGAAAGAAAACATACCTTCAGCGATGATATCGGACGACAGCGACTCAGCCCAGACACAACCCCCCAGCCCACCGTCGGACGAAGTGGAGTCGCCCCCTCCTACGCCACCAAGTCCAATGATGGAAGACGCTCCTCCTTCGCCGCTGAGTCTGACATGGGAACGACATGCTCAAACACCACCTCCTTCGCCCCACACAGTGTTTTCAGAGAAATTACGACAAATTCAAGAATTGAAAGCGGAAGATTTACCAGAACGATGGCAAGTCAGAAAGAATCAGTTAACGAGCCTGGAGGAATACTTTCCGAACTACTCCCCCAAGGTGACTCAAGAAGAAACAATGTCCAAAGAGTCAACGCGCCAGGCACAAACTTCGAAAGTGTGCTTCGAGAAAGTAGTGGAAGCGGAACCTTTTCATCTTTTCGACGGTCACTCGAGAAACAACCCAATCAATTCCCCGTGGTATTGCCGGATAATTTTTCGACCGGGCGAGATAAAACTTCTTCCAATAACGAACTTGGGAGTTGTAGCTATTCCAGCAAAACCACGCTCAAACTCACCATGCCAGAATGTTCAATGCCAGAAAACAATCGAGGAGCTCCACAAATATTACCAATTGGAAATAGAGAGAGCGCGCTTTTACAGGGAAGAACCCTCACCACCTCCTCTACCGATTTTCTCCAGCCTTTTCAACCAACAACAAACACACAAACCGGATTGCGATTCGCCAGGACCCTCGGGATTGAGCATAATGAAAGAAGACCACCTACAGCAACGCCAACCTATTACCGAATCTCAAATGAGCGAAATCCAATCATCCGAACCGCCAGCCAAGAAGCTCCGCATGGATCATTAGTCAACTCTCACATCGACTCGCCCAAACCTCCATCTTCATTACCATCATATAACACCGCAGTATATAACAGAAAAAGATCCGAAGCGACAATGGAAATTGACAGCTTAGTTGACGAATTTAAAGGTAAATTTAAAATTTATAAACAATCTTATTATTATTCTCTAGCAACAGATCACATCTATCATCGTCAATCCTCATCATCGTCTTTTCACTCTGACACGACTCATTCTACCGAAAACAAACAACCAACAGAAGTCGACAACGAAACCGACGAAATTTTAAATCTTTTTGTTTAACATTTACAATTTAATTTCATTCCTGCTTTACACTTCTCTCATTTGCACCCAGACAGAATATAACAACTAGATTTTTCATTAAACAATTGTTTTATTTAAATGCCCAAGCAGCAGGATAGGTTTGAACAATTATTTGATAGGCTAAAATTCTATTTAAACGAACATTGCTCTCTTCAAAGACATCTCGACGGTGAAAGGTGTTTTTTAAAAGGGCGTTGTTGAAATCTTCAGGTTGTATTTCTTCCAGGAGTTGTTCCAAATCGGCCTCATTCCTAAGATATTCCGTAGAATTACAGCTCCCCCAACTATTTGGATAAATGATGGAATATTTGGAGCGAATTTCAGGCTCACCAGTATCCGTATTGAACCAAGTCCCAGTAGAAACGGTGCTGTAGAAAGCGTCAACAGAGACTCTCAACAGTCCAGTGAAATTTCTGCCTATTTTGTCCACCAAGCCCACATAGTCCTTGTCGTTCAACAATGTTATTGTGTACCGATTGCAAAGATGAGCGTAGTTGCCTTTTGGATCCGCGCCAAGAATAAGCCGATTATGACGAAAATTGTTTCCTAAATTTGTTAAAATCATAAACATGTCTTTTATACTTATTAAATGGCGCTGTGGAAAATGTCTTGTGCCACTCCCTTCAATCAGTGCTTCGAGTTCTTCAGGCTCAAAATAATCATCGTCAGGCCATTCAATTGGGACATGCTTTGATAGAAAATCTAGTTCCCAAGCAACATTAGATTTTAGTCCATCATCTGACAGTGAGAAATTAGGTTCTTTTGATCGTCGAGGATAAAACCACTCTATTTGTTTCTTAGACAGATTGAAATCTGTTTTGATATGATAAAAACGGTCCATAAAATCCGCCATCGATAAACCATTAGACGGTTTGTCCGTGTCAATATTTTTGCGCGTCGTCTCGTTGTTTTTCGTATATATTTTATAGTATCAAATATACTTGCCATTTGTAAGTCGACTTCTTCCTCCGAAGAAGGTACTGGTGGAAGTGAAGAAGTCGACGTTGGTCTTGACTCCGTCATCATAGAATTATCTTCAGGAAAGACCGGAGATAAATTAGAAGACATTCTTAATTCCTAAATATTTTAACGAAATAAAAAAACTCTACATTCGTGACAGTTAATTAAAAATATGAGCCATCAGCTTTTTTCAACGGTAAAGTATTAATTTTGTTTTCACAAACGATTCGCTTTTTCAGAATAGAATTTATAACATGTTTTGACATCGTCCATGTTTTCGTGCGTTTTGCTTTCTGATCGAATTGGATTAGGGGTACATCTTTTTTTATGCGCATGTTCATGTCTGACGAAAAAAGAGCTGCCAAATACTCGTAGTGTCTAAAACAAAATAGCGAAAATATTGTAAAAATCCTACTTTATGTGAATCTTTTGCGGACATCCTTTGGCTGAACGTTTTTGATATGAGTAGAGTATTTTGAATCTTTATACTCTTCCAATATCTCGTAAACTCGATGAGCGTTATTTGGGTCCGCCAGTTTTTCTTCCAACTCGCACGGATCAGAATCAGCGAGTATATAACATTTGGGTGATAATGATATCATCCACCCCTTTGAGAGTCCATTCTTTGGTCCTTCAGGCTTCAATAAACCGGGTTCCTTTGCAGACTTAGGACAACCCTCTTCCACAAACCACTCGGGAACAATTTCTTCTTTCCATTCATCTAACTTATCGGGCTTCACACATTTCTCGAGAGTTTCAGCGCCCAAAGCAAGCATAAAAGAGTCGGTGTCCGCATAGCACATAGTGCACATTCCATCCACCATATATTCGCGGAGCACATCCAAAAATCGAAAAAACAGCAACTTACTATTCTGGTAGACAGCGATTTGCACATGTAAACAGTTATTATGGACAACTTTTCGTTTTGAGAAAACTGCTTCATGCAGCGGATCGAATCGCTCGCCTTAAGCAGTCAACCCTGTTAAATCCTTTAATCGAGGGTCGCGGATCGCGTCAAATAAACCATTTGATGATAGAATTCGAGTTTTCACAAATTTTGAGCGATCAATCGCAAAGTAGCCAACAGCGGAATTAAGAATAAATTTGATCCAGTTTTGGAGTGCATCATCCTTGTTCTTACAGGCTTCCACACGATCAGCCACCATGGTGTTAACAAAGTCTTTGAATGGACAGCCCCGTTTATATTCAACAAAATAATGAACTTTGTATTTGATTCCTTTCGCGTCGTAGTAGGAAAGCATATCGGAAGTTATCATATATCTCTTGGCGTTGTAGCAGAATATGTTCTCCTGGCATGGAAACATTTTCTTTTTCTTCTCTTCAGTAAGAACCTCATTTAGATAACCTTGAACATCTTCAGGATTGATTGTATGTTTTGCAAAAATTGGTGGAATGTCCTTATGCGCTTCAATAACTTCTGGAGGCGACTCCAAATCTACCATCGCGAAGCCGTAGAACAATGATTCTCCATTTGAGTTTTTAGTGGTTATGGCGTTTTTGAATTCTTGTTCAGTAACTCCTTCATGACCCGACAGTTTGCGCGATTGAGGTGATCTACTTCCCTTAAACAAGAACGGGTAGTCGATCGAATACGGAGGTTGTCCTTTCAGCTCTAATGAACGCCACTCCCGCCTCCATTGACAGGAATTCTTTATTTCAATTTGATGTGGAAAGTATGCGGGTCCTTCAGGTTGCACTGTTGCACCAGTTTCAATGTCAATAACAATCGGTTCGGGAAGCCCATCGCCAATACCGTCAAGAGCGCGAATAATCGCTACAATTTTATCGATGCGCGTTTGCTCATGCTCGAACAGTTCCATTTTGGTCATTTGTTTCTCAATTATTTCCCCGGTACCAGGATCGACAAGCTTTTTCTTAGCAGGATATTTAGGTGAACCCGTGCAGTAAGGGCAGACGTGAAAGGCGCATCCGCGGTATTCAAATAAATGTCTTTTAACAAACCTGACGCCATTGTATTCCATTTCAAAACTCTCAGCATAACCGTCAATGAAATATTCACCAAATTGTTTTTCTTCAAAATTGTACGAATGCTGGATAGGACCTTCCAAAAAATTGACGACAGTTGTGCAGTTGTTTAAATATTCGAGCCATTGAATTGATTCGAGAGACGTGTTCTGACGTTGCTTAAACATACCCTTTGAGAAAAATCGGATTTCTTCATAATGACAATTATTAGTGGAGTAGCCCATCTTATCAGGCATATAAATTATTCCCGGTCCAAGCGGCAAAGCGTTACGAAATGCTTCTGGATACAGACTGTTGAAATCAAGCATGAGAACTAACTTGTGAATAAAGCCCTTCGACTTCCAGGCTGCTTCGGGAATTTTATCATTCGGTCCATTTAGGTAAACGGCCCGCTTGAGGACTTGGCAAATGCCACCTGTTAAATTTGCTCTTAAATCTTTGAGAAAGTGAGGGTGGTCAGGTGAAATCGAATACAATGGTGTTAACTTCGGATCGTATTTACTGAGAGCAATTTTGTGTGCTATTTGGGAGATGCTGACATCGGAGTGGATACCAACGTGAAATTTTTCAACGTTCTTCCTTCCGAAACTTGAAATAGAGCCTTCGAGTAAATAAACATCGTTGTAATTATAATGTATCAGATATTGTCTCATTGTAGGTTCAGGAATATTCTCCGGATCTCTCATGTGCGCATCAACAAGTTTAGCCCAAAAGAATAAACTGTCAGCATATTTTTTCGGTGAAAATCGTAAGAATTTAAGAGTAGCTGCGCAATATTCATCAAACCGCCAAAACCCAGTTTCCTCATCAGAAATCAAAAGATCCGATACTTTTTGTTTAAAGTAATTGCAGTATTCGAGAGGCATATCCACACCATATTCTTCTTTAAGCTGACCCATTGCGCAGTAATACTCAAGCGCCGGATCAGTTATCAAATTATCGAAGCCAAAGAAATCGTAAAGTTTTGCAAGAACTGTTTCTTTATTGAGATCCGTTGAAAATTTCCAGTCTCTTCTCATCAAAGTATTCATCTCTGTCACGTGTTTTTGTTTGGTAAGAGTGAGTGTTGAATAAAAACAAGGATAGGAGCTCAATTCATCTGCTTTTTCAAGATGAGCAACTTTCGTAAACCATTCATAAGGAAATGAACCTTTGCAATATTTATCTGGATCCAATCCGCAGGCACTAGCTAAACTCTCAAGCGACATCGGACTCGTATAATTTTTAAAATCCCTGAAGCTTAGATTTTTGGCGTCTAATAACATAATTCCAGCAGCTCTTTTAATATAAGAAATATCCTCTGTTTTACGATTCACATACTGAAAAAGCACTGACGATAAAGGAGTGAATAAAATTGGTAAGTCGTATTTTTCACCATTGAATGCGTAAATTTTCAGCTTAAAGAAATCCTTCAAATATTTCAATTTCTTGTTCCAGAGCCCTCGTTGATGGAAATTTTCTGAGGGATTGTTCTTCTCGTACTCAATTTTTTCCTTATAATAAGTGATACCAGCAGTTATACATTCAGGGACAAGCTTGGCCATCCGCTGTTGAGTTTTATCGAGGTAAAAAACAAATTCTGCACACATTAAAAGAATCGCTTCGTAATCATCCTCTTTGCGAATAAATATCTTCTTTTCACCATCACTCGTGTATGTTGCAATCGAAACTAGATTGTGAAAGTGTGGTTCATTCTTTGCAAACGGTGAGGCAGTCATAAGCGACTCAATATCATACGTGCAGAAAAAAGTTTGCACGTAATCAAAACTAGGCAGAAAACCATCGTCAGCGAGCTCTTTAATATAATCATTGATTCTCGGACCTTCCACTCTTTGTTCGATAATGTTAATTTGATCCAAAGTACAATATTTAACGTGTTTTTTCATTCGTTGCGGCCTTGAGCTTGAAAATAAACATCCTTTTGTTGGGCACACTGGGAGATTTTTTACTGCATTTGCAGGAAGAATACGCACACGAGTATCCTCAGAGAACACGTTTGGAGTAAGGCTAAAAGCATTTTTAATCGGCGCGTAATCACCAAAGTCGTTGACTAATCGTGTGCCCACGCTGGGATTTCTGTCATCATAGTCGGTAGTAGTTGAGCGTGTTTCAACGTTTTCTTCGCCTAGATTACCATCTTCTTTTTCTGGGCGTTCCTCTTCGCATTCATTATCAAGAAACATATTTCGTCGACCGCGTGAATTCTCGGATTGAGCATTTTCGGTAAGTCTATCAAAATCCACAAATGACAGACCGTCCTCGTTATTACGGTCGCTTTTACTGGGAGCGAGAAGCATTAAACGATGGCGATCATCATCGTCGACATTATCGTCTCTCAGATCCTCGTTGTCATCTTCGCTCTCGGAGGCATAGTGATATTGATGAGTCCTCGATCGGGACCAATTCAAAATTTTTGAAATTTGTCTGTTACTCATATATTGATCGGCAATAGCAGCACGTCTTTGATAATCAACATCACCCGCAAAATTCGGTATAAGATCAGGATAACGCTTAAATCGACGATACTCATAACTGGTATACTTTTTAAACTCGCGAGCGAATTCATCTTCTTTATAAGACGCCACGAGTAAATTCAGGGGAATACACTTTGTTGATTGAACAGTAGCATAGATACATTTTTTAACATTCACATTATCGTTAAGTATTTTCCCAACGAACAGACGAATGTCGACTTGTAATTTCTGTTTAATTTTTTTTAAAACACCATCAGCAATCGTAAAAATTTTGTTCTGATAATCATCGCCGAGTATTGTTTTCTTTAGCGCCAAAATTTTGTTGGGATAATCTTGTTTGCGTAAACTTGGCCACTTGACCTTGACTATGGCTGTCCAAATACACGTCCAAGCAGAGTCGCATGTCTCAAACGGTTTTCTACCAGGTAAAACCCAAAACGTTCCCAAACGGTGAAAAAACGGACGAGCAGATTGAAGTACAACAACGGGTCTAGCAATAGCTATAGATTCATTGGGCACACTTTCTAATCGGTTAATTATCGACGAAATATCATCATTGCACATTCTTCTTTCCAAAGGTCTGTAAGCTATGCCAAGTGGTGCGTATCTACCACCGTAAAGCACATAAATATCAATATTAAGGAAGCGTTCAAGTTTAGGTAGTACCGCTCTTGTCGGTCGATTACCAAATTTTTCAACAAGCCTCTTGGTATCGACTTTAGCTTTTTCTTCTCTTAATGGTTGGTTCACTTTTTTAGGTATTTTCGGAGATATCTTCTGTAAATGTTTCCACCAATTAACACCCATTAAAACAGCATCATAAACATTCGAAGTATGTTCGTCACAGGAATCAGGATCCGCGGGGAAATAATCAACTTCATCGTTAACGTATTCGTCATTATGAAAAGTATCATCAAAGATATTTTCGTTATTCGAAATAACCCGGGAACTAGCTGTACTAGCAACACTGCTACCAGTTTCATAATCATCGAACATATTTTCATCCAAAAAACGGGGTCCAGGGATATCTCTTGGTCTAACAAAAACACTATCACTGCCATCAGGATCTTCTTCGAACTGACTTTCAGCGTCAAATGTTGCTCTACACGTTTGATCTCCGCTTAGTGAAGAATTTGACGAGGGAATATTACGCAAAATACTGTCATTATTAGGAAGTGGAATAACGATACTAGAAATACTGCTTGACGCTTCACTTGCACTTGAAATATTTGAAAGCAACTCGTCGATTTGTCTATCAACTGATCCATGCAGAAATCTTCGTCGTTTTATCTCGCCAGTACTTGTTGTGTACTTTGGTCGATTAGGTAAAAACCGTTTCATTTCATTTAAAATTATGCGTGAAATAGATTTTATTTCTGTTTTTATAGATACAGTGTTTACAGAAATAGCGACTACAGGGAAGAAGAAAACGAGGGCGCTCGGCGGCTATCCACGAGGTCTTTTGGCGTTTCGTTTGGCTGTAGCGACTGGAACTTGTGATAGAATAACAGCCTCTAAAAAACAGTGAAATAGAAATTCGATATTGAGTTTTACCTTGCTTGACAGAATCAAGAATAAGAGCGTCCACTGGAATCCTTGTCGTCATAGCACTCCAATTTTCTGTTGTTGTTTCTTTATTTTCGTAATTAGCGAACCCTGCGAGCGGTTTATCGAAAGTAATTCGTATATTAACAGTCGCGTGAATTCCTTGCATTGGAGCGAATGACATTGGAACCATCCAATTCTCCGTTATAAATTGAAAATAATCCAGTCCTTCACCAACAGATTTATTTTCATATCTTCCATTATGGTGCAAAAAGTTGATGTAGTGATCTCTTGGCGATTTCCACGGTGTACCAAAGGAAAATTTGTTGTCCACAAGAATAGAGAACTCCTTGATAGTAAACCCTTCTTCAAACAAAGTCGTTTTCGTTATGCACTGATCAAAGGATCCAGGACATCGAGCGCCTCGCATTCCCGTAAAAATTAACCATTCAGGGAGGGGGCCAGACGAAATTTCAAATTCGTAAGTTTGCAATCCAGGACTCAAATTTTGCATAATCATACGTGGATAATAAAACGGTATTTTTAATTGACCTTTAACTCCAGTTGTTAGAGGCTTTTCTTTCGCTTTTGGCTCGCAAAATACACTTTCAAGCATTATATTTTTTAAGTGATATTTCTCAAAAAACCGTTTACTAGGATATTCAACAGCACAATTTTTCTTCCAAAAATGAACGTATTTTTTTTCATTTTCCTCAACGATGTTAAACTTAGGTATTTTACAATAGACCATGTGAGGTCTAAAACTTCCCGCTTGAAGTATAGTATTCTTCGGCGTAGCTTGTTTTCTTCCAAGATCAAGGATTTCGATGAAATTGATGTACTCGCCTGTCTCATACTTGGTTTTACCATCGTCGTTGACCTCCAAACAATCGCAGTCGTCAGGATACTCATGTTTAACGGAATTATTCATTAGTAAAAGGTCAGCATGATACGGAAATTTAATCTTTGACACAATTTTAGATTTTGCATCTAACCCGTAAATATTATCGTAATCAGTACGACATTCTGTAAACTCAGAGAACTTTTGCAAAAATAACTTAGCATCATTTACTTTTACCAAGAAAGAAACTCTTGACCCAGGGGGTAGAACTTTTTCCTGACGCGCTAAGCCATGAGTTATCGGAGTCCGCAAATTGTAATCATACCAAAGTACATCATAAGAAAGAGCGGCGCCATCGGTTGTCAATTTGATTGTTTCAGGTTCAGGTTTCCAATTCTTTTCTGCATACTGTTGTCTATTCTCAACAAGAGTTTTTCCATTGTGTTTCACCCGTTTCGTTTCAAGTTCATCGCTGTCAACATCGAAAGCGTCAAAATGACCCTCCACAAACATTTCGATTTCCTGTGCTTTAGGTGAAAAGTTAAGTTTCTTTATAAAGTGATTGAAGAAGGCGTACTCCAACCCATCAGTAAATGTAGAAAAGATAGTACTGTCCAGAATCTTGACTTCAAACTTATTTACCATCTTTGCTGCCACATCATTATCAGGAACGAAATTCGAAGGCATCTCCATTTGATAATGAAACATACATCGATCAAGTTTTATGGGAAGCTTATCCTCAGGAACTGTAAAACAAATTTCGTTTTCAAGGGGATGTGTTGCTAATCGCATAACTACTTTGTATCCAGTAAATGGATCTTCGACTTTCTTTTTTGGAACGTAATAAAGAAGCTGTCCATAATTTTCGGTCATTTTCGTTAACTAAAATTTATTTTAATATCAATGAACAATAAAATGATTGAGATGAGCGAAAAGGAACACAAAAATAATCACATGAATTTTGATTGTTAGAAATATAACAAAGTAAAGTCCCAAGTTCGATTTAAAAAATAAATCAAAGAATTTAAAAATATGTCCGAGTCCGTTGAGCAAAAGAGAAGGAATTCTTTTATTTATTATCGGCGCCGTCGTCGTCGTCGAGGATACTTCCGTCTCCTCGTTGTTGTTTTCCGACGAGGCCGACGTCGAACCAATCTCGAGGTCCTCCGTTTCGGTCCTGGTCTCCGGCGACGTCGCGTAGTTGTCCGAATTCGGGAAAGTTGTGGTCTCAGAATGAACGATCGAAGACGAGTCATCCTTGTTAGTTTCTTCGTCGACGAACAGAGAGAATAGGTCCGTTATCTAAAATATATTCTCAAGATTCAGAAAGCGGCAACACAAGATTGAGTTCGTTTTCATAAAACCGTCGGTCTAGAGTTTCTCCATTGGGCCCTTCTAATTCAAATGTGAAAACACGAGCTCCTTTATTGATGTGAACGATTTGATAGAGCTCTTTTGACCACTTTGAAACCGAGCCTTTATCGAAAATTCGCTGCATGCTTGGATCTTTGACTTTCCTCACCAGATCACCCAAGTGTAGTCTACTTCCAGTTTGACGTTTCATTTTTGAGCGCAAACTCTCCAAATAATCGAAAAGCTGTGGTGCATTCGTTCGATTTACATCGCTAGGTCTCATGTTTATTGAGGAATGAGGAGTATTATTGATTGCTTGATTCACATCATCCAATATATGTGTCCATCTCTTGACCCCGTTTTGAGCCGTAAAAGCTCTTGCTAAACGAGTTTCCAACGTGCGACTAAAAATAAATAACTAAAAATTTGCTAAAACTTACTTAAATCTTTCCACCATCGCTGCCTTGTGACGACCAACTAAATGTACCGGAGTCATACCCCACTCTTTCAGTAGATCCTTAGTTGGACCCAAAAATTCACTACCCTTATCTGAACAAAAGAATGTATGTCCAGGTAAATCTAGTCGCTCAAAAATATGTTTCAATTCTTTCGAAGTTTCCTCCGCAGTCAAAGTCTTTAACATTCTAACAAAACTTTGTCGAGATAGTGCATCAATAACACATAGAATATATCTATAGCCATTATTAACGCGACTGTAATTTTTATACGCAGCAATAGTATCTGCAAAAAGTGTAGTATAAAGTCCGCTAGCAATAATGGGATTTCGAGTAAAATTATAGCGAAAAGGTTTATGAAGAGAAATAGGCTCGTTCATGCGCTTAAATCGTTTCAAGTCAAAACCACTATAATAAGATTCTTTATTAGGGTTATACATTAAATCGAGAGCAAAAGGAGGTCTTCTAACTGTATCACTATTATTGGGATCATTTTGTCCAGAAATCTGCGATGTCTGCGACTCCTCGATTCTCGACGTCATTGTCTCCCCATCGGAGTCATACTCGGATTTCTCTCCGTCGGAACTATCTCCGGCTCCCTTATCTCCCTTCTTGTGTTTATTACTAGCGGACTTTCCGGATTTAGACTTTCCTGACTTAGATTTGCTTGGGGGTTTTGATACTGTAGTGACTCTTCCAACAGATCGCTTGGATCGCTCATTCTGTCGCTTAAATTTGTACGCCGGGTTCTCGACAATAACAGACTGGGATCGTCTGGAATTGGCTCGTCTGGCGTTGTTATGTCTTCCACCCGATTCTTTTCTAGCATTTTTAGATTTTCGTCTGACCTCATAATCGGATTCGTCGGATTCATACGAGTCTGAATCTTCATCATTTGAAGTTGTTTCGGAATCGTAATATTTCCGCTTTCGTTTCGAGCTCCTATTACTTGTGTCATGAATTGAATCCCGCCATTTTCTGAAATCAGAGCTGGTGATAGTATAACCGTCGGATTTATTGGCTTGTCTTTTAGAGCGTTTGAACGGTTGCCGCTTATTTCGTTCATCTTCTTCGCTACCACTTTCGTCCACGTCTTTATATAGTCGTTTTCGCCCGCGTTTCGTTCTAGAGCGGACGACAGTTGGTTTCTTCTTTCTCTGGGGCTTTTTAAACTTGCGCTTTGACCGAGATTTTTCAAATTCTTCGCTGCCCTCGGAATCATAGAAGTCCCTATGTTCTTGCTGCTGATACCTTCTCTGGCCACCGGCGATTTTGTACTGACCACTCTCTTCATCGGACTCTTCGTCTTCCTCCTCGCTAAATTTTTCTTCTTCATCTGAGCTTGAATACGCTCTTCTCTTTCGAGATTTTTTTGATGATCCTCTAGGAAGGGCTCGGTTGCATAGTCCTGCAACCATTTTGGCCGTGTCGTCTTCCTCCGTGTCATAGTCAGGGTAATTTTCCTCTTTTGTCTTAGGAGCTCGGACTCTAACGCGATTAGTTATTGGATTAATTTCCCAGTAAGAGCATATATTTTCCATTTGGGACAGGGAGAAAAAACATCCTCCGTTTAGGGGGGCTTTACTTCCAGTATTTAATGTACTCATGTGGACTTAAAATTTTAAAATTGCTCAAACTCAATCTTGTAAAATAAAAGAGATAATTTTTGAAATAAGTTACCTGTGTCATTACCTTTTAAAAGTTTAAAGAACTTTTTCCGAGAGATGTGATTTCTCCAAAAGAGAAACAGAATATGAAAAAAAGCGCTCAAGGTCAAGACTTATAAACAAGAGGGAACAGCGCCATCTGACACATCATCTAAAACAACAGTATAAATAAACGTGTCCGATCATTCTTGCTCAAAGTACGTGATGTTGAACCTTGAGAAAAAAGCAAAAATTGTAATCAACTGTCCACTCAATATTTAACAAGAAATTTTAAATACGACAAAATCAAAGAAACGAAGAAAGCACTATGTCAACTATCATTACAAAGTTCTTGCCAGACATTCGTTTTCAACACCCGTGCTCTTTATTTATAAGTGGAGCTACGGGAAGCGGTAAAAGCAACTTTGTAAAGAATTTAATAGAATGCGAAGGTATTCGTGGAGAAATGACAGATATATATTATTTTATGCCACGCCTGGAAACAATTAATATTCGACCACCAGCACATCAAGAATTGTTTTTGATGGAAGGTTTGCCAACAAAAGAATGGGTAGATGACACATTTAAGACAGAAAATAATAACAACGTGATTGTTGTAGACGATCAGTGGTCACAAGCAGTCAATAGTCCCGTAATTGAGTACCTTCTCACATACGGTCGTAGACATCTCCGGCTGACTCTCATCTTTATAAGTCAGAACTTCTACGAAAAGTCAAAAATATCCATAACTCTCAGGTAATAACACATTTAAAATTATCCAACCAGATATTTCAGGAACTGCATGACAATCTTTATATTATTTAAAAATAATACAGACACAGGCATTAACAAAACAGTAGCGACGAAAACAGGGGAAGTAGAAGCGTACAACGCGGCAATGAGGCTTTTCAAAGAGCGCAGAATCCCGACCTTCTACTATGTGATCCTGGTAAGAGACATCAACCACCCAGATCAACCACGTGTTATGACGAATTACTTCGGGGAAATCCCTGGCCTTGGCGGCGCACCTTGGCTATTTGACGTTCAACAGTAACCCCTTGCATTTAATCCTTGATTTTTAATAAAATAAACGAAAAATTTTAATAAAATCTGTTTATTTTGATGTTTGGCGAGAAATCAATTTCTAGAACATTTGTTTTTTTTTTTGACGAGTAGATCAAGAAGAAGTGTTTTCAGCGGATGAGGTGGGTTGCGTCTCGTTTTCTTCTTTTCTAAAACCATAAGATGTGAATTTGGTTATGCAATATGTAAAATAAAAAAAACTCAAAATTTGATAAATTAAAACTAGATCCATGAGGTGTGTAAAAAATGTAACTTTCAACACTTACTTTTGACTATCCAAGATGCTTTTCTGCTCGTTTTTATATTTTCGAAGAAGGTTAAAGAGTGCCCAATCGTAGTCTTCTTCGTTGTGAAATGTTGGTCGAAGTGCATGCCGAGTAAATCCCAAAAGTGACTACAAAGTACTTAATCAGAAACAAAAGATAAATTACATTTTCATTATCATTGATTATTTGCCGTTCCAAGCAGATGTTTTCAATACGATGCGCGAATCGCACAAAGGCGCTTATCGGTCCAAAGTAATTGCAGAAGGCGTAAGTACGGAACAATTTTCGGGCGAGTTGCCTGAGGATCAGCAGTCGCGTGTCAGACATTTGGGCATAATCGTAGTCATCTTTCTTCAATCCAGCGATTCTTAATAAAGAGACAACGCGTCTGTCGATTTTATCTTTGTCAGCTTGATTATTCTTTCGATAATCTGGGTTTCGCTCAAGAAGACAGCGCACGAAGACTTCGGCATAAAAAAGAAATACAGATGTCATCGTAAAAGAATATTCGCGAATCAATGTGAGATTAAAAAAGACATCGTCCAGATACGGGTAAACAACCTTCTGATAATCGCATGTAAAGCTGTAGGACATGTCGGCGGTCTTTTCCCGAGAATAGGTAAAGCGACGATAGACAATCATTGGTTCATAAGCCAGGGACCCATAGGAAGTACTTCCATCGACACAGTGATGACAAATAGACGGACGTCGGCGAACTATCACAAATTAAAAAACTATGTTTTGAGCTTTGGTATTACCTAAATCTTCTCGGAGGTAAATAACAATTCGTGGGTGGAAAGTGTTTGTTTCCCTGTTGTAATCCTGGAACAGATGAAATCCAAAGCTCATCTTGCGGGTCGTAAAAGCTTCCTTAGCAATAACCTCTGGTATCGGGTACCCGGAAGAACCTCGGTGCCACCCATCAAAAATGTTCTCCCTACGCGAAATAACTGGAAACTTAACGCGCACAAGTTCAGAGAGAGTTTCTTCGAAAATCAGGACCATCTCGATAAACTCTAACAGCTAAGCCAAAATTACGAAACGAAACTACGAAAAACCTCAACCAACTCTCGACCGCCTCACACAACAATCTCAAACCGAAAAAGGAAATTAAAACAAAGGTGAGATACAGGAAATATTTTTATTTTAATGCAGCTGAAAAGCGCAAAAGTTGCTTCTGCTTTAGTTGCTTTCGGTAGACCAATTTCGCCCAGCAAGCGTGAAAGAGCGATTCGACGGAGTGGTGAATTCTAGTCGCCATCTCTGGTTGCAAATATCACTCCATAGATCGTGGTAGCGCCCATCGATTTCCCGCTCCTTGGCTTGAATATAGCCCTTCAACTGGAGCTGTTCTTCTCGCGTCAATTTAGATTTGAGAAGATTGTAGATGGCCGAAGGGGAAGGATCGTTTGGTTGGGTGGCGGGATCGATTGGGGCAGACCCAGCGAAATCGACGACTAAAATTAATTATTTTCAGCCTGAGAGACATTTAAAACTTACATTCGCGAGCTGGAGAAAGAGGCTCTCGTTGGTCGGGAGCGGTCGTTTCTTCGCCGACGCTAGGTCGAGGAGGGAGATTCGGGTAGACCTGAGGGGCTTGAAGGCCACTTGGTCCAGCCTCTTCTGGAAGTCGGAGCTGGGGGTCAGAGTTTCGAGATGGCCCCCTAACACGGAAGTGATTTGGGGGAACCTCAGTGTCCATTGGAGCAGAAGCGATCGGGGACGTAGGTGTCTGCTCGGGCTCCGGTTGATGAACAGGGGAGCTAGGAGCGAGATGATCGGTCGCTTCAGGAGCGGCGGCAACTTGTCGTCGGTTCTTGGTAAAACCGAATTTGGGGATCAGTTTCCCTTTGCCACGTGGGAGTTCTTCGCTTTCGGATGAGGAGGAATTGGGCGCATCGATTGAATGGAGAGCCAATTTCGCCTGGAGTAAGTGCGCTTCCGCGCGAGAGATCGCAGAAGCGAGAGCGGATCGCTTGCTTGTCGCAGATCGAGTAATTCGCTAACATAATTGTAAATTCGAAAAAAATTTCGAATACGGGTACTTACAGTCATCGGGAAAGTCGAAAAAAAGGGTTGGGGTGGACTTTATCCAAATGCCGAGTTTATCCAAAGGCCGACTTTATCCATATGCAGAGTTTATCCAAATGGATAAAGTCGTCATATGGATAAACTCGGCATTTGGATAAAGTCCGCCACTTTTTTGCTAAAAATTTTCTAGAACAAAGAAGTTACTTGCGAGAATGGATAAACTCGATCACTTTTTTATAAAAGTGGATAAACTTGATCATTTTTAGTAAAAATTGGATAAAGTCGATAATTTTTGAAAAAATTTGGATAAAATCGATCAATTTTAATTTATAAATTCATAATGAAGACCGAGTCAACTTCATCAATTCTTTAAAGTCACCCCCCTCCCAGATGAAAATTTTTCTGATAATAATTGTGTCAGATGAGTAATCTTTGTCGCGCCGCCAATTCTCAATGCTCGGCGTGCTCAAGCTCAGCAAAAATTCAAACCCGGCGTCAGCCGTGCTAAAGCTTAGTTTGATTTAGTCTTTTTCATGCTCAGTCGTGATCTAGCTAAGTTTGATTGAGCATTTGCGTGCTCAGCCGTGCTCATGCTCGTGAATATCTGAAATGTGTGCCAAATTGCTCTGAGCACATATAATTTAAATAAACTTATAATTCAAATATTGGAAGCAAATCCGTTCTCAGATGTGCTCAGAGCAATTGGGCACACATTTCAGATATTCACGAGCATGAGCAAGGCTGAGCACGCAAATGCTCAATCCAACTTAGCTAGATCACGACTGAGCATGAAAAAGACTAAGTCAGACTAAGCTTTAGAACGGCTGACGCCGGGTTTGAATTTTTGTTGAGCTTGAGCACGCCGAGTACTTAGAATTGGCGGCGCGACAAAGATAACGGGAGTCACTTAATAGCGCCGCCTTGCGCCGTCCTTCGCCGCCCAGTCCCGCTTGATATTGTTCTCCACGAAGATTTTTGGCGTTTCAATCATGAATTTTTTATGTTTTCTTATCAAAACTTTTATTCTCGTATGTTCAAATAATTTCACCAACAGAAAAAAAGAAAACTTATGATTTAGGGCGTCAGAAAAGGAAGTCAAAATTATCTACAGATTTTGGCATAAAATCATCAATTTATTAACCGCGTGGGACGAATCGTACATTCCAATGTCATTTAAGACTTTAGGGGCCCGGTATTCCCAAACTATAAATCCGATTACTTTGAAATTTTAAATGTGGGTTGGCTCATGCCTTCTTAGTAACTTGTGCAAATGTGGAAGTTTTATCACGGCTCAGTTGCACCTGACACAGGATTAAGTCTGGCCTACTCGAGCGCCCGCTGAGATTTTTACTGTAAAAACGAACCAATTTGTTTGTTTGAGCTATTAAGGGAAGGTTACAATTATCCTGAGGATCAACCTCAGGATACCCTCTAGAAGTGAATCCTGAGGATTGTCCTCAGGATACCTTTCATAAACCTATCCTGAGGATAAGACACAGGATACACTCTAGAAACGAATCCTGGGTATCAGATCATAAAATTTCTTCGATAAAATTAGTCCTGAGGATAAGAAAAAACTGACAGATTCAGTCCCAGAGTTTACTACAAGACAGGCGCGGAGCTCTCTCGACTCCTCTTTTCGTGAGAGTGGCGTGGTTGAGCGGAGCGCTTTGATTGGTTGCAAGCGAAAAAGCACAAAAAGAAGAAAAAAACGAGCAAGAAAGAGGAAAACGCTAGAATAGAAATTCGAAAGAGTTTTGAAATAAAAGCCCGTCAATTTTCTAGCTTAACATCATCGTAATAAAAGACACGGTTTAGTTTTAGCGATTCAATGGAAAAATTTCGAGAAATCGAGAGAGTAAGATTTGAAATCGCTCTAAAAGGAAAATTTTCAATAAAATTTTTTTTTAAAATACCACATTTGAGTTTTGCGTGCATTTTTAGGTAGTATTGTTTTTGAAATGAAAATGATCCTACTACGCATTTAGGCGCTACGAAAGTTCAAATTCATAGCTTATATCCTTAAGCACACGACGGGCCAGAGGCCCTTACGCGCGCATTTTCTGATAGAGAACTCATGGGGTTGGCGGGGCCCAACTCTTGCTGTTGTTCCGAACAGTTAGCTTGGCCAGAATTTGGTCAGACGAGACCCGGTTTGTACTGAACCGGGCGGCGCAGGGCGGCGCTATTCAGTACACGCCAAGATTACTCATCTCACACAATTATCATCAGGAAAATTTTCATCTGGGAGGGGGTTGACTAGGTTGGGGTGTTCGGTGAATCTGGGCACAATTGGCCTACACAACTTCCAACTCCCCGTTTCCGACCAGGTCGCTTTTTCGATCGTTCTTATGACTTAGCGGAAGCCTTCAGCGATACGATCTGTAACTTTCTTAGGCTGTGAGGGGGGTTGAGTATAATGTTCTATATGATTTGAAAGGCATTATTTTAGCATTATCAATTAAAAAATGATCGACTTTATCCATTTTCTACAAAAAATGACCGACTTTATCCAATAATATGAAAAAGTGATTGATTTTATCCATTTTCTGAAAAAATCCTTTGTTCTAGAAAATTTTAGAAGAAAAAATGGCGGACTTTATCCATCTGCGGAGATTATCCAATTTTGACTTTATCCATTTGGATAAACTCTGCATATGGATAAAGTCGGCCATTGGATAAACTCGGCATTTGGATAAAGTCCACCCCAATCGAAAAAAAGTCGAAACGTCCTTCTTCTAAAGCTTGCAGAGAGCAACTGATTACTTTTTGCATTTTAGACCTGATAACGACAACAATTCTAGAGAAAAAATGGTGTTTTTCACTTTAAAATTCAATGTTTTGATCTTTGCAAAACATGTTCTAGAGACGATATTTAGCATAAAAAACAGCATTTTTACCATTATTTTTCAATGATTCCGCAATAAAATAGAATCTACCGGATAAAAAATGTTGTTTTTTCTACAGTAGGTCGAGACCTCGATAAACAGACTTCACTCGCAATTCAAATAAATTCCGACGGTGGAAAAATCTTTTACGGATGTTTATGCACCCGAGAAGGGGTATTTATTAACGAGACCATCAGGAAAAAACAGCTAAATCTGCTGAGTTGAGTTCCACGTAGCTTCTGAATGTTGTGATAACTTTGGATGAAGGAAATGATCTTGACCGAGTAGATCAAAAGAAACAAATCATACACTTGAACAAACGACACGAGAATTCTTTTTTAAACTTTACAATGGAAGTACAAAGCCAGAGAAAAGAACAAGATGTCAAGCGAGAAATCGAAGTGGTACAACATCCGCGCGATAAAATCAAAGCTTCAAGAAAAACTTACAAAGTAATGTATGAGAAACTACTTGATCAGCTGCTTAGGACCCAACCAGGAAGATTCCACTCACACTGCAACGGTCTACTTTGGGCTATCGGTAACAATGAGGACGGAGCTCCAAAGTACAGTGCAAATCGGCTCAAGTCAATCATGGATAAGTCACCAGACGTGGATTACGACCATAATCTCCGAAAAGAAATTGAAGCTGGCGCTGAACGGAACAATAGTGAAGATTTTGTTATTGACCACAATACCTTTGATTATTATGCTAGGTACGAGGACGGCGACTTCAACGTGCTCTACATCAGACGAACCGCCAAAGGAGGCGAACAACCATTTCCCGATTATGACACACGCGACTATTCCGACGACTCTGACGACAATTTCTTCCAATCAGATGACGACATCAGTGAAGACAGTGACAAGACCGTATCAGTGCGAATCGGAGAGCCAGATGAAAGTGAGTCAAGCTGCAACTGTGGCAACATATTCCTCGAAGGCAATGACACCGACAGTGAGTACTCAGACGAAAGCACGGACGACGACTGCGAAGATGGGACAGACGATGATATCAGTTGCGAGAGACTTGAAACGGCAGAGGCAGATGCGGATGCAACGGTTAAAGCGACTAAAGGTGCTTGAACGACGATTCAGAACAACGCAACTAATACGAAATATTATTGCAAACAGAAAAGTGCGAAACCTGCGACCCTTTACATATTCTGAGCTGAAATACGTTTTTTCCCAGTGCATTGAGGAATAAATGTAATTGAAATTGATTTTGATTGTTTGTTGATTATTTGCAGGATATATACAGTAGATATTATATACAGTCATTGTTGTCTGCAGGAGTAGACTGAGTTGATCTGAAAAGGTGTGTGAGAATTTGTTTTGTCCTTTGGTTTGATTACCTTGTTTATTCTTCAGTGATTGTTTATTCTTGCCACGGTCAGTTATTGTTTGGGCAGTCTTCTGAGGTCGATCACGGTCATTGCTGTTCGAAGTGGGGGATGTCGTCATACCTGTTATTATAGTTGTTATGATAAATGTGACCACTGTTTACTCATCTGAGGAAATGAGCGCTAGAATAACTCTTGAATGAGAGCGGAAGTTGATTGGTGGAGATTGTTTACCTGTGGGCGGAGAGAGGAAATGTTATTGGCTCTAGAAGAATTGCGGAAATGGCACGCCGCCCTAATCACTGAAGGAAAGATGTTTGTTTAGACTGGAGTAGTTGTTTACATCTTGGTGGGCATTGTTTACCTGGAGGAGGAGAGAGAGGAAGTAATCGACTGGTACACGGCCGCCCTAATGGTTGAGGATTGGACCAAATTTGAATTGCGCGCACAGTGAAATAGAGCAATCACAGAGCACTTACCTTTCGAAACATACAGCCACCCTATATACTACTCTTATCATCTAAATGCCTTACGTCAAATAAGCCGATACGTGATGTCCACGAAAGGCTAATGGCCACGAGAGGCAACTTGCCACGAGAGGCAAATTTGGCGAAATGGCCACGACAGGTAGCTCCCCGAAAGATTCCCTTCTTGATTCCTTGAACCACGCCGACAAAAACGTAATGCTTCGTCATACATTTCCAAAAGTTTTTCTAACATGAATACGCATCACTTAGGCGACGTGGCCAAATGGGTGAACAAGGATACTAAACACTCAATTAGGGTGATGAAGAAAGGGTATTTTCCAAACAGGGTGTGATGAACAAGAGACTCCTGTCAAGAGTGTCGCAATTGCAAAGTCGAAATCCTCAAAAAAGCGTCCTGTATCTTTGCTATATGATTTCGCTCTTGTCGGTAGAACTTCTAAAAGGGTTTCAGCTTTTCACACTCAAGGACCATAAACGCTCGCGGGAGGTATTTCTCGAGTGCCAAGTTCTCGACTTCAACTTTTGGAAAGTTTTCAACTTTTTCGTGTTCAACTCGAAAAGTTACTTTTACAAAATCCCTTTCCATCAAGGATACGTTCTATTAAAAACTGTGCTCGGAAGCCTTTGTAGAAAACCTAAGTCAAGATATGAAGAGCCAAAATATAAAGCCGCAGATGCGGCTTTGATTTAAAATAAGCCGCTCTGCGTCAATATTATAGATTGGGCTCGGCCACCTGTTTGGAAAACCTGAGTCAGGGTCTGATAAATCCTACTCTAAAACAAGTATTCTTGATGTTTGCTTGCTTAAAAAAGTAGACACGTTCTGTTGGCAAACGATTTGGCGGATTTGGAGCGTGTGTCAGGGCTGGTACGTAAAATACGATTACCTTGTGCAGGATAAGCTGAAATAAGGATCCCAAACACCAAAACGTAGTCTACACGCACGCGCAGGTATGTTTCTAAGGCGCTGTTCTCGGCGAAAAACAACTCTTTCAAAACAAGACTTTTCTGTTTTTCCTTTTTTGAAAGATCAAACGAGTCCGTTTTCTCGAGATCTAAGAACGTTCCTAGGATAAAGTGCAGTTCCGGAGAACGCCGAACAACCCTCACGTGATCGATGATGGCGGATTCTGTCAAATATGCCAAGTGCAAGTGGGCCAACGAGCCAAGCACTGCCGTTCATGCAACAAATGCGTCCAAGACTTCGGTGAGAATTCTATTTTTTCGGGTCTTAGAGCAGAATTTAAGGCCTTAGAAACTGGGCTCGGTAGCCTGTGTAAAAAGCCTGAGTCAGTGTTTTGAAACAGCCACGAAGAGTTAATGTCTTGAAATTCAAGACCCTTTTAACACAGGTTGCAAGCCCAGCTTAGGAGATCTTGTCGGTTTTATCCTTCTTTTTGTAAGAAAGAATAAGGGTGTCACTTTCATATTTTACCTTTTAAATAATTAAGATCATCACTGCCCATGGCTGGGGACTTGCATTGGCGCTCGAAATTATTCCGCTTTTGTAGCTTATGCAGTGATTTACGCGCTCCTTCTTCTCGCCAGCGCGATTTTAGGAAACGAACTCAATCAAACCTTCGATTGAACTTTGACGACTGTTGAGTACGTTTTCGCGTAAGGGATCACCTCCGCGGTCGGCGTCTTTGGCCAGCTCGACAGTGTCTACTCACCGCTTTATGGCGCCTTGGCCAGATCGGGCGAGATCACACTAGCCGTGTTTAGCTTCTTGTTCGCTTTGATCAGGTAGAAACAGAATCATAGCAGCTCAATTAAGAGTTCATAAATGAGTGACGTCACTGACGCCCATATAATATGGGCCATATTATATGGAAATATGAGTCACCATTTTCGAAAATAGAACTCTAGGCTCGGCAACTTGCGGAGAAAACCTGAGTCAGGTTCTGAAGAGCCCAAATAATAAGCCGTGTAATGGTCTTATGTCGAAGCCGCTCTACGACTTGGCTATGCTACTAGCCTTAAGGCGGCTTTTCATTTAGCTTCTTCAGAGCCCGACTCCGGTTTTCTCCAATTCACATTAAGATTTCTTGAAATTCAGCTTGCCAGTGATCTACGAAGTCGGGGACCTTCTTCAGTAAGAAAAATTAAAACGGAGAAATTGAACCGTTCGAATAACATGAAATTGCAGCGCGCTCAGTGGTATTAAGCACATTAAGAATTCGCCGCTCCGAGAATGAATTCTACCGCGAATTTGACGAACATTTTAGCTATCACTTCAAGTTGCGAAAACTCGGGTTGACCACATTCCAGTTGATCAAGCTTGGAAACGCCCGCAAAAACGATGATTCTTTCGATTTTTCGAAGCAAGAAAAATTCAAATTGCGAAAAATTGAAAAACTGTACAAAAAACTCGGACGGTGGTTCTTTTCTTTACAAGACTTTGTGTCTTCAGAGTAGGAGCTTTGTTTCGAAGCCGCTGAGAAATAAACGAACCTGAGAAAGAAGCTAGAAGCAGTCTACTTTGAACCGAGGACTCACACGTTGCGAAAAGTGTCCTGTCCAAATGTCAAGTTCGTTATTCAGCAGGAAATTGACAATTATCTGCAAGTCGGGCGAGCCCACAGCAACGCATATTTTAAGTAGTAAATCTCACTCCGACCGGTTTCTCGCTTTTTTTAACGGATTCGTCAATTTCCTTCTTTCAACTTCATTTCCGACAAAAATAGCGACACCGATTTTCTTTTCAACCTTTGTAGAAAACCTGATTCAGGGTCCTGATAGAGGATAAAAATCCTGAACAAAAGCCCGAAAGCGGCTCACTCTATTTTTTATTTTCAGGTAAAGCCGCTCCGCGGCTTATTTTTTGAGAATAGCCGCAGCGAGGCTTTATTTTGACCCTGACTCAGGTTTTCTACACAGTTGCGGCGGCCAAAACCAGTTGATTGCTTTCTGATCACGTGCTTTTTCGATTCTTGATTACAAAAATTCAGATCAAATGAAAAAAAATTAGAAAAAGATTTGTGATTTTTGAAATGCAGCTTTTGGTTTTATTATCGTAATTTCAAGCTCTTAGAAACATTGTTTAGAATCAAACAATTTTGAAGGACTGCTTCTTTTCAGCGTTTTTGTTGTTTTCTTTCATAATTTCATCAATAATTATCGCTGCAAATAGAACTCGCCAATTCCAAGTTGTTTTCGTTACGGTTCTGCTTCAAACAAAAACAGAAAAACGAGCAATTCCAAAGCACCAAAACTGGCAATCGAAGAATATATGTTTAACTTGTGTTTATTATGCGAGGCGCTGTTTTATCGCTCCAGCTTTTCTCTTTTTTCTTTTTCCAGTGAACTCGACCGCAGAAATTTTACAAGAAATTTATCGTACATTTCATTCTACCCACTTCTGCGCTTAGACGCTTGACACAGTAGAAGTGACAGCTAGGCGACTGAAACAACTGTGTTTGAATGCAAAACGCAAATCGTAAGATCGCAAATTTAAAGCCGGATTATGATCAGAAGGGTCAGCCCTTCTCTAACCCCCAAACGCGGACAGGTTTCGGCGATTACAAATGATCATTTACGAAGAAAAAAATTAAGCGCATCACTAAATTATTTGACGTAACTTATTTCTGAGCAGAGAGAGATAAGGAAAGGAAGAGGCCTAAAACGTTTTTAAGGATATGCAGCCTTATTTTTAGTTTAACTCCCTTATTCTGGAGTCGACAACCTGTGTAGAAAACCTGAGTCAGGGTCTTGAAGAAGCTTTGCCGCTTTTGTTTTTTGAGCTAAGCTTTTTCAGAACCCTGACTCAGGTTTTCTACACAGATAACCGAGCCAAGCCTATCTATTAACGACAATGCGGGTGGAAGATAAAAGTAGAAACTTTCTTTTGATGAATAAAAATAAGTACACTTGATACATATCAATTTAATAACTCTTGTAGAAAATCGGCTTTTTACAAGAAACCCTTAATTCTGACTTTATCTTTTATAAGTTATTAATTAATGTAATGACTATTGACGATAAACACGCTCTTTAGAAAGCCGAAGAGCATTTCTTCAGATCAATAATTGTTATTTTCAATAATTTCCAGGATCCAAGCCGTGTTTTCGTGCAAACCAGATTCGATAGTGATAATAGTGTATTTGGAGCTAGATGTTGCGTGGTCCATTCAGCTCGTTTCGTCGAGCATTGCGGGATGATTCCAGTCAGTTGGCCCGTGCATGAAAAGACAGAGGGCGCTCGCGAGGGACTGTGCACGCTGATATCACGTAAAATTGGACGAGCTAGGTGTACCATTGAACCGCGTGTGAGAGACCGTCGCCGAATCAAATCGTTACAAGCGCAACTAGAATTACGAAGCCCTTCATACAGAAACGAAAAACCAGAGACAGGTCAGAAAATTTAGAGAGAAAGACAAAACCGCCAAAGAAAAGCACGATTAGAGAGATTTAAAATTCAACGCGAAAATTTCGAAAAATCAAGTAGAAAAAAAGAAAAATAAAAGTATAATTAATACTTGAGGAAATTTTGATGCTCAAAATTTCAAATAATCGAAAATCCAAAATTCTAAAAAATAAAATAATTGAAAAAATTGGAGATTTGGTATTTTCATCGGGATTTTTATTGAAAAAAATGAATAAATTTGATTTTTTTTATTCCAATTTCAAAAAATGCAAATATGATAAAAATGAGCTTTTGAAGAAACGATTTTTTATGATCATTTAATTTCTTTTATGAAAATCTTAATTTTTTAAAATTAATTTGCCAACTCAAAAAACGAAGAAAATCTTTCATCGAGAATCGTCATTTTTTTCGTTACAGTCGGAAAGAGCGAGAATGATAATTATCACGTTCGTTGAGAGGAACGCGCTTTCCCCTGTGATACGCTCTCCTGCTTTCTGACTCCGCCCAGGGTAACATTCTAGCGCCCGTGCCCCCTTTTTGCTGAGCTCGACACTCCGCTCATCCTTTTTCCAAGACGCGCTTTACCGCGTGACTGCCGAGCTCAACAAAATAAAAAAAAAACGACGAAATCTTCAAAAAAAAAATAATTGAAAGAAATAAACCTTTCTTAAAATTCGGGCAACTTAAATTAAAGGGTCTAAACCGTAACTCAAAGAAATTTGGTCACCGTCATCGTAATTTAAAGAAATTCAAGAGGGTGGCTGAAGAAGCCTTTTGAAATTGCATCAGTCGGACGGCGCAAATGCCAATTTCGCTGAGACAGAATATTGTTTGGCGATTAATGACGAGACAATTTGACCTTTTTTACTCCTCCGCGAAAGGGGTTTCCTGAGACTCGACTGTTTAAATTCGCATAATTGCAACTCGCGCGTCTCCTAAATTTAGTTTGATAATCGTTCTTTTCAGATGATCTAACCACGCTGCGCCCCAACTGGTTCATCCTCCCCTCTCCTTTAACCAAAAATGATGGCCCAGCCGCACGGGCTCTACGCCCAGCCGATGGGCGGCTACTACCCCCAACAAATGCAGTATCCCCAGCAACACCAACAGCCCCAATTTCAAATGCCATCCCAGCAGGTTCAGTCTTACGTTCCCCCCGTCCCGAGCTCAGCAGAATACGAGTACCCAGGCTCGAGTTTCGGCGCTCCAAAGTCCGACTTTGGCAAGTCAATCAAAGACCACGGCATTCCCACGGCCAAAGACGGCCGCGTGGATACAAACAGAGCGGCTAGGCTGCGTAAAATGATGAAAAACGTTATGTTAAAATCTTCAAAAAGCAGGGGCTCGGCAATTTCGATGCCTTCTGCCCCCGCTGCCCCAGCCCCTGCTGCTCCCCCCGCTGCTCCCCAAATTCCCGCTCATCCAGTAGTGCCCGTAAACACCCCACCTCCCATTCCCCAAACAGCATCACCCGCAGTCGTTTATGAAAATCACGGCGTCCCACAGACAGTTCTTCCGCCTTCAGTCTACCACGTGGATAACTCGCAGCCGCCCGAGCTTCCCAGCAGCAACATCAGCAACATTCTAGCGACGGAAGAAAACGAGCTGCTTTTCCTTGTTTTCATTTCAGGTGCGCTATTTGGGAAGTGCTCAACCCGTGTAAATACGATTTCTTTATTTAGTGGCCGGTGTGTCGCTGATTTGCATTTTGGCGCTGGCACTGTATCTTTTGAAAAGACGCCGTCGCTCAGCAGAAATTTCGGTCGCTGAAGATGGCCGCTTTGAACAGTTCAAGGATCCGGGCCCGCTCTCCAGCCACTCCTCCTACATCGACCCCGGCAACTTGTCCTGCAGGGAAATGGAGACGAAGAAGTACAACTGCAAAAATATACCCGCGCCAAAAGACTTTATGGATAAGAAGGTTAGTCTTTCTGCCAATTCTTTCAACAAGAAGACATCGTCTTTCTGGTTCAAAATTGCCAATAAAATGCGTCAGAATGGGCTCAAGATAGTTGATTTTTTCCTTTCTATCGACACTTGACGAGAAAATCGACAATTTTGAGCCGATTTCTAGCAATTTTACTAGGAATTTTGGACCGCAAAGTCGAAATCGTAAAATTGTCAATTTTGAGAAAGAGTTTTTAAATAATAGAACATTTTTCAACTCTCTAAATAGGACATCGAAATGGTGAGAACGCTGAGTAGAGCTCCTGCTCAAGAAGAACTCTACCGAATACGATCGAACGAGTCAAAGGACTCCGGCTTCTCTAACTCGCGGATATCAAGAAAGGTCTCCTACATCGCGCAGCTAAAAACTTGAAGATCCACTTTTTTGTACGAAAAACACTAGAAAACAAAAACAATGCAATCATCTCCCTGTTCATACGGTTTCAACAGTTTGTGAATACAGCACACTGATACGTGTTTCTTTAATTTATAAAAAATCGTCTTAATTTGATCAGACTTGGTGCGGCGAGTTCCAAAATTCAGATTCTCTTTCTTGAAGTAGTTTATTTGATCAGTGCCGACTTGAACAAAACAACATCGAGTCCTAGTCACTCTCCTTCGGCCCGTTCAGAATAAAAAGGGACGGGCGCTGAGAAAAAGACAAAAACTAAAACTGAAAAGAGAAAACTTAGAAAATGGCTCTCGCTCCTGGATATGGAGCCAACTCGGCCTTTTGCGCACGAACACGCTCGTCTGCGAAACTTCACGGGTAATGGGAAAGAACTGCGACGATATTTGGACGAGATCTTCGTCTAGAGATCGACCAGAAAGCGGCATCTACAAGATTCAGATGCCCGGGCTTGAAGCCAAAGACGTCGAGTGCATTTTCGGCAGCGGTTCGCCAAAAACTGTCATCCAAAAGCGAACAACTGGCAAACTCAATTTTAACCGTGGCTGGAGAGATTACAAATATGGATTCTCCAACGATGTCGAAGTCTCTCCTTTCAACGGAGGCGGCAGCTCCATGCGTGGTCCTCGACCAAAACAGTGCAATCTCCAGGAATACTGGATCGGTCTCGAGTACATTCATGCGCTGACCCAAGATGGATACAACAACCTTCGAATCGATCTTGAGCGATACGACGGACAGGAAGGAACGGTCACTTATGGAAATTTCGACATTGGCTCCGAGAGAGAACAGTACAGACTCAACTCTCTTGGTGAATTTAGCAATGATGGAAACCGAGATCTTGGCGACGCTTTCAGAGGCACAGGCTTCGGAGATCAGGGCTACAGTCGATGGGACAAGGAAGATACCAACCACGAAGGCATGCCCTTTTCCACTTATGATCGAGATAACGACAAGTACGATGAAGGAAACTGTGCCAGAGAAGATGGCTCAGGCTGGTGGTTCAACCGATGCTCCGCTGCTAACCTTAATGGAAAACATTATGGCAAAGGAAGCACTGCTCTTTACAGACCCAAGTATGTACTCTTTCTTGATTTCAATGAATAATAATTGCCAGGAATGACCAGAGCTTTGATGACGGTATTCTCTGGATGACATGGACTCAGAACAAATTTGAATCACTGACAGGATCAAAAATGAGTCTCGGAGGTGTTGACTTTGATGAAACTGATAAATCAATAGTGAATTATAAAGATTGCCAAGAAATAGCCGAAATGCTCTACAAAAAGGTAGCGTTCAGAAATGAAAAAGGTTACCTGTACTCGTCATTAACTTTCTAACAGAGTATTTCTACTAATCGTTAGTGCATTAACGCGCCCATAGAATGACCTTTATCTCGTTATCTACCATCAGGGATCCCTGGAGTGCGCTGACTCATTCGCTGTGCCATCAGCGCGCTTTCTTTTGGCCGCTTCAGAGTAGGGTTCGCACGCAAATAAATTTCTTGATTTTCAAGTTTCTTTAAACTCGTTGATATGAAAATTTACAATAGTAATATTGCCATTTTGAAGAAGTTAAAATTCTTTAAAAATATAAAAAAGTTTTTTCAACCCTTTTTGCTAAGAAAAATATTTAATTCGTCTTTAGGCACATTTCTAGTGAAGCGGCACTAACGAGTACTCGATATATTGTAGTAATTGCCGTAACGAACAATCTATGAAAGTTTGGTTAAAATCGGTTGGTACTCCTAGGCGCCGTGGCTCTTGAAAATATGAAGCCTGCAAGTCTTTGTTATTGTCTTGGAGGACCCCCTTGGAGGACTTCATCTGCTGGAAGACCAATATTATGAATATTCAATATATGGCCGTGCTCGGCCGGTATATGGCCACCCATGGTCAACTTTGGTCAAGTTCGGCCGGAGGACCCCGGAGGACCTCCTTGGTGGAAGACCATCAGCTTGAAGACCAATATTCAAAATTTTCAATTTATGGCTGTGCTCGGCCAATCTCAGCCCCGTTCCTTGATTTTTATATTTAACCCGTTAACAGGGTGGTCGATTTCGCCTACGCTTTTGCCTGTCTGCGATTGAGTGAAATCATGAATCCGGGCATGCGATTGGCTACTAATTTCCACGCGTGGAGATTAGATCTCCACGGGCCTGTTAACGTTCCTTGATTTTTTAATTTAAGGGGCTTGACGGCCCTTCGGGCCGTCTCAGCCCCGTTCCTTGATTTTTTAATTTAAGGGGCTTGACGGCCCTTCGGGCCGTCTCAGCCCCGTTCCTTGATTTTTTAATTTAAGGGGCTTGACGGCCCTTCGGGCCGTCTCAGCCCCGTTCCTTGATTTTTAATTTAAGGGCTTGACGGCCCTTCGGGCCGTCTCAGCCCCGTTCCTTGATTTTTAATTTAAGGGCTTGACGGCCCTTCGGGCCGTCTCAGCCCCGTTCCTTGATTTTTAATTTAAGGGCTTGACGGCCCTTCGGGCCGTCTCAGCCCCGTTCCTTGATTTTTTAATTTAAGGGCTTGACGGCCCTTCGGGCCGTCTCAGCCCCGTTCCTTGATTTTTAATTTAAGGGCTTGACGGCCCTTCGGGCCGTCTCAGCCCCGTTCCTTGATTTTTAATTTAAGGGCTTGACGGCCCTTCGGGCCGTCTCAGCCCCGTTCCTTGATTTTTAATTTAAGGGCTTGACGGCCCTTCGGGCCGTCTCAGCCCCGTTCCTTGATTTTTAATTTAAGGGGCTTGACGGCCCTTCGGGCCGTCTCAGCCCCGTTCCTTGATTTTTAATTTAAGGGGCTTGACGGCCCTTCGGGCCGTCTCAGCCCCGTTCCTTGATTTTTAATTTAAGGGGCTTGAGATCGGCGTTGGACTCTGAGGTGATCAATCTCAGTTATGTCCCCAACCCCACCCACACCCATTCGAGGATTAAATTCAAATTAATCAAGTTTTTTCTTTTATTATGGTTTTTATTTAGTTTTTTTATAATTTTAATTTCTTTATTTGCGGATTTATCATCTTGCTACGACTTTTTTCGACTCGAAAAAATCATTTTTGAGCTTTTAAAATGATAGTCTAGGTTTTCTCAGGCTTAATTTTGCAAAAATGAAAAAATCGATTTTTCGACCCCTATACCCTTAATTTTTCGAAAATTTTCTTTGATTTTTTTCTTGATTAGGACCTCAGAAATATGTCTACAAAATTTCATCCCTCCAGATCAAGTGCAAAAAAGTCCATTTTTCCACTGGCGCAACCCCAGTGATAAGACTTTCAGGAGTGATAAAGAAGGGTTCCTGCGTTTCGATTAAGTTAATTTTTTAAGAATGTCCCATTTACGTTGATTTGATTTATCTGCGAAAATTTCAAAATCAGGGTCGAAAAAAAATTTTTCGCAAAAAGTTACTTGAGCCAAGATCTCGGCGAGCGGCGGCACTTCAGCACACGAGCGCCACCCATCCATCGCGGCGCGGCGCGCACACCGGCGATTTTTCGCCATTTTCTCGACTCTAGAACTCGGGTTCTAGTAGAGATTTTTAAATTCTGATTTCAGATTTGAAATCAGTGGAATGAATAAGGGGGGGACACTAAAAATGGTTATTTGTTAAGCATTTTAAAATTTTAAAATTATTTGGGTGCGAACCCTACTTCAGAGGCAAAAGGGAAAGATGGGCGCTGCGAGCTCGATGAATCAGAGCGCTGTATTCTCTGGCGCACTGCAGGGATACGTGATGGTAGATGAGATACAGTTTTTTATGGAACTTCTGGACACCAGATTATGCAACAAAAAATGTCCAGAACTTCCATAATTAACTGTATTTCAGATCTGAAAAAAAATTAAAATCCGTATCAGCTAAATAGAAAAAATATTTTGTCGACTCGTAAGACAGACCCTTATCCGATCGTTGTTGACACCGTTTAATCATTTTGAACGCCAAAAGGGGCAATTGACCCAAGGAAACGCTGAAGATTTCAACGGCGTTTACAATATTTATACGAACTCAGAAGAAACTGAATCCAAACCAACTCAGTGCAAGTTCTATGCTAAAGGTAGAACACCATGTGGCCTCACTCTGATCCAAAAACGTATGGACGGAGCAGAAGATTTCAACCGGGGATGGTCGGACTATAAACGCGGCTTCGGTTTGAACATTGTTTCCAATCGAGGTCCACGGCCCAACAACGACGAAGACCAGTCGCTCGGTGATGGTAATTCATAAATTAAGAGAACACGCACTAGAATCATTTTTAGGTGTTTCTGAGGGATGGCTTGGAAACGATCCCATCTGGCACTTGACTAACAATATCAAGGATGATTACAATCGAGCCGTTAGGATGGGATTGTTGGTCGAAATGGACCGGAAATACGACGCAGCGACCAAGTTTGACAACAGTGCCGCTTGCAGGTAAAAACCGAATAGGATAACGGTTTTTCTGATAAACCAAAAGATACGACTTCTTCCGAACTGGGGATGAGCGATCACTTTACACACTCTTCAACATCGATGGCTATTCCAGCGTCTACGGCAACCCCGGTGACGCTTTTGCCGGAGCCGACTTCGGAAGCGAAGGATTCGGCAACGATATTGAAATCACCCGTCACAAAGGTTTCTTGAAAGATATTCATTTTTAGAAAATGTTTGATAAGGGATGAAGTTCTCCACTCGAGACCGAGACAACGACAACGACGCTTACTACCACTGTGGTCGACAGGACAAGTCTGGCTGGTGGTTCAACGGCTGCTCTGCTGCCAATCTCAACGGACACTACTACTCTGCTGGCGTTGTCGTATGTACAATCAGGATTTTCCCTTTTTTCTCATTCAGTTATTTTAGGAGGGCGGACGACGAGGACAGCAACTCACTAGCACAGATCAATTCGACGACGGCATTCTTTGGGAAACTTGGACCGCCACCAAGTGGGAGTCTCTCATGGCCACTCGAATGTGGGTTGGACACAGCGAAATTATGAATATCATCTTTGGAAGGAATCGCTTATAAATTGCCAAATTTTCTGTCTTTTGATTCCAAACAGAAAGTGGAGGCAAGTAAAAAGCGCCAAAAAAGCATGGCGAGCACAAACAGCAAGCCAACCCCGCCACCATTCCGAGAAGAGCCCACTCGAGCGCCCGATTGTGACCGAACAGACTCGCACAGCTCTCCCTACCGAAACCCACTTTGCGCTGACGACGTTGATATTTATTCCGACTACGAGTACAAAGACGACGATTCTTTCTACGCCTAAATGAATTGATATCTTCCGGAGACTTTGGAAGAGACCCTAATTCTTTCTTTACGACTAATAAAGTACTCAAAAAATCATTGAAAATTATGGTCAGAAAAGAGTGATAATTGCTCATCATTAAACACTTGCAAGGGGCTACTGAAGAACCTCTGAAACCATCTGAACTTTTAACGAGAAGCGGATCATCCATAAATCAAGAGTTTTTATAGTCGTGCGTGGATTTATTGCTCAGTAAAAGAAACAGTCGAGGGTGCATCATGCGACGTCGCCTTTGTTGAAGGTGACCCAAACTTTCATCGCTAAATGTAAAAATACGTTTATAGTGCAGTTTTTAATTTGAGTACCGATTATGTTGTTCGCGGTGGATTCTGGGTAAATAATGAGTCCTTTGCAGTAGATGTCTCCGAGGTCGATGGGAATGATTTGATCGGAGGAAGTGTTCGCTAGAAAAATTTCATATGAGAATGACCATTGATTTTCCTTTTTTTAATTGGCAGAATTGTCTTCAAGAGTAAGTGTAGTGAGAACCTTATTTTTGGCCTTCAGATGAAAAAAAAGATAATTGTCATAGTATATGAACCTGAAATAAATAGATTCACTATTTATATTTCACGAATGAAAAAAATAAGACTGCCTTTAAATTTTAAACTGAAGTTCACTTATTGAACCGAGTTTACCTTGGAAAGTCTTGCCGTCCATGTAAGGCAGGATCTTGCCTCCTTCGGTGATGTACTCGAAGTGAAAGCTGCGGACGAAGCTCTGTCCTTCCGGAGCGCCCGTGCCTCTCACCTGATAAAAAATAAATCAACTTTATTTCATTGTTATTTGCAAAGGTAGTGGTATAAGACAATTCGTGCAAATCTCAGTGATTTCCTCTGAAATTAAGACTGCTTGAGTTGGTGTTTACGGCGAATAATAAATCCAGGATATTAGCGCGATTTTGAACGTGTCACAAGAAAGTGAACTCAACGTCCTTAACACACTGTATAATTCTGCTACTGAACCTTTATCGAGTCGATGCGGTAGGATTCTTCAAAGTCTGAAAACAACTAATTTAATGGAGAAGATGATATGTGATCTTACCTAGTCTCATCCATTCGTTTCCAACTTCGAATGTCTGCCAATAATCCGACTCATCACCCTTTGTGTAGTCGTATCCTTATGATTTTAGTGAGTTACAGATTCGATAACAGAACAAGTCAAAGTCTATCTCGTTTCTGGTGGAAAATACCCGGAATGGGTATTTTTAAATTCAAGAAGGCAAAAACAGACAATTTTTTATAAGTGGTTGAAAAAGATCAAGAGCTAAGAGAACGTACCAGGAAGAGTGGAAGATTGAGTGATTTTCTTGATTCGGACACTTTTGGTCACTTCGTGCGTAGAAAACCGCCTGGAAATGAGTTGAGAAAAAGGTCAGAACTGACTAATAAAAGGTAATTTAGCGAGTGATAGTAACTACTGTATAACAGTAAACTCGGTCCTTTTATCATCTGGGATGAGGAGATCTTCGCCCTTGTTATCGTCCGCCATTTTTGTTCTTGTCTTTTTTCGGCAATAAATCGCTTGGACAGATTGGTGGCTCTGATTTCTCTGTTTTCTTTGGCTCTGCACTTCTTCGATTACTGTTAATGCTTGGCTTCGATGGAGTAATAAATTTCCTCCTCACGTTGTCTTGTGGCGAGCTTAGGCCAACTTGCTGGAATTTTATACTGCCATTCACACCCTTAACTTTTAATCCCTTCAAAGTCTCGATTTTTCTCCACGCGCGAATTTTCGCTACAATAAAAATGTTATGAAGCCGCCAGAAATCACGAGACGAAAAGTTTCTTACTAGGTCAAGTCTGAATACGCGCGGAATTGAGGAAAAGGCCCAAAGCACATTATCAGCATAGTTCTTGATGTTCTTAGTGCTTGTCAGCGCGAGGCGAACTTACTGAAGACGACGGGTGATGGACGACCACAACATGGAAGCCAGTGAACGCCCAACGCACAACACGTTTTAAGACAGTACTTACAGACTTTACAGTGCTTGCAAAGGCAGAGCTGATACGAATCATCTGAAACATTCAGCATGTAAAATGCTTTGTCGGCTACCCGGATTTTTGACGGATTGCGAGCTCGACTCGGTTACCTGTTAAGAAAACCTCAGTCGGGCTCTGATAGATCTGAAAAGCCACGTAACGGCTTCGCGAGAATTTTAAAACAGATTGGAGTAGTAATTTTGCGGTTTTTCATCAGAGATCTTATAAGACCCGACTGGGGAACGGGCGGTTACAATACCAATTGGTATTCCAATACCAAAGTCGGCAAAAAATGTCAATATTTATAATTATAAAAATACAAAATATATAATTTATTATAATTTGTATTGTTAAATACTTGGGGAGTGTTTATAATAATTCCATGGGCAAAAAATTCAAATTGTTAAAAAAAATTCGTTTTGGAATACCAAAAAAGCTTTGGTATTGTAACCGACTGTTCCCGACCCGACTCAGGTTGCTGAGCTTTCGAATAAAAATGGTGATGAAACTCGCTTTTTTAGAAAATCGGGCGCATCAGGGGGTTCGCTTGCGATCCAAATCAAATTTAGTCAATTCATTTCATCTCTAGTATTTTATTTTCTTACGGAAGTATTGAAGGAATGGTTCTTGAAGAATCTTGCGTATACTTTCAACCTTTTTGGATAATGAGATTCACAGAATGATAAATATAAAAATTATGAATAACGATTCATAATAATAATGATTAAAAAGCGTTATAATTTGAAATTACACAAAAATAATATTTTTTGTTTAACGCTCGCTAGAAGTGTTTGAAAAGGAACTTGATAGTGATGATTTTGTACATTTGTCGGGTTATTATAAAAATAGGAAAATTGTACGTTTGGCAATATTTAATATTTCGCGTTTTTTGAAGCTCTTTTCAGGCTCTTTTGACCGGTTCTTCGTTGGCAAATAGTTTTTGGAAGTTGCCGGAGAGTTTGTTGCCACGGCAGGTGCGCTCTAAATTGTAGTAGTTCGGAAGTTCCTGTAATGAGCATCAACTAACCAATAACTGTGTTGAGACTCCACGAGCTCCCGGGAGACATGATGAATCCTTTGCTTCCAGCGCACAGTTCTTGCTCCACGGAAGAGAAAACTAAGATTGACAATTGAAATATTTTCTCCAACTTATTGCCCACCTTGTGGATCACCACTCAAGCAGGGGTCCAAGTTCTCCACCAAGCTCACTCCAGAATAGCCTCGAAAGGAGCCTTTCTTCTCGATCAGCCCGATCAGTCGACTGATGAAAGTTCCCTCAGTCGGTGGGCTTGCAATGTAAAACACCTAGAAATTAAATATTCTTCAGTAATATTTCTATGTTCTCTTACATTAATCTTCCATTCAAGAAGGATGTTGACGATAATATTAACAATAAGAGAAGGGTCGTCCTGGATGTCCTTAATCTGCTGACAGCGATCCTGAAGAATACACGATCAATTTTCAGTCAAGTATTTTATTCAATATTTTAAAGATACTTGACGAATTATTGTGGGCAATAATTATTATAAAAAATGACTTAAAATGAAGCTAAAATACCCATTTCTGTTGATCTGCAAATGATAGAGTCTATTTAAAAAAAGTTAGTTTTTCTTCTCGCCTTTTTTATTCGCAATTCGAAAACTTACGTGGTCGTCTTTGCTCTCCGAGCCGCAGATGCTCTGGACCTTGCTGCCGAAGGAGGAGTCATCGAATCTCCAGTGCACGGCGAGATAGTTTCGAGTGCCGATCACCTCATTTACAAATTTCTCGGCGCCCGCGCGGATCGACTTCGGCCTCTGAACTATCTTGTAGATCCGGCGCATCGCATCTGCGTCTGCTAAAGGGACTGCGATTCCGTCGTTGAAGCGTTTGTTACTTTTTCCTGGTTCATCAAAAATATATAACAAGAAGCATTACTTCCCGATTTCATCCCAAAATTAGCACAGTAACCCTCTAATTTTTTTCTCCTCAAGTAGGTTTTCTTCTCTCGGCAGCTTGTGAAGGAAACCTGAGTCAGATTGCTGAAAGAGCTTTTATAAAAAGTCCTTTCAAAAGCTCTTTTAGAAATCTGACTCAGGTTTTCCGTACAGATTGCCTAGTCAATATTAACCAATATCAACCAAATCCTGAAAGCTATGGTTTGCCTCTCCGGGTGAGGAGAAAGACCAACTGCACGAAAATCAAAGGATCGATAAGGAAAGACCCAGGCTGCACAGGAAGCGTCTGAATAAGAAGCTGCGAAGAATTCCTTAATCTTTTCCTTTACCAGTTCCGTAGAGAGCATCAAGCTTTTTTGGATCGTGAGGAACATGGAGCGCAGTCAACTGCTGGAGATTAGAAACGTCGTGGGGATGAACTTGCGCGGTGAAAAAGTCGGAAACGTGGAGATCGTTGGAGACGACGTTTCGCTTGATGAAGTCAGTCGATTCGTAAGTCTTGAGGAACTTCAACTCGCTGTAGTTCTCGAACTCCTTGAGTCGGTCGTACTGCGGCCCGGTGTTGCAATCGCGCGAGAGGAGCACTGCATCGATTCTGCCGCCACAGAGCCGATTCGCTTCGGCGTAGCTAGCTACTGGGACCAGTCGCGCCACGGACTCGATGTCAATCACCATTTCAGGTGGCAGCAAAGCTGCATGTTCGCTGATAAGACATTTGTTAGGACATTCAAAAAGGCTTGATATTTACATTTGGTCGGCGTCGGACTCAGATGAGTGGCGGAAAAACGGCGGCACTAGCAGTGTTCGGTTCAGCTTTGCTCGAGTTAAACAAGAATTAAAGTAGTAGACATCAAGAACTGGTTTTCAAGCTTTTCTACGACACTTTTCAATTGGTCTCTATTATCTGGGTTCGGCAACCTGTGTAGAAAGCCGGAGTCAAGGTTCCAAAAAGCCGCGTATCGGAACCCTGACTCAGGTTTTATAGACAGATTGCTGAGCCTGGGATTCTTTACAAAGTGGGCTAAAAGTGGCAGCACCAAAGAAAGAGAGCATTTTTCTAAGAGTTAACTCTTTTCCTTGATCGCTAGAAAAATGGTCTCGATAAAGCCGCGGATTTGATTGTTCGGTCCCCAGATCAAAATCGGCACCAGAAAGCGGCTCCGGTCGAGATTATACTCTGGCTGGACGTTTCGAAGAGTGTCGATGTTTTTCTTCGGGAAGCAGTGTTTTTGGGATGCTTCTTCTTTTGAGAGAACTTGCTGTTGAAGAATTGGGCTGGTATTTGAGTGGAGCTTGAATTTTGGAGGCGAATCTTGGATTATTCTACTTGGCGACTGAGTTGTGAAAATCTCCATTGGAACATCGTCTCCGAGCTAATTCAAATCTTTATCAATCACTTTTTAAGGGAGTAGACGTCGTTAATCACATTCCCCAGCTGTTCATTATTAGTATATTTAGAATACCCTTATTTACGGATTTGCGTTCGTGTAGCGTTTTTGACAAAAACTTTTTGTTGATAAAATAAGGGTCTCGGTTGCTAACAAAGACAGCTTGGAAATCAAATTTCTAACGATATCTACCCATACTTATTTCCAGACAATGAGCTTTACAATCTTCTTCCAACACTGATCCAAATTAAAGCAAAGCTACGGAATTAAAACCTGCTAAATCTTTGCATTTTCTTCGGTTTCCGAAAAAATGACGAACAAAAAAATCAACAAAAAAGAGTATTTTTGGCACCTGTTCATCTCCTAACCTGTTCATTTAGAGCCCGCTGATAAGAAAGCTAAATATTTAGAATTTTGGCGCTCAGTTTTTTTTTCAATTCAAGTTTTCTGATAGGCAGAAATCGAATTCAAATGAATTTGGAATTTACTGTTACAGTAACATACTACTCTATTTTTATTCTGGCGCTTTAGGCTCCTGTCTTGAAAACCTGTGTAGAAAACCTGAGTCAGGATCTGAGTCAGTATTGGAAAATTGATTGAAGAGATATTTTTGCGAAGCAGCTTTGCGGCTTCGTGTTTTAAAAAGCCGCTAGCGAGATCTTCCAAACCCTGACTCAGGTTTTCTACACAGGTTCCCGAGCTAAGCTGGCGCTGTTTTTTTTACCTCGTCTTGGAGGCGATTGAGCTTGGAAAAGACGAGAAAGACGGCGTAACTCAATCCGGCCAGGAAAATAAAAACGTTCAATTGACGAGCATCGCTAAAGCTTGATGATTTTTTCAGCTTTTTTGAACCTTTTTTAGGCTTCGCCATAAAACAGGGCGGCTTCTTTGAGCTTCGTTCGGAGATTTTCACGTTGGTTTTTTTTACGCAACGGAGACGCGCTCGATTATCTTTTTGTTTTCACAGCGAAAATGAACGTTGAAAATGAAACGAACTTAGAATTACGAAGCTATCTTTCAATTTTTAACTAGTGAAGGGAAACCCTTAAAAAATTCCCCTTTTTTGATGGTTTAAGTTTGAACCTTCTTTGGACAAGATTAAATAAGAGTATCACTGATTCAAAAGGAGACTTCTCATAAAACTGCCGACTTTTAGCATGTGTAGACCCTTAAATAAATCATTGAATCTCCGATTCCTAAAAAGAGAAGGAGGGCAAACTGGGTGCGATTTTCTTCAAGTCATATGCATTTCTCTTGCTGGCTGCATGTTCGTTGGGAGTTTTCTCTTTGGAGAAAAGGGTGCTTCAGTGCCGCAGGGCAGCGCTGAGCTATTTCGCCTTTGCCGCCACCGAGAAACTGATTTCATCCTCGGACAACTTGCTACCGGTAGCTGTCACCTGCAGTTAATACCCGACGCGTGGCTCAATCGGCACTTGTACTGGAGCTCGATTCTAGTGCCACCACGGCCGCCTTAGATTTTTTTATCGCTCTCTCTGTTTTTACTCAAAACAAGCCAAATTTTGCTCAAGAAACTGCTTTTTTTTGAAAAACTATTATAATATCTGATTTATTTGTGAGGTGTTTTTGTGAAAAATTAATTAAACAGAGTTTGAATTCCGGTGGAAATAACTTTACGCGCAGGGGTAGTAGGGGGTCAAAAGTCGGGCAGCCCCTAACCCTAACCCAGGGGCTACGCCCCCGAGACCCCCCCCCCTCGGTTTTGCCCCTGCTGCTGGTCACAACAGCGAATTACAGTAAGACAGCGAAAACCGGAGGATGCCTCTGAAATCTAGGAAGACTTTTCAACAGTATGTTAGTTTTTTTCTATTCAGCTTGCATTTATTAGAATATTGAGTCAAAATAAATTATAAAACTTATTATCAACAAAAAAAGGAACAATGATACGATAATGAAGAGGAGGTTGTTTTTTTGACGAAATGAGGGCCGGCCATAGCTTTTTGTGAGTTTGTTTCAGAATGTAGGTTTAGAATGTCGAGTGTGCAAAAAGTCCGTTGTTGGCTGATTTTAGCCGCAGAAACAGGAGGAGGACGAAGACTGCGAGTTCTGCGAGCCGTCCAGTTTGTACGCTTTTTCCTCTTCGTACTGTTTGTTCACTGTATTGTCCATCCTCTTCATCACCTATTTCAATCAGTTAAATAAGAAGTAAAATAAGGGGTCCGTCTGCGCTCGGCAACCTGTGTTGAAAACCAAAAATCTTCAATGAAAAAAACGGTTTTCAGTGACTCTCACTCAGGTTTTCGACACAGGGTGCCGAGCCCAGGGTCACGAAAAAATTAAGGAGCCCTCTCTGTGAGAAAGTAGGAACTGAGAGAGCGATCTATCACCGCCTCGTTAATAATTTGTAGCGACTTACCAAGTCGAGCAGATGCATTATGCTTTCTTCAACATTCTCTCCAGTTGCCGCCGACGTTTCAAAGTAAGGAAGACTAAAGCGCGAAAATAAGCAATCAACTTTTCCAAAAATATGAATAATTACATTTACTCGCTCATATAAGCTGATAAAGAGACAGTACCCGTGTTCTTTGGCGAATTGGAGCGCTCTTTCGGACGAAACTTGTCTTTTCTCGTCCAAGTCCGCTTTGTTGCCGCAGAGGACGATGTCTGGAGTGGCGCAGTAGGCGTGCGACTCCAATTGCGCTAAACGATTTTAGAAGAGTCCAAATCTAGGATCGACAAGCTGTGTAGAAAGAGGCCAGAGTCAGGGCCTGAAAGATCTTTGGAGCGACTTTGCTAGAAGAACACAATTGAATCAATCGATCATTTTGAGAGATCTTTCATCCCTGACTCAAGTTTTCAACACAGATTGCCGAGCGCCCAGCCCTAATTCTAAAGCGCAGAAATCGTTAAGTTCTTACAGAGCCAGTTGCGCGTGTTTAAAAAGCTCTGCTCCGAGGCGAGATCGAAGACGAGCAAGAAGCCCATCGCATCTCTGTAAAAGGCCGTGGTCAAGCTTCTGAATCGCTCCTGTAATTCATCAAATTGGCAATTCATTGGCGTCTACCGATCGCTTACCTGTCCGGCCGTGTCCCACAGCTGCAAGTGGACTTCGCTGGTTCATTTTTTCAAATTCAAATTAGCGATCAGAAATTAGAAATTACTTCGAGCAAGTCGAGAAGCGTGAAATGTTTCTGGCTGCTGCCCAAAAAGAGCAAATCTGCTCAACATGTGAAATCTACTTTGGATTTCATTCTCGAATATAGTGGCCTTATGTGCTGCGATTTATTATTTAATTAGAAATGTAATCAAACATAGCTCCGTTTTGAATTATTCACGATCAGCGATCCCCAACCAAAAGAAAAAACTACTAGGAAACGAGAAATCAAAAAAGGGAACCAGTTCCTTTTGATTTTTCGCCGTTTCTGGAAGTGTAGGTCACTCGCTTCTCGCGAAAGTCGATCCCCACGGTCGCGATGAAACCAGCGTTGAATTCGCCGTCTTAAGAAAAATTCTAGCGATGGGTGACGCTTTCCGAAAATCCCTGCCAATTAGCGCGACTTCTACTCGCGTAATTGGCGAAATTACAGACCGAGTTAAAAAGAGCGCTTTCTCTCGAGTTCCAGTCGGGAATTATTCATTGCCGAAGAGCTACGGTAAATTGCGGTTCAATTCAATTACAATACTGTACTACGACTGTTCAACTATTTGAAATAGTCAAGGCTTTCAATTATGATTAATCAAGTCAACTTAATTTAAAGCTCGAGCCGATTTGAGATTCCGAAAATAAAGCTGGTCTCGGCATCTTGTGAAGAAAACCTGAGTCAGGCTCCGAAATAAGCTTCCATGATGTCCGCGGGCCGCGGTACTAAAAAATATTGAAATGGTTATTTGGTTTAGTCGTTTTGCGGCTTAGTAAAAAAAAAACACTAAGCGGCTTTTATGAAACCCTTTTTTGGACCCTGATTCAGCTTTTCCACACAAATTGCCAAGAAATGAAGCTCTAGAAATTCGAGTTAAATAGTTTCAACACTCCTTTTTATAGACAACAACACATAATAACAACTATTAACAACTATTAACTTAACACATAAGACAACTTAAAACGATTCCAGTAATCGTCAGTCTGGGTGCATTTAATCTTCAGTTATCGGGGAAAATCGGGGGATAAAGCCGATCCTCGACAAGTAGAGCCGCGGTCGGCCTAAGCGCTTATCCAGTTTACCTGTAAAATTGAAGAGGAGAGAGGTCTTTCCTACTCCCGAGTCGCCCAGGGCCAACAGTTTGATTAGATAGTCGTAGTCTGGCGATGCCATAACTTTCCCTTCCGCCGTTTTCTCTCTTTCTCTCTCTTTGTTAAGTCCCGGAGAAGAAGTCGCCTTTTTCTGATGGATCTCTCGGACTTGAGTTTTTCTATATTCTCGGACTGGAGGCGATGGCGGCGGCAAAATCGATTTCGGCTTCGAAAAACCTTTTTTTCAGCGGCGCGTTCTCCACTCTCCATTTCTCGACTCCAGCCGCCCCCGTCGCGCTAATTTCAACCGCCTATCTAAGATCCACCTTTTGATTCTCTTTCTTTTCAATTTGAAAATTTCAAACAACAAAAATACACATCTCTTTTCTTTAAAACTATCAAAATTCCATCTGTCACGACAACAAAACATTTATTTACGCTTCTATTGAGGAAACAAGAAAGAAAAATTGGTCAACTGAGTTTATTCTCCTATAAGTTTATTTTCGGACTTTTGCAGGTAATTTCCGGTCACTGAACAAAGGTTTTTCAAAAAGTCTTCAACATGAAAGTTGTTCAGCTTGAGCTGCTCTATCATCTTATCATGAAAGATTTCGTGAGCAACTGCGATTTCGAGTTGGCCATTTTTTGCGGCTGGGCCCTACCTATAACCTGAGTCAGGGTTTAAAAGTACCGTAGCGGCTTCGCCAAAATGACTTTTAAGAACCCCTCCCACGGTTCAGTTTTTCGAGAATTTTGAAGCCGTCTAGCGGCTTAACTAGATGCGATAGATTATTTCCTAAAAAAAAATCTGAAAAGGGCCCTGCGGAAAGAATCTGTTCGTGGAAAATGAAAGTGGAATGATGTCGGACATGGATTCTACAGGAATTTGAAAATCTGCAAAATCCAAACCGTGGGAGGGGTCCTTAAATCTATTTTATCATCGCTGTCATAAATTCTGACTCAGGTTTTCTACACTGGTTGCTGAGTGTCCGATAACTAGATTGAATTTCAGAGTTTTTAATTATTAAAAATTTTTTTATTAACGTTTTTATTAATTAACAGAACTAACTATTTTCCACAAAAATCACCGACGTAATAAATCTTTACCAAGGAATACTTCCTCCGCGCTATTTGATAAGCGAGAACTGAATATTCAAAAGATAAGACTGAAACCAAACGTGAGCGACAAAACGAAGCAGAAGAAACAAAAAAAGGACTATTTGAAATTATTTTTGCCCGGGCGGTTGCGAGAACAAGCAATTAACAAGATTCTAGTGACAGAAAACATAAACCAAGAAGTCTGCGCCCCTAGTGGCTGATAACACAAAGTAGAGAGTTGACTTGAGAAGGAAAATAAAAGGAGAGAACAAAATGAAGAACTTGTTACTGAGTTGTCAGTTTTTCGCTCCCGGCTTGGCGAATTACAAGAGACCTCACGTGGTCTTTATTCTTGCGGATGATCTCGGATGGGACGATGTCGGATGGGCAAACGAAAAAGTCAACACGCCAGTGCTGGACAAGCTCCGCGAGAATTCGATTGAGCTCGACCAGTACTACGTCCAGCAAGTCTGCACGCCGTCTAGAGCCGCTCTTATGACAGGAAAGTCTTGTTCGAAATGGGCGGTTAATCCGGGGATCCTAGATAGGAATCAGTGGATACAGAAGCAGAACCCTGTGCTAGGCTCGGCGACCTCTGTGGAAAACCTGAGTCAGGGTCTAATAGATCTCCAATGAAAAGCCGCGTAGCGGCCTTCCGTACGAGATTTTCTGACTCCGGTTTTAAACCAATTCGGTAGAGGGAGAAACTTTCTGGAAAATTTTTCAAGATAAAAATATACTTCTAGGGCGCTATCCGATCCGTTACGGCCTCCAACGCGGCGTGATCAGACCCGACGAGCCCGAAGGAGTCCCCTTCGCGAAGTGCTGCTCCCGCGCGGCTTCAAAGAGTGCGGCTACACCACTCAAATGTTCGGCAAGTGGCATTTGGGCTATTACACGAAGGCGCATTTGCCGCAAAACCGCGGCTTCGACAGATTCTTTGGCTTCTATCTTGGATCACAAGACTTTTACTTTCACCGCACTGGATTCAAAACTGACAAGAGTTTCTGGAGAGAAGCAGCAACTCAAGAAGAATTAGAGAAAGTTAATCATGAAAGACTGGGCCCGGCAAGCTATTTAGAAAACTTTAGTCAGGGGTATGAAAAGTATTTAATGAAAAGCCGCGCAGCGACATTTTTAAAGACGAAACCGCTTTGCGAATTTACCATATCAGTCTTTTTTTAGTTCTGTCGAAATGCGGCTTTTCAGACTCTGACTCAGGTTTTCGATACAGGTTGCCGAGCCCAGATGAAAGAACGGCACTGCCAGCTGGATACGACTTCCGAGAAGCCTATTCAAACGGCGAAGAAATCATCAGACACGACGCGTGGGGACATTACAGCACGAATGTCCTGATAAACGATGCTATCGAGCAACTCAAAAGACACGAAGGAGTGGAGATCCCCTTCTTTCATTTCCTATCGATGCAGGACCCCCATGTTCCGAAGCAGCGGCCGATTAGACTCGAGAAAGCGGTGGAGCGGTTCAATCTCGCTGAAAAGAGAAAAACGTTCGTCACAAAGGTAAAATCAATGGATCTCGAGATCGGACGCTACATCGACGCGCTGAAAGAAACCAACCACTACAACAATACGATCATCATTTTCTCCTCCGACAACGGCGGTTCGAGGTCCAAAGGAGCTTGCAACTGGCCACTCAGGGGCGGCAAGGGAAGCATCTTCGATGGCGCTTTCAGATCGAGGTAGAGTTCTGCTAAAGCCAATTTGAATAACTATGAATTGTTGCTGTGAAAACAAAAATTAAACCCTTCAGAGGGCTGCTTCACATTCCCGGACTGGAATACAAAAATATCCGCACATGTTCCACGCTGTCGACTGGATGCCCACTTTGATGGAATTGCTCAACTGTAAGTTGCCCAGGGCTCATTTGCCTCTGGACGGAGTTTCACATCTCAAAACGCTACTCGGAATGAATGAAAAAGCTCCTCGAGAAGAAATGCTACTCGACATTGATCCAGGACCGGTTGACTCTTCCTTTCGAAACTTACCTTTATTCGATAAAAAAGCCTGGAAAGAACCTTTGTAAAGTAATCGAAGAAGGAACGACTGATGCCCGCGATTTTTCGTTCACGAAAAATGAAGGCTTCGACTTCAGGATGCGCGCAGCTCTTCGCTTCAAAGACTGGAAGATCATCACTGGGCCGCCGTGCTCGGGACCGCGCTGTGGCGTTCAAACGGACACGAGAAATTACTTGGGACTCGAGGAGTTCGTTTCCAATGAACGAGGCGTTCGACTTTACAATATCACTGCGGATCCGAGAGAAGCGTTTGACCTCTCCGACAAACATCCCTGGATCACCAAGCAGCTTTTAATGAGACTTTGCAAGTATCACGTGAGTCAAAAAAAGCATAAAGCAGGTCCTGAAATTCTATTTCAGAAGGAGCAATCTCAATTCGTGGATCGAGAAGGCAGTCTGGAAGCACACCCAGAGACCTCGGCGCACGTTTGGAAACCTTGGCGAGAGACGGAAATCAACGACGAGGCTCACCAAGATTACATGAAGAGAATAAACTAAAACTATTGATTTTAAAACTCAAATGTAAAACTGTAAAGTTCTATGAATAAACAAGAGGGACGATTTTCTGAAAGGAGTTGTACTCGGCAACCTGTATAGAACCCTGTGTCAGGGTCTGAAAGCTTTCGTATTTTCGATAGGAGTTCGGAAAATTGAATTGGTTGCTGATTTGACGTGGTTTGCTTAATTAATATTTGCTGCTCAAATTTCGGATCAATCAAACAGCTTCTTTTGACAGTAATCTCGAATTTTACAACACTAGCTGATGACTGTAGCCTCGGCGGAAATCGGCAAAGACTGCAGCCCCTCTCGAACATTCGAATTCCAAGAGTGTTTGTCTTCTCCCAATAAGTAAATCATTAACCTCGGAGAACACTTGCGAAAATCTCGACACTTTCCGTATTTCCGAGAAAATGGACGACTATTGGCAGGGTCAAAAATTTGATTTTATCGTGTTTTTATAGAGATTTGAATTATTCCCTCCTGAAAAATTAGTCTGGCTTAGAGAAATTAAGATTTTCTTCGAAAATAAGATCCGATACTGTTGATTTTTGGTTTGCTTGTTACAACCATACAAAACAGTCAAATTCGAAATTCAATCGGCAAGTTTGAAGACAAATCTCGGGTTCTTGTAAATATTTTATTTTATTATTTTTGAGTTCGTGATTTATTTGCAGAAGCAAAGTGGCTTAACGTTTTCGGAAGAGAATTTCCATCATCAGAGCCTCGCTTTTTCGTGTGAAACTGCAGAAGCCACTTTGCTTCTGCAAATAAATCACGAACTCATTCATCTTCAACGATGTCAACATTTATCAATTTGTTTTTTTTATTTATTAATATTTTTTCTACAAATATTGACCGAATACAATATCTGATTATTACTATATGTCATTTTTTGTTTGTACTAAAAGAAAGCTTTTGACCAGTTGAAAGTGGTTCAGCGGCCATTTGGCCGAATTTCTCGGCGATCGCAGAAAATGAAACGGGAAGAGAACTGGCCCTGTTGCCGGAATGTCTTTGGTTCAGTGTTTTGTCGATCGTTCCTCCCGCCTGGCTTACTTTGGCTTTCCCCTTTTTTATCTCCGATATTCGCAAAAAAAGAAGAAACGCGCTCTCTTTTTCGGCGATTTTCATCACAAAAATTATTTTCGGACTTGTTAACTTGGCGCTACCTGTTGTCAACCTTGTCCTGCTTGAAGACGACGCAGTGACCGGCGCTTATGTTTCAAACGGATTGATGATTTTCGGCGCGTTTCTTTACTTGCTCATGACGCATCTGCAACGAAGCCACGGCTCAATCACTTCCGGAACTTTGACCCTTTACTGGGTTTTCAGCACTGCCGCCTTTTGGTTCTACTGGACTTCAGTTTATCAGGCAAAGTTTAAAATGGCTTTTCTTACAGTAAATGCGTAAGATCACAGTCGGGCGAGAGAATCTTCCAGAAAAAAAAAGAAATTATTTGTTAAGAACAAACATTTATTTTGAATTTTACGACTTGAACTCTTTCTGTTTCAGTTTTAAATACAGTAACGTCTATTGTACGAATGAGTAATTTCGTAGATAAATTTCAAATTTGATTAATCATTTAGTCAAAAGAAAAAAAATTGTAAGAAAAACCATGTTGACCATTTTTGGCAAATTTACTGTAATAGTAATTAGAAATACTATAATGAAACAGCTATTTCAAATTATTCGTAATAATGCAGTGTTAATGCAGTTTTTTGCGCCTTGTTTATACCCATTTTCGGCCATTTTTTCGGGTTGCGTAGTTTCGGGGAGACTGTCCAATAAAATGACCAAAACTTTTGGGCATTTTTACGAAAAATTGGAGACAAGAAACGTCGAAGCAATACTGTAATTCTTTGTTACATCAGTCTTGGTCGGAGTTTGTTTGATAAAAACAGTCATAAACTAAAGAAAGCGTTGGAAAATGCCGAGTTACATCATTGATCCTTCAACATGGGAGCAAAGTGTGTCAACCACGCAATTTGCAATTTTTACCTCCCAGGCGGCACTCTCTGCTGTCAACTTTGTTCTGATGGCATTTCCAGAAGAGCTGGAGGACGATTATTTTGATGGCTCGTACGAGTCGCCCATTAGTTGGCTCTCTGCTAGTTTTTATTCCTTCCTCACTCCAGTGATTTGGCTAGGCTGGATCAAGACCAAAGAAGGCGACAAAAAGGGTCTGCAAGAAGAAGACATCAAAAACGTTAAATCTCGCGACCGCACTGAAAATTACTTCGACCAATTCGAGAAGAACTGGCTCGCCGAAGTCGCCCGCGTCTCCGAAATCAATGCCAGGAATGCGGCAAAACCGTCGAAAACGAAAAAACCGCGGAAAAAGCTCAACAAGGTCGAGGCCGAGAAAGTTGAAGACAAGGAAGAAGACGATGGGCGGGTAAAACCGTCACTCTATCGCGTCCTGTGGAATACTTTTCGTCACGAAGTATTGATCACCGCCGGCTGGAAGCTTTTTAACGACGTTTTAGTCTTCATCAATCCTCAGATTTTGAACGCGATTCTGGGCTATTTGGAACCCGGAGCGCAGGAACCGCAGTGGACGGGTTTTCTCTACGCAGTGAGTTTATTCCTCGTCGCCTGCGCCACAACCTTCGTTCTCCAGCGCTACTGGTATCACTGCACTCGCGTCGGCGTCAAAGTTCGCTGCGTGCTCACTGCCAAAATCTACCGAAAGGGGCTCAAGGTTAATTTCTCGAACGAGTCGTCTACTGTCGGCGAAGTTGTAAACTACATGTCCGTCGATGCTCAGCGCTTCCAAGACACGGCAACATTCATGAATTTCCTCTGGTCCGCTCCTCTCCAAATCGCTCTCTCGCTCTATTTCCTCTACGTCCAACTTGATTGGGCTTCTTTTACTGCTCTTCTTGTTTTCTTCATTTTGACTCCGTTGTCCGGCTTTGTCACTGGAAAAATGCGAAATCTGATCGGCGCAAACATGAAAAAACGCGACGGGCGAATGAAACTGATGAACGAAATCTTGAACGGAATCAAGGTACTCAAACTCTACGCGTGGGAGATTCCATTCATGGACCGAATCAACAAAATTAGATTCGACGAGCTCGGCCTAATAAAAAAGTATTCTTACTTGCAGGAAAGAGTTCGCATTTTTATTAGGATAAGGATAGGACAAAATAAATCCAAATTAACGTGAAAGTGAAAAATTTCTTGGATCAAAATGTGTAAAAAATGATAAGAAATAAAATGATACTTTCAAAGTTACCGCGTAAAACAAAAATTGATCGATCATTTTCAGCAACTAGGACTCCTGCTCCAGGAGTCAAAAACTAAACGTTTTGCTTGCGTGACGTAGTGTTTAAATTTTAGCTGTTATGGTCCTCTACTAATTGGCTTGCGTAAATACTGTCTTAGAAAAGGAGGATTTTAAAGGATTTAACCAAATTTAAACTCAGCTCAGCGAATAAAAGCTTAATTCAGAGTAAATTTTGCGTTCCAGCTGCAGTAACTGACTGTCACTAACTGGAAAGAAACCTTCGCTCTTATAAGACCTAAGAGGACAAAGCTGCATTGTCAATGCATCAATAAAATTAACAGTTATTATTCCAATGGCAGCCCTTAATATAAAGAGAGACTTATAATTCCGCCCATTATGACCGACTAAAATTGGTGAAAAAATTTCGCTTTTTTTCACTTTTTTGCGGAAAATTTCGCTTCGCTTCGGTTTCGCTTTTAAAATTTTCATTCGCGTTCGCATAAAATTTTAACAGACTTTTAGATAAAGGTCTGAACTACTTAGAAAACTTTTAAAAACTAAAAAACGTTAATGTTAACCCAGTCATTAAACTCCAGAAAATTTTTAAAAAATTCTACCACCCCAAAAAGTGAACTCGTGAAAAGGCCGTCGTGATATTGATCTGGGAGTTTACTCCTTATTTAGTCCAGCTCACCTGCTTCACTTTTTACACAACTCTGGTCAATGGTGGCCAGGAACTCACCGCTACAACCGTCTACACCTCTCTCAGTCTTTTCAACATTATTCGATTCCCGATCAACATGCTTCCAATGGTCGTCATCATGGTCACAATGACAAACGTCGCTTCTGATCGAATCACAAAATTCCTGATTTGCGACGAACTCGAAACTTCCAATCTCACTCGCTCCAAGAGCTCGAAAGGGGCGGAGTACGCAATCAGCATTTCCAAAGGCTCTCACTCGTACAAAAAAACCGGCGAAATGGCGCTCAACGATATCGAGCTCAAAGTCAGTTCTGGCAACATCGTGGCCGTCGTTGGCCCAGTTGGCTCTGGAAAGTCCTCTATGATTTCAACATTGCTTGGAGAGCTGCACTCCGACAGTTCCAAAATCCATATTAATGGAAATTTAGCCTACGTTCCTCAGCAAGCGTGGATCCAGAATATGACGCTGAAGGACAATATCATCTTCGGCAAAGAGTTCAACAAGCAAAAGTATGAAGACATCATCGACCGCTGCTGCTTGCTTTCGGACATTGACATACTCGAGGGCGGAGACAGCACGGAAATCGGCGAACGAGGAATCAACCTTTCTGGCGGCCAAAAGCAGCGTGTTTCCATCGCGCGAGCGGTCTACTCCGAGGCCGACATTTACCTCTTCGACGATCCGCTATCGGCGGTAGACGCTCACGTGGGCCGGCGAATCTTCGACAAGGTCCTTGGCCCAGAAGGTTACTTGAAGAATAAAACGCGGCTGTTTGTCACTCACTCGACTCAGTACTTGCCGAATTGCGACAGAATCATTGTGATGGAAACGGGCGGCAAAATTCTTGCGACAGGCACTTTGGATCAGCTAAAGGCGATGAACAACGAACGAATCGAGGAGATCATTTCTGTCAAAGTCAAAGAAGAAAACGAAGAAAAGGAAAAAGTGGACAAAGAAGGCGAAAAGAAGAATAAAAAGGACGAAAAAGATAAAAACGCGGGAAATCTAGTGACGAAAGAAGGCGCTGACGAGAGCGGCGGAGGACTTGGCGTGATCAAATCTTACTTCAAGGCGTTTGGTTATGGCTGGATGAGCTTCTACATTTTCGCCGCGCTAATTTACATGTTGGCCGACATGATGTACAATATTTGGCTGACGACGTGGGTGGACGCGATTATTTTCTACAACGAGACGGACAGCAAGAACAATAGCTGCGGATACGGGGCTCCCTATGTGCAGGACATTTTCAAAACAGAACAGTGCCGAGGAGATTCTTTCTATTTACTGGTTTACGGGTGCATTGGCCTGGCCGTCGCGCTTTTGAGTTACACGCGGTCGATAATCAACATTCAGGGAATCATTGCCTCCGGAAGGGCCTTCCACAAAAACCTGCTTTACGGAATTATGCGATCGCCGATGTCGTTTTTCGATACAACTCCGACCGGGCGAATCGTCAATCGTTTTGGAAAGGACATCGACTCTGTCGACAACAACATTCCGCAGAGCATCCGTCAGTGGATCTCCTGTCTTCTCCGCATTGTGAGTACAGTGATCATCCTCAGCCGAACCGAGATCTGGTTTTTGCTGATTGTTCCGATCCTCTGCCTCGTTTTTATGCTCATCGAGCGGTTTTACATCGCCGCCAATCGGCAACTCAAGCGTCTCGAGTCCACCACCAGATCGCCGATTTATTCCAGCTTCGGGGAGACTATTTCGGGAACGTCGGTCATCCGCGCTTACCAAAAAGAAGACGAATTCATTCAGGACAATTTAAACAAAGTCGACCACAATCTCAAGTTCCAATACGCTAATTTGATGTGCAATCGCTGGCTCGGAATCAGGTTTGGCTATTTTTTGATAACTTAAATTTAAATTCATTTTCAATAGGTTGGAATCATTCGCCAATTTGATCGTCTTCTCCGTCGCGATTTATGCCGTCTTGTCGAAGAACTCCGGCTCATCGGCAGCTGATATTGGCTTGGCCTTGTCCTATTCAATGTCCGTCACCCAGATTTTGAACTTTCTTATTCGCTCCACTGCTGAGTTAGAAGTCAATGTAAGAATTTCGAAATTATGAAAAAAAAAACCGGATACCCTCAGTTCGCCTCACCCGAAGGGGATAGGCTAGGGTTAGTTAGGGCTACTGAAGGTAACCCTAGACTAGACCCCGGCATTTTAAGACCTAGGGGGCGGAGCCCCCAGGTAAGAGACACTTGGATTTGATAATTTCTTTTTATTTTATGTTTAACTTCTACTGTGTGAAGGGCTGGGCACGAGAGATCACATTATTCGCAAACGTTTTTATTTTATTATAGGCATTGAAATTCTCATCCTCAGTTCACCAGGATTTGGGCCAAAAAGTCCCGGCGAAGGTCATCCAAAAAAAACTGATGATAAATTAAGCTTGTCGCCGTCGAACGAATCGAAGAATACTGCAATCTTCCGCCGGAAGACTCGTGGGTCAAGGGCGGCACAGAATGGATGAAAAAGGTACGCCAGTTCTCTATCGATAATGCCACTAATTCCGCGAATTCAAGGGACGAACAGTGATGAAAGATTACGCTCTTCGATATCGAGATGGACTTCCTTTGGTTCTCAAAGGCCTCGACTGTAAAATTTCGGCAGGCGAGAAAATCGGGATAGTTGGACGCACTGGCGCTGGCAAATCAAGGTAGTCCACAAAAATAAGCGAAACATTAAATTATCTGGAATAATAAAATCTTGTTGAAAAGTCGAGAAAATCCTCAGAAATTATCCAAAATGGTGAATTGATATTAAATTTTTGTTCAGTTTGACAGTCGGCCTCTTCCGACTGGTGGAGTGTGCTCGGGGAAAGATCGAAATCGATGGAGTTGATCTTTCGAAACTTGGCCTTCACGATTTGCGAAAGCGGCTTACCATTATTCCCCAGGAGCCTGTTCTCTTCAGTGGAACTTTGCGTGAAAATTTGGATCCTTTCAACGACGCCACTGACGATCGAATTTGGGAGGCGCTCAGACTGGCGCATTTGAAGGTAACTTATTCATTTTCGCTTAAATCTGCTGACTGGTAATTTAAGACGACGGTCTCCGGCTTCGAAAAGAAGCTGGAACACGAAGTGAACGAGAACGGATCGAACTTGAGCGTCGGGGAGCGTCAGCTCGTCTGCCTCGCTCGTGCTCTTCTTCGCGACTCTAAAGTTCTAGTGCTCGACGAGGCCACCTCCGCGGTCGACAACAACACGGACAGCTTGATTCAGGTTTGCTGCTTTTATTGAAATGGCAATTTCAAAGGTGGGCAAATTCAATAGAAAACGATTCGCGAGTCCTTTTCTGGATTGACGATCCTGACGATTGCGCACCGGCTCAATACGATCATCGATTACGATCGAGTGATGGTACTTGATGACGGCAAGATAGTCGAACTGGACAGTCCCGAAGCTCTTTTTAGCAAGAAAGACGGCATTTTTCGGTCTATGTGTGATGAAGGTGAGATGATAGAATTTGCACAAAGGCTTTAAACCCCTTCAGCAAATGTGAAACAAAGTGACATTCTGAATGCAAAGCTGGGAGCCCCTCCGACTTACCCAGAAAACGAAAAAGAAGAAAAGAAAAAAGATCGAAGGCCAACACCGCCGCCGCCATCGCCTTCAAAGCCTGTTGATGAAACCTCGTTCTAGTCAATTTTGCGACCCTCAAATTAGAATATTCCTATTTCTATGTACATTTATTGAAACACTGCGACAGAAACAAATATATTTTAATAGTTATGATCGAAAATACAGTCTCACGGTTATAATTAGAATTATAAAATTATTAATGCCTTTTTAATACAAAATACACTTTTTATTACAAAATTGTAATTTAAAATTGTATTTTTTTAATATCAGTAAAAAGGCGCTTATTTTTCAGCGTCATCAGCAAAAAGGTAGCCGAGGAATTGAAAGTCCGCATGCAAACGCGACTTCTTGCATCCGTCAAAGTTGACTTCCGGAACAATTACGATTTTCTTTCCCGAAACAGGCATCTTCAAAATCCAGTATTTTCAGCTTTCTTACGAAAAAGTACCTGCAGAGCGCTTTCAATCCAGATGTTTTCGAATTTTGGCGTTCTTATGAAGCCAATATACACGCGTTTTCCAATTTTCGACATTGAGTACTTTGCATTTTGCTTTTTGCCTTGACTGTAGTTATAAACAGAGACAACCTGAATTCGAACCTGCGTAGAAAACCTGAGTCAGGGTCTGAAAAGCCGCGTAGCTGCTTTTTATTATCGCGAAGCCGCCTTGTAGCTTCGTTTTCAAAAAAGCCGCTACGCGGCTTTTCATTTAAGTTCTTTCAGACCCTGACTCAGATTGTCTACACAGGTTGCCGAATTCAGGATACAACTCAAATTTAATTCAAAATTTTAAAATACCCTTCATATACCTTCAAGGCAAAAAAGCAAAATGCACTGACAGTACAATCTGAATCCGTTGAAAACCGCATTGTTTCCTTTTGGAAAAGTGACTCGCGTTCTAATTCCGGCCAAGTATCCTTTCGGCAGCTCGTGCGTGCTTTTGACTTCCTTGAGCAAGTTGTCTTGATAGCTCGCAGATTCCGAGTGGATCACCTCGCAAATGACGAATAATAGTTTTGAAAAAGTAGTACCTCTCCAAGCTCGATGTGGTTTCCCATAATTTCTGTTTGAATTTGCATCGTTTTGGCGGATTTGAAGTAGATTCTTAGATTCTGGGCTCGGCAATATTCGACTTGGGCCGGAAAACCTGAGTCAGGGTCCTGAGCTAAGCTTTGCGGCTTGGCAAAAATAATCATTCTAATTCAAATTCTGGGGACACTGTTTCGTGACTAAGTGGCTTTAAATTTTAGCCCTTTCAGGACTTGCGGGTATTACCCTTCTCAGGTATTGAATATCGATTGCGGAGCTTCGTCTTTGTTGGAAGTTTTTGTTGACCCTGATATTGTCGAGCCCAGCTTAGAATGTTGGTCCGAATGGGCGATTGAAGAGCGATCATTTCCACTTGGTTGCAATTAGTGTTGGCAATGAGAAGATCTCCGTTGTTATAAAGCACCGGCTGGCCGTTCTGGTCGATGAACTCTAGGACGATTTCTTTGGTCATGGAGAGAACGCCGAATTTGGGGTGGAACTCGGAAAGCAGCTGGATGCCGCGGACGAGCGTGTATTTTCGAAAGTCGATCTCCATCATTGGCTCGCTGTCCTTCGTCGAGCTCGAAAGCGCCGATTTGAATGAGAGTCTAGAAATAATCGGAGAACTCTTCCTTGCTCTCAGGCGTCCAAGATTGAGAACCAAGGCGCGGCGGTGTCTTCCCGCTCGAGAGTCGAATCTGGTCGTCGCGTATTTTCCCGCTGCGCATTCCTAGCTCCTCCCCGTAACCACTTAAGGGGATATCCATCGATAATCGTCATTTTTCTGCGTCTTTTTCTACGAGGAATTAGGGAAGAGCCCTTTCGGAAGGCCTTTTAAAAAAAATCAGCAGAAAAATGTCAATATCGATGGTTACCCCCTTAAGAGTTCTCTTGCGAGATGGTAGTTTGCTTCCACTTCGCCAGATACTCCTTGCTGACTTCAAAGGTTCTCAAAAGCGAAAGAAGCAAGGCGTTTATCTAATTTTGGAAATCTTTGGTATGGATCCAAACAAAAACGCTCCGCTAAGGATGAAACCAAAAACTTGGATAGCTCGATTTTTCAAGGGAAATTTTAAGGGTGTCAAAAGCCTACCGGCCTAAAAAAACCCGTCAAAATGAAAGATAGGCCCATCCTTTAAGTGGAACCTTTTTGTTATATACATACCAAAGATTTCGATAATTATATAAAGTCCAGAAGCAAGTCAATTGTTAGATTCGAAGAGAACCAGAACTGAGTTTAACCGAATCGACGCGAGCAGTAAGCCTTTGCAGCTCTTTTCCAAGTCTTGTCTGCTCAGCTTGAATGGCATTAATCGTGTTTTGCTCGAAAGCGGCGAGTTTGTAGGAAAAACTCTGTTCCAAGTTGCCGATTTGGTTTTGGAGCAGCTCGTTCGAGGCGGTGATTTTTTCGTCAACGAATTTGTTGATGTTCCGAAGAGTTGTCAAGCTCCTAAAACGGATTTAATAATCGGTAAATAAAATAGGTGTTCACGTGGAATAGTCGCTTTCAAAGTCTTTTCTGAGTTTTTGAACAGTCTCCTTGAAATCGGCCCGTTCCTTTTGAATCTTTTGATTTTCCATCGCCAGTTGCTGAAAGAAAAGTCGCTTGCTTAGCTCTGTAAGCTGAGTAAAGAACCGGAGTCAGCTTTGAAAAGAGCTTATTTTGAAAAAAGCCGCAAAATTAAAATTCAAAGGATAATTTTGGCGAAGCTGTGCGACTTTTCATTTAAAAACTACTTTTTACTTTTATGGAAGCTCTGAGGCCGTCGATAACGTCCAGTTGCAGAGTCTTGATGCTGCTGAAGGCGCCGTCGATGTCGATTCGTTCGCGTTTCTTAGCGAAGCCGGGATTCATCGCCTCGCCGACTTGGATGACGCGGCGTTCCTCCTCGCCGCGAACGGAGAGTTTGATCCGCTCGTTTGCCTCGCGATTGTACTGCGCATGCGGGTTCTTTTTTCCGAAAAATATTTTTGCGAGTTATTTTAAAATAATTTTTAAAACCACGACTTCAAATGTCTTCTGTCTTGTGCTTGCTCTTCCGTTGCAGTTTTTCTCAAAGGGCGGTACTCACTCATTATTCTTGAAAATCAATTTTTGAATTAGGAATTTCTGCTTCTCAGTTGAATCTATTTTGCTTCATTTTTGGAAAGGGCACTTGAAACGTGTCTGGTTCCGTTTTATTCGCCGCGATATTTTTCAATTGTTCATTTATTTTTAAGCAGATTCGAAATCAAGTGCTAGATTGTTTTCTTTTGAATTAATTGTTTCAGTAAAGAGTTTTCAAAAGTCGGAGTTGAGGTGAACAGGTCGAATGTCGCCAGATCGGTACATCGTTCGGCATTGCGGACATGAAGCTTTCTTGCCCTAGAAATTTACTTTTAGTATGATTTCCATCTGTTATCTCCAAATATTATATGTGACGTGCTTTTTTAGGTAAACGAACTTTTTCAGCCCACTTCAGCCTTATAGACCCCCAACAACATACCTTTTAGAGTCAGCGGAGAACTTTGATGGTTTTAGATTCTACAAAAGTCCACTTTCTGTCGACTCTAGTGCCGGAAATTGACGAAATTTAGGTGTTATGACAAAAATCTTCCGAGCATCAATTTGATAGGTCATACTCTACCATTACACCTAAATTTCTTCAACTACCGGCTCTAAAATCGACCGGAAGTGGAGTTTTCTAGAATCTAAAACCATCAAAGTTCTTAAAATTCTCTGCCGATTCTAAAAAGGGATGGTGTTGGGGGGTCTATGAGGCTGAAGTGGGCTGGAAAACTTGAGTGTTGAGAGACAAAGATCGCTAGAGTTTCAAAAAAAAAAATTGAATAAACAAATAAATTATATAATATTAACCAAGTAAAAATGTGGTATGATTTATGGTCTAAAAAATCAATTTTTTTCTGTTTTGTTTTTTTTTTGAATTTATAATAATAAAGGCATTGTTCAATGTGTTAGAAAACCACCGGATAAGGTCAATTAAACAGCTACTCCGACTTTTTGCCGATTTTCTGCCCGAAGCTTAAAGAGCCTATTTGAAGATCTTCTTACATGAGCAGTGAGCCAGCTATTGGCGCAACTTCCGCAGAAGACGTGCGAGCATTTCAATTTCACGGGAGTTCTTTCACCGGAGCTCTCGAACTTCTCCTCGCAGATGCAGCACGAGATCATCTGCTCGTATTTCTTCATCACCTCCGAGTTCACGTTCTTCAGCGTCATAATTTGGCTTTCCAAGTCTTTGACCAGCGTTTCCGCTTCCAAAGTGTTTTCCGTCTTCTCGAAGTCGTTTTCGATGTCGAAGTCCTGCGCCGACTCTCGCAAGAAATTCGAGCAAAAGGCACTCAGCTGTCGAATGCGACTTTGTGCTTGCTTCTTTAGCGTTTCAGCTAAATAAAAGCGTTAAGTTTTGTTCAATTTAGATATTTCATATATTTAAATTTTAAAATAAGGGAAACCACTTATAAATCGACTTCTTGGTAAGGAGGGCAGAGTTCTCTTCCAAAAGCCCAGGACCTGGAGATCATTTTGACTTCATTACTGCTCCGAGGGAACAAGTAAAGCCCCTCTATCAATAATCAAAATGATTTCTAGGTTTTGAGCTTTCTGGAATAGTACAATGTGCCCTTCTAACTCAGCCCAAAAAGGTGTCAATAAATTTATGATTTCCCGTACTCACTATTATAATATATACTTTTGAAGAACCTTCATTCGTCGTGTAGACGAGTCGTTCTTGAATCACCCGGAAAGTGAGTTCTTGAGTCGTAAACTCTTGTTTCTTCAGTTCGAGCTCTTTCTTCAGCTCTTGCTTTTCCAACTGTAACTGCTTGATCGTTGCTTCGTACTCGGCGAACTCCTTCACGTCCGTTTCTTTGATTCTCTTTTCGCGCTCTTTCAGCGCGCTCAATTCGTCCTTCAGCAGCGCGATTTCTTTCGCCTTCGCGCTCATTTTTTGCTTGTGCTTTTCCTTCTCCTCCTTGATTTCGAGCTTGCTCTGGGCGAGGCTGCTCTCCAAGTTCATGATTCGACTCTTGAGACTCTCGATCAGCGACTGCATCTCGTTCAACCCGTCTTCGTAGTTTTTCTTTTGTCGCTCGGATTCGGCCTTTTTCATGTCGATTTCTCCCTTTAGCTTTTCCAGCTGCTCGAGCGCCTTGAGATGCTCCTTCGAATTCTGCTGAGCTGGCGCTTTTTTCGACTTGAGTTCTTTCAAGTCTTTTGCCAGTTTGTTGTTGTCGTCTTCCAACTCAAGGACTCGGCTCATCAGCTGCGATTCTTTTTCTTTGCTTTCTTTTTTGATCGTCTTGTTTTCTTCCTGCAGTTTTTTGCGCTCTTCTTTCAGTTTTTCGATCAAGAACTTTTTCGTGTTCAGCTGTTTCTGGTGGCTCGCCTCCAAAGTCTTGTGTTTTTTGACCATGTCCTCGATTTCCGCCTTTTCCTTGCAGATCTTCTCAACATTCGCATTGGTCTCGTTCTTCGAAGCGTTGATGCTGTCCAGCGTCTCCTGCAGTTCTTTTTGAGAGGTTGCCACTGAAATGGCGTTGTCCGAAAGTTGCATAACTTCGTGCACTTGCTTGACTAGCTGTCTGTTTTGCTCCTTGAGCGTTTCCATTTCGACCTCGCGATCGTGCGCCAATTGTTTTCGGAGCTTGATTTCCTCGGAATGCGTGTTTCGCAGCTGGTTATTTTCCTTTTCCCGGCTCATTTGTGATCAAGATTTGATGAATCTTTTTTACGATTTTTGTAATAAAAAATATCAGCCGTTCCTTCATAAGCTCAGTCTCAGTTTTGAGTAACTTTTCTTTGCTTAAAAGAGCGTCGTTTATGTTCATCAGTTTTTGAAGCTTGAGTTCCTCCTCCAACTTCGACACTTTGACGCTTTGATAAGTTCCTTGCGCCTGAAGAGTGGCTCCAATCGCCTGGGCAAAGCGGTACTCTCGTCTTTGGGCAGCAACGCCCAAGCAGTTGATGTTTTCCGTGTCTGTGAAGGTGATGTCAAGAGGAATTCGGTTCGCGTCCGAGATTTTCAGAAGTTCGATTTTGTCCTTTTCCGGCGCGTTCGACCTATTTTACCGTTAATTTTGAAATGAAAAATGATATTTTTACCTCGCTAATGTGAGCATCAGCGATCTCGGCTCGACAGGAGGGCCGGTCAGGGCTTGAAAAATCGCCTGGCTCTGCGCAAAGTGATAAGGAAAGAGTTTCTGAGCATTTGCTTCGAGAGGGTTCGCCCCAACAGCCAAAAGTGTCTCGATCAGCTCCAGCGTGTTCGGTCCATTCTCGATTGCCACGTCTTCCAGTGTCGGCCAGGCTTCTTGAGGCAGCGCTTGCAAAAGCACTTTGCGGCAAAGGAGACGCTCATTGTCTGTGGAAGTGAAACGGAAGGCAAAAGCATCGAACTCGGGGGTGCACTCACCGACCACGTTGATTGCTCGGGCGTTGTTGTTGTCCAGCCAGAGCGAATCCGCCCCAAAGGAGAGAAGACATCGGACGCTCTTTTCGCAGGCGACGCGCGCCGCCAAGTGCAGCAAGTGCATGTTGAACATGACAAGGATTTCCAACGGGACCTCGCTTAAATATGGTGTTAGTTATTTCTTGGCTAAAGTTTTAAAAGAATTAAAACCTGAACTCAGTTCCAATCGGCGAATCGACCGAGCCACAGAGCTCCTTCATCGCCTGAATGTATCCCTCCCGGTCCGGAGTAAAGCGCCTCATGTGCTCAAAAAGACCAGAAATAAACTCGACGCTGCCAACGATGACGGAGATTTTGATCATGTGAAGCATGAAGATCGGATGCGCCATATCGTTGTTTTCGAGAATAACGCCCATCAGCGGCAAAATGTGGCGCGACTCGTAGTTCAGTGTTTTGTTCAAATAGAGGCCGCCGAAGAACTTGTTGCTCGCCTCGGCGTTCAGTGCTTCGCGGCGAATGTAGGGAATAAAGAGCTCTAGAATAGCACTGAAACCATTGATGAATGGAATTTCCTTGGAGCCGACTGGACTGTTCGAAATTAAATAGGCAGAGTGACATTGAAAGATGGCCTCGATGTTCTGAATCTCCATGTATCGCAGCTGAATAAAAGTCAGCTCCGCGAGAATCGTGTTGATTTCTTCCATCTTTTCGAGGGTCAGCTGCCCGTTCCCGAATTTCGAGTCGATCTTTTGAAGAAGAGTCGTCACGGTGTAAGCCACGTCCTTGACGTTTTGCATACGGCAGCGTTCTTTGTAGAGAAGCAAGTCTTTTTCTTCGAAAATCAAACATGAGTAGTGGAGCCGCTCCCGGCGCTGGATTGACGTCTCTTCTCTTCTTTGGCGGCAGCGACGCAAGAGCTCACTTGTTGGAGTTTCCTGAAAAAATACTCAATAAACCAGACTTCAATCAAAATTTTCAGTTTTTTTTAATCTATTCTCTCTCAGTTCTAACCTTAGCAGGGTCTTCATCATTGCAAGCAGCGGCGTATAAAAGAACATCTTCCTCGGTGAGAAAGTCCGTATCGCCGGGAGTGTCTGGCTCGGACATTGTGCCTTCGGAAGACATAGAATCTCTTCGCAGTAATCGAAGCGTGTTCGGCGCCTTTCTCTTCATCGAAAGCATCAATTTTCGAAGAGGATCCATTTTCGTCTCTCCACTCGCCCCAGAAGGCGTCGTCGAGCCCGAGGCCCCTGTTGAATTCGGTGGATCCATTTGTTTTCAGTTCGAGAATGAGTACTTTCGCTTTCCGATTGAAAGGGAGCTTTTTTCACTTTTTGAGAAATTATTGTACAGGAGCAGACAAAGGGCGGATCAGCTGTTGGGCTTATCACCTGCAGGGAAAGCTCACTAGTGATAGGAGCGTGTTCAAACCAGTTCATCGTTCTTGAGCAAATTTAAAAATTAATAAAATCTTAATAGAGTCTTCTTTTTTGGTGAGGAATCACTCGAGCATAATGATCATATGATATAAATTATATCATATAATATATAGTCTTTTTGTCTCGGGCGATTTCGTAGTCTGAAACTTAAAAAAAGGTAATAAGAAAAAAATACCGTATGAAAGATGAATATCAAACACCAAATCAAAGCTCTTCTTCCCAGTAAACAGCGACGAATCAAAGCATTGAACCCTAACCGCAACTTCAATTTTACCAAATTTTTTCAATCGCTTCTCCTCCGGAAGAAGTCTCGATTGTTAGCAAGAATTCTATTTTGAAAAGAAAGCATAAGTTTTGTTGAAGAAAAATTTTCACGTTTCAACCGACAAAATCAATTTGTCCAAGTCATCTCTGCTCGTCGTTCTCTTAAATTTATTTCCAATAAGTACCAGCCATTTGAAATTCGAGCTTTTTAGTACCTTCGCTTTTTAGTACCTTTGAAGGGCGAAAAGTAGTACTTTTTATCAAAATTTTCAAAAAAAAAAAAATAAGTGTCGTTCAGACTCTCGGATATCTCCAACATATCCAAAAATGACATTTGAAATGGCCCATTTCTCAAAAGCTTCTCTTTTCAACTCTTTTGGATGCGCAAAAATTCGCATTTTGCAGCACTAAAAAATAGTCTGAACAAGCAGATCTAGTTATTTTTAATATTTTTGCTCAATTCAACGCTTCATGTAGAGAAAATATTAAAGTGCAATTCTGCGTTTGATTTTTCACGCCATAATTTGAGAATCAAACTTTGATTTTGTTTTAATAATGTCAAGTTTGGAACAGATGTACCAAAGAAGAAATTAGAATAAATAAATATTAGATTATATAATTATATAATTTATAGATCAGACAGAAATTTCAGCTGAAAGTCTTCATCGCTTGATTGACAAAGCCGTCGGAATTAAACATTTGCAAGTGGACGGAATCAATCATCTCCGTCGTCGGCCTAATCCGCGAAACAATCCTCTTCGCCATCTTTTCCTTCTTCTTCTTTCCCTTGACAACATCGCCGTTTTCACAGTAAACCGTCAGCGGAATCGAACAGAAGCTTTCCATCGTCTCGAAATTCGGATCTTCGGCTGTTTCTTTTGACGGAAAATAGGCGCAGCCAAGTTGGTTTTCCTTGTTTTTGAATTTCATTCTTAAAAGGCGCTAATAAGTCTTCTTTGATTTCAAGAGGTATTTGACCTAAGCTCATCAACCTGTCAGGTTCTGTAATATGAAATAATAATTTTAAATGGTTATATAACTTAACTAATATTGTAGGGTTAGGGCAAGCCTACTCGGTTTTTAATTTAGGCTGTTCAAAACCTGACTCAGGTTTTCTACCGTGGGCGATAGATTTCACGACGGAGTCTGTAGGGCCGGCCGGGGATTTTGACTGTTTTGATGAAGTTAAATCACATTCTCGGGGCAAAATCCTGACCCCTATGTTTCTTATGCTTTTCTGAAAGCCGGTGATCTGGCGAGTCGAATGGTATAAGTTAGGGGTCTTAGTTGGTTGAAACCGACCGGGACCTGTAACTTTTAAGGAGGTGTGGGGCGGTTTTCGTGAAATTGACCATTTTCAAACAGCACTCAGGCTCAGATGGATAAAAATTTTTTTTAAAACTCTTCTTCTACTTAAAGATTGGACCTTAAACAAGAGTTGAAAATTTTTCAGAAAAAATGCTTAAGGGATTTTGGCCATAGAGAGCTCAACTTCAAGTCATGTCCGTGAAAATCATCATTTTGCGTCATTTTTGAACGCGATTTTTCTAATGAAAATATTTTACTAAGACGATAAAAAGAAACTTCCATCGCTGTTCTAGAGTTGAATTGAAGGAATTTAATTTTCCTCAAAAAATGCTTATTGTAAGCTTTCGATTGAAAGTTGGGTCTCAAAACGTCCAAAAATTGTAATTCGAAATTAAGTAAGCTCGTAATACAGTAAGATAACGCAGTCCCTGTTATTATCAAATATACTTAACAAGTCGTGAACTTTCCAAAAATATAAAAATAATTCAATTTTTAAGACATTGAAAAATATAATTTCGCAAGTTTTCATGAAAACGCCAACTTCCAATCCCATTTTTCACTATGGCCCATAGTTAGGGCCCGCACGGTGGGAATTCGTCAAAATTTTCCTGTGGACTGTTTCGGATGAAATTTTATGAGGGTGATAGTCGACCCCTAATCAAGAAAAAAACGCAAAAAAAATTTTGAAAATTAAGGGTGTCAGCCCGAAAAAAACGATTTTTTTCTAAATCAAAAATTCTTGTTTCCAAGTTAGTTTCGATGCTTCAGACGAGTCAATAATGACATTTTCGAGCCGAAAATAGTGCTTTGATATTATTAAAATAATAGAAAAATTCGAATGAAAACTTAAAAAATTTTAGATTTAAACTTTAAATTAAATTTTCGGGCCGTCTCAGCCCCGATCCTTGATTTTTAAATTTAAGGGGCTTGACGGCCCTTCGGGCCGTCTCAGCCCCGATCCTTGATTTTTAAATTTAAGAGGCTTGACGGCCCTTCGGGCCGTCTCAGCCCCGATCCTTGATTTTAAAATTTAAGGGGCTTGACGGCCCTTCGGGCCGTCTCAGCCCCGATCCTTGATTTTTAAATTTAAGGGGCTCGACGGCCCTTCGGGCCGTCTCAGCCCCGATCCTTGATTTTTAAATTTTAGGGGCTTGACAAAGGCTGGAACTTTGAGGTGATCAATCTCAGTTACGTTCCCAACCCCGCCCACCTCCATTTTTTGTTAAAATACAGATTGTTCAAAGTTTTAGCCTCTTTATGGTTTTTATTTGAACTTTGTTCTTATTTGAAACTGACCTGAGTGCTTCAGCCAGGCGTTCTTTTAGTCACACAGGACCTGATTAAGTTATTTTGTAGATGATTTATCTTAGTGTTAGATCAAAAATTTCAATTTATTAATGTTTCGCTATGTATAAGGAAACGTTTTGCGAAAAAAGTTACAATTCAATATAAAAATGATTTTTTATTTGCTCGAATCTTTTGATGCCGGGAAGTGCCCAATCTAATTTTTTGTTTATATATGTGTTTTTGATGGGCTTTCATGGGATACCCTCAAAAAATTTGATCCGGCTTGATCCGGCCTTCAAAACGGCACAAAAAGGGAAAATGTGTCGATTTCCATCGGTTTTTCGCGATTTTTGACGAAAAAACATGATTTTTCGGGATGACGTTATTGAACAAAATTTTTCTTAGGTGATATCAAGTCGATACCCGAGACTAAAAAATTAATACAAACAACTGAATTTTGACGAAAATCCCACCGTGCGGGCCCTACCCATAGTCTATGGGGTTTGCCGCTTTCTGTAGGGGGTACTCTGCACATGGCCAGGTGTGAAGCCAGGGCAAATAAGATGCAAGGGGGCACACCGCCCGGGGGACTCATGCTGAGTGTAGGGGGCGAGTGGCGGACCACGGCCTAGCACCTCGCCCCAGCGTGCACCTCGGTAGGACACGGATCAGCGCCTAATCAGGCCACTCACTCGATCAGAGCAAGTACCGAGTAGAAGCTCATCGAACAGGATCATCCAAGTTAGGTCCACTTTTTGGGATCAAGAAGGATCAAAAAATAGTTTTTCTTGAAACTTGCCATAAAAAATGTGTAGATTTCGAATATGAAGTCATTTTTCATTTTCAATGGCTAGTTTTGAAAATATTTTAAAATGGGGTTCTCCACTTTGTGTTGGAGTCAAAACTTGCCACCCGGGAAGTGCGGGCAAGGTCTCCAGCTGAGCATATAAGATGCAACGAGCCCACCGACAGGTGATAGCTCTTGCTGAGGCTGCTCTCAGGCCAAATCGGAGCTTCTCTCGGTGTGAGATGTGGAGCCCATTAGCAAATACTATCTAAGGGCAACTTGAGCCCAAGATCAGGATCAAGCTCAGCTCCGGATGAGCCACAAAATTGAAAATATGGAAGACTCAAAATTTAATTTGATAAAATTTCACCCAATAGGGTAATCAAGGGCGTAGATTACGAATCCAAAGCAGAATCTGAATCAATCTGAAGGGCATATTTTATATAAGGGCAGGACTCTGTATAAAATTTACTGCCTTTAATATTTCTGCTTTTTAATGCGCTTAGATGATCAAACGTCTTTTGCTTGATGAAAGCCTCACCTGGTAATAATCTCCCTGATAATTAAGGGCAGTAATCTTCGCAAAAATCATGCCCTATTCAAAATATGTCCCTTAGGATCCAGAAAATACCTTTATTTTAAGGGCAGTAAATTTTATAAAGAATCCTGCCCTTATTCAGAATGTGCCCCTCAGGATCCAGAAAATACCTTACGTATTTCGAGGGCAGTAAATTTTATAAAAAGTCCTGCCCTTCGCTTTTTGTTCATTAGAAATCTTTTTTGACTTTAGATTCGTAATCTTCGCCCTCGATTACCCTATAGCCTATAGGTAGGGCTTCCGTATAAAAAAACAAAATTTTGACTGGGCTGACCGAATTGTTTGATATTCGGGAAGGTAATGTATTTTTCAGTGGAGAAAAATTTTCATTCTGAAAAAAAAATTTTTATCGACGCACGTGATTGTAAAAATGAGAAAACTGATTTTCTCGTCTCGTCCCTTGTCGATTTTTTTCATTTTCAGATATGTGAAAGGGCATATTCAAAAACCTAGATTTGTTAAAAAAAATTTATTGCATATGCAATAAAACATCTAAAATATGACTTTATCTTGATATTAAGATTTTATAGTTTTAGAAAAGTCCTCCGGAGGACTTTTGCTGGAAGAAATTTTTATGAAGAAGTGATGAAATAAATTAAAAATAATTAAACCAATCAATAAACAATAATAATGTTTATTTATAAAAAAATAATGCAATCATGTGACCTCCGGAGGACCTCTGAAAGATCTCCGGAGGATTTTTGGTGGAAGACATACAGTCAATATGATATAGAAGAAAAGCTAAGAATAAAGAAGAATGTAAATCTTCGTCTCAGCCCCGTTCCATGATTTTTAAATTTAAGGGGCTTGACGGCCCTTCGGGCCGTCTCAGCCCCGTTCCATGATTTTTAAATTTAAGGGGCTTGACGGCCCTTCGGGCCGTCTCAGCCCCGTTCCATGATTTTTAAATTTAAGGGGCTTGACGGCCCTTCGGGCCGTCTCAGCCCCGTTCCATGATTTTTAAATTTAAGGGGCTTGACGGCCCTTCGGGCCGTCTCAGCCCCGTTCCATGATTTTTAAATTTAAGGGCTTGACGGCCCTTCGGGCCGTCTCAGCCCCGTTCCATGATTTTTAAATTTAAGGGGCTTGACGGCCCTTCGGGCCGTCTCAGCCCCGTTCCATGATTTTTAAATTTAAGGGGCTTGACGGCCCTTCGGGCCGTCTCAGCCCCGTTCCATGATTTTTAAATTTAAGGGGCTTGACGGCCCTTCGGGCCGTCTCAGCCCCGTTCCATGATTTTTAAATTTAAGGGCTTGACGGCCCTTCGGGCCGTCTCAGCCCCGTTCCATGATTTTTAAATTTAAGGGCTTGACGGCCCTTCGGGCCGTCTCAGCCCCGTTCCATGATTTTTAAATTTAAGGGCTTGACGGCCCTTCGGGCCGTCTCAGCCCCGTTCCATGATTTTTAAATTTAAGGGCTTGACGGCCCTTCGGGCCGTCTCAGCCCCGTTCCATGATTTTTAAATTTAAGGGCTTGACGGCCCTTCGGGCCGTCTCAGCCCCGTTCCATGATTTTTAAATTTAAGGGGCTTGACGGCCCTTCGGGCCGTCTCAGCCCCGTTCCATGATTTTTAAATTTAAGGGGCTTGACAAAGACCTGGAACTCTGAGTTGATCAATCTCAGTTATGTCCCCAACCCCGCCCACACCCATGATTATTAAAATTCAATTTGTCCTTGTTTATTTGCAAATTATGGTTTTTGCGTTAAATTTTGAAATATATATTTTTGAAAAATTTAATTCTATGTCTTCTTCTAAAAAGTTTCTTCCAGCAAAAGTCCTCCGGAAGACTTTTTAACAATAACAAAGTTAATTTTTTACTAAAAGTTACTATTTCTGATGATATAAATGGCCAGTCAAAATTTTTTTTATGAAATATTATGTTTTTGATGTTTCTCTATAACTTATCAAAAAATAAAAAAAATCGACAAGTGACAACGCACAAATGAAAAATCACCATTTTTATTTTTATAATTTTGATATAAAACATTATTTTATTTTATTTCTTTTGCCCCTAAAAACCTTTTCTTATATTGATTTATCCCTCCCATAATTATTTAAGGAAACAATGAACGGAATCAGAAACAATTTTTTATACGGAAGCCCTACCTATAGGGCAAAATTTCATCAAATTCTATTTTTGAGTCTTCCATTTCTTCACTCTTGTGGCTCATCCGAGACTGAGCTTGATCCTGATCTTGGGCTCAGTGTACCCTAAGATCATATTTGGTGAATGGCTCAACCGTCTCACACCGAGAGTTGCTCTGAGTTGGGGCTAGGAGCAGCCTCCGCGGGAGTTTGCACTTGTCGGTTGGGCCCTTGCGTCCTGTTTGCTCTGTTGGAGACCTTGCCCTTACTCTCCAGGTGCCAAGTTTTGACCCCAACACAAAGTGGAGTGTGCCTTTAAAATCATGTCGAAATCTGCGCCGCTTAATTATGCTTTTTGATCTGAAAGAACCAGCTGAACTTTCATTTATGAAAAAATTTCAGATTGAATTGAAAAACTTTCATTTTTGAAAAAAATTCATCATTGAAGAAACGTTCTACAACGTTCTCGAATTTTCGCCAAACCGCCTCGTACCTCCTTAAGTTAGTCCATAAAAGTATACTGAATTTGGGCTCATTTAAAAGAACAGCTCGAGATCTATTTGCGGAGCACTTGCGGGTTGAAAAATTCCCAGGGAATAATATTCCAGAGCCACCTAACCACGTGGTGAAGAATTGAAAACCGGTTGGTTTACCGAGATTTATAGATCCGCAAATAGATCTCGAGCTGCTCTTTTAAATGAGTCCGAAATCAGTATACATTTATGTACAAACTTAAAAGTTACAGGTCTCGGTCGGTTCACCCCATATGTTGCATATGATATGATATCATTTGACTCCTCAGATCACGGGCTTTCTCATATGCATGAGAAACCCGGGGGTTAGGATTTTGCCCCGAGAATGTGATTTTACTTCATCTTTTGCGCGCATTCTAGTATTTTCCCACGCGTGATGGAGGACTTTTATCGGGTGGAAGACCGGCCTTGATGGAAGACGAGTGTTTATAAGATGTTTATCAGGGAAGGGACTGAGACGGCCCGAAGGGCCGTCAAGCCCATTTCAATTTAAAAGCCAGGGACGGGGCTGAGACGGCCCGAAGGGCCGTCAAGCCCATTTCAATTTAAAAGCCAGGGACGGGGCTGAGACGGCCCGAAGGGCCGTCAAGCCCATTTCAATTTAAAAGCCAGGGACGGGGCTGAGACGGCCCGAAGAAAAAGAAGAAAAGTTGAATCTAAAGATTTTGTTATTTTTATGATTATACTTCTAATCTTCGACAGGTTGTCGAGGCCAGAATATTGTGTTTTACTATTTTTCTTAACAATAACTGACCTATTAATGTGGTGAGTTTTGTTCAAATGCATGTCATAAATTTTCTTCTTCCACCATCGCCACTTGTTCTCTTCCATGAATTGTCGCACGATTTTGTTGTCTGGCATAAATACAGCGTTGTAAAAGCGCAACTGCTGCTCGAGGCCGAACTCGTAGAGACGCTTGCTCTCGAAACGGATCAAAGTAGCGCCTTGCGAAATCACCGTCAGTTTGCGATCGTCGTCTTCGTTGCTCTTAGAAGGTTCGAAATCAAGAGAAAATTGAAATTAAAAATTTCGAAGGATCTTGCGAACCTTGTCATGATGAAATCGCCGGTGATGAGTCGACCCACGCGGGAACAGATCGTATAGTTAGTCGAAGGCGAAAGCCGCTTTTGCTGATATCCTTCTGGTATTTCGTTCAAGCACTCTTCGAACTCGCTGTGTTCGGTCAAATCTACGACCCTGAAAATGTCTGCCGAGCCTCAGTTTCGGGATAACTTCGTAAATTTCTTAGTAAACAAAAAGCTGTCCTTGTTGATCTTCTAACTTTCTGCATGTGTACCCTTGTTGATCCTTGGGCCACGTATTTTTTACCCAATTAATTGCCAAGCCTACCTTAGCTGGATGATTAAAACGAATGAAAGACTACGAGGCCAAAGATCAACAAAGGCATACCTGCAAAAAGCTAAAGGACCAACAAGACTAACCCCTCTGAATAGATAAAAAGTTGGAAATCCGATTCCTTGATAAATGAATGTTGTAAAACGCGACTTTCGAACATCTGTTTCTATCACCGATCCGGCGTTTGACTGTTCCAATTTGCTCTCCCGCGCCATTCTCGTCACTAGATTCAAGTCTGGCGTGACGCCTTTCTGATGCATCAGCTGACTCTCGCTAAAGAACTGCACCCGCTTTTCTAGTTCCTGCTCGATAAGGATCCCCAGCCCCAGCCGCGAGAAATCGTCAGCGTCAATCACCATAAACTCGCACGCTTCAATGCAGCAGATTGTTGCGTTTCTAGGCGCCTTGAGTTTTTGATCTTTATTTTTGAAGTTGAAAATGGGGTTTTTACCTTTGTGATCAGCGCCAATTCGCCAAAACAAGCTCCTAGAAATTTGTTACAAACTTGATTGAAAAACAAGGAATAAAAACGAACCTGGTTTGAGCGTGATTGGATCAGGCGTGCTGAAAATTACGTCTTCGTTTTTGCTGAAGCTGACTCCGACCTTGCCATAACAGAGAAAGTACATTGAATGCGCGATGTGCCCCTTTCGGATAATCACACGGCGCCTTTCGAACGTCTCGTAACTAGAAAATCACTGTCATTATCGCCGGAGCTATGCACTTGTATAGTTTCGTATTTTGTTGTTTAGTCTGTTTGGGTTTTGAACTGCTCAGTTGCGGTCGCGCTCAGGCCGCGATGAAGGCCCCGTGATTTCATACTCTAATTTTTAGAGCTGCCTTCCTTTTCATTTTCAAGGTTAAACTCTGGGCTCGGCAACTTGTATAGAAAACCTTAGTCAGTGTCTGAAGAGCGGTTTTTTATAAACCGAGCCGCAAAGCGGCATCGTAACACAATCACTTTTATCAATTTTATTCAACTTATAATTTATAAGTTAAAAAGCGGCTTTATAAAGATGAAGAACTTATAAAGATTATTCTTGCTGGGCGATTTACCCACGGTGGGTGCGGGTCCCCGCTTCGCTCGAATTGCTCAAAAATGCGCCAGTTGTGAAGATTTCCATCGATTTCCTATGGAAAGCCTGTCATTTCACAGTCGAGTGGGTCGCGTCTTAATAAATTTGTAGTTTTCAGGGATTATTAGTTTCCCCTGACGTGGCTGAAATTTTCGAAAAATAAAGAGCAGTCCATTTTGCGCAGTCTAGGAGTCTTGGATTCCTGGAGTTTGTTGCGTATTTCAACACTGGCATATATACAAACAAAGTTTGTCTATTTTGGAAACTATCACTTTGGAAGCTGGAAGTTTCTCCGAAATTTGCGCGGAAACGCAATGCTACCTCTTTTCCAAACGGCCTCGTATTACAAGAAGGGATTAAAGAAGGAGGCGGCAGGTCGATTGTGGGAGAGGAGTTTCCATTTTGGATGTATATGTGGTGCGTGGCGGTGGATTTGGCGCTGGTGTTGTGTTATTGGATGGTGAATTTTGGCTATTGGGGAACGGGATGAGCACCGCCGCGCTCAAATTGTGGTTCGGCCCGGGCGCCCGGCGCCATTCATCACTACTCCAGCGCGCGCAAAAAGCAAACTCTTCCAACAAAAGCGAAATTTTGAACATCGCAACCGAGCTGAACCACACTTTCAGCACATAAATCCCCCACAGCCTCCAAAAAAGCAAGAGAAAGAAGGAAAGAGACCCGAGAAGATGGAGACTGGTGCAATTGTCTTCATAATTTTCCTGGTCGGTGCTGGTGTCGGCATTCTCAGATGCTTGCACAAAAAGGAAAAGAGGAAAAATCAAGGTAAAATTGACAAAAATGATGATTCTATTTTACCTCATTTAGCAACTTTATACCTTTAGCAATTTTTAAATTAAAAGCATTACGCTTTAACAATTTTATAATTTATATTCCGGTTTTTGAAAAAAATCCCTAACAAAATGGCTAGTTGCCAAAATACAACACCAGCCAAATATCGCTGGGATACGAGCGGACGTTTCAATTTTATCAAATGTCAACTCTTGAGTTCTTTAGACTTTGAGTAATTCTAGCAGTTAGAGCTTAGGAAAAGTTGCAATAACAATAACGATTTCTATTGACTTTTATGAGTAAAGCGAGGAAGCTTGAACGTGGCAAAAATATTCTAGCAATAGACTTAGTCATCATCTCGTAGCATCGCGAAAAGTCCTTTTGGGCAAATCGCGCCATAGTCAAACAAATTCTAACATTCAAGCGATAGTTGATACGGAACTGTCTAACTCCACCGGCCTTAGCTCGGCAACCTATGCGAAAAACCTAAGTCAGGGTTCGAAACACCTCGTATGAAAAGCCTCCTGGCTTCATTTTTATTTGAGAACTTTCGTACCCTTACTCAGGTCTTTTACACGGGGTGCCGACTTGTAGGATTTGTACTTGTAGAAAAGGAATTAACACAATCTTCCTACGACTTTTGACTTTTGATGATGAATTTAGTTGCTAGAAATTTTTAACGAGTTTGTTCAGAAATGGACGAGGAAGACCCCGAAGCACCCTCAGTGAAGACGGAGCCAGTTTACGGCAGCAGCGGCTATTAAAATTATCCACCCTGTTTATTTCCGTCCTTAATTCTCGACGCCGTTATCTTACTGAAAACTGAAAAACCTAACTTGCCGGTAAAGCTACCAAAAGCCCGAATTCCGAATTTTATTTCTTTAAAAACTTTTTTTCGCGACTTTTTTTTCAATGTAAAAAATGAAATTTGAAAAAAAAGCCCCTTTTTGAATCTTTTTTGAAAAGGGATTTTTTCATTAGCGACTGAATGTCATTAAAATTATCGTCTAAAAAAATGTAACTGAAAACTGAATTATCGTCAAAAACTGAAACAATGTCTGCTTTTCCCTTCATGCAACCTTTCTTTTACAACACAAAAAAGCGAAATATAACAAAGAAAAACTCTTGAATGCTTACATACCGCATGACCTTGCAGAGGGCATTTTGGAGATTGTTGGAAAATTGCTTGAAGGAGTGGAGTTTCTGGAGATAGGATCGAAGGCAGCCGATTTCCACGCTGTTTCGATCGTGGGGGCTCTGGGAAATATGTCAGGAACAGGGGACATTCGATATTTGTAGAAAACCTGAGTCAGGGTCCGAATGAACTTAAATGAAAAGCCGCGTGGCATTACTTTTGCAATCTATTTTGAAGTCTTTGCGGCTTCGTTTTTAGAAAGCCGCTTTTGATTTAAGATCATCCAGACCCTGCCTAACTCAGGTTTTCTACACAGGATGCCGAGTAGCTTACCTTTTTTGTAATGAGTCTTAACTTATTCGGAAGCATGGCACATCTGGAAGCGTTGAAATAGAAGGGGTTGAAATGGACGCCTTCCGCCTTGCCAGAGGAGTATTGAACCCAGGGAACTATCGAGTCCTGTTCTGCTTATTGACGGGCTCGATTTTGAAATACTTGGGAAATTCTGTCGAAATTGGAAAAAAATTTCCGAGCCTTTTCTTCTGGATCAAGTCGGAGAGCGACTCGTGTCGGTGCGTCGCTTGAAGAAGCACCTTCGCCTGCTGGTGGAGCATTTCCGAGTCCTTCTTTGTCAGACCGTCCGCGAATTTGTCCCGAAGCTGGTTGACTTCGCGCATCGTGTGCTGCTGAAGCGCGTAGACGCGGATCAGCTTCGCCACGCGAGTCATGATGCTCACTGCTTTCGCCACTCTGAATTAATGAATTTCCGATTTCGACGAGTCGAAATCTCTAACCTCGCAAATCTGCCAACCCTTTTTCCCGTGTACTGGCTCATAAAAGAGTCGAATCGTTGGCGCGGCATTTCCAGCTCGTCCTCTTATATTTTTTCAAAAATACAGATTCTGTATTACAGAAATAAATATGAAATACCTTCAATATCCTCGACGACGGGTTTCTTCTGAAGACGCACTCGCCTGGGGCGCCAATTGTACTCCCAAGTGCCGCTCCACAGTTCGGCGGGGGCAGATCCATTTGAATCCGCGGACGAAGGCTGTTTTCATTGTCAATCAGTAAAAAATTCACGAATCTTTTATCAATTTCGAAAGGAAAGAAAAATTAATAAGAGCAAATCTCAAAAAGAGAATTTTTAATTGACCCTTCCCCGAAGTTTTTGAATCCTACTACAAGGAGGCGCTGTCAGCGGCCGAACCTTGAAAGGAGCTTCCGAAAATCCAGTCTGAAAATCATATTTTTCGGAGAGTAGGGCTGGTAACCTGTGAAGAGATCTGAGTCAGGGTCTTGAAAAGCTCATCAGAGCTTTACCAGGACCTTGACTCAGAATGCCGCGCCCTGATTAGAGCAAGAATAGAGTCAACCTAATTTACCGTCATCGTCCAAACTAAATCATGTTTTTTCGAGAAAAGAGCTAAATAACAAATGTTCTAGAGCCAGAGAAACGCCGAAAAGAAAAAAAAGGGTTCTTTCAAAAACGCATTACATATATAAAAAGATATGATTTCCCATTGGCGGTAGTCATTTTTACCTCGCACTGCAGAAAAAAGGCAACGGGCAATTCTTGTTCGAGCAGAAGAAACAAATCGGGCAATACCACTATCGTGAAAGATGAAATCGTAATGAACGTTTACTCGACCGGGTTGAAAGAAGATCCGATATTCCAATATGGTATTTTAGGGCCATCTTTTCTCGATGAAAAATATGGTTCAGAGTTTGAAGAAGAAAATGAGCGATTCAAAAAGAAAGTTTTCTTTTCTTCAAAAAGAAGCACGCGTTCTACGGACTCACAAATTTTAACAATCAACAACTCGGTGACATCTCCAGAAGCAGCTAGCTTTACAGTTGCGACAGCTTCTACGTCCAAGCTCAAATTTGAACAGAACGTAGTATTATCTCAAAATTCGGCCACCTATAGCCGAATTATTCGTCAATATTTTCAATAATTCTGAATGAAAAATTCGGCCAAATTGACCGAATTATTGGGCGGATTCTACAAAGTATTTTGGTGAAAAATTCGGCCAGTGAAATTCTCCGTGGACAGTCATTTTTCTTTTTTGAGGGCTTTCGCAATCGCTATGAATGCTTGTTATCAATTCTGATAATTTGATTTTTTAGGACAATAACCGGACTTATCAATTCCACAAGAATTCCGGTCGACCTCTTTCTAATAGCAACTGGTCTGCGGCGCAGACTCTGCGCGGTAAGAGCTAGTTGCAGTTCCCCAGGACTTTTTTTTGATAAGAAAATTAAGATCGTAGTATTCGCTAAAATAAAGGTTAGGGTTAGGGGGCACCTGCAAAAATGACGGAACAAATTACCCGAGGGGGATAGGCTAGGGTTAGTTAGGGTTACCTTCGGTAACCCTAAGTAACCCTAGACTAGACCCCGGCATCTTAGGACCGAAGGGGCGGAGCCCCGAGGTTAGGAACCATTAGATTGGATACTTTTCTACTGATAAAATGGAGACTCTTAATAAACGAGTGGCTTTATAGGGGCGCGGCCTTTACTTTTGGGGGCCGAATTTTTCATCCAAAAAATCCTTCAATTTCGGTCGAATAATTCGGCCACTCTGGCCGAATTATTCATTCAAAATATGAGTATATGAAAATTCGGCATTTGGCCGAATTTTGAGATCATACTACCGAACAGAAGAAGAAGGAGCTATTGCTAATGGTAAGCCAGGAAAGCATGGAAGAATATATCTAAAAAATGGATGTTGAGCAAAATGCTCCGAACTCTTCTCGCATGAGGGCGCAAGGTGCGCGGAGGACTCTGAATCCTCCGAACTTTGCGAGTCCAGGGAGAACTGATGAGTTGGCGATAAGGCGTGATTCCTCCTTTCTGCGCTCTTCTTGACGGCAAAGACAACCAGGTAAATTCTAAGACCAAAGGAATGCCTCTTTATGATCGCTTCTTTAGGTTGTGCAAGTGGTACTGGACGGTCTCCAGAAGTCTGGAGTCCAGAACATTCTGAGAATGGCAGCTCCAGAGGGTCTCGAGAACGTGACTTCGCAGATCGAAGAATGCGGCGGCGTTGACAAGATCGAGCTCTTGCAGAACCGCAAAAACGAAGAAATCTACAAGGTAATAAACTGACCTCATCAAGCCCGATTTCAAGCCTTTCTCTTTCAGCTGGCTTACGAGATCATCGCCCAGTACTTCCGAGACGACGTCGACGAAGCAGTCGACCCTCAAACGATGGACGGGCAGTACGCCTTCGCCGTCAACAACGAACAACAGCAAAACAACTTTTACTTTCACTAACCGTGTTAAAAACAGTTTTAACTTGTGTCTTGTTCGCCCTAAATTCTCCAATCTAAGTTATTTTCTACTCTTCACCTAACTAGTTAGTAGGGGCTGTAAAAGAGAGAACAGTTTAAACTCAAATCATCTAAATTTGCCGAATTGTTTCTGGCAGTAACTTAGACCAAGATAAAATAAACAGAAACGACTCATCAAAATTTAAACTACTAAAGTTCTCCTGCTAAAGTTAGACTCAACATCTCCTCCTCCTCTCATCTCCTGCGTTACTTTTGCGTATTCCCGCTATTTCGTTTTTTGTTAGAGAAACTTGTAATAATAGCCGCGGCAGTTGCTCTGAACTGAATCCATCTCTGTCCATTTTTGTGAATTGAAAAATGAAAACTGTTTCTTTTTAAACTATTGCTCTGCCGCGCTTCTTACCCTGCCCTGTACCACCACCGAGCGGTTACTCCTTCTCTTGACGTCATCTCGACTGGCCAAAATCTCTACTTGGCCGAAAAAAGGGAAAAGACCTCCAAAATAGCTTTTTAAATTTTAAGAAATACTTTCTTGACTTAAAAATGCCCTGTTTTCAACTTGAAAAAGCCTGAACCCGACAGATTTATTAGACTTCTTCACAATTTTTGAAACTGATCGAAAAGAACGGTCCCTTTCTATCCCACCACTGGAGGAGTCAAAACTCCTCCATCAGATAAACCAGGTCCTATGTTGGCTACTTATTGCTCTGGCACAGACTACTTTGGCTCTTTCCTGTAAAAAATTAAATTATTGACTCAATTGTACTATACTCTATTTTGTTTCTCGCCAGAAAGCAAAAGAGCGAGCATAAGGCCGGTTACGTAATCGTGCAAGCCCGTGCGTACCCTAGAACCTACTCAAGAATCCACGATCCGAGTACGTCCAGTCGGGCTTCTCTGTCATTACTGTACAAGCGGCCTGGCTGCGCGCTACTCGAGACAGTAAAAATAAACTCGAAAGAGAACTCGCTCTTCGAGTAAATCGGTGCCTAACTCCAACGGCTAGTAACTGGCACAGTAACTGACTGAAGCGACAACGACAAAAATGTAAATTCACGCGCGCAGAGCCAGCTACTACGCTCAAAGTTGGAGTCGCACCGAAAACCCCACGAGCGGCGCTGTTTCCAAGAACGCGCTCGTGCCCCGCTTCAACTCCCACCGTCCCGCAATTTACCTCAAATTGTACCCGCTATGAGAATAGCCAATTTAATTTAAGAGCAATCGAACTCGTCTTATTTATTATTATTTATCATTACTGAATTTACGCGTATTTATTCCTTTTTTACTATAAGTGTGCCCTTGGCTTCTTTTCCTAGAATTCCGATAACTGTTAGCTTCTATTTCCATTATTATTATTTTTATCATTATTTAGTAAGTAACTTAGTGACAACTTCTTACTCCCCTGCTTATTTTCTCGAAAAATCAAATTGTGTACTCTTTCTCAAAGCACCCTCAAGTGGTTAATAAATAGACTGAGTGGGAAAAAGAGCTCGATTATGTTTCATATATTTCATTCATAGTCTCGATCATCGACATATCCGCCGTAGTTGTCAGCAGAAACAGGATTTACGTACTCGCCTCGTTGGCTAAGCTTCGTTGTCAGGATTTTGTCAGAATCAAATTCAGCGACAGAAGAACGATGAAGCTAACTTGCCTTATTTTCATTCTTGATCATCAGAAGTTCTTGCTGCAGAAGCTCAATTCCGAGTTCTGTTCCGAATGATCTTTTAGGAAGACAGGTTTGATTCCAAGATCGAGTTTGTGAATAATCGGCTTGAGAACAGGGTCATCTTTCATCAGGCAGACATTGGGAACTCGTTTGTCAGGTATGTTTGAAACAAGCGGATCTAGCCCGTTCTCCAGCTTTTCTGGTATTCTTTTGTAATGTTCGAAAAACTTGACTAAAGAACTTGAATTGCAAATGTTTCGATTCCGCGAAAAACTTATGTCGCTCTTCCGAGTTTTTGCCGCCAAAAGGATGATATCCGCTCGAAAGGTTGTAGGCGGTCACCTGGGCAGAACTGTCCAGGAAGTCCAATTTGCTTTCCTGGACAGTTTCTGCACAGGAACTGAGGGCACAGTTTTCCTGGACAGTGCTCTGTCCAGGAAAGGTGTTCTGAAGTTCCTGGACAGCGCCTGTCCAGGTCACAACATTTTACCATCCATAGTTCCTAGCCAGTTTTCCCCCGTCGAAATAAACAAATTCTTAAATCTTGAGACTCTTCAACGTCTATGTTTGTATTTTTCAACATGTCTAGCACTTCATTTTAGTGACTACAATATCTATCTATCAAACAGAACTAAGCCGTGAGAGTTGACGTTCTCCACGGGTCAATTTTGACGGAGTCCGACTGAAGTTAACCGAGAGAAGTGAACTTCTCCTCGGATCAGTTTAGACGGAGGTCTGAATGAAGTGAACAGAGAAAGGCGACCTTCTCCTCGGGCCCCTTTGGCCGGGGGTCCGACTGAACTTAGCAGAGAGAGGTGACATTCTTCTCGGGTCAAATTGGCCGGACGTCCGACTTAACTTGACCGAGAGAGGTGACCTTCTCCTTGGGTCAGTTTCTGCCGATGGTACAACAGAACTAAGCCGAGAGAGATGACCTTCTCCTCGGGTCAGTTAAGCGGGGGTCCGAGTGAACTGAATAGAAGAGGTTATCTTCTCCTTGGGTCAGTTTGGCCGGATGTCCGACTGAGCTGAACCGAGTGAGGTGACCTTCTTCTCGGGTTAGTTTTGCCGGGGGTTCGACTGAACTTAATCGAGAGAGGTGACCTACGCCTCTTGTCAAGTTGGCATGGGGTCCGACTGAATTGAACCGATGGAGTTGACCTTCTTCTCGGGTCAATTCGGCCGGAGGACCGACTTAACTGGACCGAGAAAAGTGACTTTTTCCGGGGGGCGGGCGGCTACGTTACAAATTTGTAACGCCGTTACAATTTTGTAACGCCGTTACAAGAATTCAGATTTTTTTCGCAATAAAAATTATTTTCCATTCCGTAATTTTTATTATTTTGGACAGAATAAGCGATAAGGTGTACTTAAATGTAGTTTCCTTTAATTCAAGCGCGAAGCGCACACTCGTTCAATGATTTTGATTTTGAATTTTTGTAACGCCGTTACAATTTTAACTACTTGTTACGTAGCCGCCCTACACCCCCTTTTCCTCTGGTCAGTTTTGGCGGAGGTCAAACTGAACTGAGCCGAGAGAGGTGATCTTCTCCTCGGGGCAGTTTGGCCGGGGGTCCGACGTAACTAAAGTTAAGTTATGTCGGACGTCCGGCCAATTTGACCTGAGAAGAATGTCACCTCTCTCTGCTAAGTTCAGTCGGACCCCCGGCCAAAGGGGCCCGAGGAGAAGGTCGCCTTTCTCTGTTCACTTCAGTCAGACCTCCGTCTAAACTGATCCGAGGAGAAGTTCACTTCTCTCGGTTCACTTCAGTCGGACTCCGTCAAAATTGACCCGGGGAGAACGTCAACTCTCACGGCTTAGTTCTCTTTGACCATCGGCAAAATCTGACCCAAAGAGAAGGTTACCTCACTCGGTCCAGTTTAGTCGGAACCCCGCCATACTGACCCGAGGAGAAGGTCACTCCTCAAGGTTCAGTATAAAACCCCGGCCAAACTGACAAAAGGAGAAGGTCACCTCTCTCGGTTCAATTCAGTCGGGCCCACGCCAAATTGACTCGAGGAGAATATCACCTCTCTCAGTTTAATTCAGTCGGACCCTGGCAAAACTGTTAAGAGAGGTCAACTCTCTCTGTCCACTTAAGTCGGACAACCGGCCAACTTGACCCGAGAAGAAGGTCATCTTTCTCGGTTCCGTTCAGTCTTATGCCCGGCCAAATTGATCCGAGGAGAAGGTCACCTCTCTCGGCTTAGTTCTGTTGGACCATCGGCAAAATCTGACCCAAGGAGATGGTCACCTCTCTTGGTCCATTAAAGTCGGACAACCGGCAAACTTGACCCGAGAAGGAGATCATCTCTCCCGGTTTCATTTAGTTGGACCCCCGCCATTCTGACCCGAGGAGAAGGTCACCTCTCTCGGTTTGGTTCAGTCTGAACCACGGCCAGCTGACCCGGGGAAAAGGTCACCTCTCTCGGTTCAGTAAAATTGGACCATCGGCTAAACTGACCCGAGGAGAAGACAACCTCTATCGGTTAAGACCCGGTTAGGTTGTGCCGCGGCGAACTTGCTCGCCGATATTCTTGGGAATAAGATTTTTGTAATTTTCTTTTTGTAAAGGATATCTACAGTTCTTCAGCTTTCCTATTCAGTTTTCCGTTTTTCTCTATAACCACTCATTGATGAGCTAGATCAAAAAGGGAGCGCAACTTCAAAAGGCATCAAGTCCTGCAAATTTTATTTTATCTTTCAGAAACCTGCACCATTAAAAAGCCCATTAAATTGACCAGATTCCACCTAATGCGCAAAACCTCTCATTACTTATTTCGGATTAAAAGCTGATTAACCAAAGAACTTAGCGCGCTCAGCACGGCAGGACGCTATTTTGGGCTCCCGAGACATGATTCCTGCTGGGCGCGCGTTAGGAATTTTTGTTTGTATGACCTGTATCGCTTATTAGTACTGTTTCAATTTTGCGCATTAGGTGGAATCTGAGGGAAATTCGGACCATGGGCTTTTAAATGGTGCAGGTTTCTGAAAGATAAAATAATATTTGCAGGACTTGATGCCTTTGAAGTTGCGCTCCCCTTTTTTGATCTAGCTCATCAATGAGTGGTTATAGAGAAAAACGGAAAACTGAATAGGAAAGCTGAAGAACTGTAGATATCCTTTACAAAAAGAAAATAACAAAAATCTTATTCCCAAGAATATCGGCGAGCGCTTGAAGTTCGGCGCGGCGCTACCTAACCGGGTCCCTTAAGTTCAGTCAGACCCCATTCCAACTTGACCCGAGAAGAAGATTACCTCTCTCGGTTCAGTTTAGTTGGATCATCGGCCGAACTGACCCGAGGAGAAGGTC